CGCAACTGGAGTAACTGGGTAGCCCGAATGGCTTCATTGCAACTCAAATAGACACAAATAGCCACATAAGAAAAATCCATCTCATTAACTCTGGTACAAATGCAGAAACTTGAGTAAAAAAACACCGAAGCATCAACTCCGGGGGACCAACCGATAACTAGACCTCCTGATGCACTAATGGCATCAACAAAAATAACAATTAGAAGACTCAAAACCTAATCCTCGCATACGACGAGACACTACCCTCCGGCACGATCTTGTTTCTGAAAAGAAAACAAGGTCCGGTTTATTTGAACGAACTAAACTCAAAGCAGTTTGAAATGTGAGGGAGGGTCCAATTCCTCTCACATTCCAGGCCAAAAGCCTCATTTATTCAGCTGGGGCCACTCGACGCTGGCTTCCTCCACCCTATCCGCATCATTTGGATCTTCCACAAACTGTCTCTTAGGAGAGGGACTATCGTCAATTTGACCATCCACTTCCTCCATCAAACATTTCCGACTGCCCTTCTCCCCTCCCACAAAATTGGAGCCATACTCATTAAGCTTTATAGCCATCGCTCCTTCATATTCATCTATGGGTTCCTTCTCGGCAGTGATGAGCAACCCTGCTTCAAATGCCGCCGCCACCTGGCAAACTTGGCCAGGATTGACTAGGCGCGTAGCATCAGCTGGAGGGTGTCGGGATTTAATCTCGAACTGAAGAGCATCATCATCCGAGGGAGACCCCTCCTGCATCATCACGTTGGACGGTTCCTTCTCCAACGCAGAGGGCTTCGGCTCATTCAGCTCCGCCTGGGTAGTCGCGCCATCGGGAATGTCCACCGCTGAGCCCCCATCTCCTTGAATTGCGCAAGCTTCCCCAGTTTTGCCCATGCGCGAACTCCCCAGTTTCTTACTCCCCTTCCCCTTACCAGCCCGAGTACGAGAGGAGGATGGCGCCTGCTGGGCTTTGCTCCCCTTTACCTTCTCAGCTCGAGGACGAGAGGAGGATGGCGCCTTCTGGGTTTTGCTCCCAGGCTTCGCCGCCGGGCCGTGAGGCTCGGCCTCTGCTATCGAACTCACCTGCCCCAGCTTCACCAACCGTCTCCCCTTCCTAGTCTTGTCGGCAGCGGGCACTTGCAAGGACGGCGCCGCGACGAAAGACTCATCATCTGAGTCATCAAGAATCAGCTTGCGCTGCCTGACTTCGCACGGTGGCAACTTCACCATCGATCGGGACTCCCCCAGCTGGGAGTCAGCATCTAGGTTCGAGGTCCTCCCGGATACCGGATCTGCATCCACCTTATGCACCTGAGGAGCATTTCTGCCGCCTTCATCCCTGTCGTTCACCATGTATTGCACGTCTCGCTTCCACGGACCTTTCCCACGTCGAGAGTCTTTTCCATGCCCACGCATAGAAGAGGCAGCCCCCTGATGCCGACCAATCTTCAGTTTTGGCGACCTCGCCACCTTGAAGCCACGCGGGCTTATCCAACGGGCAGCCCCACCACCCTGGGAGACCAATGACGACCCCTCCTGTGCCCGGAGACGTGCTTGGGTGTTGGGATCAAAGCGCGCCCCATTCTGCCCAAACTTAGGGCCAGCTGCCCCATTCTTTGATTCCCTATAGTCCTTATTGATCCAAACCGAGTGACCTCCTCGAGGGAAGGCTTGCTTATGGTCATCTACCTCATATATTCTCCTACCCAACTGCTTAGTTGACATATGCGGGCCGAACTTTTCTTTTCTAGTCGGTGGATCAAAAGTGCATGCTCGCAGAGAGTGTCCCACCCTCCCACAGTGATAGCAAAAACTGGGCAGGTGTTCGTACTTCAGACTCACCCAGAAGCACCCTGTGTCATCATTTGTATCATCAATAGCCGCCATAATTTGCGAACGCAGAGGTTTGGTGAAGTCGATCAGGGTCTTGACTTTCACAAACCAGCGGCCTGTATCCTGACACGCAAACACACCGGCCTCTAGGACTTTCCCAATAGTGGTATTCACCACTTTCCTCCCAAATTGCTGGTTACAGCAGTCTTCGTTAATATCCCACAACTGAACCCGAAAAGGGACAATTGCAAGGTCATCGAAGGTTTTCTTTGTGATTGCCGGAGCCAAGGGCACAAGTGGAGAATCTTGTCGTTGATCACCCACGGAGTTCGTTTCAATACCCAAGTTCTCGCTTCTTCACTTGGTAGCACAAACTCAACCAGCCCAAATTTTGCCATGACAACTCTGATACGTCCTTGAATGAGCCAGGGTGCGATCACCGCTTCCCTCAGTTCAGTGGTCGATATTCTGTTCTCCGTGAAGACACGACCCAAGAGTGAGTGAGCAGCCCGGTATTTCGTCGATTGCACCTCCTCCATCGAAAAATGCACCACCTGGTCAGAGCTGAGATGAGTCATTGCTTGATCCTGTTCACAAGATAACGAGTCATTAATAGGGGAGCCTCCTTGCACGCACGGGGAAGGAGAACTCATCCCGGACGAAATCATGGTTAAGAGAACATCACCACAGTGGGGACTGGACGAACCATACTGTGGCCCAAAGCTTACTCGCCCAGCGGGAACAAGGGTGTCCCTCTGGCGTAATGGAAAGGAAGGTCTGGAGAAAAAAACTTTACCTGAGCTTCGAGCACCCCCAGTTTGTGTTATCCCTTCCGAAGCTCCCGCCGCTAGTCGCACTCGTCGAATTGGAATAGTACGAGTAAAGAGACTAGGGCTAGCTTTTAAATAGGATGGGATCCCTACGAAGTTGGGATTAGGTGTCATCGCTCGGTAAAGAAGACTTCTACCCCAAGAAGGCCACTGCGAAACAGAATTAGGGATAATGGTGTACCCACAAATCCCACTAATCACGGGATCCATATCCCACGGGAATATTTTTCTACCGGCCTCCCTTTGTTCACCGCCAACCTCCGACCTAGCATCGGTGGAAGCCCTTTCCGACATGAAAGATATTTTAACGGCTTCCCGTCCGTCACCGCCAACCTCGTTCTGATCCTCGGCGAGGTCCCGGGATTGCAAATTGTCAAAGTTCCGCCATTGAATATTCCAACTAGAACAAATTACCACACTGCCGATCGTTTTTCGATCAGTACCAGGGTTTTGAGAATGGAACGGGTCACCGCCATCGGGAACTGAGGACTCAGTCCCTATGATACCCCGATCGGTATCCCCCTAAAAAGGGTCATGATCACTTATTCCTTCATTTTCCAGCTCCTCCATCGAAGGAATCTGAAAACGCCAGACGACCAAGGTAGCCAGTCGTCGGCACTTGGATTTTTCGAGAATACGTTCGCTATTCTCCGCCAGGACAAGCCCAAGCTTCCTTTTACTATTCCTTCTCCTGGAATAGTCCTCTGCCATGGCATACAAGCCATGCACAGATGTATTCTCACGCCTTTGGCGTTGGATCCGGGTCCGCAAGAACTCCACCGAACCCTTCTTCACTGTGATCACTTGAGGTAGGGGTCGAATCCGCCTACTAAATCTCCATCCTGGAGCCTTCGATTGATTACGAAGGCAGCGTTCAATGATCTTCATCACCATTTTCAGGAGAAGCGCCCCAACCAGTCGCCCTAAACGAGTGAGAGACAGGAGAGCGTCTCGCTTTTTTTTTAATCGTCGCTTGCTACTCTCGGCCCACTCGACAACTGCTACATCTCGTAATCTTCAAACATAGCTATTGTAGGTAAGGTTCGTATGTTAGTTTTTAGATTATGCTGCAATATAATTATCCATATGTTATAAAAATCAAAATCAGAATTATCCAATATTTCGTAACTGACTTATTTAACTCTCTTATCATAAGAAGTTTGAAAATTCTTTTTGGAAGAGGATGGAACAACCTATGACAAAGCAGAAAGAAAAAAAAGAAGAATCCCCCCCCCCCCCCCCCCCCCCCCCCCCAAAAAAAAAGTGAACGATAATAATGCTAATGAGACAATACAAAAATAAAAAGTCTAATTCCGAAACATGCGGAGAAGGGTAGAAGACTGATTTTGCATAGGTGATTTTTAGAAACTCTTTTAAGATATTTTTAAATTAAGATTCCTTCAAACCACAATAAGAATCCAAAACTAAAAACATAAGTTGGAAGTTTTTAACCAAAAACATAAACTACAAGTGAAATGAGCATCGCTATAAAATGTTGCAATTGAATCCAACCATCTCACTGCCAATTCGATGTCTTGCAATAACAATCCAGTTTATAGATTTTCTGACTCCTCATCAGAACTTCCCTGACATAGAATCAGTGTCCTCAATTTTCCTTACATTGTCCACAGGTTGAATGCTACACAAATATATCAACATTTCAAAAACGGTTTCATATTTATCTAATGCTAACCACTAAAAAATTCTCTAATTATATTTGACTATGAATTATTGATTGGCCTTGATGAAGCTGTGCAGCAACGACATATGCTGTTGCATTCTCTCGTCCATAAAATGTATGCTACAGAAATATAAAATATTTCCGAAACGATCTCATTATTATCTACTATTAATCGCTACAAAGTCTCTTATCACTATTGATTATGACTTATTCCTCATAAGCTGTGATGTGGACTTTCAGCAACTCCAGTTGTCTTTCGTGCATAACCCTCATTTCCTGAATTGTCTTGATTACCTTAACTAACTTGATAAACCTGAACATTAAGAACTAAACACACTAAGTTAAAAAAATAATAAAAAATCATGAAAAGGGTAATATGCTTCCCTAATTCAATAAGAAAAAAATGCTTCCCTAACAAGATGATAAACTAATTCAATAGATTTGTCTATATAAGATAATCGTTTGACATGTCTCAACATTTTCCCAACATATTCTGAAAGGCGATAGTGTCTACGCTAGTAATAACATTAGCATCATATGCACAAAATGTAGAAAAGAAACCGCATATTCGAAGGTTCGGTTGGGGAAAGAGACATTTTGCACGGAATACAAAAAAAAATCCTATTTTTTCCATTGGTTGTTGGCCCCAAGGTTCGAACCTAGAGTCTAGTAAATGTTGTCATTCCCACATTATTACTAGGTCAACTCCTTAGGGTTTTCATGCATACTTTTCCTGACCCCATTGATTAACTTATTAAATTCTTATTTAAATTATAAAACATAAAATAAATACCTTACTTATTCTTCAACACTCAACCACCTACTAAAATCGCAGGATTAATCTAAAGGCCGTATTTAACTTAAGAAACTCAAACATTTAGACTTAAGAACATTTAAAAGCATAATGAGTGCATTTTCATGGACAGTTAATTAGTTCATAGAATTTGTCATATGGAAAGGAATTAGATCCAAATTTGTGATAGATAGATGGGACCTCCTACCATGCTTTGAAGTTACTATAATTTGAACTTTTTGACCTATTATAGCAGGTTTTATAGATTGCATTACGGTCAATCTAATGTTTATTACGTAACGATTACATAATGTTTGTTAGTCTTACGTAACAGTTAAACTAGAAGCGTTGCGAAAGGTTTCCGTAACGACTCATCATTTTACGTAAAACTAGGTTAATATTCATTACATAAAAACATCGTCTACTACTTAAGGCTTCCATAATGACATTTTACAACTATTAAATAAAACACACACTCATTATGTAAAGGTTACGTATCGAATGTTATTTCTTACGTAACAATGAAATTTGAATGTAAGACTTCCGTAATGACTTATCACATCACATAACTTGATTTCATTACCTAAAAGGACCATCCATTAGACCATTACGTAAGACTTCTGTAATGACACTTTACAACTGTTACGTAAAGTATGCATCTATATCGTAAAGGTTACGGAACGATAGTTATTTCTTATGTAACAGTTAAAATAGAAGGGTCACGTAAGTCTTTCGTAATGATTTAACAGATTACGTAACGCAAGATTAATATTCATTACGTAAAATGATTGTCTATTACGTAAGGTTTCCGGTCGTAATGACATTTTTCAACTATTACATAAGATAAACACACATTACGCAATGCATGTTGTATTTTACGTAATACGACTTGTGAAACCTATTATAACAGGTCAAAAACATCAAGTTACAATAACTTCAAGGTAAAGGTATTGTAGGAATTTCCTAGATTTTATATATATATATATGTGGATACGACTCGTATGCTCCAGACGCATAGTATGTGTCAGGTCCTCCACACTGTTGATCTAATCTAATGGCTATTATTATTTATAATTAACTAATTTCTTATGAATAATTACAATTATTTATAATTACAATTATTAATCACGCCATATAAATAAGCATACTTCCACTACAACCCCCCCAACAATTTTTTACCATTATGTATTATATACCTTATTTCTTTTACTCAGGCGCTAAAGATCCAATTTTTGTCTAATTTAGTAAATAAAACTGAAGCCTAAATTTTGATACACCATCGTCATACGAGTAGACATCCCCCAACACCCTCATCATCAAAAACCCACAAACCTATACGCCACCTAGAACATCATCATAATTTAAAAGGGAACAAAATTGGTTCATTAAAATGAGATGTGAGATTAAATCCCTCTCGCCGTTGCTCGCCTAAGTATCCATCTCCACATCACGGAACTCCGTCAGAGATATGACAACTATGATTCCAGATCCGGATTAGCACACAGACCGGCGGCCAATTCCCCGTCAATCACCAAACTCATCCTTCCATTCGGTTCATCTTCGCACAGAGCAATGCGTGTCGTTGAAGGAGGTAGCCGGTGACGATTGTTCTTGAAGGCGGTGGTTTTGGATTTTTCTTGCCGTTGTTGTCGCCGGCGGCGACTAGAGTGACGGGCGAGTGGGAATTAGAGGTAATGTGGGAGGGGAAGAACTCGAGCAGCATGCGGAGAGTGGAGGCTTTGATTTGTGGGAAATGAGAAGTTCTGGACGGCCATGACCATGGCGGCGGGTGGGTAGAGCGGTGGCTGTGGATACTTTTTGACCCATCAATCGCGAACTTTGGAGATGATGAGGACGATGTCACAGTGGCAGCGGCCGGAGAAGAGGTGCTTTCGGTGTACTCGCCTGCGTACATGGCAGTGACGGCTCCTTTCCTCTTGTCATCTTTAATGATCCCGCTGCAGCTTCCGGCAAGACGGTCCCACTCCCGCTCCGTCGTTTTTGTTCAATCGGTAATCTCAACCATCAGTTGCGACGACTGCGTATTATTGAGGGAAGGTTGAAGAATTCCTTGATAAATTGAAGTAGTTAATTGCTTAGTTTCAAACGCTAACCTAACGTTGTGTTTTTTTATTTTGTACAGATCGGTTGGGTCTATCAATATGAGAAACCCTGTACCAAGCTGCCCGATATTCAAAACAGCAACAATAGCTGCAGACTCATAACGTAGAGTGGATTCAAAACCCACATAGAAGGAAGAAGAACCAGAGAACGTTCGGTGTCTCACTATTAGCTTCATAAAGCAAACGATTTCCATTATGTTCAGTTTTTAGTATGTCTGCTTCGTTCATTGCGTGTGCTCTGTTTCTCTCATTTGTGTCATGCTCTGTTTCTAAGTTGCAGAAGAAATAAAGTTTGTATATGGACTAAAGAGGAAAGGGGGATTTGGAGTTGAAACGATGGCTGGGAAAAAATTAAGTAGCTGTGATGGAGACACAGTTAAAAAATGGGGTATTCAAGTGATGATTAATAGAAAATTAGGTACATGAATATAAAAAGGTATGAAAAAGTTTGTATATGGACTAAAGAGGACGTTTAAAAAAGAAACGGAACTAATAAATTATTTATATATTGTAAAAAATAAATAACTTAATTAGAATTAATCAACGCCGTTAAATTAGATCAACGGTGTGGAGAACCTGACACATGCTATGCGTCTGGAGATACTGAGTTCACTGCTAGGGTTAGAGACCATTTTCTTTATTCTACTTAGATAATCGCCAAAACCCATAACTATAGTACTTGTGCAAAGCTGTGGATGACCAATAAGCTGCAAATCGTGGTCTTGCCAATAATAACTATACCCTTTTCATCGTATATATTATAATGAACGATGATCATGCCCCGGCGCCTTCAGCATCTGAACTCGTTCCTGCAGCAGCTGCCACGTCCGCAATCAGACTAGTCTGCCCTTGTGCTGACGTGGCCCCGGCAGCCGATCTGGCGACGACCATCTCATCCTGATCAAGACAATCACCACAATCATCATCTTTAGCGACCGTATTGGCCGTCACCATTTCCAACAGCCTCTCTTGCGGGCACTTATCTCCTCCATCTCGACGATCGCCGTTGATCACGAGGTCGTCGTCAATTAGCCACGAGAAGTCGGTGCTTTGAAGCAAATCCGACAGCAACTCCTCATCTATCTCCAAATCACAGCTCAACCCAAAGCAACTAGCACCATCGTGACCACAATTCTGGTCGTCATTGCTTCCGTCGCTATTGTTACGCGTTGCGGGCATTAAAATTGGCGACGGAACCGTATGGTCGTGCGGGAAGACGGCCTTGCCTCTGCACGGCCTGGTCGCCTTGGTTCGGATCGCTTTTGACGACAAATCTGAACGGCTCTGGTCATGGTTGGTGGGAGTGATGTTATCAATAGCGACGACTTTGGAGGAAGATGGTTTGTGATCTTCGTGATGATCGGCTGCTGCCGTGGGATCTTGTGTGCCTTGAGGGTTGTGGTGATGCTGCTTCTTGCGTAGGTTGGTGTTCCAGAAGTTTTTTATCTCGTTGTCTGTTCGTCCTGGTAGTCTTCCCGCTATTAGCGACCACCTACCATTGCATTGGTGTTAACAGTAATTAGTAAGTGAACTTCGTTAGCAAAAAAGTATACAATGATGTATGCAAGGAATTGAGATTGTTCAATAACTACAAAGAACCCCAAGAAAATATGTCATTCACATCATTATTTGCTCTCAAGGATGACGAAAAAATTAGATATTCCCGAACTGCACCAAATCATATTTGAGTAATTTTTCTTTTGGCCATACTGATCATACTCAACTTTTTTGTTTGCTCTAAATTGAACTCATGTTATTGGATACCCGATTCTAATGCACTTTTTGTCTTTATTTTTGATATGAAACACCAACATTAGCTATGTTATTGGAATAAAGACCGTTTACGTACGTGATGGTCAATATTTATTAAGTACAATCATATTAACCTAAATAGACCCATTTATGTCTGACCCAAATGAGTTGATTCAATTCATCAAATCCAACATGAACCAAAATTATTAAAAGTGCATTTGAATCTGTTTGGATCCAATCATATGAATCATGACAGTTGAGTTAAATTATCCAACAAATCGCAATTGTCATTCATATCGCTCTAATATAGAGTCTCTGTAGGGGATTATTGAACACTAATTTAAAATTTTCTAAAATAAGTCCACTTCACGTAAAGCTATTTTTCGACCATAATCTTATCGAGTTTCATTAAGGAAAAATACGTATGAATTTAGATGATCGATTATACCTATTTCCGAGGAGCTTGTGAAGCCTAATGATGAGCTCCGCTTCATCATCTGTAATATTGCCTCTCTTGATTCCCGGCCTGAGATAATTGAGCCATCTTAACCTGCAGCTCTTCCCACATCTCTTCAATCCTGCAAACATTAGTAACCCCATGCACCATTCCCCAAACGGCAAAGGATACAAGTAGTTAACCGTAAAGCACCTATCTATATATATACCGACGAGTTCGAATTGGTTGCTAATGATACTCGTCGCCTTTGACACAGAAATACATATGTATATACCTGCTTTCAGAGGGAGGTCTCTCCACTTGCCTTCGCCGTGGGCTGCAATGTAGTCGGCCAGCTTCGTGTCTTCCATGGCCGTCCAAGCTCCTCTGTTCAGTCCTTCCTTTGAGCAACAAGGCCTTCTCCCCATCTCTCTCTATTTTGGTCAAGCTAGCTAGCCAAGAGCGACTGTTAGATATGGGAGATCGCTTGGGAGATATATATTGAAACAAACAAGCATTGGAATATGACCCTAATTCGTACGTGCGTTTAGGTCTAGGTTATGGACGGTTGTAAAAGGGTATATATCCTCCAATTTTCGAATGAAGCTCACCCACTATATACATGTTTTTTTTTTGTAGGAACTATATACATGTTGTTGATAGGTGATGATAGGGAGGTATTTGTGTTTGTTTTCGGTAGTTGAGGTAACTTCTACGGTGCACTGACAAAAATGAGTGTACATATGTACTTAATTTGAAAACTTGCATATATTTTGAATTTTTAATGGATAGTATCAGTCTAATATGATGGCATGATGTAGGATCACAACTAATCCATGCATTATCCTAAGTCCTAAACCTTAAATTCTGGATGCTGAACTCTGAAAATGAAATTTTAAACCCTAACCCTAAATTCATAAACCTTAAATCCATTAAATCAAAATAAATGTTGAATGAAATTTGTGAAATTTCATGCATATTCTTGTCCATTGTATTACAAGTGGCAACTGACACCGTTCAACATGAATCGACTGCTCAAAATGATGATTATAAAGTTGGTGCATAGCATGCACCCAATAAAGTGAGTACACTGAATATCTTGTCATGAAATACAGAATATCTTGTCATGAAACAACACGAGGAAATGAAAAGAGAACGCATAAAAACATATATCGTTCGTTCCTGTAAAGAGTTTGTTCTTGACATGATATCATATTTTTAGACGGGTCTGAGAAATCCTATCTTCTAATCCCATGTAAATGATTGGTTGGATGACATGCTTGCAAATTTCAATTTCATATTAAGTTGAATTTAATTTATTTCAGAAGTTGTTCAAGAAAATGGTATATATGATACCCATTATTGTGAAGCAATCCTAATTATTTCAGCCTTTATAGTATGGATAATGAGCCATCGCACAATGCCTATATGTTATTGCAAGGTTTTATGATCTCCTTTTCTTCTAGTTACCAACTATTCCTTACATTAATATGGGTCTTAAAAATCCTCATGTGCTTAGTAATCTAATAGGTACGTAAATGGTTCTGATGACTAGCCACTTATATAATCTTATATGACAAGTAGAACTACATGAAAATTTAATCCTCTTATTCAACATCATTAATAGTCCTTATGCAAATCAACATAGTACATTTTAATAACTCAAATTACTCGAGTGCCGGACTAAAGCAAGCTTAATTTTCTTAACGTTTTGAAGGGCTTCAACATTTTGTCATGCACGCTTGCATGTTTCTAACAGTACACTACACACAAAACCAACAATTATTTCATCTGAGATTTCAAATCGTGGAAAGAATTTAATGTGCATACACAACATACGAACTGTACGAGGACATGAGTTCTTATGGAAATGTTTGTGGTGCCGCCTTTGGGGGACCAATATGTTCAGTCTTTGTCAATAACCTTGTGTTTGCATTGTATGTATGTTTGGATGTGCACTCTCTACTGAACTTTGAGAGTGAGAGGAAACGAATGGTTGTCTATCTATGTCAAGTATATTAAATTCTCACAGTCGGGTACAAATAAGCCTCTTTGATAGGGTTCTGAGTTTGGCCCATAGGATCTTATGAAAACTTAAACATGGTAAAAAATTACTCGATTTGTAATAGTCACTCAGATTGAATCGCACGGGGAGAGGGGAACTTAAACAAGGTAACAAATTACTCGATTCGTCACCATACCTAGAGATATATTCAATGATCTGGTTCAAATCGAATCGCTAAAAAAGAATCAACATATGTTGGTTAATTTTGTCTTGTGTAATTTGAGAATTTTTTTTTGGCTTTAAGCACATTGAATCTTGTAAGAAAAAGAATGGATCAAATAGTATCGATTTTGCTTTCCATCTAGTTATGATATCATCGTATTTTCTTCATTAATAATATGAATCTTATATGAATTTTGACAACTGACCTATGCTGGCTCTTATTGAGCATAAGGGTTGCTGAATTGGAGGATTTCGCCAGAGTCACCAATATAGCTAGACTCTAAAATTTGTTTGGATCAACAATATCATGTCATGAAATTTCGAGCACTTTCGAAATCGGAGTTTCTCTCTTTTGACTAGTAGATCCCCTCTTCACGATTATGCATTTTGTATACATCTTCCCGTTTGACTCCCAACATCATCAACCAAATTATTAGAACCATTGTTTATAACTAAAACAAGGTTAATACCTTATTTTGGCCCAGACTATGACCATATAATCAACTTTGACCCGTGGTTTCAGAAATTAACATCCCGGTCTCAACTGTGTAGCATATAGACTCAATCAGGGGCGGACCCAGGGCCATTTAGGGGTGTCCTGGGACACCCCTAAATTTTGGAAGATCGATTATCCAATCCTCGGTGGTAATTTACGTATAAACTAAAAAATTACAATTAATAGTTCGGAAAACCCTAAAATTTGAAAGAACGATTATACTACTCTTGTTTGTAGTTTGCGTACGGGAATAAGTGGTACTTTGGGTAATTCAAACTCGCGACACTACTATTACTAATAAATATAATTCCTATTAGGCTACAACCTTTTTGTTGTTATATTCTAAACACCGTGTAATAGCAAAATCCTATTCTCTATCTGTAATTATTTTTAAAACCTAACAATTAATCTAATTACAAGCTATCCTTAATTTGTATTGATTTTATGGTTGTACGACAAGTGTTGAAAGTGTCTTTTCAGCTTTGAGTTAAATCATGAACAAATTTAGAAGTCAAATATGCGTCAGTTCGTGAATGATTGTCTAGTAGGATATACCGAGACAAATTTATATTTTATTTTTTGGTATATTTAAAAATGATAAATTTTATAAATTAACCAAAAATAATCAAATTAAAGTTTATAAATTTAAAAATATGATATAAATTATATATTTTATTTTTGGGTAATGTTAAAAATATAAACTAAATTGATAATTTTCGGTTAATTTATAAAATTTATAAAATTTATTATTTTCAAATTACATAAAAATAAAATATTAAATTTATTTTATATTTTTTATAAATTATTTTTGTTTAATTTGATAATAAATAATAAAAATTAAAAAAAAATTGACTTTGATTTTTTAATGATTTTTAGGCTGACGAGGCAATAACATGGCGTGTTGACTAACGGTCAATGGTGTTGACCATCTAAATTGACGGTCAAACTAGGTGTCAGGCCAATTGAGTCTATATGTTACATAGTTGAGGTCAGGATGTTAATTTTTAAAACCACGGGCAAAAATTGATTATATGATCGTAGTTCAGACCAAAATAAGATATTAACCCTAAAACAATTAACAACTTCAATAGATCGATCTTCAGAATTGCAGCGGTGCCTAAAAATAGAAACCTAACATTCTTCCTTGTTTATAAAATGCCTTCTCTTCTACGAATGTTTGGTGAAATGTGGAAGTACGGGTCCATTCACTTTCACAACGCTAGCTGGTCCAGTTTCTAAGATCCTGGAAGATCATTGCTCTGGCCCTCCAATGATTAATTTGAATCACATATGTCCTCTCAACTCTGATTTTGAGCAAACAATCATGTCTACGAGTTATATCATTTGCCCGGTTTTAGTCCTTCCATGAATTAGTTACAAACTCGTCGTTGACATTAACTCGACCCTAGTAAGTACGTTCTAGATGGCTCACAAGCCATATATTGATGAGAACTTGCATTTTAGTATTTTGAATTATTGTCGTTTTATTATTATTCGGATTATTGAGACTATTCGGGAATTGGGGAATAATTGATAGATCGGGTAGTAGTAGGGAATTAGCCATTTTTATATAAACTACTTGTACGTGGGATTAGAGAACTAAGCAAAGATTAAACCTAAAGCCTAATTTCCCACTCTCTCTCTTCCTCTCTCCCAATTTCGGTCGGCCTCTTTCGACCCAACCCAACTCATCAGTCACCGGGAAGAGCGGACAACAAGGGGTCCGCGTGCTGGAAAGGGTCATATGGAGCGCCAGAAGCTCCTGGAGGGTACCCAGACCAACACGGCAGCTATCATGGATACTACGGACCTGGGAACCCGAATCGAGGGCAGGGATTCTCGCACGGGCAGCCATGGAGGACATCGGGTGAGGACATGTATGGTTCGTATTACCATACTTATGAGGGAACAGATGGCAGAGTTTTCCGAGTTAAACCTCCTACCATTGAGTTTCCAAAATTCAATGGGCAAGAGGACGCAAGTCTCTGGTTGTATGCAGCTGAGCGGTGGTTTAAAAACCACCCGATTCCAGAGGAGAGGAAAGCTTATCTGATATCCTTCTACTTGGAGGGAGACGCGCTGCAGTTGTGCGAGTGGATGGAGAGATCCTACGCGGCAGTTGAGACCTTGATCACCTGGCTCATGTTTTAGGAGGAGCTCCGATACCAGTTCGGAAAATTAGAAGGGTGGGCACCAAAGCAGCTCGCAAAGCTGAAACAGTGCAGGGGAGTGCCAGAGGACACTCTGGTTGGGTTGTGCATGGCGGGCCTCAAGCCCGAGATAGCAACGACAGTCAGAGTATTCGAGCCAGATTCTCTGAAGGCTATTTTTCGTCTTGTAGGTCACAAAGAGGAAGAACTTGCCAGTTGGAGGAGCACCATTGGCCGTTACCTGAGGCCAAATGGAGGGGGGCAGCGGAAGTAGTGGAGCTGGTGGCAGCGGGGGAGGATCCGCGGCGGGAAATGTCTCTGGAGCTAATACCGGGAGTGGGAATGCGCCACCAGTGGCCAGAGTGGGGCCGCAGGCCATACCAAAAGGGTTCGTGCAACTCACTCCGGCTGAGGTGGAACAAAAGAGGCGGGAGGGCAAGTGCTTCAACTGTGATGGTCGGTTCACCATTGGCCATCAGTGCCCGAAGCCGGAGCTGATGATGCTTGTCGGACGCTGGGAAGACGAAGCCAAGGATGCCGCTGAGGACGTCGGGAATGGCGAAAAGGAGAACCAGTGAGCTGGAGGAACAACCTTGGGGACAATGTTGCTTTTCGAAGAAAGCGGGGATGATGAGAACTTGCATTTTAGTACTTTAAATTATTGTCGTTTTATTATTATTCGGATTATTGTGACTATTCGGGAATTAGGGAATAATTGATAGATCGAGTAGTAGTAGGGAATTTGTCATTTTTATATAAACTACTTGTACGTGAGATTAGAGAACTAAGCAAAGATTAAACCTAAAGCCTAAATTCCCACTCTCTCTCTCCCTCTCTCCCAATTTCGGCCCGACCCTTTTCCCTCTCTCCTTCGCCAGACTGCCCCCCCCCCCCCCCCCCCCCCCCCCTCGATTTCCCTCCCCTTCCTCCTTTCTATGACACAAGAGATCAATTCATGATTGATCAATCCCAATCCCTAGATAGGACCCAATCCACCAGGCTCTATCATATATATGGAAAGATCATATTTTGCCACCATTTTAGGAGGGTGAACGACTAACGTGTTGATCATCTAAAATGCGTTTACTTAACATAGACCGATGGTTGACCTATATATATTTGAATTAAATGTTTAGCACAGATTCAAAACAGATAAATAACATAATACAGTTTCATATATTCCTGGTGCAGAACGACAGCTACTGTACAATTATCTGTCAGACGAAAACAGAACAGCCGAAACAGAGGTCAGTTTCCCTTTCTTTATCCCTATTTGTCTTTCCTTAGAAAAGGAAGAAGGTTTTGGAAGTGTCCTAGACAGATCAAATCTGGCTCAATCAGTTTGGTAGTATAATAAAGTGGCCAGAAATTGGAGGAAAGAAGACAAAAAGTGAACAGATGTCCACAATCTCAGTCGGGGGGAAAGTTTATGGTGCCAAACTACAACACATAACAATATAACAGTAGGAATTAGTTCTCTGGCTATATATCTAATCTATGTCTCTACTAATTTGATCACCAAATACTTTACACGAGGGTTTTCTGCTGCTGATAAATGCAAACTATATAGCTTCTGTTACTTTCACGTTCATACAAACCTGTATAGCCAAAAAACAAACAAAGGGGACCAAAACGAAGTTCAGTAGAAGTTGGAGGATTAACACAGCATTCTTCTGAAAATTAGAATTTGAAACTTGGAAGTTAGTAACTGGATGCCCTATAGAAGATTACTGGCAACTATCAGACCGGTAAGCTGAAACCCTTAGAATATCGGCCATGTTGCCACATTCGAAAGCTTAGAACTTTGCTTACCCGAGAAGGTCGGTGTAGTTACATCCAATTGAACATGGATTTGATCTTTTGTCGCAACAGGCCGTCAAAAACGGGTCATTTGCTGCAACATTTGGTTAGGGTTTGGTTGTGAAACCAACTGCCCTGAACTCAGAGAAGGTCTCATAAGCAGGTGGTGGTTGTTGTTGTTAACCATTGTTGGGTTGCTTATTCCTGGTGTAGCAACGGTCTCTTTTGGATTATTGTTATTTGCTTCGGAATGCGAAGATTCCATGAGTGCTCGCACCTGATCATGGGGCATATGCTAAGGCGAACACGCTATTCCATGAAAGGAAGAGAAGCAAAACTATACACAGAAAGATGTAGGGAGAAGTTGATTTTACCATATCAAGTCGCTTATTGTGGAGATCACTCGATAACTGCAGTAAGTTTCCAATACGAAACATTAGAACATCTCTTAAACAAAGCCAGGCAATACAGTCAGGAACAAGTATCCAAAATTATTATGCAGTAAGTGAGCCCTTACTGGTTTTCTTTGCTGCTTTTGATCCTCGGTTGAAAATCCAGGAACTGTCAAGTGCCAGTTTTTCTCTGAATACAAATTCACACATCCAAAATTGTAATAAGAACATCAAAGCCGTTTATACATTTCACATCAATGCTAATTCTGATTGGTGTGTTCGAGACCAATGCAGAGACAAACCTAAATGTAGCAATAAATCCTTGGACTCTAGAGTAGAGGACTTCCTGTGCTTGGCCAAATTGCAAGCAAATGAGGTCACCTGGATATGCACATAAGAAAGTTTCCACTTTCAGGTCAGGATCCGGAATATCAGAAATATGGGGGAAATTTAACTATGGTGGCAATGGCAAGCAAGCCTCACAGAATCAATGAAGTCATCAGCAATCTCCAAAAGAAGGTCTTCTACATCAGGATCTAGCTTCCCCTGAGGATCCACCTGAGCATAATTGCCAAAGAATGGTGAAAATCATATGGAACAAATTGCAATGGAAATAAAAAGAAGAATAAAGCATTATTTCGAGCAAAGAACAAGGTAGAAAATGTGTAAACCTGGGAAACTAAGTCTTGTATCTTTCTCTTCCCAAGAAGTTGATTAGTTGCTTCCGTGCCTTGGCTAGAACTCCCTCCTTGAGTGGTTGTACCAGATGCTGTCGCATCTGGCTGTGACCCTGTCAAACTAACTGATTTCTGACCACCTGGTCCCGGGATTCTTGGAGATTGCTGCTGGTGCTGATGCAAAGGAATCTGCTGCTGCTGTTGGAGTAGCTGTTGTTGATGTTGTAGCTGCTGCTGTTGCTGTTGCTGTCAAAATCGAGATTTTAAGTGAAATTAAAGCCCTGTGCAGTAGTAATCGTAAAAACTTCAATCAATCGGATGATTGAAATGTACAATACATGAACAATTTCACTAAATCTTATTATTATACATTCTATAAGCATTTTTATGGCAAAATACTATAATTATACAATTTTAATGGTAATACTACAATCGATATGCATTTTTTATGGAAATAATATAATTATACATACAACATCAATCAAATCTGTTATTTATTTTTTTATGGTAAATCAAATCTATCATTACATTCTCAAATATAAATGAACACAATTTAAAATAATGAAGTTACATTTTGCCATCTAGAAGATAGTACAGTAGCAACATTTTACAAGTAAATCATAACTTTTAAATACGTTTTTTGTGGTAAATATCATAAGATTTTATTTTATGGGAAGACCTCGACAGGGTTTGCTCATCTAGAATCATGAAATCATGATTGAGATCTTAAAATGCAATTTTAACAACATACTTGCTGCTGTAGCTGTTGGTGGCTCGTACTAGGTTGTTGCTGTTGCTGCTGTTGTTGTTGTTGTTGTTGTTGTTGTTGTTGTTGTTGTTGCTGCTGCTGCTGCTGCTGCTGTACGAGCTGAGACAGTTGGTGTGGATTCAATCCCATGGAATTTTGGTGCAACTGAGAAGACGACGACATCTGCTGCTGCAGGAGTAGTTGGGATTGCCTCTGTTGTTGAATGCGATAAGAGGGTGAGGCGGGACCCGATAGAGCCGGCGTTTGCTTCAACCACTGCTGTTGTGACAAAGAGTTCTGCATGAGAGCTTGAGGTGAATTCTGAGCCAGCCCTGATAGCTGAGGGTTCATGAATGCCAGTGAAGATGTCCTGGACAAATTTGAGACCTGGAAGAAATTCTAGATGCGTAGTGTTTCAGGTTTTAATGCCTGGAGATTGCACGTAAAAGATAGTGGACAGAACAAGTGGCATTCATTCACATTCTCAATGGAAAGAATTCATACCAGAAATTGAGAAATACATCTTTATAGAGCATAAAATATTAGGGACGGATTTTGGCACTTATCCACAATCTCATGCAATAATTCATGTCAGGATACTGAAAAGACGATGGCAGTAAATATATATTCTGAATATAATAGAAAGAAGGAACAAAGAAATGCAAAACTGTGAAATTCCGTTATCTCCATACACTGATACACATGCATTCACCTTAGAGTGAACAATCGCAAAAAAGGGCATTTCCATTGTTATAAATAAAAATAAAAATAAAAATAATGAATTCAGGATGACACTTGACGAATTACAACGTGCACTTGGTTCCTCAATTCAAGAGGCAATTAGCAGCACTACTTATCAATATGCGCTTTGGGAAAACGAGCCATTGTTTGAAGAAATAGGCAGATTTTAGATATTGAGCAGTCCATAATTAACTTGCTATATCATCAAAATTCACAAGAACGGGATGCTTAACAGAAAATACAAATCATAATGCAACAGGCAACAGCACAAGCTATTATAATAATAATAAAAAAACAAGAAGATGGAATGAATATTTTTCAGAGATTTCATGCCTGAGCAGAGTTGAGGGAGTTTTGCTGTGCCAGGTGCTGACGCATCTGACCTGCACTCATTCGCTGCTGAGCATATGCAAGAGCACCAGATCTTAACTGGGAGCTCAAATTAAGTGACCCCATCATCCCCATTGCCTGCACCCCGGGTAAAGCCTGCCCACCAGAATTCCCTGGATGGAATTGAGATCCTTGGACCATTCCACCTTTCTGTCTAGGCTACATATACACACAAAACAAACTTACTTGCTTCAGATGACATGGCCTACTAAAAGCGCTTCATATCGAATTAACAGCAAAGCAAAACGCACCCAACAAAGAACTAAACTCTCCTTAACTATTGGATGATACCCCAACATAACACAAGGGGGAAAAAAGGGGGAACGTAACGCCTGTATGATCTGTTTTAGCGAAATGACTTTCCTAATCAGTTTGTGCGCATCAACAACTAACTACATAATGTCTGTCAGTAGCACAAAGCTGACACTTCGATTCACAATTCAAATACCCTACAGCAGTTTAAAATCGGTCATGGAAAAGCAACACAATAACCTATGATTCTCAATTCACGTTTGCTTATATGAAATGAAACTGGCCTCGCGAGTATCAGACTGAGACAGCTCTAATAGCCTATGGTCTCCAACAAGCACTGATCATCTGTCAAGCAAAGGTAACGACTTTCAGGATTTCCACAGCTAAATGAATGCATCATCAATCGGTTGAGTAAAGCACTTTCTCAATTACTTCTTCTAGAGGATTCAACAAACGTTTCTAACGGCAGATTCCAAATAAAACAAAAGGATCGATTTAGTTACCCATACCGAGGTCAATAACTGCGACTGCAAGTTCAAATGAGCCGAGGCGGCAGCAGTTGGCCCGGTCATCATCGGCAGGTGCCCACTCTGACCGAGAAGAGCTGAACGAGACAAATTCCCAGCGGCACCATTACTACCACCCAATTGATGGCTCTGCTGAGAATTCTGCTGAATTGAACCCGACCCTCCTCCGAAATTCATTGGCCCATAAATCCCCTGCTGCTGCTGCTGATGATTCTGCTGCTGCTGCCTCGAAACGCCACCGAACTGATTCTGCTGCTGCTGCTGCTGAACTTGGTTCATCTGGCTTAGCCGAGACATGGAAGGAGATCTCTGCAGCGACTGAGGGATTTGGTACCCCGACATTGCAGCAGCAGCCGCCACCGCAGCCACATTCTGCTGCTGCTGCTGATGCTGATCGGGAGGAAGAGGTGGGGAAGAGATTTGCAGAGTCTGCTGCGGCAAATTGGGCATCCCACCGCCGGCCTGCGGTGACGTCAAAGCGGCCGCGTTCAAATTGGCGTTGGCCTGCTGCTGCTGCTGCTGTGACAACTGTGGCGTTGAAGTGTCCATTTGAATGGGAGGAGAAGACAGAGGATTAGGGGAAGCAGCAGCACCGGCGGCGCTTTCCGCCATTCAAAAGGGAGGGGAAGGGGGTTATTATTCCGCACAAGCTGGAGACGAGAGTCGCTGAGTGGTGGTGGTTCTTTTAGGTCTTGGAGATCTAATTCATTGGCTTCCTGGAAAATTGGGCAGCTGGGAATTGTTGGAATTTTAGGGTTTTCTGAATTGGGAATTTTTGTAATGAGAAGTTGCAGAGATTTGAGCGACGAAGAAGAGAGAGAGAGGGGGGAGTTTGAAGAAAGACGGAGGGGAGAGAAAGGGAAAGGAGTGATCGGGGACGTACACGTAAGCTCCCGCAACGATGGGCGCTTCTTTTGTTTTTTTTTTATATTTTCATTACGGTCCGCCACGTGGGATGTAATGATTGGATAAAGTTGGTAGAAAGGGAAAATTAGAATCTCTCATGCTGCAGAGGTTAACGACCCGCAAACCAACTCACTCGTATTTATCGTTAAAATTAATGTTTAAGGTTGGATCTTTTTGTGTACAACCTGCCTCTTTGAGTTGAGTTTGAATATTGGGTCACAGAACTCGTAGAATCCGATTCAGCCCGTGTTTCAACTATTGACATTAATGTTTATTCAAAACATATTTGTGATTGTATCATATATATAAGCATATTTTAAAGAAATTTAAGGTATTTTATCATGCTTTTCTCTTGTGGTCAGTGGCGATGCCAAAAATCCGAACGAGAGAGGCTAACTGTCATAATTGGGGGAGGGGGCAAAAGGCTTACCGACAATTCTAATTTCTAAATTTGTGCCAATTTTATATGTAATATTACATTATTATATATATTTCAAAACTGAGGAGGGCTACAACCCCTCCTAACTTCAAATTAGCTCCACCACTATTCGTGGTCTCTCTAACCTAATGCATTTTTCAACTTAAATTTAGACATATATTTAACTTCTCTAACCTAACGCATTCTTTGACTTAAATTTAGACGTTGTTGACACCTAAAATTAATTTGGCCGAAATTAAATGCCGCATTAATTAGTCTCGGCATTTAATTCGATACCGCGGGTTAAAAACGATGTTGTTTGGGGTTAAGCGGCGTCGCGGAGAGTTAAAACGGTACCGCAAAGAAGCTCGGCGGTACCGCGGCATGGGAAACGACACCGTTTAATATAAAAAAAGGGGGCTGCGCGTGTTAGTTGGGTTGGAGAAGGGAGTCTTATAATTAATTATTTCCTTCATTCCTTGTAGGAAGGGGAAAATCGGTACCGCATGGAGAATTAAAACGGTACCGCAAGGAAGCTCAGCGGTACCGCGGCACCGGTCATCAGAAAATAAAAAAAAAAAAGAGACCGTGCGTTTAATGAAGGTTGGAGGAGGAGTTTTGATTATTTAATTATTATTTCTATTCCTTGTTGGAAGGGGAAAATCGGTACCGCATGGAGATAAGCGGTATCGCGGAGAGCTAAAGCGGTACCGCGGATTTAAAAACGGTGCCGCGAGAGCCTGGTAAGCGGTACCGATTAATTAAAAAATCATATCGGGCAAGTGACCAAAATTCACCCGGCCCAGCGCCGACTGCGGCGGTTCCATGGATTAATATTTTTTGGCTATATCGGCGGTGTCGTTTAATTCAAAACGGTACCGCGAGTAAGCTCAACGGTACCGCGGATTAGCAAACGACAGTGTTTAAATTAAAAACAATGTCGCGAAGGGAAAGGCAAACGGAGCCGTTGTGGGCGATAATGATGTCGTCGGTTTGACTAGTTATTGGCCGGACTAATTAACTAATATGGTTAATTATTTTTTAGGACAGTGTCGTTTAGTTGGAAACGATGCCGCAAGAGGAAAGAAGCGACATCGCGGATTATAAAACAAAACCGCGAGTAGGCCAAACGATGCCGCAACATGTAAAACGACAGTGTTAAAATTAAAACAGTGTCGCGAAGCTCAAAAGTTCAACGACATCGCGGGACAAGGAAACGATGTCGTTTAACTAAGAACGACACCGAGGGGTGAAAGTTCGACGGCGAGTTAGCAATGAGGGCTGGTTTAATTAATCAGTATTTTATGAGTACTTTAGACGGTGTCGTTTAATGAAAAGTGATGCCGCGGAAAAGTAAAACGACATCGCGGTAGACTAACAATGTCGTTGGTTAAACCGGGTCGGAGCAGTTGAGTTGGATTATGAAACGACATCGGTTGGGGAAGGGCGAGGCCGTGGTATTGGTGAAACGGCATCGTTACCTGGACAAGGATGTAGGTCGTTTTGCCAAGTTTCTTCAGGGCAAGAGCGGTTTCAATGGCACGTGACCATCACGCAACAAGGAGGAAGTTACCTGCACGGTTGACAAGAGTGAAGACGTGGGAGACAAAGGCGCGAAGGCAGTTGCTACGACGGGGAGAAGCGCGAAGTATAAAGATTGGGAAGAGAGAGAAGCTCGAGACGGCAAAATCAAATCACAACTGCACCGTCGCAGAATTTATCGTTTGCTCTCTAGTTTTCGTAGAACCGCTCTGTCAAAGACCTCCTTTGCAGAGTCGTAGTCATAGCTTGTAGTCGTAGTCGCGGAGCTCTCCAGAGGAACCTCCATAGGAGTAGAGGTAACATAACTCAGAATACTCTCGGTTTGGTTTCTCGTTTCTCGTTGAACACCCTCGTTCGAACGTAGTTTGGAGAGGTGGTGAACCGAGTAACGGTTGTTTGATTAGAGGTCAAAAGTGCATCGATCAAATCAACGACGCCGATACCGGCGGCGGATATTTGACGATCGTCCTGATTTCTATTTTAATCGATCAAATCAACGGCGCCGACTGCGGCGGCGGATATTTGACGATTTTGCTGATTTTGTGTTTATGCTTACTTGAAAACAGCGCGCATTGAACACGCGAGTTTCGCCAACGAAACAGACGAATATTTAATTTAGGCTATGATTCACTTATTCTTTTTTCTTGTGTCTAATTTCAAAAGAATAATATATTATGAATGCATTCTCTTATAACCTCTTTAGCTTATTGAAAAAAACTAGACATATGTTAAAACAAATTGCATTCATTAAAATTCAAACAACAGTATTTTGATATCACCTTAGTTTATTTATTTGAAATTTTAATTAGTTATATAATATTTTCGTAGTGTAAAATAATTATTTTTTGTGTTGGGTTGGGTCTTTATCTAAAAGTATCGCTCACCTGATCCAACCTAACTCAATTATAAATAAATCATAGGATTCTAATTTTTGGATGAGTTTGGATTTAATATTTCCAAATAGTAGTGTATGGATGGGGTGATTAAAATGGCTAAACACGGACCAACCGACTCATGTACACCCTTAATCATGTCACAATTCAGAACATCAGTAAGCATGAACATGCTAACAAGGGGCTTGACTTTTGGATCGGGAAAAACTCATTTACTATGAGTGAAACTTAAATTATGTATTATTCAGCTTGCAAGGTTCGCGAGCCACCTCAAATATATGGCTTGTTGAGCTCCACATGTGAGCTAGCTCGTCTTGAGTTATGAGTTGTCTCAATATTGTGGCTAGCGAGCAACCTCAACTAGCTAGCAACTTATGAGCAAATTGATTAATAATTTATCAAGTTGCTTGTTATAACTTCATTAATTTGTTAGATTATATATATCATGGCATATCATGAATAAGACTTTGGGCATGTGATCAAATATATCTCATTAAAAATTTTAAAGTGACATTTTATATCATAGATTGCTTAGAATTACTATCGAATAACATTATACGAACAATTAAAATTTATGAACTAAATAATATGATACCTGAGCTCGAGCCGTCTCATAAGCTGATTAATGAGTCGAACTCAAGTAGAGCTCGTGAGCTCATCAACGATCCAAGATTGAGTCGACCTTGAGTCAAACACGAGTCAAAGTTTTAGTAACTAATCGACCTCGAGCTCAATGAGTTTATTATTTAGCTGAGCCCAAGTTAAGTCAAAAGTCAACTCGTCTCGGCTCATTTGTAATCCTAGTGTTAATGGAAGACCAATGGAAGTGTCTAACTAATCATGGCCAGTATCGGCTTTCTCATCAAACATGCCTAATGGAAGGTGTGTGATGGGAAAAAAAAATTGACGAAGTGCCCTTTATGAATTTGAAGGCAGAATTTACACTCTGTTCACGAAAGAGAGGAAAACTAGGGGAGTGGAAGGAGAATTTGGAGGGAGTGAAAATTTGAGGGTAGTGAAATAATGAAAGAAAAATAGGTGTTCAATTTTGAAGGAGAAAAAAAGGGCTCAATAAGAGACATTTTCACCTCAACTTGGGAGGCAATTGATACATTAGTTTTCCCCCATAAATAGTCATTCCCGTATACGGTAGCAAAAATTATGAATCGAGGAAAAGTTATAAATCTCTCCATTTTCCATAGTTTTTCCCCACCCTATATTTCCCCTCGTGAACAAAGGGTTAGAGTGAGTACCACTTATGCAAGTACGGATTCTTGTAGGAGCGGACCTAATAGTTGTTCTGTGATACCTTTGCTATTTGGTTTTTACCCCTCTTTCCTTGTATTTGTTGTTGTAATTATTGAGTCAACCTTTTGAGCTCCTCGATTCATTTTTGAATGTTGGTTAATGATACACTTATCGTATTCATTTAAAAATGTCTTTCATACTTTTTGAGCTCGCGGTTTTAATATAGTGTAGGATCCAACTACAACAAAATCAGAAATGGAAAGCTTCTCATCCCGTCTTTCGCTCCACTCTTTGGTCTTAAGAATGCAATCAATCCAGTTCCCCCCGTGTCTTTCATCGTAGTTTTTTTTTTCTTGACTAGCTATTGATGCATCATGATGCATCACTGATTAGAAGGTTGTTGCAACAAGTCAGAATCTTATCACCTCCAAAATGTTCCATATCACAGTGGTTGCTAACTAGCTAAGTAGTATTCAAATAAATTATTATGGTTAGCTAGTGTTATGCTAAGTGATATGTTTGATTCCCAAGAACCAACACAATTAGTTGTATTTCGTTGATCATGCGAGTTGAACCTACATTGTCATAGTAACTTAGATTATATTCGCATTGATAGTACTCAAAGAAAAATAATCAAGGTGATATAAGCTAATTATGAAACCCCTTCTAGTCGAGATTTTGCAATGGGTTTCTCGAAGAGACCTATCATTATTTGAGAGAAGTTATGCTCCCCTGTGGTGGATGCAACTACTTTTTTAAATCTATGTTTGAAAATTATTGTGATAGCCTATTTGTTTGAATTCCCTGAAGATGTTATATATATTTGAAACTCCCAGAAAGATTAATTACTCCTAGAAGGATCAATTTACCTGAAGTAAACAAGTAAAGTTCTCGAGAACATATATCGATAGACTAAGAATATCCCCTGTATGGGTTGAGACAACATAGACGAATGTGAAATACTCATCTAAGTGAACACCTACAACAGTAGGGTGAATGGACCTTAAAAGGTTAAATCCAGATAAAGTGCATTAAAGCATTTGAATTGTGCATATATAGCTGTGTTGTCTGTATGTTCTTCAAGGATTTTAAATTCTTGGTTTATGTGTTGTGTTTTACTTTTAAGTATGATTTATGTTTTATGAGTGTGCTTTGTCGAGTTCATATTGTTTCTATGATGTGAGTTTTGTTATTATCTTTCGTGATATGAAAGAACTGCTTGCATCAATTCTTTGTGATGATCTCATATTATGTTGATGATATGAATATTATTGGAGCTCTTGAAGATATTCCTAAAGCAGTTGATTGATTAGAGACATAAGTTAAATTGTAGGATTTAAGATCCTTTTATGGGCAAGGAAGGTAATGTTGAAAAAGTGGGAAAATAATTTTGCATGAACAAATTATGTTCATCAAATAACATTAGGATCCTAAGATCACTAGAAGTGACCAAAAATCCATTTTGGCATCAAGAAAGAAGTGAAATATTAGGTCATGAAGTACTATATGTGATGTACTAGGTCCTAAAATACCATATGTTGATGCATCAGAGCACCAATGCAGCTTGCTAGCCAAGCACCATATAAACTATCACTTTGGTGTTGATAATATTAGCAAGATACAATATTTCCCTCATTGGAACGTTGGAAAATACTTTGTTACCTCCGAGAACAATATATGCGATTGTTCTATTATGGTATTATCAAAGATATATTTGGTGAACTATATATCCAAATCCTATATAACATTTGATCCTATATATCCATCTTACCCGCCAGTTCAGGGTCCCCGTTCACCGGCAGAGCAGTGGGATGCTAGTCAGGCACGGAAAACGGGTCTGGACGAGTATGCGGAGTACCCGTTTGAGGAGGAAGAGGAGTGGGGACGAAGCAGAGGGCCGCCAGGACTGCGGGGCTATCATGACCGAGTGCCGAGGTACGACAGGTATGACAGCTATCCTCGCGGCTATGATGGCGATCTAGTGTTTAGGGCCAAACCTCCTACCATTGAGTTTCCAAAATTCAATGGTCAGGAGGATGCAGGTCTATGGTTGTATGCAGCTGACAGGTGGTTCAAGAATCATCCCACCAAGGAAGAAAGGAAGGCGCACCTGGCGTCCTTCTACCTAGAGGGAGACGCGTTACAGTGGTGGGAGTGGCTGGAGCGATCATGCGCAGCTGCGCAGACCTTGATCACCTTGCCTTTGTTCAAGGAAGAGTTGCGGTACCAGTTTGGCAAATCATAAGGGTGGGCACCGGAGCAACTAGCCAAGCTGCGCCAGACTGGGACAATAGCGGAGTACAAGGTGGATTTTTTCAAGCTGGGCAATCAATGCAAGGGAGTGCCAGAGGAGACCCTGGTTGGGTTGTGCATGGCTGGCCTAAAGCCAGAGATAGCCGCGACGGTTAAGGTTTTCGAGCCCGACTCGCTGCGGTCTGCTTTTCGTCTTGCAGGTTATAAGGAGGAGGACCTGGCCAGCTGGAGGAGCACGATTGGGCGGTTCCCAAAGGCAAGTGGGAGTGGAGGAGGTGGCGTTGGATCAGGCGGAGGAGGGGCGAGTGCGGCCACTGGCACCGGGCTGTCGCCAGCTGGCGCTCCCATCTCGAGTAGGCAAGCACCTAGGCCACCCCCTAAAGGGTTCGTGAGGCTCTCACCACAGGAGATCGAGCAGAAGAGAAGGGAGGGCAAGTGTTTCAACTGCGACAAAAGGTTCACCGTGGGACACAAGTGCACCAAGCCCGAATTGATGATGCTGGTGGGACGTTGGGAAGATGAAGCAGAGGAGGAAACAGCCGAAAAAGGGCCGCCAGAGTTGGAGTAGGGCCCACAACCTTGAGGACAAGGTTGTTTCCGAAGAAGGCGGGGATGTTGGAAACACATTATTTGTAGTTTTTGGTCATTCATATTATTTTCGGTTTTTAGTACATGGGGGATTATTTGGGATATTTGGGGAATAAACAGGGAGTCGATTGTTACGTTTTATTATTTGGGTAGAAGATAGGAATTATGCAGACTATATAATCTGTAATAGTGGTCTTATTTTTCATTAAGCAATTACAGAACCAAAAACCTAAAACCTAATCCCTCTCTCCCTTCCTCTCTCTTGCGTCTTTCTCTTCTCCCTCTCCTCTTCCAAAGCTGCGGCAGCAACAAGCTTTCTTCCCCCTTCCCTTTGTTCTAAAAATTCCCAATTCCAATCCCTAGCTAGGTCAATTTCCAGTTGATCTAGCTAAATTCCCCAATCCCGAACTCGTTAGAAACCTTGTTTCTAACATTATCAGCTAACCAAATATAAATTAGTGCAGTTATCGCTAAGGTGAAATGGCTTCTATGGTAACCGATAGCTGAATAACTAGTTAACAATTAACTGACAACTAACCAAATATAAATATTTATGTTTCTCTCTCACAAAATGTTCATACCTCTCCCTGTAGAGTCTTAAACTTCGAACAAACAATCTCCGATCCTCTTATTTTTCACCAATTTCCTCTCAGTTTTAACCTTAAAATTGAAAGAGACAAAGAGCACCGTCGATTTTGCGATTGAAATGTAAGCATTAAGATTGGATTGAGAATATCATATGATTTGTATGGGAAGAAAGATATCAAACGTCGTGCCCCAATTTCTTCCACCGATGACTTTCTTAACCCGGTTTACACTCATCACTCTTCTTCTTTCTCTTTTCGCTTTCTTCTATCAGTCAATAGAATCGACAAGTTAAAACCAAATCAATGATGCAAATATTTAAAAAAATGAACACATACAAATGGAGAAAAAAAAAATCTATAAAAGGTGTAGATTTGAAAATGATTATCAATATGATATTTTACTCTATCCTTATCGAACATTTGCTAAATGGATAATCTGTTAACTGATAACCGACTATGTGGTTACGCTTAACCATCTAATATAAACAATGCACATATTTGTAAAACAAAATTATTTCAGGGTTATGATTGTAACCTAACCAAATCAATTAACAAGCCTAAAAAACCGAATATTTAGGAAACTTAACGTACCAGTCGGTTCGACCGGAAATACCTGATACCGACCCCAAAACGGTAGGCGGTTTTAACAGTAGAAAACGGTTGAACCACGGTTAAATCACGATTTTACTACAAAATACCTTACCACTGACTTTTCCGATATGACCTCCACTACGGTTTTACAAACTTTGAAAAAAACTAACAATTAGTGTGATAACTAATAAGAAAAAGCTAAAAGGATCGTTTCCTAATGGGTTATAGGTATAATATGCCCCTCTACTATGACGTTTTATCAAACATGCTCCTTTAATTTTTTACATCAAATATGCCCCTGTACTTTGAAAAAATTATCAAACATGCCCTTCTGTTAAAATTTCCATTGAAAAAATCGCCAATTATGGTTGAACCGAGATTTAGACGACCCGACATCGGCAAATGGAAGGAAAAATATCAGTTTTGTCCCCTGTTTTATTTTCCTGGTTCATTTCAAAGTGAAATTATTTGAATGATTTGATTATACAAAAGAACCAAAAAATTCTAAAGTGAATTTATTAGGGATATTTTAGTCATTTGTGTCACCCAAACTAAAGTTCGGCCTTGGTTAACAGTTTTTGGATGAAAATTTTAACAAAAGGGCATGTTTGATCATTTTTACAAAGTACAGGGGCATGTTTGATGTAAAAAATAGTAGATGGACATGTTTGATAAAGCTTCATAGTAGAGGGACATATTATCTGAATCGCTATTCGTCGCCCTAAAATTCAAAAATAATCGCCCTAAACCACCCTAAATTGACATATCTACCCTTTAACCCCAATTCTAACCTAAACCTAGCAAACAATCCCTCCCCTCAACCCCAAATTCCTAACCCGGCCCTCACATCTGGGCAAAATAATGTCGTTGCCGTCGCCGCCCTAGACTGCTCCCGCCGCCCACCCAAGAACTGCTCATGTCCGCCGTCCAGCTGCATTCTTGATATTGATGTCGAGCAAAAGGAGAAAGGAGAACTGCTAGAAAGAAGAAATGCTATCCTTCTTGTTTTTTATTTTTTTGGTGAAAGAACAGCTATCCTTCTAGCGGTATATGACAAAGATCTTAAAGCAGGGTTCATCATCTCATGTTAATCTATCATTATATTTCTTACGAGAAGTGGCTAATACAATCATGACCAAGATATGTACAAGGACTGAAGGAAGGGAAGGACATTTCAGTGGCGACCATGATTGGGCTTCCGGTGAGGTTGGCCGACTCCGGCTAGGGATGGCAATGGGTCGGGTTTTGTCAAACTCAAACCCAAATCCATGGGTTTATCCGCCAAAAAAAACCGGGGTAAAACCCGCTGGGTTTGAAAAACTCAAACCCAACCCAACCCGCTGGGTATCCGCGAGTTCATGGGTACCCGTGGGGTTTTGTGGTAAAAAATTTACAATAACAAGTTTCTTTCAAAATAAAAGTTTAACATTAATTTTCTCATACAAATTATTCATACAAAAAACACCAATCTAGAGCATACAAGCAAACCACAAATGATCAATACAAATTGTTCAAAGTTAAAGATTAACATCTATAAACAATAAGATTAATTGAAAGCTTCTTACTCGTCAACTAAGTTTCTTCACTCTCCACTTCATAATATCAACTTCATTCTAAACAATTAGAAACAACAAATTATATATGTCTCCACAAACATAAAGAATATTAATTGTTTAAGGAAGATATATTATTTAGAGTATTAAATATACAGGAAAAGTAATTATATGTGTGTGGGCGGGTACCCATGGGGCGGGTTTACCTAAACCCAAACCCAACCCGACCCGGTGAATAGTGTAGCGGGTTTAAACCCGAACCCGGCCCAAAACCCGTCAACACAGGTTTTACCCGCGTTGACCGGGTTGGGTCGGGTGGGTACCCGTGGGTTCGGGTTTTGTTGCCATCCCTAACTCCGGCACTCGTGTGATTGTTTTAGGGTTTAAAAGTGTTTGAAATAACAAAAAATAAATTAAGGTTTCTACCAAAAAAATTAAATTAAGGACAGTAGTGTAAAATTATCATAATTAGGGCGACAAGTAAGGATTTTTAGGGCGTCGAATAACAATCCCTCATATTATACCTATAACCTTTTTCTAATAATATCTATTATCATTACTTAATGGGCCAAGCCAATTGCTATAGTATCCATATGATCTGAAAATCATAATAATCCAATCTGTACTTCTTGCCCCAAAAAGACCATTTCAAACAAAAGATTCCATGACAAAAAGCCCAACACGCAGTTCAACATTCTCAGGCGTGTGTTTCCTCCTTTCCTTTCCTCTCCTCTCCTCTCCTCTGGGCCACAAACTTTCTCGCACGATAGATTCCATCTTTCCGTAGGCTGTCAACCCGTCTCTCCCTTTCCTCCTGATCTCATATCTCTCCCAGAAAGAAAGAATGGCCAACTGATAAATCCGAGGAAATCTTAGATTTCCCATCCCTTTCTCTCTCTGTCTCTCTCCTCACTCAGTCCAGCCTTTTGAGGTTCATGGGTATGTCCAATCTTGCCATGTTGTATATTTTTGGAGCTTTATTCGAGTTCAATTGCGTTGTTGGTCTTGTGGGTTTTGCTTATTCGAGGATGAAGTTCGTTCCTTCATTTTTGTTTTCTCATTGCTGATAGCCAAGCTTTGTAGCTTTCTTGTTGGATTTGTGCTTGGTTAAATTCTTCTTTTTACTTCCTTCCTTTCAATTATTCCAAGTCTTTGTTTGAGGTTAATTGGATTTCAGCTGGTGTTCTTTGAATGCCGAACTGGTTTTTGTCTTACCTTTTACCTCCTGCCAGAGTGAAAGAGGGTTCAGTCTCTGAGTGGAGGCCTCTTCTTTTGTTTGCAATCTTCTTCTTTCTGTTGATTTCATGGCTTCTAATAAATACATTCTGGTGTTTACTAGTTAGTTAAATGGAGCCGATGTGGAGGAATCTGAAAGATCTACTTATGTTGCTGAAATAAGTAGAGATATATGACTTCCTGCTAGGTTTATTGTTCCTTCTAGCGGGTTTTGATACACTCCTTTAGTTCAATCAGATACGTGGATGGAATCGAATCAATGATGTTTTTGTAGATTTCAGGGTGAAGTGTGGACTTACTTTGTGGTTTGACATTTGAATGCAGCAGTAGAGGTTTTATTTTGATGTGATTGAGGTGCTGGAACAGGATGGAAGAAGGCGATATGTTCTCGGGGTTAGGGGATGGTGGGATTCAGGTAGATGGCAAGGTGCTGCAGACGTTTCAGAGAAGTTTCCGGCAAGTTCAGGACATCCTAGATCAGAACAGGTTGCTAATCAACGAGATAAACCAGAACCACGAATCGAAGATCCCAGATAACTTGAGCCGAAATGTTGGGTTGATTAAAGAGCTGAACAACAACATTAGAAGGGTTGTAGATCTCTACTCAGATCTTTCTACTGACTTTGCTCAGTCAATGGAAACAACAACCTCCTTGGATGGGGAATCAACCGCGGTTTTGAGGACCAGTGGGAACAGTAAGCCCAGCCAGAAGAGGAATAGGTTTGGCAATTGATTAAAACACTTTAAGGTTCTTAGACATTTTTCGTATACAGTGTAATAAGGGAAAGAAAGAACAAATCTCTTTTTGTGTGTGTGATCAATGGTTAGGTTTCGACTATTAGCATTGCAGCTTCCAGTATATGACATTCTGCTAAGTCCATTGCTTCAATTCAATGTCTGTCTGTTGTACTGTCCTATTGAATCAAATAAACTTCTAGTTTTGTTTTCTCTAGCCGATTTCCTGATATCTGCGGCATTTTTTTTCCGCAGTATTTTATCAGTAATTGATTGATGATTATCCTCTTTTCTTTCATTCAGAATTCTTTCTTTGTTCATCATATACGGTTGAATGAAGGAGAACAAGTGTTGGATTATTCTCTTGACGACGGAGAAAGAATTGGACTGAGTTTCTGAAACTTCTTTTAGTTCAAATACAGGTAGTTCAGTACTTGGTACTTTAGTGAAGTCATTAACCATCATAGTTGTTACTTGAGATATTTTCTTCTTTCCACTGTCTTGTGGCATTTACTGTTCCTCCTAAGAGCAGAAATCATGTGGGTTGTGAAGTTAATGCTGCATTGAAATCATGTTCTTGAATGAAATGTTTAGGACTTTTGGCTCATCTTTCCAGCAGTTATGTTTTCAGATATGGATAGTAAATTTCAAGAAAAGTAAAGAACTTACTTCTCATGTGATGACTGCAGCTTGTTTTCCAAATGAAGTATGAAACTTCTGTCTCTAAAGTAGTAGCTTTTGCTTTGCCCTTGTAAGGAATCAAAATGGAAATTCTTGCTTGATTGTTTGCTTCTTGGTGGCAGAGGGCAAAGTGAAAAAAGCAAAAAGAGTGAGAGAGATACTTTTAACTGCCAGGAATAGCAATGGGGCTGGGGTGTCAATGCTCATATTCACTCATATTGAATCCTATGTCAGTTTAGGTAGGTTAGGTCTGGAGTCAAATTATCAGAGAGTTGAACTCTCAAACTTAATACATGATTGAAGAAGGGAAAACAAGTAAATATAGAAGAAATTTGAGACAGAATTCGTCGAAAATGAGACGATAAGATGCAAATGATCCGTGAACAACACTTGCTCGACCTTATTTTGCTTGCGACTTGTCATGCATTGGAAAAGATTAGTGGAAAACAAGTTGGAGCAGATGAACTTGAATTGTCATTCTACCATTGTATATCAACAACAACAAAAAACTTGCCCTCCTCCATCCATCATTCTGGTTAGACTCTTTCCAATCTGATTTCCTTCTTCTTCCCCATTAACCACCCTGTTCCATGACAAAAAGTAAAGCAGAGAATGAATGCCACTGCTGCTACTATAAACAGACAACTGTAATCATATTAATACCACATGCTTCAGAGGCCAGCAAGAGTTCACTCTAGACAAGAGAGGCATACTACCTAAGACAAAAGGACCATGTGTATTTTTTTTTTTTTACCTTTGAAGCTCTCCAAACTGGCAAAGAATCCTTTCTGCTAGTTCAGAAAACCAGCGGGGAGTTTTCTGGCTAGGGAAATAACCAAACGACTAGATGGCCACTGAACTATGAGGTCAGTAAAGAAATGGTCTTAGTTGAGTTGTAAATTGTAATTCATCCTCGATTCATAAGTGATTGGATCTAGTTGGTTGGTGTTTATGGTTCCAATCGTGCTTTTTCACTAGCGTGATACTATTTGGTTTGCCGACTCAATCGCACTCTACACGTGAGTTAGATAAGATGAGGAGTATTAGTTGTTTTACTTAAACCAATGTAATCTATTTACCAATGTTGTCAGAACCAAACCGGAGCATGACCCGATAATGGGAATGGCTCGCACTTTAGTGTTTCAACTGGCATTAGACTGTTTAAAAACGGATAGAGAACCGGTACCTAATAAACGTTATCAGTATAAATAGTGGACATTTCTTAATCAGAGCTCGTCTCTTTCCTTCGAAATTGTGAAATGAAATAAGGATTCAGTTTGAGAGCCCGACGTTTTTGGTTTATTTTCAATTTTTAACTTTCTGTAATTTTTTTAATTAAATTTAACGACTGAATGACAAAAACCGGACGAGCCGCTCTATCTGTTAACCGCCTCGGCCGCTCGTCAACCGCTACATAAAACCAAAGCGGCTTTTATACTGTTCCGGACCGATTTTGTGACCAGGTGCCGATTTTACTGGTCGGACCGAGCGGCTCGGCTGGGCTTTAATAACACTGCTATTTACCATTCGTTTCACACCTCATAATCTAGCGATAATTCTAGGCATTCAACCCCCATGCCTTAAAATGGATGATGGACTAAGACCAAAAGATTCTTATTGAAATATAATTTTTTTTATCAGGAAAACCAAAATTACATAGAGAATTCAATCAAAATATGAGAATTTGCATGCCCTAAAACTCTTTAGCTCTAGTTTTCAATTCAAAAAGTTTTCATTTGGAATATCTAACCATGACTATGTTTGAAATTATTGAGCTAATTTTTGTGGTATTGTCACTCACAATATTCAATAATTTAATAAAACAATTCCAGCAATCATTCATGTCTAACACTTATCCAGCCAAGTAGTAAAGACAAAAGGTGATCAATCCTAACATGTAGTATCATTACTTAATGGGCCAAGCCATTGCCATCCAATATCAAAGGGGAAGTCATAATAATCCAATTTGTACTTCTCCAAAAGACAATAAACAAAAAAGATTCCATCCAAAAAGCCCAACACACAGACTGTCAACTGTCTCTCCCTTTCCCTTTGATCTCTTATTATTTGATTTCTCCACCAGAAAGGATGCCGAACATTCGGCGTGTAAAGCAATGGAAGCCACTCTGAAAATTCCGACGAATTCTTTGATCTCCCTTCCCTTTCTCCCTCTCTCCTCACTCAATCCTGGCATCTGAGGTTCATGGGTATTGCCAATCTTTGCCTTCTTGTAGATTTTTGGAGCTTTATTCCAGCGAATTGCGTTGTTGGTCTTTTGGGTTTGGCTGATTTCAAATGAATGAGAGATAAAGTTCGTTCCTTTATTTTGTTTTCTTATAGCAGATTGGTAAGTTTTTGTAGGTTTCTTGTTGTATTTGTGCATGTTGTTCCCCTATAATAATTGGTATTGATTCCTCAAGACAATTCTCCTTTTTTACTTCCTTTCAATTTCCCCCAAGTCCTTGTTTGGAGTTAATTGAGATTTCAGATACTGTTAATGTCATTGGCTTGTTCTTCCCATATATCTTATCTCCCTTAGCTTCTGGCCTGACTTTTGGCCGAGAGAAAGGTTTGATTTCTGTGTAAAAGAACTCTCCTTTTGTTTGCACTCTTTTATTGTTTCATGTTTCTGAATAAATTATGGTTTGTACTAGTTAAATGGAGCATGTGTGGGGGCAATGAATGTCCTTTTTGTTGGGAAACAGTGAAAATATCAATTTCTGCTAGATTTCTTGTTCATTTGATTGGGGTTTGATACTCTGCTAGTTCGGATGGATATGCGGAAGGGAACAGGTTAATGATGCATATTTGCAGACTCAGGATTAAGTCTGAACTTACTGTAGTTTTATAATTTTGAATGCAGGAAAGGTTATGCTTTGATTTGATTGAGGTGGGTTAGCTGAAAAATGGAAGAAGGCGATATGTTTGCGAGCTTAGGGGATGGTAGTATTCAAGTAGATGGGAAGGTGTTGCAGACGTTTCAGAGAAGTTTCCGGCAAGTTCAGGACATCCTTGATCAGAACAGGTTGCTAATCAACGAGATAAACCAGAACCACGAATCAAAGATCCCAGATAACCTGAGCCGAAATGTGGGGTTAATTAGAGAGCTGAATAACAACATAAGAAGAGTTGTAGATCTATACTCCGATCTTTCTACTGACTTTGCTCGGTCAATGGAAACAGCAACTTCCTCAGATGGCGAATCAACCGCAGTTTTGAAGACTAGTGGGAACAATAAGCCCAGCCACAAGAGGAATAGATTTGGCAATTGATCAAAACTCAAGGTTTTCTTAATTTGTTTTTTTGTATGCAGTAGAATAAGGGAATGAAAGAACTGGATGGGTCCATAGACTTACTTTTAGTGTGAATGATCCATATTTAGGGTGTTGAGTACAAGTATTGCAGCTTCCAGTTTGGTTTCTCTCTCTGATTGCTTCATTTCAATGTGTTTGTACTGTCCTGTTGAATCAAATAAACATTCTAGTATGGTTTCTCTCCTCAATTATCTGATCTCTGTGGCTTGTTTTGTATAATATCTTTATTAGTAAATTGATGATCATCTGTCTTGCTCTGAGCAATTTTCATTTTTATTGTGCTGTAGAATTAGGAGAAAAAGTCTTTGTTCTCTGATAATGATGAAGAAAGAATTGGACGAGTTTATGAAACTTCTTTTAGTAACTGGTGATCCATGGTTAGGGTTCAAGTACAAGCATTGCAGCTTCCCAGTAGATAACAATTCTTACTGAATACAATTACTTCAACTCCATGCCTTTGTGCAGCAGCATCCTCCAATATTTCCCAGCAGTCAGTTGATGATGATCTTCGTCCTCTCGTTGCTTGAGAATTTAATCAAACTGTTCATCCTGTCTGACTTCTGTCATATGGAAGGGGTTGGACAATGCCTCACTCCAAATGATACAGGTTGGACACCTCGAGCTCTGCTGTTACATTGAAGAACTCGAGAACATGAAGCCATTGATCCCAGCTCTTGAGCCGGTGAACTGCAATGGTCTCCGGTATAAGCTCGTGGGAACACCTTCCGTTGGTGCCTGGATAGTCGTACATTGCTGGCTTATTCGAAACCCGGTTCTTGGCTTTCCCTCCAATATTCAACCATTTCCCTACTAACTTATCTTCCGGTCCAACAGTGTCATTGGCGGGAATCCTGGAGCTGGCAATCCATTCAACGAGGTCCCACGACAGCAAGTATCCCATTCCTGACATGTACTCCACAAACGGGTTCATGCTGCTGCAAGGGATGACGAAACCATAGTACAGATCATGTCTCGGCAGTGAGTCCAACGACATTGCCAATGGCTTTAGCCTCAGGTAAACATCATCGTCAGCTTTCATTACGTAGTCATAATAATGACTACTCTGTTGCTGCAAAAGACGTGGTAGCGAAGAGAAGTAAGTGTAGGTTTTGCCATTGTTCATGTTCTCACTGCAGTTTAGGATTATGATGTCGTTGAAACGAAGGATCTCTAGACCAACAAACACTTTCTGTTCATGCTTTGTGAGATTGCATAATATGAATTTGACGTCTATGTCGGCTAGGGGGGATGACTGGATGTCATAGACGAGGCGAAGGAAGTGACGATGATCATAACTATCTGGGCGGGTGAAAATGCCAATCAAGAGGCGTAATTTTGTTTGGATCAGGTTTCTTTCAATGGAGTCGTTCAATGATGCAGATGATGATAGAAGGAAAGATCTTACTCGGATGTTGAAGAAGACATAGACGATGAAGAAAAGAGCTAGGATGAGAAGTGGGAGAACTGCTGCTGCAAGAATTTGCCGCCTTCTACGCATCTTAGATTACAAGGGAGAGACTTTGATACTTGGTGATGTTTCTTTCTCTGTCTTCTCTTGTTGTGAATAGTCAATTTTTTATAGCTGTTGCTGGGGACCAAAATAGACAGTTACTGCCCAAGTAACAGTAAGTACAGAACTCATGTGGGCTGTGTAGTTGATGCTGCGTTGAAATCATGCCCTTCATGAAAAGTTCATGGTTTTTGGTTCAACTTTCCTGCAGTTCTGTTTGGATATAGCTTTTACATGTTAAGTACAGAAGTTACATATCATGTGATGACTTCAGTTTGTTTTAGTTGATGAAGTAAGAAACAAGGACCATGTGTCCTTTTTCGCTTTAAGCACAGTTGTTGGAGTTTAACTTCACGAATGAGGAATTTGATTTCCTGCTTTGGTTGCTTCCTTCATAGCATATATATATATATATATATATATATGGGTTGAACAAAATCAAATCAAATAGAGAGATACTGCTCGCAGGCAGGAGAGGATCAGCCTTTCAGAAATGCCTGTTTTTGGTTTCTCTACTTTGACCCTATTGCCCTCCTCCCTCCAGCAATCTGGTTAGACAATCTTTCCAATCTGATACCTTCTCTCCTCCATTAACCACCTGTTTCAATCACAGAAGTAAAACAGGAAGCTTCACCTTATTATGCTGATGGGATTACGGGAAGTAACAGAAAACCATGAAATTATTGTTCCCTCCAAACCTCAAAGACTAATCCTCCTCCTTGTGGGATAACTTGAAGAGCTTCCACACAAATGAATGCAGCATCCTCTTTGCTCAGACTTCCCTTCTCTGCACAACCCTGCAAAACCCTCTCACTTTTCAATCATACCCACAAAAACAAGAGGAAAAAGGTTGAAACTTTCTGCTCTTCTCTGTTGAATCCTTCCTGCAGAAACTAAACTTGCCTTGTCAAAGCTGAAACCTTGTGCTCCACCGGAAGTGTTCTGTAAGGCCCCAACCCTGATGATGGTGTGAGGAACTCCCGAGTTTTTTACAGTTGATTCATCTTGCTCTGCCAGTTTTCTTGCATTGCTTGTCATCAGAGATTGAATGCCACTGCTGCTACTATAAACAGACAACTGTAATCCTATTAACACTAGATACTTTAGAGGCCAGTAAAAATGACATACATTAATAGTGTAGAGAAGAAGGTGCAAGAGAGGTATATTACCTGAGACAAAAGGACTATGTGCTTTATACCTTTGAAGCTCTCAAAACTGGCAAAGAACCCCTCCTGATAGTTCATAGAACAGCCATGAATTTCATGATAAGTCGACTCCAAACAATGCCTTGAAAGTAAATGATGAAACTAGTAAAGGTCATCAGAAATGTTTACATTGGGGCTTATAATGGCACCAACATCACGAAGAGCTTTCCTTAGAAATGGCTTGCTATTCACATCACCCACAATGGACTGCATTTAAAACAAATTAACAGGATGAGCTGAAGGTGCCATTATATACCAGATTCCAACAGATAATGATTTTTCCAAATGCCAATACCTCAACATAAGTCCCAAAAGCTTCCATTGCAGCCCTCTTATCCTTCACCAATGCCTTGACTCGTGCTCGTTTGACAATCAGTTGAAGTATCACCATCTACATATATATAGCCAGGAAGATGAACAAGGCTCAGAAGCAAAGGCACCATGAATGAAGTTTTATCAAATGCTCGAATCGCTGAATCAAACTTCAAACCTGGCCAAGCTCAGAATCACCATCGGCAACTAGGACTGCATCTCTCACCTCATCGTCTAACAAACATAAAAATTCATAAAATTGAGCCAAGTGTCATGGATCATGGGTTCATTGAGTACAGCGGAGAGAAGTATCGAAGCCTCAGAAATCCGAAGTTTGTTCAGATATAAAGCACCTGCAAATTCAGCATCATCGGCTTCTTCTGCCGCAGACGATCCATCTTTTGGCAGGAGTTCAGGTGCCCCATACCATTTCCTCAATTTCGGTCCTCCTGAGGAAAGATTGTAGAACCAACTTCAATTTAAACCAGTTCATCCCAGTAGCTAGAAGATACTGGAGATGCGTTTTGAAACTAACTGGATTTAATGCATAGAGTTGAAACGGTACCTTCGATGTAGTCGAGGATTTGATCGAAGAAGCCTATCTTCTTCTTGGCCGAGCAGCGAATGAGAAGACCCCTAGTTGGGGTGGTGGAGAAGCCGTATGAAGTCAATGTGGGTGATGGGTTTTGGCGATTTCGGTGAAGAAGAGGTGAAGGAAGGAGAGCAGCCGCCATCAATGGAACTTGGGAAGTGAGATGAAGCTCTGTAAGCTTACTGCCGTTCTGCGCTCTCTATGAGCTGCGGCCGCCGCATGCTCTGTTTTCCCCCTTCTTGACCAACCGTTTCGCGCGAAAGCGGATAACGATAATTGAGAAGTTGAGGTGTTTGTTTAAGCTATAAACTATGTCGTTTTGAAACGGAGCTCGAAACAAATACAGTTTTGTACGTATACTTTTATGAATGTCTACTAATTATCAAAAGTTCAAAATCGCTAAACTTGTATGAATGCCAACTGACTAGGTGTTCAAACGGTGTGGTTATCATGGTAACCATTTTAACCAGTACTATTTGGATAATTTGGTTTGATTAATTTGGATAATTGGTTTGGTTAAAGTTTTTAGCTTGTTTGGTTTAGGTGGTTTGATTTGGTTTCAGACACTCCTAACCAGCCAAACCAAATTAGCCATATATCAAATATATACACATACTAATACTTTGAATAACCACTCAAGAGTTAAATGTTCATCCTTTTAGACTCATAAAATATAAAGCTTGATATTGTTCATATAATGTATATTTGTATATGTAGAGTGTAGACCACAATATATGAACACCTAATTTAGATAAATCACATACATTACGTTGGATGGAAACTTGAAAGCAAGGTCATTTTCAGCCTATGAAAATTGCTAAAAGACTAAGTCAATTCAAACAAACACAACAATTCATTAACCCATACCATTTTGATAAATTTTTGTTAGGTGAATACTTCTATACTAACCGTAAGATAATTGTCTTAGTTGCATGTATTTATGTTAAGGGTCAACTATAACTATGTGTTCATTGTTATATTTTATTCATTATATAAATTGTTAATTGATAAAATAACCAAAATTTTTCTCACTTAATGATAATATGATTTTATATTGGTTAATCTGGTTAACCAATTAACCAAACCGATTAAACTTTAGTTTGGTTAATTTGGTTGTTGTATTAGTTTGGACGGTTTGGTTATGATATTGTATTTCATGGTTAATGAAATTTAGCCTTATTTGGTTTGGTAATAACCATGGTAACCATTTGAACACCTCTACAACTGACCTAAATATAGTTATTTTTAGGAGTAAGATCAGATGACTAGAGGGGTTCTTAGTCATATAACTAAGTGAATCTCAACTCTTCTACCTTACTTACTTATAACCCGGTCTGTTGGCCGGAATGTTCATATTTGATTATTTATATTTTTTATGTTACATTTAAGTCTATCAATCCGTTTAATTTTATTGACAATTCTTCGATCAAGATGATACATAAAGAAAGAATATAAAGGTCGAACTTTCAGAGAAATAAGAATATAAAATATAAAATTGTATCATTGATCTCATTTTTGTAATGATAATTAAGCCCCAATTAAAATGCTATGGGTTAGTTGATTGTCAAGAAAGATAGAGTACAAAAGCCCACTAGAATTCTCACACGCCATAGATAGTTTGAAACACAACCTTAAACCTCACAATCCTACATAAAGAGTTCAGTGCTCTCCTTTTGGGAACAATATGTCACTAATAAAAAAGAAATGGAGAGTTGTTAATTCAAGTCAACTATACTACTAACAACTTAGTTAAGAGGGGGCCAATAAAACTTGAGAGCAAACGATAAAATTAGGATTACCTCCAATATGCTAATAGACTCGATTGAAGTAATAAGACACAAATTTAGACACTCCTTATCTATTAGTTCTAGTAGGTTGAATAAAAAATCGACCTAGCGGCAAAAACCATAAACCTAAAGGTCCAATAGTCACCACTCTCTGTTGTACAACCAAATTTTTATCTCAAGAGGCATATGTTTCGATAAAAAATTCAATCTCTAATCCTTCTTCTACAACTCCATTTATTGAACTCTATTCTATTCGTCATGGATTGATATCGGAGTTGAAATCTTCTACTTGCCTTGCTTAAATCCCCAATAATAAAATCGTAGTGCCAAGAGATATCAAAAGATTGATTTCAAAGGCGGCCTTGTATTGGGAAGTGAAAAGGGCGCAAACTATTGCACGATGGAGGAAATTTCATAGGAAGCTAAAAGAGATAAGAACAAAGATAAAAAAGTACTAAATTTAAATTAAAAATTTCAAGGACACAACACACAGTAACATAATTAGTTTCTTCTATGGTAGCCAATTACCAATCTACCTTTAGCAAAAAATTAAGGCCAGAAAAAATTTTAAATTTGAGAAAATTACATGAAAATCTACTATGAAAACTGAAGTATCAAGCACCATAAAAATACATACGGTAGACTTAGTGGGCTTGGTAATCATGATGGCAAATTCATACAATTTCCAGAGTTTAACTTTGTGTATATTTTGTACTAAAAAAGATACAACAAATTTGTTTAGTGTAATTGATTGTGATTGTTGTTTTTGTTTTAAGAGACCCGGGTTCGAATCCTCATATTGATATTTTTTATATGAGATAAATAATTAATTATAAATACAAAAATGTCCTTCCTACTTTCACTCTCGTTTCAGGAAATTTGAAATGGAGAAAAGTTCACAAAACTCTACTATATATTATTGGAGGATTATAATTTAATGGTTCAGATTAATCCAAAATGAAGGATAATATAGTAATAACAATATTATTTAATTTATTAATTAAAAATAATTCTTTCCCACGCACCTTCCCTGTCCGTTAGGATAAAATCCCGGCTTCCCTTGCCGACGTCTTCCTCGCCGGCGCCAGTTGCTGTCTCTTCCTCGCCGGCGCCAGTTACCTTTTCGGCCGGCGTCCCTTTTTACTTCCATTGGGGAATTAAGTGGGCAATTTTATGGCGGGGGGTTTTGTCCTTGTGGGGGGGGGGGGGGGGCAGAGTTTTCCGGCAGCAACGGCATTTTTTATGTTTCTTAGACTATTTTGTAATATTTGAATTTATTTTGTTTGTATTATTTATTATTCTAGTTTGTAATGTTTATATGACTAATTTGTATATATTATAATTTGTAATGTTTGTTTGTCTCGTTTGTATATTTTTTATTCATTGATTTGTAATAAAATTTTACTGATCTGTATTGTAAGTAGTGACATTTTGTACTGTTAGTATATTTTGTAATGTTTGTCGATTTGTTTTGTAATGTTTGTAAGTTTTGTTATTTTTGTAATGTTTGTTGGCCTTTTTTGTAAGGTTTGTAAAGTTAGTTATTTTTGTCCACCATGTTTGTAATTATTTTATGTCTAAAAAACAACCTGGTTGACTTTTGGACGCAACTCCTCTATATAGAGATGGGGCCTCCAAAGTCAACCCGAGTGTTTTTCCATTTTGTATGTTTTGTCGGTCTAGTTTGTAAAATTTGTCAACCATGTTTGTAATATGTGTATGCCTAAAAAAACTAGGTTGACTTTGGAATTGAATCCCTCTATATAGGAATGAAGCCTCCAAAGTCAACCTGGTTTTTTTTTTATGGTTTGTAGTGTTTGTCGGTCTACTTGATTGTTTGTATAGTTTGTATGTTTTGTATTGTTTGTAAATCTGTTTATATGTTTTATCGTTCTAGTTTGTATGATTTGTATGGTTTGTACTGTTTGTAAGTCAGGTTTGTATACTTCGTAATTTTTCATAATACTTAAACTACCCTTGTCATTAATTAAAAAGCGCTTTCCACTTTTTAACTGTCAGATTGATGTGTCCAGATCTAAGAGTAGGGAGTGGCTTAGTCAAGTAACTAAACGCTCCCCTAGCCATGGGATCCGGCCTTGTTACTTTAGCTCAACTCGCGCGTGTACGCACATTTTTGTCTTCCGTACACAATTTGTAAATTTTTTTTTATTAAAATATTCGTGGTAATAATTATTATTTTTGCAATATTTAGGTAAATCACCCTAACTTATGCCAACCAACTTACTTCTTTGTTGATTCTTTCCCGTAATTTGTTTAGTTTGTGGTTTCACCGCAAGTAACACTATGTTACCCGTAGTGTGGTTAACCACTAACGATATTTAATAAGAAAGTGGTTTGGTTGTGATTAGTAAAATTGAAAAATTATGGTTAGTGATTAACTACTAACCACTGCAATTAAATCATAAGCCATGGTTTCACGGAAGTAAGTTTCGAAGGAGATGCGAATGTGATCATTGATAAGGTCACTCGGGCAGATACTTGAAGAAATTATGCATTACTTCTCCATCCATACGGGGTTTAGTGTTCGATTTGTAGGTCGGCGTAGCAATAGGGTAGCCCATTTGGTGGCTCGCAAGACACTTTCTTTGTACCTGCCTTCGAGTCGTTCTTTTGATTTTCAGGCCTGACTGAATTCCAGGATGTAACTATCTATACTTTTGGAATCTATAGATGATTGTCTTTTGTAAAAAAAACCATAATAACTACATAAATCACACTTATCTATACTTTTAATATATATGATTATCCGGTTTTTGGGACTTGTCAGAATTTAGTAATTAGGTTGATCCCAAATTACTTGCCCTCAAATACCACCCAGTTACGTGATCGCCAGATTCTCCAAAGTAACGGAACAACCGCCAGAAAAAGATTGGGTTGAGCTAAGAGGAGCATCAACTTCTTTAGGAACAAAGGGAAAGTGTGGCGAGGCAGGCCCTGTCCCAGATGGTCCAGACCCGAATGATCCAATAATGCCCTAGCCACTGGGCAATGAAGAAACAAATACTCCATTGTATCCGATTCCGCCCAGCAGACCAGACACTGAGGAAGCACCGAGACCTTCTTCTCAATGAGAGCCTCCGTGGTAGGGAGGATCCGATTGAAAATCTGCCAAACAAACATTTTCATCTTGGGAGGAATATTGGCGTTCCATAACTGGATCCAACTGGCTCTATACATCCAACTAGCCACAGACTTCCAATGCCCACCCTGTTGATCCAACAAGATAGCAAAATGGTAGGCCAATTTAACAGAGAATACCCCATCAGAGGTGCCATGCCATATCAACTTATCTTCCATCGAGTGCCTAGGAAGAGGAATCAACTTGATTGCGCGGACGGTCACCGGGTCAAACCATTGACTAAGTTTGAACTCACACCAGCGACCCTCACCTTGGCAAATAACCTCAGCCACCCTTAGTTCCTCTTGAGGAAGCACCTGGGGATTATATGCTAGGGGAGAGGGGTGCAATCGAGGAATCCAGTTAGAATCAAGTAAGGGAGCCTTTTGACCATTCCCAATTTGTCATCGAAGACCCTTTATTAAAAGCTCCCATCATAGAGGATACTCTGCCATAGCAGTGAGGAACGTGCCCCTTGAAAAATATTTCCCTTTGTAAACTTGATATAAGAGAGACTGGGGCTCGGTGAGAATACGCCAACCTATTTTAGCTAGAAGCGTCTGATTAAAGTGCTCAAAACGACGGAACCCCAACCCACCATCATGCTTACTCCAACACATGTTCCGCCTTGACATCCACCTAATCTTAGACTTACCTTCCTCAACACCCCACCAAAATCTGGCGACATGTTTGTCCAAGAGACGACAAAGAGAGAGAGGTAGTTTAAAATAGGACATGACATGCAACGGTAGGGCTAAAGCCACCGATTTGATCAAAGTCTCTTTAGCGGCCCAAGATAAAGTGCGTTGCTTCCACCCCTGAAGGCGAGCCACCAGTTTTTCCTTTAAGTACCGAAAGGTCTGCATTTTCGACTGAGCTATCAGCGAAGGTAAACCCAGATACTTATCATGGACACCCACCGCTCCTACTCCCAGAATTTGAGCCAAGAATTCCTAATCTGGCACCAAAATGTGTTTACTAAAGCATACCACTGATTTGGCCAAATTCACCCGCTGACCGCTCAGCTCCTCATATTCATTTAACACCTCAATCAAATTTTCACATTCCTAGAGGGTATCTCGGAGGAAAAGGTAAGAGTCATCGGCAAAAAAAAGGTGCGATATCCGAGGAGCGCGCGGGGCAACCTTAACCCCTTTGAGCTGTCCTTCAGAAATGGCTTTCTAGAAGAGCGCCACAAATCCCTCTGTGCAAATCACAAACAACATAGGGGAAAGCGGATCCCCCTGGCGCAAACCTCTGGAAGGGAAAAAGAACCCCGAGAGGGTACCATTCATCAGGACAGAAAAAGAAGCCGAGCGAAGGCACTCATGTATCCAACCTTGCCAGGTTGAGTTAAAGCCCATATTATCTAATACCAATAGGAGAAAGGGCCATTCGACTCTATCATAGGCCTTTTCCATGTCAACCTTTAGAGCCATGCCCCCTTTCTTTCAGCGTTTTTTGATTTTCAAGTAATGCATTAACTCATGCCCTAGAAGGACATTTTCTACTATTTTCCTTTCCCTGATAAACGCATTTTGCCATTCTAAAATGATTTTGGGAAAAATACTGGCCAATCATTCAGACATAATCTTAGTTATAATCTTGTACACAAACTGGCACAGGCTAATGGGTCTGAGCGGCCTCATGGATTCAACGTTATCCACCTTCAGAATTAGCGTAAACCAGGTGTGATTAAAGCTCCACAGAAGTCTACTTGTAGAGAAGAAAGAGCATACCGCTTTTATTACCGACTCCCCAAAAATGGCCCAGAAGGCTTTGAAGAACTTCCCGTGAAACCGTCAGACCCAGGGGTGTGTTTTGATCTCATGGAGAAAACCGTTCGACGCACTTCAATTGGGAAAACCTCAGCTGTAAGAGCATCATTCATTTTGATAGTAAGGATTTCATAGGTAAGCAGAGTCTGGTAGAAAGATGAGGCTATCTTGCCTTCCCTCTTTCCTCAGTAATCCATTCCCCATTATCATTCCGAAGACCGGCCACAAAATTTCTCTTTCGCGGGGCCCGGGTCACCGTATGAAAATACGAAGTATTCTTATCCCCCTTCTTCAGCCACGTGACCTGAGATTTCTGTTGCCAGTACACTTCCTCTGCCTCCCCTTGCCTTGATTTTTTCGATGACATTTGTTTGTAATATTTTGTCTTACATCTTCCTTTTAGCTACTATAATTTCTTCTTGTGTATATGTTATATTTGATATTTTCCTCCATACGTCACACGTGGGTCACACATTTATTTCTCTACCTTTCTTTCGTCTATTAGTAAAATTTACATATTTTTTACTTATCAATTTTTTAACATATTTATAAAAAAAAGGTAATTTGATGAGTTGAATAAGTTAATCTTTGTGGTTAAACACAAAAAATTGCATAAAATTGCAGTGATTAATGATTAACCACTAATCATTGCGTTGTGTTTTGTGGTTAGCATATTTATTGATTTACGGTTGTAGTTGACAGAAACCTGCATTTATGTTCTTTTTTGCATTTGGACTTTTTTGTTAGTTTATTACTGTTTGGGATTTAATTAGGCATTTGGGTGATAAATTGAGGGATTAATAAGTTGGGGTAGCTATAGGAAATTGTGGGTTACTATATAAATTGTTTGATACGTGGGAATGAGAATTAAGCAAAGATTAACAGACCATTGGTACCAAATGAATCTACAATTCATTTCATTTTAAAATGAATTACCTCATAGAATTCATTGTCAAATGAATTCCTATGCTTGGTATTTCATATTCAAATCTTTAGAAATAAAAGAATTGAATTCTCAAACCATGTTGGCATACGTTTAGAATTGAATTAAATTAAAAGTTTCCGACTACACCCTTATTAATTTTCGGCAGAAACATTATTCATTGAAAATCTATCTTCCAAAAAAAGTTTTTGGTCCTATACTTTGAATATTGAAAGTGTTATTTAATTTTTCTATTCTATTCATTAGTACTTTCCTAATATTTCATCGATAAACCCTACACTCTAGTTGTGGCTTCTCAACATATTGATACAATCGAAGCATAAATATCAAATAACTAGCATGTGCAACTAGCGTTGTAATAAATTCTAGTTTACGTTCCTCAAACGGTATGAATTGGTGCCATATATTATGAATTGGTGCCACATAATATATATATATATATATATATATATATAATTTAGTTAATAAATGAGGATAATTATATTATTCTATTATAATTAGTAAATACTTGTGGAATTTATTTGGAAATTTCATCTCAATTCCTCGAAATTGCTATAACTAGTTCCAATTCCGTAGAATTCAGAATGAATTCTTTTAGATACCAAACACAAAAAGATTTCAATTTCAAATGAATTCCTCAAAACTTATAGAATTCATTTATACCAAACGGTATGTAAACCATAATTATATTTCCTAATCTCTCTTCCTCTCTTCTGCCGACTTTTCTCCTCTCCCTACTGCTGCTACCGCAACTTCCTTTCCCTCTTCTCTACCTCTAAATTTTCATTTGTCCTTCCTCTATCTCCCTTCCATGAGCCACGAGAGAAGATCGCCACTCCGATGCTTGCTCTTCTCCCTTGAATCTCTTGAAATAGGTAGTACCCGAATTCCGAGTTTCTGTCATCTGGTATCAGAGCCCCGGTCCGATAATTGAGTTTTTCACAACTATAAACTGGGGGCGGATATCGATGAACAATGGCCATCACCAACCGCAAACCGTAGAGGATAAGGCTGGCGAGAAGAGACAGGCGGAGACAGGATCAACCAAGACTGACGCCGAGACAAAGACGATGATGACACTGGCGTGAGGTTTCTCGTCGCAAGACGAGCACATGCGCGAAAGCGTCATGGTGGATGAGACCGAAAACGAAGATCTCAAGGCCTCGATGCGTACCATCATGGCGATGCAACTGAGAACCAACTCCGACATGGAAGAGCTGGGGGCGGAGGTTGAAGGGGCCAGACGTGAGCGGGATGTGATCATGAAGATCCTAATCTCTCTTCCTCTCTTCCTTCCTCTTGGCGACTTCTCCCCTCTCCATACTGCTGTTTTCGTAGCTTCCTTTCCCTCTTCTCTACCTCTCAATCCTCATTTTCCTTCCTCTATCTCCCTTCCACGAGCCACAAGAGAAGATCACCACCCCGGTGCTTGCTCTTTTTCCTCGAATCTCTTGAAATAGGTAGTACCCGAATTCCGGGTTTCTATCAGTAGTTAACTGCAAAAAGTTATGTGGTTATCAATAACCACACCGACTTCTAATCGTACTTTTATTAGCTGTTCATAAAAGTGCTATTTTTTCCAAGATAAGCCCCCAGGTCATGGTCAGACAACAAACATACAAGACATATAATAATCAAGAACGACAATCCGTATGCAACTGGACTTCCGATAAAAGAGCCTGTTATGCCACAAGGTGGCCAACTTTGTGAAAGCTTCAAGGAGCGAAAAGACACGAAACTGACACGAAAGTCGAGAAGAAAGAATGAACTTCCCTAAGAGTGGCTCTGACTCTGAGATGAAAGACTTTCTCGATGTAGGATCCTTGATGACCATAGTTGAGAATCCTCGCAAAAGGTAGCAACCAAAACATTACGAGTAAGACACCATCTCATAGCATCATGAATAAAAAGTAATTCTTATTCGTATGCATTGTTAATATCACACTACAATTTAGCTAAAGCAAATGAAATAGTTCCATCACCTGAGAAACCGACGAAACTAGTTGCACTTCCTTGAGGGTTCTTTGGTAATGATTAACCTTTTCATTTTATAGCTAAATTTTAGACTTGGTAAATTCCAGACGTGTGAAGCATCATCTAAGAAGTTGATGAAGCCAATAGCGCCTTGTCGATTTACCTTCTTAGCTCCATTAATTCAGACAAGATACCATTGATGATCGTTGCTATCTTCTTTCTTCTGATCCTTTTGTTCACCCGCCGACCTCCATTCCTCTACCTATATTGTTAGTTGACGGAAGTCATTCGTGAGCGCACCAACACTCGTATTATGTGATTTTTGATGAATTTGCGTCCTGAGTTTGAAGGGATACGTACTTCCCTGCTTCACCGCAATGTTGAGTCTATGTAGGAGATTCTCGGTGAGCTACTTTGCAAGGAGACGCGTCTCCGTAGTCAGGCCAAGCTAGATATTCATGCAGTGATTCGTCTACTGCTTTTGCGGTTCAGGGAGCGAAACCTTAGTTTCCTCGTACTTCAAAGGGTGAGATTATATGTCATCACTGTAAGGAACCGGGTCATATTCAGTATCAGTGTAAGAAGCAGAATGTGTGCAATTACTCCAAACAGGACGGACATGTGATCGTTGAGTGTCCTAAGAAACGCAACATGTGCAACTACTGCAAGCAGGAGGGTCACGTCATTGCTGACTTCCCTACGCTTGCGCGTCAGGGTCGTAGCCGAGGAGGAGGGGCAACACGTGGTACTTCTCATCCTGGGGCTGCTTATGCTACCACGGCGCCTGTGGCCGACTCGGCTTCCTCTCTGACATGGGCTGATGTTCGGCGTCTTGTGCATGAAGCATTGAAGGAGGCTTTAACCACGACTCTGACTTCTGCTTTTGCTACGGGTACGGTTTCTTCTACTACTCCTTGGCATGTTGACTCGGCTTCATATAATCATATGACCGGTTCTCGTCAATCATTTCGTACTCTTGATATTTCTGTTCCCTGTCTCGATTTACAAGCTGCAAATGGATCACTTATGTCTGTTGAGGGTGTGGGTCATATAGTTCGGCCTTCGATCTCTCTCCCAGATACTCTCTATGTTCCTAAGCTCGTGCCTAACCTTGTCTCCGTGGGTCAATTAGCTGAGGATGGTTGTCGAATTACATTTGATAAGATCAGGTGTGTTATTCAGGACACGATGATGGGGCAGGAGATTGGGAGAGGCACTAAGAAGGGCAGGTCATTTCTGTTGGATTCCTATTCTCGATCCGGGCTACCAGAGGTGCGACGGCATGAAAGGAGGTTGGATCTTGGCGCCGGGCAGCAGGGTGCTAATGGGGATAGTGTGTTTTCGTTTTCTAGAGATAATATAGTTTCTTCGGTGAAATTATCTGACTGGGATTTATGGCATTTTTGATTGGGTCATCCCAATTCTATGAGACTTCGCACTATGTTTAAGAATAAATGGTTATATGGTACTATTTTGAGTGATCAAATTCATGAATGTGTTCATTGTTTGCAAGCTAAAATGATGCAAAATTCCTTTACTCCAAGCACTACTGTTTATTTTGATTCGTTCGATCTTGTGCACACAGATTTGTGGGGACCATCACCTGTGATATCTTGCTTGGGGTATAGATATTTTATGCTCTTTGTGGATCATGTCACACGTTTTACATGGGTGTTCCTTCTGCGTCAGAAATCTGAGTTGTTGTCTGTTGCACAGGATTTTCTGGCGATGGTTTCTACTCAGTTTGATCGAACAATTAAGATACTTCGTTCTGATCTTGGAGGGGGATTCACCTCTAATCCCTTACATAATCTCCTCTGTGAATGGGGTATTGTTTCTCAACATGCCTGTACTGGTACATCGCAACAGAACGAGTTAGTGGAGAGGAAGAATCGACATGTGCTTGAATTGACTGGAGCACTTTTGTTTCACTCGCTGGTTCTCTCGAATTTTTGGGTTGAGGCAGTTCATACTACGGTTAATCTGATTATTCGACATATTACTCTGATTCTGCAGCAGCAAAGTCCGTATAAACTTTTATACTCTCGTCTCCCGGATTATGGATGGCTCCGTGTTTTTGGGGGTGTGTGTTATATTCTACTTACTCAACGGGAGAGGAATAAGCTCACTCCTAAATCTATAACATGTTTTTTCCTAGGCTATTCCGATATAGAAAAATGTTATGTGTGTTATGATGTTACTGCACGCCGAATTCGGGTGTCTTGTCATGTGGTTTTTCTTGAACACATGCTATATTTTGGGGCTTTAGTTTCAGAGACCTCTGCCCCACCGGATTTGGACTTTTTGAAGCTTCATGAGCTGCCCGTTTCTTCTCCCATGGATGATCCACCACCCGCAAACCCATCGGCTTGAGTTCCTCCCCATCCGGTCACTCCTCCTATGCTGACTCCTCTCCTTCCTCGCCTTCTTCCCCTAGTACAGGTGGTTCTTCCTCCTCTTGCACAAGCAGTAGCTCTCCTCGCACAGGTAGCAGTGCGGACTCCACTCAGTTTAGTGGATCTTCGCCTCCTATTTCCTCTCATGCCTCTCTTCAGCCCGTGGAAGCTGAAGTTCCTCAGCTGCGACGATCCAATCGGATCACTAGAGGTCATCCTCCTCTTCGGCACTCCGATTTCATTACCTTTTCCACCCCAACTTTCTTTGTTCCTGCCACTTATAAGCAAGCCAAGGAGCATGCTAAATGGGATAATGCCATGAATTTTGAAACGAAATCCCTCGAAGTCGCTCATACATGGGATTTGGTACCCTGCTCTCCTGAGTTCTCTGTTATTGGTTGTCGGTGGGTGGTTACTATCAAAATGAATCCTGATGGTACTGTGGAGCGTTTTAAAGCACGATTAGTGGCGCAAGGATTTCGTCAGGAGTATGGCATTGACTATGCCGAGACCTTTGCGCCAGTTGTAAAGATGCAAACGATTTGGAGTCTCTTAGCTGTCGCAGCTATGAAGAATTGGTCGTTGATTTAGTTGGATATGAAAAACGCCTTTCTCCATGGTGATCTCAAGGAGGTTATATACATGGAGCTCCCTCCTGGTTATACAAAGGGCGACAGTTCTATGGTGTGCAGGCTTCGTCGTTCATTATATAGACCGAAACAGGCTCCAAGAGCATGGTTTGAGAAGTTTCATGCTACTGTTATTCAGGCTAGTTTTGTGCAGAGTGATAGTGATCCATTCCTATTCCTGTGTTCTTCTGCTCGCGGCCTCACAGTTCTCTTGATCTATGTTGACGATATGGTGGTTAGCAGAGATGATGTCGAAGGCATTTAGGATATAACTCAAACTCTGCGATCTGCGTTTAATTTGAAGGAATTAGGTGATCTTTCTTATTTTTTGGGACTTGAGATTCATCGTTCTCCTGCTGGTATTCATGTTGGTCAGCGAAAGTATGTACTTGATTTACTCGAAGAGGCACAGATGGATGAGTGTACTCCTTGTGTTACTCCCATGGAACAGAATCTCAAGCTTCGACAGGGGGATGGCGATTTATTGTCTAATGATTCACTATATCGCAGTATAGTAGGCAGCTTGATCTACTTGACTCACACATGTCTGGATATTTCATATGTTGTACAGGTTGTGAGTCAGTTTATGTTTTCACCATGTACTACTCACTGGACTGCAGTTCAACGAATTATCCGCTATCTCCACGGCAATCAGGAGGTCGGTTTGCTGTTTCCTTCAGGTGGTGAGGTTGTGATGGATGCGTATGCTAATGCAGACTATGTTGGTTGTCTTGATACACGACATTCGACTTCTGGGTGGTGCGTCAAGTGGGTCACTCCTTTATTTCATGGCGGTGTAAGAAGCAGGATCATGTTTCAAAATCGTCCACAGAAGCCGAATATCATTCCATGAGTGAGGTTGCTTCTGAGATCAACTGGTTGTGTCGACTGTTGGCCGAGCTAGGAGTAAAGATTGCTAATCCTGTTCGGTTGTTTGTTGACAATACTAGTGCCATTCGTACTGCTACGAATCCGGTCTTACATGATAGGACCAAGCACATAGAGGTTCACGTTCACTATATTCGACAGCTAGTGACAGAGGGCTCTGTGGAGTTATCATATATTACGTTAGAGGATCAAACAGTAGATTTGTTGACTAAAGTAATGTCTTCATCACGTCATTGGTTTCTAGCACACAAATTGATGTTGCGACAGCACCATCAATTTGAGGGAGGGTGTTAGAAGTTAGGAGTACCTAACTGTAATTAACCTATTTATGGTTAATACTCGACATAGTATATAAGTGTTGTATGACTGAGTTTCTGATGCAACGTGTACGAGAGCAATAATCAGGAACTCTGCCTTGTGCCGTGGACTAGTCTCAACGATCAACATCGTTGAGGAAACCACGTAAACCTGGTGTTGTGCGTTTATGCTTTCCTTTATTGATCGAGGCTTTGCCCGACGGAACAACAATGAAACTGGAAAAAGTAGGATACATTTGAACATAATAAAAATTATATATGCGGATGAGATTGTGGCAAAATTTGATTATTCACCAATAAATTAAGTCATAGATATAAAAGTGCTGTTGGAATCAGAACTTTTTTTAAAGATGCTACACCTTTGATGATGAAACTTGAGCTATGGGACAATCATAGTGGTAAAGCATGTAACTTTGCAGATGAGCAAAGCAAAAGCATCCAAGCCAATTGAATAGGTCTGGCCACACATTGATTTTATTTCAACAGAACCAAATTGACATGTCCCTCTCAATCTCAACCGTTCACCACTATGATTATCTGTTCTCATGAACACCGTTGGATCATTCCACTCCCACAGTACATAATTATCACTTTCCTCTATCCCTTCAACTTCACTCATCTTCATACCTTCTCTTCCCCTTCTTCCTTCATCCTCACCCACACAGCAGTTCCAGTAATTTGTAGCTTACAAAATTAATCCAAAGAAAACGTTAAACACTGAAGATCTGAACTTTTCTCTCTGTGTTTCTTTGGTAACTTTCGAAAGAGGTAGTAAGATTTGTAAATTGTATTTTTATGTATGTCTTACTTATTTCATTTTTTGTAAGGCCAATAAGTTAAAATCTTGTTGGGATCTGAGCTTATGGAGTTCTATGGTTCTGTTAGATGCTGCAACTTGTGCCTTTTCTATATATCTTTATATAAGTTATTATATAATATTTATAAGTAATATTTATTCTTAAAACCCACCTTGAAATTCTTTTTTACCTTCAAAATTCTTATGAGTCTTAGAAAGTTGATCTCTTTACATGGATATAAATCACTTGATAGATCAATTAATCTGGGCAGTCTGTGAGCTAACCAGATCTTTTCTTAATCATGCCCACTTCCGCTAATTATATTGGAATTTTACTATGATTTTTTTCAAGTTTTGGGATTACTAGCTTGTCTCTGTTTGACATAGCAGCATTGATACTGGCCCTTTTGCTCAATTTTGGCATGAGCTGAAAAGGGGAGGTTGTGTTGTTCAACAAATGCTGAAATTGAAGGGTGTAATTGCCTGATGGAGTTGCTGTCTTGCTCCATTGAACTTTGCTCTTGATGTTCATGGAGTTCGAATAAAGCTCCTACATTTAAAATACCCTGTTCTCTTTTCTTACAAACTTAAATGTACACCCTGCCAAATCTTGTACTGTAGCACCGCCTGCGCCACTTGGTGGTGGTGGGTGGTTTGCAAGTTGGCAAAATTATTTCGGTTGGCCACTTGCAGCCACTCTGTTATATATATCTAGAACCGATTGAAGGAGACCAATTACTCCACAACTACTTTCATCTTCTTGTGTTGACTTCTTCTTTCTTCTTCTTCTTTAATTTCTCTCCTCCAGAAATGAATTCCGGTTTCCTCACAAGTTACACCTCGCCTTTTCTGTTTCGTTATATGAAATTCTGCAGCTTTTTTCATTTCAAAGCCTGCATCTTTGAATGGTAGATCACTTGGAGGAGATCTTGTTAGATCGACCTCGATCCGATGTGAAAAACCCAGTTCAAGATTATGCGTACCAAGACGACTTTGGTTTAAGAAATTGCAGATTTTCTTGAGAAAGTGGGTAGCCTGTCTTTGATGTGTGGTTTGCTGAACTATGTGCTTTAGTTTGGGGTTTCTGCAGTTAGCTACTTCTTTTCAATATTATGGTAAATTATTTTGATAGTGTGTTGTGATTTGGCATTGATACACTCCTCCCTTACCCAAATACTACGAATGGGGCTAAGTGGATTTGCATCAAAACAGTGCCTAACATGGAAAACTGGTTGGGAGTTTTGTTAGTCTCTTTGAACTTTCTCATCTTAGTTCTTGGAGTTCGGAAGCTCCTACATTTTCACCCTTGGCTTTGTGAAGTGAAGCTAGCTTTTTGTTGTGCACTTGTGCTCACCTTGATCATATATAGTTGTGTTCTCTAAGTAGTATCATGTTTCAATCTTGATATTACTTGCTTATATGGATGAATTTGTGATCTGGAAGTGCGAATTAGGTAGGTGTTATTATTATTGCTTTTCAACCTGCAGGTTCTACATCTGAATTTTTGAAGTAACATCTAACACTTAAAATAAAGATGTGCAAAGTAGAGGAGGTGCAATAGGCGCGCTTAGCTAACGAATAAAAACTTTGGTCCGATTTCATTTGTCTAGCCCGGTCATTGCTTATCTCTGTCTTCTCTATTGGTGAATACTGAATTGGGAGCAAGAGTACTTAGAGTATATAATTAACTATGTACTATTGTATTTCATATGAAAGCTTTTTCGAAGTGAGCCCGTGGGTTGAATTGGGTTGCACTTTTTTGTAATTTCCTATTTAATATTTAATTCTTTGTTTTTATTCCTGGGTTGGTTGACTTGGTTGGATTTGTTGGCTCTGTTGTCAAGAATCTGACCAATGAATTTGATACCCAAACATATATATATTCCCACGATTTTACGTAAAAATTTTAACCAAAGAATCTGATACCCAATAATTGATATACACTCATGATCTTTCTTAGGTAACTTTGCTTTCTTCATTTTTTTGTTTGTTATGAAGGAGATGTGCTTGTTTTATTCATCATGGAGGGATAGTGACATGACTCAACCAATATAATTATGTTTTGTAAAGAGATTTTTTAGTGTTCCTAACTAGGGATGGCAATAAAACCCGAACCCACTGGTACCGACCCGATCCAATCCGGTCAACGCGGGTAAAACCCGTGTAGACGGGTTTTGGGTCGGGTTCGGGTTTAAACCCGCTACACTTTCACCGAGTCGGGTTGGGTTTGGGTTTAGGTAAACCCGCCCCATGGGTACCCTCCCACACACATATAATTACTTTCTCGGTATATTTAATATTCCAAATAATATATCTTTCTTAAACAACTAATATTCTTTATGTTTGTGGAGACATGTATAATTTGTTCTTTTCTAATTGTTTAGAATGAAGTTGATATTATAAAGTGAAGAGTGAAGCAACTTAGTTGACGAGGAAGAAGCTTTCAATTAATCTTATTGTTTATAGATGCTTATCTTTGAACAATTTGTATTGATCATTTGCGGTTTGCTTGTATGCTCTAAATTGGTGTTTTACCCTTTTTTGTATGAGAAAATTGATGTTAAACTTTTATTTTGAAAGAAACTTATTATTGTACATTTTTTATCACAAAAATCCACGGGTACCCATGAACCCGCGGATACCCAGCAGGTTGGGTTGGGTTTGAGTTTTTCAAATCCAACAGGTTTTATCCCGAGGTTTTTTGGTGGATAAACCCATGGGTTTTGTCAGAACAGAAGCGTGGCAATCGATAATCCAAACCAATACGAACGAACACAAATTTAACGTGGTTCACTAACACAATGTGTACTAGCTAATCCACGGGCAGGGGAGAACAAATTTCACTGATTTTGAGGAGAGTAGAGGTTACAAACCAAATTCCAAACGGACAAACCAAACAAACTAACCTGGCTGACCTTACTACAGATTAGGGAGATGAAGAGTATTTATAGAACTCTTCTCCTAATCCCAAACAGAAAACCAAACACCTTTTCCCAAACATACAAGGAAAAGGTCAAACAAAGCCCAAACACAAACCCAAACAGAATAGGCCTAAAACACAAAACAAACCCAAATCAAATTCAAGTCATATCCTAACAATCTCCACCTTGACTTCAATTCTCTGTCAAATACCAGATGTACCAGACGCAACAAAAGTTGCCAGATGTACCCAGACGCGATACATATCGCCAGACGTATCCAAATGCGATCGAAACCGCCAAACTCAAACGCAATCAAGATTGCCAGACATATCCAAATGCGATTCATATCGCCAGACCAAACGCGATGCAAATCGCCAAACTCAGATGCAATCAAAACTGTCAGACGTACCAAACTTCTCCAAATCAGTTGTACCAGAATCTCCCCTGCCTCCAGATGCCCCTAAGGGCGGTCAACAAATCAAAACATGCAGCAAGTCCAACCCATGTTGGGACTTGCCATGCAGAACCATCTTGGTGTTATTTCCGTCCATAACACCAACATCAAATTTACTTCTAACTCCAAACCTGCAGCTCCAAATCGACTTCTCAATCTTCATACTGATAGCAGCCATTCTTACTATCAAACAAACTCCAACCAAACTCCTCAAAGCAAAACTTCAGTCCAACACCAAATTCCCAAAACCGCAACCAAAGGCTCTGATACCACTTGTCAGATGATAGACCGATAATTACACGTATTTTCACCCCTATTCTTGAGCCGTTTGAAAGGTTAATTCTCGGATTTTAAGCCGATTTCACGCGAGGTTGTATGTTTGTGTCATATTTCAGGACCTGGCGTTGGAATCGAGGCGAAGGAACGAGATTCGGGTCGAAAGGAGCAAACGAGGATTGAAGTGGGCTGGAGAAAGAAAATACCCGGCCATGACCACAAATACCCGGCCGGGTATTTTTCTGAAGAGGCCGGGGATTTCCCTTTTTGGCGTCTGAGAAACAGAAGGGGTCCCGGTCATGAAGCTTAAATCCCCGACCACATCGCTCTTGAGGTACAGCTTCAGGTTGTGGCCATGCACCCGACGGATGCGACCACCATCATCAGTCAGCTCGACCTGCCCATCTGGCAAGATGCAGGCGAGTGAGTACCCAGACGGCCAGGGTGGTCGTGGTGCAGGAGGTGGGACCAGCTCATAGTGGTCTCCACTCTTCTTCCGCGCAGGCTTAGCAACCTGCTGCTTCGGCCGCCACTCCTCCTTGAGCTTTTTGTTCGGAGGCGAGGCTGGATGGAGTGGCGGCGAAGGAATGATAGGAGGGTCCTGAAAAATAGGAGGTGCAGAAGGATACACGACAGGCTCGTGTACCTGATCAGAAATGGCATGCACAGGCGTGATAGCAATCATAGCACAGTGATCAAATTCAGTCACAGAAAAAATAGTCTGTTCATTCCCAGCACGCAAGATCAGTTTACCATCATGCACATCAATAAGTGCCTTGGCGGTGGCAAGAAAAGGCCTACCTAGAATCAAAGGCACATACACATCCTCATGTATATCAAGAATAACAAAATCAACAGGATATGTGAATGCACCTACTTTAACCAGCAGATCCTCAATGATACCCCTAGGATGCACGATAGAACGATCAGCTAACTGAATGCTCATCCTAGTAGGGCTAAGTTCACCTAGGTCTAGCTTTTTGTACAACTTATATGGCATGACATTAATGCTAGCGCCTAGGTCCGCCAAGGACTTGCCTACATGCATGCTGCCAATAGTAAGAGGGATAGTAAAACTCCCTGGATCCTTGCGCTTCTCGGGCAGCTTGTTCTGCAGGATAGCAGAACACTCCTCGTTCAGCATCACTGTCGAGAGATCCCCAAGTTTCTTCTGGTTGGTGCAGAGATCTTTCATGAACTTGGCATACTTGGGCATCTTCGACAGTGCCTCCACGAACGGTAAGCTGATGTTGAGCTGCTTCAACATTGCCATGAACTTGGCAAACTCAGTCTCCAGCTTGTCTTTGTGTAGGCGGGTGGGGAAGGGAAGCTGGAGTACATGCTCCTTAACCACTAGTTGTGGCTTGGGAGCAGGGGCTTCCTTCTCCACCCGCACTTCTGCATCGTCGGCTGGAAGTGCTGAAGCAGGCAGTGGTTCCTCCTGTCTGGCCGGGACAGGATCAGCAGATATGGTCTTACCGCTTCTGGTAAAAATGGCGTCCAGCTGCTGATGCTGGTGAGGATCTCGAGGATTCGGGACAGTGGTGGCAAGCAAAGTCCCCGGTGCCCTGGTGGTGTTCTGGCGGGCCAAGATGCCCACCTGGGTCTGTAGATCCTGCAAAATGGCACCCTGGTTCCTCTGACCTGCCTCCAGTGAAGCTACACTCTGGTCCAACCTCGTGATAGTCGCTTGAGTGCTCGTCATGAATGAAGCTAGAATGTTTTCCAGCTTCGTCATCCTGTCATCTGGGGCTGGAGCTGCTGCTGGCTAACAGAAGCGTGGCAATCGATAATCCAAACCAACAGGAATGAACACAAATTTAACGTGGTTCACTAACACAATGTGTGCTAGCTAATCCACGGGCAGGGGAGAACAAATTTCACTGATTTTGAGGAGAGTACAGGTTACAAACCAAATTCCAAACGGACAAACCAAACAAACTAACCTGACTGACTGATAGAACGTTAATTACACATGTTTTTACCCCTGTTCTTACACCGTTTGAGGTGTTGATTCTCGTGTTTTAGGCCGATTTCACGCTAGGTTGTGCTTGTTTGTGATATTTCAGGTCCTAGTACGTGAATGGAGGCTTGGGAGCGAGTTTGGGGTCGATTGGACGAAGATCGGACGCGTGGCGAGGTGCTAAGGAAGCCGCACGGGCATTCCTGGACATCACACGGCCGTGCAACTCACATTTGTGGCCGTGTGATTTTCACCGAGAGCAAACAAGGGCAGGATGGAAATCCCACACGGCCATGCGACCCTGGCCGTGTGGGAAGCCTGAATTTCGACTTAATGATACGCCGCGTTTTGACTCACACGGGCAACTGGGTGAGCCACACGGCCGTGTGGCCTGCCCGTGTGAGTCGGGAAATCATGGTTTTTCAGCCAATTTCGAGCCACAAGTGAGAGATCGGACTTTTTGAGCAAAAACAGAGCCCTAGAGAGAGAAAGGACGAAGAACACATCCTAGAAGCTATCTTGGAGCTGGGTTTCATCAAATCGAGCTTGGAGATTGTCACAGGAGTGGAAATCATCATCTCAGAGCAGATTCTTCCCATTGTAATGAGTAACTGCTTTGTACCTTGTTTTCCTCTCTCTCTCTATGGAGTAGAACCTCTCTCTCACTTGGGGATGAAGAACCCTAGTTCTATGTGTTAGGGATTGATTGTAATGACTTGGGATGATATTACTGTTTGATTTTAATCGAATGATGCATATTTATTGAGTCAATTGAAGTCTGATCAACTTTTCCTGATTCCTGCTACAATCTGAGATAGATAGAATCTGATTAGGTTGCTAGCGTCTCATCATTCGGTAGTAGGAGATTGGCTATACGAGAGTTAGCCAGTTTACTGCTTTGTACTGGAATCCAATTCCAGTAGTGGAGTTCTGTTCTTACTGCTTCAGCTTTCTATCCCGGTGAAGACTAGTCGTTTGCCGGGTAGTTAGATTGAGAGGGCTTGGTCAGCTTAAGAGATTCCAAGCTACTGTCGGATCTTCCGCAGTCTAATCAACAGTAAATCAACCCAGGGAAATACAATTGAAACCTAACTAAGGAGCTAGGGGGACTCATTCCCGAGTGACTCTTACCTGCTTGAGAAAACCGTATCAATTCCTGCTTTCTTTCTGCTTTTGCTTTTACACAACAAACACTTAACTTAGTTGGCTAGATAATAGAGAATCACTGAGTAAGCAGTAGATCTAGACCCCGGGTTGATAATATAACTTGTCACTTTACTGCATTCCCGGACTGCGATTATACTTGGTCGCAGTTTGGTGTTGTGTTTTAGAGCATCACTGACCTTACTACAGATTAGGGAGATGAAGAGTATTTATAGAACTCTTCTCCTAATCCCAAACAGAAAACCAAACACCTTTTCCCAAACATACAAGGAAAAGGTCAAACAAAGCCCAAACACAAACCCAAACAGAATAGGCCTAAAACACAAAACAAACCCAAATCAAATTCAAGTCATATCCTAACAGGTTTGGGTTTGGGTTTGACAAAACCCGCCCCAACCCGACCCATTGCCATCCCTGTTCCTAACTTATCGATACTTATTAAAAACTGAGTTTTAATTATTCATTAGTTTTTGTTTAATTTTAGTTAGATTATTTATTATATCGATAATTAATTCGATTTTAGAAACACCTTCTAATGTCTCTGTGGTTCCAATACTCATTTGTTCTTCTACAATGTCTGAGACAAAGTATGATATTTCTAGTGTAACCATAGTGATGTCATATATTGAAGTAAGATCTATAGTGTCTATTCCTTCTATCAACTTGTTTATATGATGAGTACTGGGCATTTTAATAAAAATATTTATATCTTATTTTTAAATTCTAGAATTAATTCTTGTAGATTTTTTTTCCACTATAGTTATTATTTTGATGAAGTATCGTGATATTTTTATTTCTTATTTTTCTTCTCGTTCCCCATCTTTTAGCTTATTTGTTATTCTTTTAGCGGGGTTTCGTCCATCTAGGCTAATTCTTCGATTATTATAATTTGATTTAATTATTTTTAGAGAGGGTTCTAAATGTATTAGTGGTTTAAATAAATTTTCTATGGTAATAATTTCCTTATCCTTGAATGCTAAACTATGATGACTATTGGTTAAGGCGTAGTTTATTTGGTATGTTACTGAAAATGGTTTGCTATTTTCCCTAAAAAATCATAAAAATTTCTCTTTTTAATTTATATTTTATTATAATTTAAGAATAATGATTTCCGTCTGTTAGACTTAAATCTTGTTGTAAATTAATCTCAAATTTAATTATTCCTACTCCTAAATTTCCTTGTCCTTTTGCTATTATACTTTCTTCATTATTAACGAGTCTGTCATCTCTTATTTCTAGTTCTATGGAAGCACTTATTCATGTTTTCATTGTTGATTTAAAGATAATTTGTAGTGTGCTAATATGGATATAAGCTATTTTACTTCGTTCTTCTTGTTGTAATTTTGATAGCTTTTTCCTAATTTGTTCTTTGTTTATTATTTGAATTAGATAATCTCTCTTGGTTTGTTCTATAGGTATTGTTGTTTCTCCTTTCATCTTTCCATATTTAATTATATTTTTTCTATCAAAGAGTTTAGATAAAAATGACTTTGTGATAAAGTTTTGAGTTTTTGATAAGGTAAAATTAAATTGCTCTTCGATTTTCTTAATATCTATGTACCATCTAAGAAATAGTTTTCTTCTTCATTCTTGCTTAAGTAATCAAAATAATATTTACTAGTACTAGGGTTATCAGACATATCTGGTTCTTGTTTAGTTTGAATGGTATGATTTCTTATTGTTTGACGTCTTCATGGTGATGATCGTTGGAGTTGCGTTTGGGAATTTTTGTAGGTTTGATAATTTTTGCTGTGCGGTGTTTTTGATAGGGGATAAGAGTGTCTCCAGAGTGTTACCTCCAACACTCAGTGACTAAGCACCTCAAGATGAACCTGCTATAAATATGTACGTGAAGACCTCATGAGGGGGTAGAGAATAAAAGTTTCAGTTAAGAATTTTCTCTCAAAGCCAAGACTCTGCCTTGAGGTGACTAGGCACTAAGTGTTTGAGGTAATACTCTGGAGACACTCTTATCCCCCATCAAAACACCGATCAGCAAAAATTATCAAACCTACAAAAATTCCTAAACGCAACTCCAACGATCATCACCAACATTCTTCACTTAGCATCACCATGAAGGCGTCAAACAATAAGAAATCAAACCATTCAAACTAAACAAGAACCATGTATGTATGATAATCCTAGTACTAGTAAAAATTACTATGATTACTTAATCAAGAATGAAGAAGAAAACTATTTCTTAGATGATATCATAGATATTAAGAAAATCAAGGAGCAAACTAATTTTACCTTATCAGAAACTCAAAACTTTATCGCCAAGTCATTTTTATCTAAACTCTTCGTTAGAAAAATATAATTAAATATGGAAAGATAATAGGAGAAACAACAATACCTATAGAACAAACCAATGGAAATTTTCTAATTCAAATAATAAAAAAAGAACAAATTAGGAAAAAGCTATCAAAATTACAACAAGAAGAACGAAGTAAAATAGCTTATATTCATATTAGCACGATACAAATTATCTTTAAATCAACAATGAAAACATGAATAAGTGCTCTCATAGAACTAGAAATAAGATATGACAGACTAGTTAATAATGAAGAAAGTATAATAGCAAAAGGACAAGGAAATTTAGGAGTAGGAATAGTTAAATTTGATATTAATTTACAATAAGGTTTAAATCTTGATTCTTCAATTATTATAAAATATTAATTAAAAAGAGAAAATGTTATGAGGAAAAATTTTATGAGAGAAAATAGCAAACCATTTTCAGTAACATACCAAATAAACTACGCCTTAACAAATAGTCATCATAGTTTAGCATTCAAGGATAAGGAAGCTATTACCATAGAAGATTTATTTAAACCACGAATATATTTAGAATCCCCTCTAAAAATAATAAAATCAAATTATAATAATCCAAGAATTAGCCTAGATGGACGAAACCCCACTAAAAAAATAACAAATAAGCTAAAAGAAGAGGAATGAGAAAAAAATGAAGAAATACAAAATATCACGATACTTCATCAAAATAATAAGGATAGTGAAATAAATACTTTATTAAAATGCCTAGTACTCATCATATAAACAAGTTGATAGAAGGAATAGACACTATAGATCTTACTTCAATCAATGACATCATTATGGTTACACTAGAACTATCATACTTTATCTCAGATATTGTAGAACAACAAATGAGTATTGGAACCACAGAGACAATAAAAGAAACTGTTTCTAAAATCGAATTAATTGCCGATATAATAATTAATCTGACTAAAATAAGAAAATCCTAATGAATAATTAAAACTTAATTTTTAATAAGTATCGATAAGTTAGGAAGACTAAAAAATCTCTTTACAAAACATAAAATTATATTGGTTGAGTCATGTCACTATCCCTCCATGATAAATAAAATAAACACATCTCCTTCCATGAAGAACAAACAAAAAAAATGAAGAAAGCAAAGTTACGTAAGAAAGATCATGAGTGTATATCAATTATTGGGTATCAGATTCTTTGGTTAGAATTTTTACGTAACATCGTGGGTATATATCTATGTTTGGGTATCAAATTCTTTGGTCAGATTCTTGGTATCAAAGCCAACAAACCCAACCAAGTCAACCAACCCAGGAATAAAAACAAAGAATTAAATATTAAAATAGGAAATTACAAAAAAGTGCAACTCAATTCAACCCAACGGGCTCACTTTGACACTCCTAAGCTTGATGCATACATTTCCAGGTTTCAAACTTGATCTTGTTTAACGGGATGTGATTTTCAGTATCGAAAGGATCTTGATAAGAAGGAAAAGGAAACAATGATGAGTTTCTTTTGATAATACCATGTTAAATTTGTTGGTTGTGTAAGTTGTTTGATAATTGTCTACTAATCCCTATTACTATGCCGACCTACAAACCGAATGCTAAACCCAGGCTGGACATGGAGACAATTAGCAATTTCTTCAAGAACAGCACCCATCCTGTTATCTCCATGATCCCCCCGATTGAGCTTGTCAATAATGACTTTGGCGTCGCCTTCAAAACGAACATCAGTAAGCCTCAATCCTTGACACCAAAGCACAGCCTCCCGAAGCACCAACAATTCCACAACCATCGGATCATCAATATACGCAAATTGCACTCCCGTGGCCATACTGATCCCCCCGTAGGAAACAGAATAACCATTCCACCCGCCGAATGGGACCCCCTCCTAGTGGCCCCATCCCACCTACAGACCATACGAGGATCACCCTCCCCCTCCAGCTGACCAGAACAAGGGGGAGGCGCCTGTGAGATGGAGCGGGCAGGCAACCTAACCCATTCCTCATACTGCTGGATAAACTGACGCATCAACACTGGGATCCCGAACTGTTTCCCTTCAAATACCACCCAGCTACGAGAGCGCCAGATCCGCCAGAGGATGGCAACTATTGCCATGAACAAAGTAGGTTGATTGATTAAGGCCAAAAGCTTTTTGAGAAACAAAGGAAACGTCTGACGAGGTAACCCCTCCCCTAGATAGTCCAATCCCGAGTAGTCCCAGAGGGCCCGAGCCACCGGACAGTATAGGAACAAATGCTCTAACGATTCTGCACTATCCCAACAAACCGGGCAACGAGGATGAACCGGGACCCTACGCTCAATGAGAGCCTCAGTAGTTGGGAGGGCACGAGAGAGGATCTGCCAGACGAACACCTTCAGCTTAGGGGGAATGTTTGCCTCCCACAGGCGAATCCAACTAGTCTTATCCATCCAGCTGACCGAGTCTTTCCACCCACCCTTCCGCTTATCCAGCAAGACAACTAGGTGATAGGCAGATTTGACCAAAAACACCCCGTCAGCATTCTCATGCCAGATCATCCTATCCTCCACATTCTGACGCAGGAGGGGAATAGCTTTGATGGCCTTACAAGTAGCAGGATCAAACCATTGCCTAAGTTTGTGGTCACACCAACGCCCCTCCCCCTGACAAATAATCTCGGCTACGACCGGGTCACCCCTACCAGGCAAAACACAAGGATTATACTGAGGTGGGTCCAACTGAAACTGTGGGATCCAGTTGGAGTTTAATAAAAATGCCGACCGACCATTACCGATTTGCCATCGCAGCCCTTTTTCCAATAATTGGCACCCAAAGATAATGCTTTGCCACCCCCAAGAAGGACGGGAGCGAGCTGTAGCGGTGAGGAAGGACCCATTGGGGAAATACTTCCCTTTGTACACCTGAGCCAGGAGGGATTGGGGATTAGTTAATATACGCCAGCCAATTTTGGCCAACAGAGCTTGATTAAACTGCTCAAACCTGCGAAATCCCATCCCCCCATCATGCTTACTCCTACACATATGCCGCCAGGAGACCCATCGAATTTTTAGATGACCCTCAGCCTCCCCCCACCAGAACCGAGCCACATTCTTGTCCAAAAGACGACATAGCGAGGCTGGTAATTTGAAACACGACATTACATGCAGGGCAAAGCCAAAGCAACAGACTTAATGAGGGTCTCCTTAGCCGCCCAGGATAACGTTTTCTGCTTCCATCCCTGAAGCTTCTCTAAAAATTTCTCCTCCAAGTACCTGAATGTAGCCATTTTGGATCGAGCAAACAGCGTGGGCAGCCCTAGGTATTTATCGTGGACTCCCACCGCCCCAACCCCCAGAATCAAAGCCAGGAATTCTTGATCATCCAGAACTATGTTCTTACTGAAACAAACATCCGATTTTTCCAAATTCACCCGCTGACCGCTCAATTAGTCATACTCGTTCAAGACCTCGATCAGATTCTCACATTCCTGAAGATTCCCCCGTAGAAACAAGTAAGAATCATCAGCAAAAAACAAGTGAGAGATTCTGGGGGCACGGGGAGCCACTTTAACACCCTGAAGTTTCTTTTCCGCAATTGCCTTACGCAGGAGAGCCGTAAATCCCTCAGTGCAAATCACAAACAAAAGAGGGGACAACGGATCTCCCTGCCGCAACCCCCTGGAAGGCATAAAGTATCCTGAGGGGGATCCATTCATAAGCACAGAAAACGAAGAGTGTTGGTTGCGTCGAGCGCGAGACTCTATACCTGTTCTTTGAACAACTTAACCACAAATAAACTCAATTATACTGTTTTACCCAAACAAACTTAAACAGCTAAGCAACGGTTAATTCCACTTAATGTGTCTGCTAGCTCAGTCCTCGGACTAAACTCTACACACTGATTAATTAACTTAGTTTAATCACTCGAATTAAACCTTCACCAAGACTAACAGTTATGCTCACAATTAAATCCTACCGTTTTTGGCTGACTGGGCTTCTAAGCCCACCTAATCAATACCCGCTGGAGAAATAAACCAAGTTAGTAAAACCCAGCCCAACTAAAAGGTAGAACCAACCCAGTCTTTAATTGACCCAACAAAACGACGGTGTTTTAAATTCAAGTTCGGTGTTCCCTCCTACTCTCTCCTTCGACCCAAGGTTAATCTGCTTCTTTCAAAATGAAGAACAAAGCAAGAAAAGTTAAGAAAACAGTAATATAAACTCAGCCAAGAATGAACCCAATTATGTCAAGTCCAGCTTCACGAGTTCCTCAACTCTTGTTCAGGTACGTCGCCTTCCCTGGCTTCTCCTGGATCGCGTTCCCCTGCACAACCTGACTTGGAACAGAACACAACCAGAGGGACACACAGACTGGAAATTGAAAAGCAAAAAACAAACCCAACACACGATTTTTACGTGGTTTCCAGTATTGGGAGAATGAGGATCCCAATACTGACTACTCCACGGTCGGAGACTCACTGTTGTGTGATCTCCGACGATTCACTAAAGATATTTCGTTGAAGTTCGATGTAAATCTATCTACCCAAGAACCCTTTGATCAATCTCAGCCCGATTGATCAAACACTCTCTTCTCAAACCCCGAATTGCTTCCCCAGCAACTCTTAACAATGTTTCCCCAACACTAACCCTCAAAGCAATTCTCCCCGAACCCTTTGAGAAACCCCCCTTTTCTATCAACCTTGCTACTCTCTCACAAAATCCCCTTTTGACTTAGCTAGCTTTGTTGATCTCCGAAAAGGTTCCATTGCTCTTCCTTCAAATCGCCTTTTATAGGCTGCCAAGTAACCGTTGCTAATTCAAATACCTTCCCTTATTAGTGATGATTTGCTTGAGATTCCATCTTCTGATTTGATTTGCATTGTTGTACCAAATCTCCTTAATTTGATCTATCCTCTTATTTTCTTCCTTCTTTCCATGTTTGCTCCTGATCTTCTTTCCTTCTCAAGTGGCCTTTGACTAGCTTGTTCCAACATTCTCCCCCTAAGCTGTCAATGGCCAACATTCTCCCCCTGAACAGAATGTCACTAACTTCAGACTAAACTTGTTCACTCTTAATCTGCTAATAATCAGAACCTGCACACTTAAGCAAACCGTTGGTGTAGCCTGTCCAACAAACAACTAAGAGCTATCATGAGTTGAAAAGACAACTGGGAGTCCATTTCTATTCGTAAAAATAGTAATCAAGGTACATTCAACACAGTGACTCAACATGACAAAGTTTAAACTCATTCAAGCAAAGAACAATGACCCAACAGACTATGACTCAAACATAAAAGAGACATCCAACTTCTACTTGATTAAACCAACCCACTTCATAAAGGAGACAACAGACTTTTACTTGATTAACCTAAACCACACCATTCAACTAACTCTAATTCATCTATGGATCTCCCCCCTAAGCCTAGTAGTCGACGGTTCCTAGTAGGCCTAATTCATCTATGGATCTCCCCCTAAGCCTAGTAGTCGACGGTTCCTAGTAGGCGTAATCCGGAGACGAAGCATACTCCGACGAGTCGTCTTCATTAGGTTCGGATTCAGGTTCGGATTCAGACTGAGCAGATTTGTCTCCCCCTTGAACTTTGGCAAGTTTTCGAGGTCCAAGCTCCGAGATAGTGCGGCGTAGAACATGTTGGGCTTGAAGGTCTGAATGTACATCCACGCAAATCAACCCCTAAGATTGCTAGCAGATAGGTGATTTGTGGGCCAAAAGGCAGCTTCCTGCTACACTCTTCATCTTGATATTTAATCATGTGATTAAACATCAGGGAGGCATAGCTGATCGGGTAGCTTGTCTTTGCGTTGAATAGAATCCAGAGATCGGACTCGTCTAGAATGGTGGCCTATTCAGCAGCGCGAGGGAGAAACACGTGACTGATGTAGAACTGCAGGACCTTCAGATCATCCGGTAGCCGCTCAACGGAAAACATCGAGAGCTGGTGACTCCCGTAATCACTACCTAAGTAAGACATTGTGTCTATGGGGTGGAACCCATAGCTGTCAAAGTCTTCTGCAGTTCCAGCTTGGTAACCACCATGAGGGAGATGCAACAGGGTAGCCAACATATCAGCAGTAACCGTCACACTGAAATTGTAGACGGTGGTGGTGAAATACGACGGATAACGTCTAGGACTGCACTGCATACTCGCGTAGAACATTCTCACAGCTTCAGGGCACTGATCAAGGAGTCGATTCTGAAGCAGAGAACTCCACTCAAGGTCATTGATATATCCATTAACCCTCAGTCTATACCGATTGAAGGTGGTAGGAGGGATGAGGAAATTAGTGATTTGCTCGAACAGAAGCTTAGGGATTTTAGGCAGTCGCTGAAAAACGAAAGGCGCCACTATTTTGCTGAACTGGAATCACACGAGCGACAAAGAGAGTCTGCTAGGGTGGAGATTAGGCTTATGCCCACAACCCGAGTGAGCGGCGCTAGCAGAGGATTTCGAATGAGGGGACTGAACAGGCAGGAATCTCACGAAAGGCTAGGAGATGGACAGGAGAGTGAGCTGGGCTTAGGCCCACAAGGCCTGGTGAGGGGCTTAGAGAATGAAGGCCGAGGACACACATTGAATGTGTTTAAGAAGGCTTAGACCACTGATTATGATCAGACCAAGAGGCCATAATCAGACCTTGAAAAGCTTAACCTAAATCGTTAATTTCACTAGACAGAATAAGCCCTAGTTCTCGACGAATAGTTAGAAATTGGTCAGCACATAGAGGTTTAGTGAAAATATCGGCCCATTGATTTGTTGTAGGCACAAACTCAAGCTGAATTTGGCCTTCTTCAATCAATTCTCGAATGAAATGATACCTAATTTCTATGTGCTTGGTTCGAGAATGTTGCACGGGATTTCTTGCCATGTTAATGGCACTCGTATTGTCACACAATACGGGCATGGACTTTATTTCTAACCCATAGTCACAAAGTTGATGCTTCATCCAAAGGAGTTGAGTACAACATAGGCCTGCGGCCACGTATTCAGCCTCAGCGGTGGAGAGAGCAACAGAAATTTGTTTCTTACTAAACCAAGACACAAGTGAATTTCCTAGAAATTGACATGTCCCGGAAGTACTTTTACGATCAACTATGCATCCAGCATAGTCTGAGTCACTATAACCAATTAACTCAAGACTTGACTCACTATCATACCACAGACCTAGATCCATTGTGCCAGCTAAGTAACAAAAGATTCTCTTGACTGCAGTCAGATGACTTTCCTTAGGAGCACTTTGAAATCTAGCACATAGACACACACTAAATTGAATATCGGGTCTACTAGCAGTGAGATACATTAGTGACCCAATCATTCCTCTATAGAATTTCTCGTCAATAGACTTACTCGACTCATCCTTGTCTAGTTTAATCGTAGAGGCCATAGGTGTAATTGCAGTTTTTAGATTCCCAAATTCAAAACGTTTTAACATATTTTGAATGTACTTGGTTTGACTAATGAAAATACCTCGAGCTGTTTGTTTAATTTGCAAGCCCAAAAAATACGTTAATTCTCTCATGGCACTCATTTCAAAAGTTTTCTTCATGATTTTTTCAAAATATTCGCACAACTCTTTGCTAGAAGATCCAAATATAATGTCATCAACATATATTTGAACCAGTAACATATGTTGTCCTGTATTTTTTATAAAGAGAGTTGTATCCACTGAGCCCCTCTTAAAACCTTCTCCTAAAAGAAAAGAGCTAAGTTTTTCATACCAAGCTCGAGGAGCTTGTTTAAGACCATATAGTGCCTTCTTTAATTTATAGACATGGTTTGGGTATCTAAAGTCTTCAAAACAGGGTGGTTGTTCAACTTACACTTCCTCTTTTAAATCTCCATTTAAAAAGGCACTCTTGACATCCATTTGAAAGTAAACCCTTAGAGCTAGCAAACGCACATAACATTCTAATAGCCTCTAATCTAGCTACCGGAGCAAATGTTTCATCGAAATCAATTCCCTCTTCTTGATTATACCCTTTAGCTACCAACCTAGCCCTATTTCTAGTAGCTACCCCATTTTCATTTGACTTGATCTTGTAGATCCATTTAGTCCCGATAATAACTCTATTAGGGGGTCTAGGTACTAACTCCCACACATTAGCTCGTTCAAACTGACTCATTTCATCATTCATAGCAGCATTCCAATTTTCATCATTCAAGGCATCTTGCACGTTTTTAGGTTCAATCAATGACACAAAAGCAGTATGCACAATTGAATTTCTAGAGCGAGTGACCATACCTTCATTTAGCCCTCCTATCATAAGTGAAGATGGATGACGTTTGGCAATATAAGGAGGAGATTGTCTTACTTCATGGTCTTGCTCGATTGGAGAGTTTGTAGTACTTACAGTTTTATCTTGATATTCAGAAATGATCATTATGGGTTCAGATTTCTCCGTGTTTGATGTCCTTGGTAGATCATAGCTCCCACCAAGTCCAAAATCATCTTCATCTATCTCATCTGAAACCTCATTAGCAGATTCATCAAATATAACATTTATGGACTCTTCCACTTTGAGAGTCCTTTTATTGAATATTCTATATGCTCAGCTAGTAATGGAATAGCCCAAAAACACACATTCATCGGATTTAGCATCAAACTTCCCAAGATGATCTTTGGTATTTAGTGCAAAGCACTTGCAACCAAAGGGATGGAAGTAACTCAGATTGGGTTTTCTTCCTCTCCAAATCTCATAAGGAGTCTTCTTAATTCCAGATCTGATCAAAGCTCGATTAGTAATATAGCATGCAGTATTGATGGCTTCAGCCCAGAAGTACTTAGGCAAACCATAGTCATGTAACATTGTTCGAGCTATGTCAATTAAAGTCCGATTTTTCCTTTCCACCACTCCATTTTGTTGCGGAGTTCGAGGAGCAGAAAAATTGTGACTTAGCCCTAGCTTATTGCAGAAGAGTTCAAACTCTTCTGAGATAAATTCTCCACCATGATCACTTCTGATGCTAGCAACCTTAGATTGTTTTTCATTTTCCAATTTCCTAGTTAGAGACTCAAAATTTTGAAAAGCTTCACTTTTGCTGGCTAGAAACAATACCCAAGTGAAACGAGAGTAGTCATCTACAATTACAAAAGCATAGGACTTACCTCCATAGCTTACCACATTGGTTGGTCCGAAGAGATCAAGATGAAGTAGTTCAAGTGGTCTCGATGTCGATATTACCGACTTACTCTTGAAGCTTGACCTTGTATGCTTCCCTTTAGCACAAGCATCACAAAAGAATTCCTTTTTGCCTTTTAACTTAGGCAGACCTCTGACTAGCTCAAGATCACTAAGTTTAGACAGAATTCCTATACTCACATGTCCAAGCTTCCTATGCCAATCTATTTGATCATTCTTTTCTAATGACATTAGACAAGTTACCTTGAAACACTTTTTATCATCTAGATCTATGACATATAACTTATTTTTACGTCTACTGGTGAAAAGCACTTTCTTATCCACCAAAGACTCGATGTAGCAGCAATCATGTTCAAAAATTATCCTCTTATCTTTGCCACACATTTGACTAATAGAAAACAGATTATGCTTAAGACCTTTTACTAGCATCACATTTTCAATGCAAGGATCTGAACCTACTATTCCTCTTCCTATTATGTCGGCAGAATTATTGTCACCAAAAAATACCTTACCACCTTTACCTTCTTTGAGAGTGGTGAATAGGTTTCGATTTCCTGTCATGTGGTGTGAGCATCCACTGTCTAATATCCATTCAGTTGCCTCCATGCTCACTTGGAAGCAAACCTGCGCCATTAGCAGTCATGCAGTTTTGGGTTTTTGTATCCAGACTTTCTTGGATACAGTTTGTTTGTGATCTTTAAGAGAACAAAATTTACTAATGTGACCGACTTGATGACAAGTAAAACAAGTTCTATATTTTTCATTTTGTATTCTCTTTCTGCATACTCGCCTAATGTGCCCAACTTTATGACAATAAAAACATTGTATGTTTCTATATCTTTGTGTTAATGTTCCATTCCTCTCATGCTTAATTGATTCTCCAAAAATCTTCGACTTACCTTTACTACATTAATTTGATCCTAATTTTTCACAACATCCCTTAGTGGAATGATTTAGGTAAGATTTACCTTCCTTTTTCAGAGATTCACTCTTACTCCCTTCTAATGATGCTTGAAGTTTTGTCGTGAGACTCGATTTCTCATTTTCTAAAACTTCAACTTTCTTAGCAGTTTCATCTAACTCTTCTTTTAATCTTATCGCCTCCTTCTTTAGTTCATCATATTCAATGATTATTTTGGCATGATCAGATTTCAGTTTAGAGTATTTTACTTTAACGTTTCCAAACTCTAACTGAATTTCCTTGATAGTGGATACTAATAGATCATCATCACTATAGTAATCACTGTCACTGAAATGAGTATGGTTGGAAGGTTTTACCTCGTTTGAGTTATGTCTTTCTGATGGCTCTTCAACATCAATTGCCATGTAGCTTTCTTCTCTTGTTTCCTCTCCATCCTCATCTTCTTCTTCGCTACAGCTCCATGTTGCAGCCATGGCTCGTTCTTTTCTTGCTAGAGGACATTCAGCCTTGATATGCCCGTTTTTTCCACATCTAAAGCATCCGGTTGTGTTTTGAACCTTAACCGACTGAAGTTGTTCAATCCTGCTTTTGTGGAAAGTTCTTGATTGAGGGTATTTTGTTGTACCACCTTCTTTCTCAACTTCTCTATTCTTGTTGACGAAGTTTCCTCTTCGTTTTTCTCTTCTTACTCGAAGTAGTCTACTAATTTGTTTGCTTAGTAGAGCCGATTCCTCATCCTCCATATCATCGAGATCTTCTGTGTCTTCATTGTATGTGGTAGCCTTGAAGGCTATCCCCTTTTTCCCTTTATCATGATTTCCCTTGTTGAGCTTGTCCTCATGAGTTGCTAATGACCCGATGAGTTCATCTATAGCTAACTTCTCTAGATCTTTAGCTTCCTCTATTGCAGTTACCTTTGGAGTCCATTGCTCTGGGAGACTCCATAATATTTTTCGAACAAGATCTCCACTTTCATATGATTTCCCAAGATTCTCCAGACTGTTCACAATGTTTGTGAAACGCTCGTACATTTGCCGGATTGTTTCTCCTTCTTCCATTTTGAACAAATCGAATTGCTGTTTTAAAGAATTAATTCGAGAAGTTTTGACTTGAGATGTACCTTCATACGTAACCTGAAGTTTATCCCAAATTTCCTTAGCAGTCTTGCAACCGGCAACCTTGTGATATTCTTCTGGACCGAGTGCACAGTACATAAGATTAGTTGCCTTGCAGTTTTGTTGAAATTTTTCAAAGTCCTCGTCAGTCCATTTTTCTTGATCCTCTTTGAGCTCATACGGACCCTTGATGACTCTAGCCCAGAGTTTTGGATCTGTAGATCCAACAAATAATTCCATGCAATATTTCCAATATCCATAATTAACTCCTTCAAACCTGGGAGGCCGATTTTGAGAAAATCCGTCAGCCAAATAGAGTGGAGCATTATTCTTGGAACCCGACGCCATTTTGATTAGCACCGGAGGTCGTTGAACCTTGTTCTACGGTGACCGTGCTCTGATACCACGTGTTGGTTGCGTCGAGCGCGAGACTCTATACCTGTTCTTTGAACAACTTAACCACAAATAAACTCAATTATACTGTTTTACCCAAATAAACTTAAACAGCTAAGCAACGGTTAATTCCACTTAATGTGTCTGCTAGCTCAGTCCTCGGACTAAACTCTACACACTGATTAATTAACTTAGTTTAATCACTCGAATTAAACCTTCACCAAGACTAACAGTTATGCTCACAATTAAAGCCTACCGTTTTTGGCTGACTGGGCTTCTAAGCCCACCTAATCAATACCCGCTGGAGAAATAAACCAAGTTAGTAAAACCCAGCCCAACTAAAAGGTCGAACCAACCCAGTCTTTAATTGACCCAACAAAACGACGGTGTTTTAAATTCAAGTTCGGTGTTCCCTCCTACTCTCTCCTTCGACCCAAGGTTAATCTGCTTCTTTCAAAATGAAGAACAAAGCAAGAAAAGTTAAGAAAACAGTAATATAAACTCAGCCAAGAATGAACCCAATTATGTCAAGTCCAGCTTCACGAGTTCCTCAACTCTTGTTCAGGTACGTCGCCTTCCCTGGCTTCTCCTGGATCGCGTTCCCCTGCACAACCTGACCTGGAACAGAACACAACCAGAGGGACACACAGACTGGAAATTGAAAAGCAGAAAACAAACCCAACACACGATTTTTACGTGGTTTCCAGTATTGGGAGAATGAGGATCCCAATACTGACTACTCCACTGTCGGAGACTCACTGTTGTGTGATCTCTGACGATTCACTAAAGATATTTCGTTGAAGTTCGATGTAAATCTATCTACCCAAGAACCCTTTGATCAATCTCAGCCCGATTGATCAAACACTCTCTTCTCAAACCCCGAATTGCTTCCCCAGCAACTCTTAACAGTGTTTCCCCAACACTAACCCTCAAAGCAATTCTCCCCGAACCCTTTGAGAAACCCCCTTTTCTATCAACCTTGCTACTCTCTCACAAAATCTCCTTTTGACTTAGCTAGCTTTGTTGATCTCCGAAAAGGTTCCATTGCTCTTCCTTCAAATCGCCTTTTATAGGCTGCCAAGTAACCGTTGCTAATTCAAATACCTTCCCTTATTAGTGATGATTTGCTTGAGATTCCATCTTCTGATTTGATTTGCATTGTTGTACCAAATCTCCTTAATTTGATCTATCCTCTTATTTTCTTCCTTCTTTCCATGTTTGCTCCTGATCTTCTTTCCTTCTCAAGTGGCCTTTGACTAGCTTGTTCCAACAAAGAGGACCGGAGGCACTCAAGAATCCACCCCTGCCAGATATAGTTAAACCCATCTTATTCATAACTGCGAGGAGAAATGGCCATTCGACTCTATCATAGGCCTTTTCCATGTCAACCTTTAGAGCCATGTACCCTTTCTTTCCTCGAGCTTTGATTTTCAAATAATGCATTAACTCATGTCCAAGGAGGATGTTATCAATTATCTGACGTTCGCGGATAAAAGCATTTTGACCCTCAGAGATAATTTGAGGAAGGATGCTTGCCAGTCTTTCAGCCGTAAGCTTCGTTATAATTTTGTAAACAAATTGGCACAGACTGATTGGACGTAATTGCCGCATAGTCTCCACTTTTTCCACCTTAGGAATCAAGGTGAGCCAAGTGTGATTAAAGCTTTTAAGCATCCGAATCGTCTCAAAGAAGGAACAAACTACTGCAATCACTGAGTCCCCTACTACATCCCAGAAAGCCTTAAAGAACTTCCCGTAAACCCATCAGAGCCCGGGGCTTGCTTTGAACCCATGGAAAACACAGTTTTTCGAACTTCACTGGGTAGGACTTCAGCCGTCAAGGCAGCGTTCATCTCAGGGGGTAATACTCTGAGAAATAGGGAGATTATCTACCCGCTCAGCCATATTCGGGACGTGCGTTTCGGAGGTGAAGAGACACTGGTAAAAGTTTGTGGCAATATCTGCTTTCCCTAGTTCCTCAGTGACCCAATCCCCATTGTCACTACGGAGACCAGCTACGAAATTACGCTTTCGCCTAGCACGAGTAACCGTATGGAAATAGGAGGAATTTTGATCCCCCTTTTTCAGCCACCGGACCCTGGACTTTAGCTGCTTGTAGATCTCCTCCGCCTCCCATTGACGATTAAGCTCAAACTCGAGGTTTCTAACCTCGTCCCAATCGACTGGATGAACCAATTTAATCCGCTCAATCTCCGCCTGCAGGGTTTTAATATTCCGCAAGGAATTAGTAGTACCCGCCCTACTCCAATCATATAGCAAATGGCGAAGCCGTTTGAGGCGCTCCCAAAGGCGGAACATAGGGGTTCCTTGTATTTCCTCCTTCCAGACATAATTAACCATAGCCCTAACTTCAGGATTATCAGCCCAACGGGCATCAAATCGGAAGAGGGGGCGGCTGTTGCGGGTGTAGGCCTTGTCCGAGAGAAGGAGGCCACGATGGTCAGAACCCTGATCCGTGAAATGCTTTACCAAGGTGTCCGGGAAACGATCAATCCAAGGGTGTGAGCAAAGAGCTCGATCCAGGCGCTCACGGATACACGCAGCCCCCATCCGTCTGTTAGTCTAGGTGAATTGATCACCTTTGTACCCCGGGTCATGGAGCCCCAGGTCCTGAACAAAGTCCCGAAGGCTCAGAGATTGAACAACACTCCAAGGCAGCCCACCATCCTTTTCCACCTATCATGATTTTTCACAAAAAAATTGCCACATCAGTAATAAACATCAGTCCAGTGAACACGCTAGATCACACCGTTAAAGAATTGGAAGGAATTGGCTTTATTTGGTATTTCTTCAAAAGTGGCTATTATTGACAAATACGACAAAGTTTTGGCTATACAAGTGTATTTTGCCAAAATTAAAGGATTGACATATGGGCTCGGTTAAGAAATGGGCCACATTGTAAGGCCCAAAACTCCAATTCGTTCTTTCCAGGTCTCTCCGTCTTGCTTCTCTAATGTACATTTTCTCTTCCGTCCTCTCCAGACAAAAAAATCTCAGCTTGGTGGATTGCCCTGCTGCTCAGTTCCGGTGAGTTCCTCCGGCAACGATTCAACCCTGAATCGCCTTTCTCTCTATTTTCCATATTCCACCGCTTACGGATCAATTTGATGTTGGAAAATCTGTCACTGCTAAAAGTGCTTTCTTCCTCCTAGAAAGCTGAATTGCCTTGCGGGGGACGCGGCGGCGGTTATTGCTTTTGTGATGTGGGGGGGATTCTCTCATTCTTTAGGACTTGACTGTGTTAATGCTCAGTGTTGAACTTCGATTCTTCTGGATAAGGAGTCAATTTAGAACTGATTCCGCTCCTGTTTTGTTGTATCGTTGTGTAGACCTGCAAGTCCCCAATTGTTCTCCCGGTGGTTTCTGGGTATCTTCAGAGGGTTTTGTGTGGCTGCTGAACTCGAACCACAATGGGGATCATTGAGAAGATTAAAGAAATCGAGGCCGAGATGGCTCGGACCCAGAAGAATAAAGCCACAGGTGATTTTGCTTTTGAGTACGTTTTCCAGCTTGTTTAGGTTTTTGAGTTTCTTAATATGTTGTCTTATTGCTGACTGATTGATTCACAGAGTACCATCTTGGTCAGCTCAAGGCGAAAATCGCAAAGCTTAGGACACAGCTGTTGGAGCCTCCGAAAGTATGTATCCCTGATGTAGTTTTCCGTCGCATTTGTATTTCGGATTTCACTCTTCCTCATCTATTTGGGGATGATGGATTATTTGACATCCTATGTGTCCTGAATCAGGGTTCTAGTGGAGGTGGTGATGGTTTTGAAGTTACAAAATTTGGTCATGGACGAGTTGCACTTATTGGGTTTCCAAGGTGAGATCCCATTTCCAGATAGGTGATAGGTTTTTAGGAGGTAGATTAAATGTAAATGTTGTATGTGCATACATCTTTTTAGCCTTGTTCATAAAGTCTCAATTGGAATTATTATCCGACATGTTGCAGAATCATTGAGAACACAAGGAAGATTTCTTCTAAATGTTGAAGCTTTGTATGATGTTAACGATGAATGAACCTTGTGCTCCTTTTTATGATTGTAGTGTGGGGAAGTCAACTCTTTTAACTATGTTGACGGGGACCCATTCGGAAGCTGCATCATACGAGTTTACAACACTTACCTGTATTCCTGGCATCATACACTACAATGACACAAAAATTCAGCTGCTTGATCTTCCTGGAATCATTGAAGGTGCTTCTGAAGGAAAAGGACGTGGAAGACAAGTAACTAGTCGTAGTTCTAGTTATTTTGCACTTGTATGCCGTCATGTGAATTATATGATTGCAGGATTGGCTCATATTGTGCTTGTTTCAGGTTATTGCTGTTGCAAAGTCTTCGGACATAGTTTTGATGGTTCTTGATGCTTCCAAAGTAAGACCAATATTGATACTTTCTTCTGCAGTGCATAAAAACGCATGACCTTAAATTATTTGCTTTTGGGTGACCTATTTACAATTCACGATTGTTGCAGAGCGAGGGTCATCGTCAGATATTGACAAAGGAACTGGAAGCCGTGGGATTGCGTTTAAACAAGAGACCCCCTCAAGTAAGGAATTTTTTATCAGCTGTTCTGGTATTCCTTTCTAAACCATTAAAGTTCACTGAACGATGTCCGCTTGTCTAAGACGAGCAATCAGTTCGGCTCAGCAGTTATTGATTATGCTTTGCCTGGCACAGATTTATTTCAAGAAGAAAAAAACTGGCGGAATCTCTTTCAACAGTACTATGCCTTTGACTCATGTTGATGAAAAGCTCTGTTACCAGATTCTACATGAGTACAAGATTCACAATGCAGAGGTACTTATTTATTGATTATTGAATTGAAACATAGTTTCCATGTATTCTGCCTTAAGTTATCAGAATCCAGTTACCAATATAGTAAAGGTGAGGCTATAGGCAGTAGGGTATGTCTCTGACTTACATATACATGCTTCATTTTTTTTTTATCTCTTTCCTGCAATGCTTTTAAGCTACATCTAGACGTCCTATACTCTCATGCGATGTGCCTGGCAACTCAATTGAATGTTGGATGTCATAACTGTTTCCTTCCAGTGTATCTCACTTGCTTAGGATTTGACTGCAGATCCTATTTCGTGAGGATGCCACAGTGGATGATTTTATAGATGTGATCGAGGGTAATCGTAAATACATGAAGTGTGTATATGTCTACAACAAGATAGATGTTATTGGTATTGATGACGTCGACAATCTAGCTCGACAGCCCAATTCTGTTGTCATCAGCTGCAATTTGAGGGTAATTTATGTGCATCCATTATATTGATATGGCCTATTATGCCAACTTTAAGCTGAGAGTCCAAGTAGTGATTTTATTTTCTGCACATTCATGTGTGTTGTACAGCTCAACTTTGACAGACTGCTTGCAAAGATGTGGGAGGAAATGGGGCTTGTGAGAGTCTACACAAAACCACAAGGCCAACAACCCGATTTTGGTGATCCCGTGGTTCTGTCAGTAGTACGTTACACAACTTCACCCTGCTTTTGCACAAGTGTAACATTGGTACTTCTTGGACTTCTTTTTCTAAATTTGGGACTGCAATTTGTGTGCCACAGGACAGAGGAGGTTGCTCAGTCGAGGACTTCTGTAACCACATCCACAGAAGTTTAGTCAAGGATGTGAAATACGTGCTGGTATGGGGCATCAGTGCACGACATTATCCGCAGCACTGTGGTCTTGCTCACGCTCTTCAAGATGAGGATGTTGTCCAAGTTGTCAAGAAAAAGGTAATCTTTGCTCCAAGAATCTGTCTGCCTCACTATAGTTGTTTGTTCGGGTATCCGACAACAATGTTTGGTTTTCCTCTTTGATTTGGTTTTCCAGGAAGGGAATGAAGGAGCGAGAGGCCGGTTTAAGTCACATTCCGATGCTCCTGCTCGGATATCCGACAGACAAAAGAAGGCGCCTCTGAAGCAGTGAACATCGATCGAGAGACAAACCCCCTGGGAGACGGGTTGCATCGAATTAGGACCTGCGTTAGTTGGCAGCACTGTTCTTGTTATATGTTTGTACCAAAATCATGCCGAGGAGCCCGTCTTGAATGAATGCTTTGCTCATGTTTTCATTGCTGCATGAATCAAGAGGACTTACCTCTATTCCAGAGGACATAGATTTGAAATTTTGTCACCAATGGTGGGTGCTTGAGATGAATACCTGTTCTAAAGTTGGAAGGAGGCACGATCTATTATAGAGTTCTGTTGGGTTCTTGTATTTGTTTTGTTTTACCTTGTCCTATTTTGGTCATGTTCCCTCTGTATGAGCGGTGTATCTAGCATCCTAGTAGAACGCTTCAGAGTGCTACCTGTTTAGAAGGCAAAAGCAACTATCTTGACCTAAACAGTTAGATCTCAAGCATCATATTCAGAACCGATGGATGGTATGAATGATGAACTAGTTCAAGAGCAATTCTACTATGCTATATAGTATTGGTGTTTTAATGTACAATTTGAAGTTGTACCATAACATTAAATGTACAAGTTTAGGTTGTACCATAAAAGAATTTGTATCACTATGTTATGGTACAACTTTACAACTTGAAGTTGTACCATCACATAAGGTACAAGTTTAAGTTGTACCATAAAAGAATTTGTACAAAAAGTATAGGTACAATCTGAAGTTGTATCATAACATTAAAGGTACAATTTCAAGTTGTACCATAAAGGTAAAAACCTATAGCACCAATGCTATATAGCATTGTAAAATTCCTCCTAGTTCAATTGTTCAAACGTGGTCAATGTAGTGAAAAAGGAAACTGTAGACACGGTCTGCGATATGAGGCACAAGGCAAACAACAAACATTTGAACGGTTATGGGATGGGGTCTGGGCGGGAGTGTCAAGTCATCAACGGCGGCGGACGAGTATAAACTCCGGCGCATCTTCTGCATGCATTGCCAAGAGTACGGTGCTAGCTAGCTGCCTCTACTCTCTACCTACCATCGAAACAGAATCCAGAGTCAATATTCTTGTCGTCTCTGGTTGATCGAACACCATCTCCTTGTTGTCTATTGCATTGCTTGCATGCGGTGTTTTAGTGAACTCTTCAACAACAAAAAAGTTAGCGCGAGAAAGAAAAAGAGAGAGCTCAGTTGTGACAAATTTTCATCAGAAACGGATGAGAGAGCGTGAATGGACCGTACCAATCATCGCAAAGTCCAGTTAACCTCACAGCCCTTGATGCACCAGCCGTGGCAGGGTACTATTCTACCACTAGACCACTGGTGCTTCATATTGTTTCTCTCTTACTAATCAGTTTTATACCATTTTAAGTTATCGCTATCTACACTTGGAATTTGGTAAGACAACTACCACTATTACATGTGGACATTTTCATCCATGCAAAATTAGTTGGCAACAGTGCTGTCAATTCATCAATCATATTAAAATTACATGCTAAAAATGACAAGGAAAATAAAAGTTTTATGATCTGCAGCATCACCATTGCATGAATACAACCCACTACGTAATCTTACACTAGTTACACAGCTAGCTTGCCCAATTGAGCAGCAAAAGGACCTCGGAAGAAAAAAGAACAAAATGGGAGCCGGCGGCAAACTGACTCGTGATTCAGCAAGCAAGTAAAAAGATCGAGAAGCTCAATGGGGTTGTTAGTGAAGATGATCTGAAAGTCTTGCAACGGAAACTGGACGGAACTTGTGAGGGTTCAATTCTCAACTCAACGCATCTATTAATTGTATATGTAAGAAGTTGTAAACCAAAGTAACCCATCGAAACAAACTACCATATCGATCGGCAGGCACATATCTGTCCTAGATTACGATGATGGAAAGAGCAATGGCTTCGTTATAATGGTTGAACACTGAAACCCATGGCAGCAACTTCTCAACCAGCTTCGATCGCTTCGACCTTCATTCCATTCCACTGAATTCTGTTTGCTGGCTGGGTTTGACTTACTCTAGCAGTGGAACGTGAGTGTTAGAATATGACTTGAATTTGATTTGAGTTTGTTTTGTGTTTTGGGCCTATTTTGTTTGGGTTTGTGTTTGGGCTTTGTTTGACCTTTTCCTTGTATGTTTGGGAAAATGTGTTTGGTTTTCTGTTTGGGATTAGGAGAAGAGTTCTATAAATACTCTTCATCACCCTAGTCTGTAGTAAGGTCAGTCAGGTTAGTTTGTTTGGTTTGTCCGTTTAGAATTGGGTTTGTAACCTATACTCTCCTCAAATTAGTGAAATTTGTCCCCCCTGCCCGTGGATTAGCTAGCACACATTGTGTTAGTGAACCACGTTAAATTTGTGTTCGTTCGTGTTGGTTTGGATTATCGAATGTCACGCTTCTGTTGTGACAAGTGGTATCAGAGCCTGGTCGATCGGCTGGGCAATCGGCTAGGGATTTTGGTAACTGCTGCGGTATCAGGGGGCAGTCTTCGATTTGGTTGGCGGAGAAGCCTTTAGTTTTTCTTCCTCCAAATTTGGTTTGCGGTGGTTCGTGGTCTTTTGTCCCAATTTGGATTTGTGCGGGGGTCGATCTGAGGAAATTTGAATTTGGTGTTGGTGCTAATTGGCGTTGGAATCTTTGTCGGTTGATTTGAGTTTGAAGTCACAAGTCACTGTTTGCGTTGGTCGTGTAGCATCGGAGCGCTCTGCCGCTATCTGGTTTGGAGTTGGAAGTAAATCTGATGTTGGTGTTATCGATGGAAATAACACCAAGTTGATTATGCATGGCAAGTCCCAACATGGGTTGGACTTGCTGCATGTTTTGATTTGTTGATCGCCCTTAGGGGCATTTGGAGGCAGGGGAGATTCTGGTACAACTGATTTGGAGAAGTTCGGTACGTCTGACAATTTTGATTGCATCTAAGTTTGGCGATTTGCATCGCGTTTGGTCTGGCGATATGAATCGCATTTGGATATGTCTGGCAATCTTGATTGCGTTTGAGTTTGGCGGTTTCGATCGCATTTGGATACGTCTGGCGATATGTATCGCGTCTGGTACATCTGGAAACTTTGGTTGCGTCTGGGTACATTTGGCAACTTTGGTTGCGTTTGGTACATCTGGTATTTGACAGAGAATTCAAGTCAAGGTGGAGATTGTTAGAATATGACTTGAATTTGATTTGGGTTTGTTTTGTGTTTTGGGCCTATTTTGTTTGGGTTTGTGTTTGGGCTTTGTTTGACCTTTTCCTTGTATGTTTGGGAAAAGGTGTTTGGTTTTCTGTTTGGGATTAGGAGAAGAGTTCTATAAATACTCTTCATCACCCTAGTCTGTAGTAAGGTCAGTCAGGTTAGTTTGTTTGGTTTGTCCGTTTGGAATTTGGTTTGTAACCTGTACTCTCCTCAAATTAGTGAAATTTGTCCCCCCTGCCCGTGGATTAGCTAGCACACATTGTGTTAGTGAACCACATTAAATTTGTGTTCGTTTGTGTTGGTTTGGATTATCGATTGCGACGCTTCTGTGAGCTTCTGAACTAGCACACATCATAGAGTAGCAGACCTTTCAAGATTTACTAGAATCAATACCTACGTCGGCTACGCAACGTCGTAGGAACTAAAGCTGCACTTGCATGATTGTATGGTGGTTAATTAAGGTAACGGTAAATTAAGGGTCATTATGTTATTGGCAACGGTGTGTGTTTAAAAGTTTTGAAAGTGTGTGCAGGAAACATTTGTATCCTGAGTTTCATAATTAATCAACATAGGAATAGCCCGCGAGACAACGACAGGTGAGGCTAGAGCTATAGAAATTTAAGACCGCCAAAGTGTTGTGTGCCATCATATTCTAATGAACTCATGATTAAGGGCAGAAAAGATATAGACAACATTAAGTAACAATATTTCTATTATTCTAACGAATACCTTAATAATAAGCATAATCTAAGAGTTTCTTACCAAATCCAATTTATTGACATAATTCTCTTTAGGAGATACGAACTATAGGCTACGTGTAAGAGTTTTCTACCGAAACCTTATAAATCTCTACTTATGTTCATTTGTCTTCATTTTCCCCCCAAATTGAGCAAAATAAACTTTTAGTTTTACATCTTCACGTTCAACCTTGGATTTATTCGGTTATTCTTTATTTGGATTGTCCTTCCATCCGCAAGGTTCACCTTCCTACTGAACTCCTTGGCTTGCATATATTCATAACGAATATAATGAGAAATGATATACAAAAAGCAAGAACCATATGTTCCGAATGATTCATACACAAACAGTTGGTGGTTCTTAGTTTGAAATTGGCTATCTTCCATTAAAAGAAAATGGACCAATATAATTAAATAAAAATGGTAGACAAACATCAATGACAACACTTCCAATAAGGGTATGAGTGACACATCCTTCTACGTCTGCAGATTGTGTATAAATGAATACATGTTATGGGAATTATGCTTGAAGGAAGAAGTACGCAAAGCAAGAATGAGCGCCTTAATAGAAGGGGAGTCTGTACTAAGCATCTCCAAGTATAAATGAACTCAAATATTCCATTCAAATAGAACACCTGCAAACTGAAGCAGGTAAGAGTATACAATATTAAATCCAGAATTGACAATATTAGAATTTAAACCCCTATATGTAGTCCAATAATGACAAATCAATCATATATATAGGCCAAGAAAATCCCATTTCACACCAGAAGGGTAAAGAAAACAGAGTTGCAACCTCTAGTTTGGTAAGTTCACTTTCTGATTCTGCAACAACCTGTGATTCTAAAATTATTTACAATTCACTATCTAATCTTACAATGGCAAGATCACACTTCACACTAAGCTAAGTAGAATCCCCCGTGCCAAAGCTAAAAAGTGCCACCTACAATAACTTCATCTGTAATGAGCCACCACCTGTAATCCCCAACAGTATATCCATTGACTATGACTATCCAAGATGACACTTCACATCAAATCAAGCTTCTACTCCCACCACCTGATCTGACTGCCAACTGAAAAGGCTTTTCATGTTGAATAGGACTGCGTTGTTCAATGGAGTTGCTCTCCAGCTGCAATTCTGTAGTTTCTTTTAAATACCGCTCCATGAACCATCTTGTTTCCAGCTGTTTTTCGTAATCTCCTTGACCCTCTCCATGCAGGAGACTATCGATGGTTGCTTGCTTTGCTTCTCGAGATCTCTACAAAGTATGGTAAACCAATAATGCTGGGTTTTTACAATCTCTCATTAGTTCCTTCTAAATTAAGCAAGTCAGACGACAATTTAGGTACAAAGTCATTTGAGAATTTGCTATACCCATCTCCAAATACCAGTGACAGAGGACTCCCACCGCCCCTATTAAACAGATAAGAGAGTAGAGACTTCAGTATTTAAGTTCAGACTCCAGTCTTATAGCAGCAGAAAAGGAAAAGAAAACCTGAGAGAAACAACACAGACCTGGCAAACCTCTAATCTGTTTAAATGTACAACAATAAAAATCATTCTCGCATCAAGTAATCATAAAAAATGTAAGACTTATTATATAACTGAAACTGAACATGCAATGTATGTCTAGAGTCTCAAAATCATAACCTTAAAAAAGAAACTACCAATTTATTCAAGTTTAGTTCATAGAACTGAATGGCTATAATTGAAAGGAATGTTCAATGATTTTGGCACTTCATTCTTGCAAGATCAACGACACAATGTATCATTACATAGCAGGACACAAAGAAATGTCTAATTTATTTAGTACTTAGGTTGTTAGAGGAACTCCAATCTAATTTGAAGGGGTTAAATACCTTATGGATTGTCAAGGTGTTGTCTCACCCTACATAACCATTTCTCCAAGCTTAAGTATCTTATTGAAGTCCTTGCTTTCGGAAATCACCACTGTGGCTACACTGTCCACCCTCATGTCTGCAGCTAAAGGTTCCAAAAGGAAACAAAGCCCTCATATCTAATCAAAGGAAATTCACACACAAAATAGCAATTTGGAGATATGTAAATCCTCCTACCTTCCCTGCAGCCTCTGCTTCTTTACACGGATGTGGTTAATATCTACCTGCACGGCAGCATAAGGGCTTTAATTACTCATGAAATCAAATCAGAATAGGCAAGAACGATGCTCGAAATAAGTACAATATTAAAATAAATAGCATCTACCTGAAGATTTTCAAAGATTAGTGGAATGGACTGGAATAGGCAAGTGGTGATGGTGTTGGAGAATCAAGTTTCTCGAAAGTAGTATATAGCAGCAAAAACATGCTTATACTACCGGTTCCCACCTGTAAATGCAAATGATGGTGAACATAATTAGTTTCATGTGGAAGATGAAAGGTTAAGTGATGAGAGGCGAAATGAACAAATCCATGAAACTCAATTAATTCAGAAAAGGTTCTAGAAGTTTTAACTAAAGAGATATCCTGCAACTCCTCTTGAACCCCATACCGAGCAGCAAGGATTGAGATTTTGTTTAACTGAAACAAACAATATAGCAACGTAAGCACACTAAGTCCTCATAGAATGTGAATATAAATGAATCAACGAGTTGGGTCAAGAAAATCAATAGAGAAGAAAGCACCTTTCAACCCATCTATCAAGAAAAGAAGATTGACATTCAAGCCATTCTTGTGTCCCATTCTCGTGGAACAGATTTGAACAGGTCTCCTCCCTCTTTTTCGTGTCTCCCTGTCCGCCCCGCACTAAAGTTCGCCTATCAACTGAGGCCACAATTGAGATCCAAACACGTCAGGCGAGGACACTAAACAGCCACCAAACCATTGAAAACTCTAGTGGCCTAGATATGGAGAAAAGAGAGGAACAAAATTCCAGGCAAGCAAAATGGAAATCGATTGTATAAGTGAAAACCATACCGACCGTTGCTGAGATGTAAAAGTCTGACAGCTTCGCCGTCGTCAGCATTCTTGTCATCGTTGTGACCTTCCGCGTCGGAGCTGCTGCTGATGGACCTCGACCAGAGAGAGTGGAAAGAATCGACAAAAATCAACTATTTTGTTTGGCTCCTCTCTGCGAGCGATATTTCGTCAATCACCTACAGAAAAATCAATGATCCTTGCATCTGGTCCTCCCTGGGAGGTTTCTCACTATCGCTGCCACTGATTTTTTCCCAACGGCATGAGTCAAAGAGAGAGGAAGAACCGAAAAGATTGGAATATGGATGAGAGTGGGAAAGCAAGGAGACGGGAAAAAGGACAGATGCGATGGAGAGATTATTTTGCGGAAGAAAAGCAGCAGCGGGCCAAAGGGGTTGTAAATGTAACGCACAAAAGGGGCAAAAACTTCTTTCAAAAGCATGAAAACCAGAGAGGACAACTCTTCACCCAATGCACAGTGGAGTTGTGCTGAATCAGTACAATCAATGGCTGGTGCCGTGTCCAAGCAGCTGTGACGAATGTGAAGGTGGTGTGTCCAAAGAGCTCTCTGCAAAAGCAGCAAGGGCGGTGACGTGCAAGACCATATTCAGAGAGGAGGCAATTGGAAGAAGGACAGTGAAGTTGACAAAAGATCAGGGGGAAGGTATGGTCGCCTAGTGCAACAGCCGATAACTTCTGGTGGGTCGGAGCGGTCACAAAATGTCAGGTTTGAAAGAAGATCTCCAGGAAAAGGTTTTAGGTTTCAACTCACTAAAGGCCAAGAATTGAAACAGTAGCAAGAAACTTTTGCAAAAAGCGTACCCACTAATTATATGTAAGAAGAATATAACCTCACCTTGTTATTTAACAAGTCACATTGTTAGTCTATTGCAGCCGAGTTATGCAACTCCAATACCGTCTCAACTAAGGTCAAATGAAAATGTACCAATTAAGGACACTTTGTATGGCAAAGTGTAAGGAGACTGAAATGTGGAATGGATACAAACACCTATTGATATTAGAAACCATGCATTCAACAGTACCATTTAAATTATTTTCTTGTTCTCTGGTTTTGGTCTCAACTTTAAAATTCATCGATTATATCCTGGGTTTATTGATTGTCTATCGCGGTTACAACCCAACCACTGTTATCCTCATTTAACAAACCATTACAAGTTTCAGAAATAGATTTTCAAGCTTTGCTTCCTTCACATATGAAATAGATCCAATCTGATAACGATATATATGGACTCATTCAACAGTGCGAGGCTTGTGCATCAGAGGGACCCAAGAGCCGAACAAGTTAAACCATATGAAAGCATATCATCAAATAATCAGAGAATAAAATATGACGTTTTGGAAAATTAAGAAACTTATGCTGTAACTGCATAAGATTGTGAAATGAAAAAAGATAGGATGATAGCTAGCTAGAGACTGGAGGAGAGATTAAAATGTGCACCTTGACGAAGCAGTTGGTGAATGATGAACATCCTTCCCTTTAGTACCATTATTATTCGTAAACGATCCATCTTGAAAAATGTGTGTTTGCATTGGTATAAAAGGTGCAAGCTAGCCGAGAAAGCATTTCTGGTATAGTTGGCAAATAAGCCTTCGAATGCAATTAACTAATGTAACCGGGATAGGTTGTTCTTGTTGGTGACCTTCTTCTTCTTGGTCTCCTTGTTCTTCCAAGTACAACTGCCAGTGTTGAATCATTCTAAATGAGATGTCAAGATCTTCCTCTTCTTCTTCCTTGTAGCAACCTTTGTCTTGAATCACTGAAAATTTGATGTGTCAATATGTGGGATATGGGAAATGTCGCGCCAGTATTCAGCCCTTCTACTTTTGTATCTTGTAGACAGATGATCACAACAATACACTTGCAGAGATTCCAACTCAGTAAGCTTCATGAACCAATCTGGTAAGCAACTGAGGTTGCCACAAGCATTTAACTCCAATGCCTTCAAATATTGAAAAATGGTGAATCAATTGCGGTAGATGCACCAACTCAGGAAGCCCTCTCAGAGTTAAGGAATGGAGGCTTGGAAGTACGCGTTCAACATAACCATCCTCCAATTTCATTTCAGGACAACCAAAAATCTCAAGCTCTGAAGGGAAGTCAAATATTGAATGGCTGGAGATAGGGTTGACAAGTTGGGACAACCCCGTACAGTCAGGTATTCAAGTGAAGTGAGATGTGGGAGTAACCCTTGTGGCATAACCTTTAGGTCTTTTATGTACTGAAGTGTGAAAGATCTGAATGGGGAATGTGTAGCTAGGGATGAAGGAGCAGATGGAGGAAGAGAGGCAGCAAACTCACTCAACAGTTCACTGCTCACCTCCGATAGTTCAACACGTTCAACATACGCTGAAAAATGAGGAATTGGCACCATCTTTAGACACCTATTAAACTCCATATGGGAAAGATGAGGAGGGAATTGTGGCAACTCTGCATTCGTGGTGGACCAGTCTATAAGGTTGGGGCAACCCTTGATCCATAGACATTTGAGGGAGGGGAGAAATAGGGTCTCGCACCGTATATACTCCAAGTTGTTTAAATCGTCCAATATTACTTCTTCAACAGAAACAAAAGGATCAAAAAAGAGCAGACTCTATAGCTTCCAACACTTACGTAGCAAAATCCCTACCAGACTCTTGACAGAAGAGAACCAGCTCGAAAGACTTGTTCCAGTATACCCTTTCAGTTTTGAATGTGGCTGCAACAACTTCTCATGCTCCTTAGCAATATTATCACCAATGGATGATGTGATACTCCACTTCAATTCTAAGCGTTGGAGATTGATTTTCTCTTTTAAAATGGCTGCCTTGGATTCAGATTCGTCCTTCATCCGTTCCAACACTCTAATGCACAAACTCTCGCCTAGGTTATTCAACCGCTTCAGCTCACTAATTCTAGCAGCTCCAGAGTCTTCTGTTTCCGCCACTACGAATAAGGACAGCTCTCGCAGATATGAGAGCTATCCAATCCAAACAGGGAGACGTTTCAATATAGAGCAACCATCTAGATTGAGATACATAAGATTGGACAACTTCATAATGTCTTTTGGTAGTTGCTCAAGAAACTTACACCCATTCAACCTGAACACTAGCAAGTTCACTAGGCTAGCAATCTCGTCTGGAAGCACTATTGTTATATTACAAGAAAGTTGATGTACCTAAGATGTTTCAGCTTACCAATGATAGGTGAGATGTTCTCTGTTATTCCTGCACGATCCATAGCTAGTGCTCTCACGCTCGACATTTTTGAGAGGACTGCCTTGTGTTGACCTCCATTCAAATCTAGATTGTGCATTATGTTCATAAGTGAACGCATTTTTGTTGCTTTCTCCAAAAAATTTGAAACTTGCCATGAATCCTCAGTCATCCTGTGCATGGACTGAACTGATGCATGTCGAATTCTTTCAAGGTTGGCGTTGTAGCTACAGAGACAAGTGTCAATTGGTTTTAAGACATTCATAACAACAGTCTCGTTTCCAGCAACTTCCTCAGCTAAATCATGCATTTTACAGTGTTTTATATTTCCCCATCTATCCTTCATCACATCTTGAAAGAAGGACCTCCAAAGAAGACTTTTGAAGTAGTCAACACTCAACACCAACATCCTCGAGAGACGGCTCTCGAGTAGACTCAATATACCCTTGTGCCATCCAGAACTGTATCAACATTCTCACATCAATTTCATGATCTTTGGGAAACAAGCTACAATATGCGAAACAACGCTTCAAATTGGAGGCAGGTTATAATAACTCAATCGAAGAGTTTTTCTGGATTCCATTTTCTGTCTCATGCAAGTTCGGGCTCAAAATTTGCTTATTTCTTACAGCCACACACTCCTGCTCAATATCCTTAAAAATACAAAAAACAAAACCCATTGTTCTTATGGCTAAAGGCACTCCTCCACATTTGAGAACAGTCTGTTTCCCAATCTCTTCATAATGTGGCACTCCTCCCTTAAAATCCATGTTCTTGAATAGAGACCAAGACTCTGCTTCACACAGACCATGTAATTCATGCGGCACAATTGCATTGGTTGTTGTCATCTGCGCAACAATTTCAAGTCATGTAGTTACCAGTATTCTACTACCTTCTCTAGCACCACTTGACAACAGATTCTTGAACCTATCCCATTTTTCTCTATCTTCATTCCAAACATCATCCAGCACCAACAAGAACTTCTTGCCTTTAATCACATCATGAAGAAGCTCCCTGAGTGTGTCAATCTCAAGATCATTGACTTTCTTCTTGGTGGCTGACTCGAAAACCTTTTTAACCAACACTTTAGGGTCGAAATTCTTGGAAACACAAACCCAAAGTCTAAGGCCAAAATGAGATTTCACTCTCTCGTCATTGTAAACAAGCTAAGCTAGTGTTGTCTTCCCCAATCCTCCTATCCCGATAATGGGAATGAATGCAACCTTCTCTTTACAACTTGACGACTGCACCATATCAATTAGTTTCTCTTTGTCTTATTCCCTACCAACAACTGCACCAGGGACAGAATAGTCAGTTTGCCTCCAATTCCTGATAGCAACAACTGGCTCTAAGGCACGATCCTCAAATTCGAACTGCTCCCTCTGCTTAGCAATATCTACAAGCTTGCTACGAATGGCCTCAATCTGATGAGCCAACTTCAAACCATAAGCAACTTGGTTAGAACTCGACAAGAAGAGGCGGGCTTCATTCGTAATGGAATTTCCCTCCATTTTGTTTGCTTCCGTAGACACTCGGTGGAGAAATCATCCATCAGGTCGTCAACATCTTATAAGACTTGTTGCAGTTCCGCCAACTAATGTTGGACCCGATGATTAAGACTGGACTTCTCCTCTGCATCCAACAACACAACCTGAATGGATGAAACTGTGCTCTCCAGTTTCAAGATCTCACTCTTCAGACCCTAGAAGAGACCTGCCTCCTCAGCAACTAGGGGAGCCAACTTCTTCAGAATTGCCTCTGCCATGTTGAAGGCCATTTCTTGGATAAATGGGGAATGCGAGAAAAAAGAAAGGAGAGAAAGTATTAAGGTTTGATTGTAAGTGAGGGGTGCGGCTAGAAAAGTAGATCAGAGGAAAACCTTAGTAGTTGTTAAGAGTGTAAAGAAAATACCAGATATGTGCTAGAGGGGAAAGAATGTGAAAGAGAACTGCGGAAATGTGGATCTAATTCATAATGTGAACATGTCACTGAGAATCAAGCAGCTAGCTGCCCAATCCATTGACTTGAGCAAGCTGCAAACATTAAACAATGACTACGTGAATGACAGTTCAACTGACCGATTAAAGAAAAAAAATTATTCACAAATATATTTCTTTTGTTTAATACAATGAGGCTCCCAAATTTTAAGTTCTGTCATTATTATTATCAATCTCAATCTCATGCTTTTCTGTTTCTTGTTCTCATTCATCGCCTTCAAGAGCACTATTAAAGGCAGCGTTGGCCACCTGTATATTCATTTCTCATCATCCCATAGTTATATAAATTTACCGTTGTTGTCTATATTAATTTACAGTTCAGACGCAAAAAAAATGTTGGGCATTTTAGTTAGTTTATTACACGGTTTGAAGAGTTCAAGAAAGGCATCAGCAAGTGGGCTTGACCTAAGCATTCAGTTTCTTTATTCAAAAAGAGATTCTGAGATGGGGAAGGAAAGAACCACAAATCATCACTACAACATTCTCATTCCACCAATATTCACTAACAGTTAAAGAACCAGAGAACCTTTTGTTGTAACTGTTCTCAAGCAAAAGACCAGAGTTGTAACTAGAAGGTCCCCTCCAAAGGGAACCTTATATTTTTTTCCTTATAGCTGAAGAGTAAAAGACCCGTCTTGAACCGTTACATAACACTCAGGAAAATGATCCATGTGATGTGCAGAAACCATAGCATAAGAAACTGAGGTAAGGTGACCTAAAAACCTAGCTTCCACGCCCAATCTAAGAAACTGGGCCACTCTGTTCCACAGAGCAGGAACCAGAATAAAAATGACAACTCTTCCATCAATAACTACATTCTTGGATAGTTCATTCCTGACAACAAGAATAAAAATGAAAATTCTTCCATCAATGGCAACATGCTTGGATTGTTCATTCATGACAGGAGAGTAGTAGATGAGAAGTGATCACCTTGGCAAGCAGCAACTAATGTATGCTTCATTAGATTAGCATCAGAAAGTACATTCTTGAACCGAGATGAAGGAGGGTGCAATGTCATGATAGCTAGCACAGTCTCTTTCTCTTTGCTTACTAGCCGGAAGGATCCAATCCAACCAGGGGCGTTACACTGTAACAAAAGTAAAGTACAAATTCTATAAATTTGAGAAATGCTTAAGCCACTCCGGTAGAGTTACAAACTTTGGAAGCTCTGCCAAACACAAGGAACAGAGGATCGGAAGGCCAAAATGTGGCATTCAATTCTCACTACCCCATCATCATTAGCACCTTCAAATTATCAGGAGGTTGCATTGCCTCCTATAACCTTTCATCTCTAGCAGTATTAGTGGTACAACTAATTCTATTGCTCCACTCAAACTAGGCTTAGAATATTATGTTTACCCTTTAAATTGGCAGCGTCCTCTCCAGTTAGATTTTTCAAATGCTTCAGTTCACTAATTCTAGCTGCTCTGGGGTCAGTTGTGTTCTCCACGAGAAACACAGATAGCCCTCTTAGGCAATTAAGTTTCCCAATCCCATGGGGCATGCATCTCAATCCTTCACACTGGTCCATGCCTAAGATGCAAAAGATTGTGAAGCTCTCATGTGTTCTTGGATATTGTTTAAGGTTGGGACACCCATCCAGCACAAGCACTAGCAAGTTCACTAGTCTTGTTATCCTATCTGAAAACATTATCATGCAATTATAAGAAAGATCAAGATACCAAAGATGTTTCAAATCATGGATGATGGAAGAGACAACTATTATCCATGCATTACTATCACTCCTGAAAAATTAAAGAGACGGATATAAGACTGCCCGGGCATGTTTAGCTTGGGAAGTTATGAACAGATGTGTCTGCTCTGCTTTGAGGAGGTTTCGGTTTAGAATTAATCCATTGAATCCAATCTACCTAAGTTTTGTGATTACTTTTAAAGAGTATTTACAAGAGAGTATTTTACTGCTAATGTTCTAATTTAAAAGAGGCCTTTTCGTATTTCAATGCAATCCTTCATAACAGCCAGAGATCTTTTGATATCACTATTTTTCAAGCAAGCATCCAAAAATTCAGTAGCTGGTTTCTTCCAAAGGTTTATTTCATTTGCGTTACTTTTCTTACAAAGGCGGGAAATTTTTTTTAAGACAACAATTGGAGAGGAAGAAATGACCAAATTGAACTGTTACAAACCAGGAACATGTATTCATTAAACTGTAGCACAAAGAGACTGAGAAGGGTGATCCCTATATATGCGACCCACAAAGCTATCTCCCGCCTCCAACTGAACTACTCTGTTTCACAATGCAGCAGGAACCAGAATAAGAAAGAAAACTCTTTCTTCGATTGCAACATGTTTTTTCGAATTCAAGTCTGGCATGAGAGTAGTAGAGAAGTATAACCTTTGGTAGTGGCAACCTTGTATGCTATGAACTGAGATAAAGGGAGCAATGTCAGGGTAGCTGGCAGAGGAAACATCTCTGGAATAGATTGCAAGTCAAGCTCCCAAAGAAATTTGCTAGTGCGTTGCAGCAGCATGTATATGAGCATTAGAGCATATATAGGCAGTTTATAATGATTCAATAGTATACCAACATGAAAAGAAAAGGACTAGATAGTTAGTTTCAAAGTGGAAGAATATACCTTGAGAAGTAGGTGCGAGCAGATGCTGCTTCTTCTTCCTCTTCATCATCATTTTCTTCCATTCCCAAGTAATTGCCATCTTGTTGGATTGTTCTAAAATCAATTCTAATATTTGGATGTGAGCAATAAACCTCCAATCCACGGATGTGTTGCTTCTGCATCTAGTAGAATATGACCCGAGTCATCTACTTTCCAAGATTCCAACACAGTGAGCTTTGTGAGCCATCTTGGTAAATGCTCAAGGTTGCCACAAGACGCTACCTCCAGCTTCTGCAAATTTGTAGAATTCTGAAGCCACTGTGGTAGACGCACCAGTTGCCGAAGCCCGCGTAGAGACAAAGTACGGAGGCTGGGAAGAGCACACTCATAATTGCAGTCCTCCAACTCCAAATCTTCGCAATACGCTATCTGAAGATCTTGTAGGGAAACAAGATGCTAAATAGATGAAGACATTGTAATTAAGTTTGGGCAACGCGTGATGGATAGACATACAACTGAAGCAAGGTGTGGCATCAACCCTTGTGGCAAAACCAGTAGATCTTTTATGTCCCATAGGTCTAGTAATTCGAGTAGAGAGGACTGTGTAGCTGAATGGGGTGGAGGAAGAGAGGCAGCAAACTAAACCAATAGCTCACTGCTTGAACCATTTAACATAACACTTTTGAGGTGTGTCAAAAATAATGGAATTGAAACCATTTTTGCACATCCCCAAATAGTGAATTTCATCAGAGAAGGTAACTGAGGTAACTCTATCTTTGTGTTTGATTGGCCGACCATGTTGCATCAACTCGTGATTCTCATAGACTTGAGGCAGGGAAGAAATGGAGATCTAGAAGATGACAATGACGGTATTCTCCCAATCTGTATGTACTCTAAGTTGTCTAAACCATACAATGTCAGTTCTTCCAGAGAAAGAAAAGTATCCAATGCAGAAAGAGAAAGTTGTTTCTCACACTTAATCAGCTCGATACCAACCAGATTCTTGAGAGAAGAGAACCTTCTCGGAAGGCTCATTCCTCTATAACCTTCCAACGATAGCTTTTTCAATTCGGCATGTGGCTGCAACACCACCAATAACCGCTCATGTCTAACTGCATCACCTCTTGTTTTGTTCCATGCTAATGTCAAGCTTCAAAGATGACGTTTCTCCTTCAAACTAGCCGCCTCCCCTTCAGACTCATCCTTCACCCATTCCAGCCCTCTAATAGACAAACTTCTGCTCCGATTGTTCAAATGCTGCAATTCACCAAGCCTAGCAGCTCTGGAGTTTGCTGATTCAGTCACTATGAAAACAGACAATTCTTTCAAGAAAGAGAGATTCTTGATTCCAAGTGGCAAGTGTGTCAATCTTTCGCACTTGTAAAGTCCAAGATATGCAAGATAAGGCAGCCTTACAATGTCCATTGGCATTTGCAGAAGCTTCCTATACCAATCCAACCTGAGCACTTCCGGGTTCACTAATCTTGTAATCTGGTTTGGAAGTATCTCAATGAAATTACTAGAAAGATCAAGATACCTAAGATATTTTAGCTTATAAATAGTACAAGGGACAGATCTCAATCCAAAACTGTGGAGACTCAACACTCTCAGACTAGTCGTGTTTGAGAAGATCTTCTTGCATTCTTTGTCCTTCAAATCTAAACCTAACCAAGATAGAGAAAGAAATGTTTGCAGTTTTGTTGCTTTGACTAAACAAGTTGAAACTTGCCAGCTTTCCTCCACAAATGTTCTCTCCAAATCAAATGATGCATGTCTAATTTTTTCAAGGCTACTGGTCTTATTTTTTGCACTTAAAATGATGGCTTCCTTCCCAGCAAGTGCAACAACAAGATCATGCATCAGATCATGCATCTTACAACATTTTATATGCCCCCATTCATCATATGTCACATCTTGAAAAAAAGACCTCCAAAGTAGTTTCTTGAAATCTTTTAAACCAATTTTTACAAGGCATGATCTTTCACTCCCAATATACTCTTGACTCATCCACAGCTGTATCAACATATGCACATCAATCTCATCGTCTTTTGAGAACAAACTCCAATAAACAAAACAACGCTTCAAATGTGAATGCAAATTGTCGTAGCTCAACCGAAGAGTATCCATAATTCTTCTCTCTTTATCACCTGTCTTTATTAGCAAATGCTTATTCCTTACTGCAGCCCAATCATCAACATTTTCCTTAGATGTTAGCAGGCATGCCATCGCCCTTATGGCCAAAGGAAGTTTTGCACACCTTCCCACAATCTGTTGTCCAATCTCCACATATCTAGATCTTGTTCTACCTTCCCTTCAAATGCTATTTTCTCAAACAACTCCCATGACTCTTGTTCGGGTAAACCTTGTAGCTCAAGAGGCATTATCCCTTTCGTCATCATTGAAACTGCAACATCCCTAATGCGTGTGGTTGTGATAATTCTACTACCCACAGCAACCTCACTCCAGAGAAAATCCTTGAGGCAATACCAGTGGCTCACATAGTCAACATCATCCAAAACCAGCAAGAACTTCTTCTAAAAAATTCTCTCACGGAGTTTATGCTTCAAAGTTACCAGCTCCAGATCATTCACTTCCTCTTCAGTCACAGATTCTAGCATCTTTTTTGCCAACAATTTTTCATTAAAATTATGAGAAACACATACCCAAATCTTTAGATCAAAATGAGAACCCACACTCTCGTCGTTGTAAATGAACTGAGCAAGTGTTGTCTTTCCTAACCCCCCAATCCCAATAATTAGAATAACAACAACTTTCTCACCAGTCATAGGAGCCAACAACATGTCTATTATTATCTGCTTCTTTTCTTCTCTCTCGACAAAGACACGAGGAACAGAATCGTTGGTTTGCCTCCAGTCCCAGTTAGCAACAGCTGGCTATGCAGGGCGCGTTTCAAAATGGAATTGGTTCTTGTTCTGATCGATCTCATCCAACTTCCTTTGAATCGCCTTAATCTGATGAGCCATCTTCAACCCATAAACAGCTTGGTTGGAATCAGAAAAGAAGACGCATACCTCATTCACAATGAAATGTCCATCCATTTATTGTATCTGCAGCGCCTCGCTGGTGAGATCATCCAACAAGTCATTTGCATCATAGAGCACTTGCTTCAGCTCATGGAGCCAATGTTGCACCTGATGATTCAAACCAGACTTCTCCTCTGCATCCAACAACACAGCATGGATGGACGAAACAGTGCCTTTTAGTTTCGAAATTTCGCCACTGAGACCCCATAGCAAGACTGCCTGATCAGCAGCTAGGTATCCCAACTTCTTGAGAACCACTCCTGCTACACTGAAGAGAGTTGTCTCAACCATATTTTGGGCTTGGGCAGTTGATCATATATTTGAGGCCATGCCAATCCAAATACTAGATTCAGTAAGCAACCATGGCAGCAGAAACCAAGTAGCCTTTTTTTAATTCCAATTATTGCCAATCCATTGACTTGAAACTCTGCACACATGCCCATGTGGATGCAATGACATTTGCCAAAAGCCATAAATCTAAATGATGCCCATCACATTGACTTTGCCCCTTTCAGAGGAGCTAAACTAGTAAACAACGATACCAAATCCCCGGCTTCGAACTCAGCAAATATCCCCCAAATTTGACGACTGTAGAAACATTTGATGCGAGAAGACGATTGATTGAAGTGATAAAAGACCTCGGCAGAGCGGAGCTTGTTGAAGAAGGGGAATTGGAGAAGATTGTTCCAGTGGCGATGAAACTGTTCGATCAAATGACCCAATGTCGAGGGAGTAGGGACTCCATTTTCCTGCAAAGTTTTGATTCTTCTACCCTTCAATTCGTCGGAGAGGGTGGCAGTGCGAAGACGGTGTCAGCATACTTTTGCCATTGCGGCGGGGCTTTCGGCGGCGTCGAGGAACAATAGAAGTCTTTCGCCCCGTATCCGTATGTCGCAGCCGGTCCCCATGGAAGAGGGTGATGAAGACTACTACTATTTGGTGGTGGAGATTTCGGGCTTAGGTAACTGACTTTGGGCCCATTCAGTAAAGTCCAACACACAACCAAAATTATTAGGCCCGTTTTGCCTTTATTGTGTTCCAAATTTCCAATCACCACAACAACAATAATCGTGGCCAATGAAAACCGCGGCACTCGCTAGGGATGGCAAGCAGACCCATGACCACGGAGAATTCATGCATTGTCTAAGTACGAGATGAGTATAAGTAAAATCCATAGAAAGTTTGATGAGGATAGTTTTAGCCTCCTTTACCTCATACTCATATACATATCCACCCCATTAATAATATTTCTCATATATATAAAAAATTTAGTTCAAATTGTAACCTGTCAATGACAAAAGATAATTTTTTTCAAATAAAGAACTGAATTATAATTGAGTGGTCATCCAAATTCAACCCTAACTTCTTTCCCTCAATCCACCCTTCACTTTTCACCTCTTTTCTCTTTGTGATCAAGATTACATTAGGTATAGTAGTTTTAAATTATTTGAACAAATGTGTAGGAGGAAATGAATGATTATGATACTATTGCACTTTGTCTTGTGAACGTTTTAGGATTAGATGTTTTGAATTCGTATTATAAAAAGTTGTATCTTTATAGATTTTATGATTTAATAGGTGTGTTAGTATTTTAATTGAAGATCTAGATATTTCATTTTAGGTATAGTATTTTTGAATGTACATAACGGGTATTACTCAAGGGTACCCGAAAACTACAGGTATGGGGATGGGTTTGAAAAACCTTCCTTCGTGCGAATATGGGGGAGTGTATGGGTTTTTTCGTATTAGAAAACTCCGCCACATACTCGTCACATTGCCATCCTGAGCACTCACGCATCTAATTCTTATAAGACCACATTGGTATTAGTTGTCTTTCTGTAAACCCTACTCTAAACTAATGAGTAAGATCAGGTTGTTAGGATGTGGCTTAGTCACTTGACTAAGTCCATCTTAGTGATAAATTGTATTTGTAATCTAACGGTAAAATTTTGTAGTTATTAATGAGGCCTTTTTAAATGTCATTTCGCCATTAAAAAATTAATTATAGATAAAGGGTTAGACAGGTAAGTGAGTTGGCACCCGATTTCATCCTATGGTGTCAGTCGCAAGAGATAGGATTTCAGCGCTAGTAGAGGACCCAATAAAACTATGTTGCTCCGGTTACTTTTAGGAGGATGGTCCTCCAAGGCATCCAATGGATCATATTAAAGACCCACTATATACCAGTGTCCATTAAACCGTACCGTACCGGCGGTTAAACCACGAAATACCAGTATTGGAGGCTAAACCGATAGGAGGTATTTACCGGTATAACGGTTGAACTACGGTTAAACCACGGTTTTACCATAAAATACCCTACCGCTGACTTTCCCGGTACGGTCTCCGGTACGGTTTCATGGACCATGCTATATACACGGCTCAATTTGGGGTAAGGGATAGTTAGTGAGAGTTGGGGTCCTTAATGAGAAAAGTAGCTGACATAAAATAATGGAAATCGGGGGCCCACGATCTAAAAAGTAAAGTAAGTGAGAAAAGATAGTGAAAATCTTGGAAATACAAGTTTGTGGAAATGATGAATAGGCATATTACACATATGAAATATTTTTTGTTCTATACAAATATATTATTTGTTCAATAAGAAAATGATTTCTAATGTGTGTTCTGCTCATTCTGAATACAAGTTTTGGAAATGATGAATACACATACCACATATATGAAATATGATTTTTGTTTAATCCAGATATTACATACAATTTGTACGTAATATGCGAGTTAAATTTTGCAAGACACAAAGACCTCACTTATCAAGATAATTAATAAAGTCTGAACCCATCAATTCACTACCTTCTCCTCTAACCAAATTTGGGTCATTAATCAAATTGGGCTTTTATGTTGACCGTCGAATGTTCGACGGAGAACTATCCTCTGAAAATGGTGCGGAGTACAATACCAAAATTTCAAAGGAACGACGTTTGTCAGTCCAGAGATAGGAAATTTATTATCCCTTCTTTTGTGAGAGGGGAGAGAGAGGTTTGTAATGTTAGTAGTAGTTTTTTTTTTTGGTAGTGTTAGCATTTTTTGGGTTTGTAGAGATAGTAGTGTTAGTATTCGTTTTATAGTGTGGTTTGTAACCTGGTATATTTAATGATATTAATTTGTATATTTTGTGTTATTGGTTTGAGTAGACATGTTTTTATTGTAAGTAGTTGTTTTGTACTATTAATATGCTTTGTATATAATATCAGTCTGATTTATTTACGTATATAATGAGATTTGTTTATTTTTATAATTTGGTTTTTATACTTTCTATTACTGATTTCTATAGTTGATAGTGTTAGTATTCATTTTTATGGACTGGTTTGTAACTTTGTAGACTATCTATTATTGGTTTGTATACTTTATGTGATTTAGTTTGTGATGCAAGTCATGTTGGTTTATATTGTGAGTGTTTGTGTTTTGTACTGTTAGTATACTTTGTATAAAATATCAACATGAATTGTACACTTTTTTATAATGTAATTTGTTTACTTTTATTATTTGGTCTATTATGTTTTTTTTTTTTGTAATGCAAATTCTATTATGTGCGCTCAAAGTAAAAATATTATGTTAGTTGTCCCTATGAAAGTTCCATGTTGAAGTAAGGAATCGAAAAATGGGCCCGTTACCATGACTTTCTAAACTTCATATCATAGGTACAAACTGGAGTTGAACTGTCATAATCTAAAACAAAACTTTGGGTTACGAAAAGAAGGGAAGTGATAAAATCTGTTTTAAGTGAAATTACGACGATTTGATTTCTAAATTTATTATGTGATCGAAAAATTCAAAATTATAAAAATAATTTATAACTCTGTCATAATTTACCTGGTGGACACTTAACGAAGTTTACTTCATCCAGAGTACCACATCACTAATTCGACGACCGACGTGGTATTCCGCCTTGTAACTTCTATACTCTCCAAGGTTCTAAAAGGCGCTAGGCGTAAGGCAGGCGCTCGGCTCCTGACTTGCGCCTTGCCTGATTAGGCGTAGCCTAGGCGCGCCTAGGCGTTCAGAGCATAAATGGAAAAAGTTCTCAAATATTTACTGTTTTCTGGAATAATTCATATAATCCAAGTGCATATAAAATTAGTAATGCCTAGTTCTTAACAGTAAACACTTAACATAACAAATAACAAGCAAATAGTGACCACTTCCTAGAATCACAAGTTCATAAAATGTCGAAATACTAAACCATAGTCAATAAGTTCATAAGATAATGTTCATTCTTCATCATCCAAGTAGGTCCGTCCAGCCACCACTACATCTTCATCATCCTCCAAAGCAATCTCCTCACCATCCTCCTCCTCTTCCTCCTCTTCACACTCTAATTCTTCATCATGGAGCTCTCTCACTCGTGCACTCCTACGAAGCTCACTCTGTTTACCCGTCATTGCATCTGTAACAGTACTCGAGGGTGCACAATGTAATTCCTCATCCTCATCTATGAATACATACATAGCATGGTCATCCCCTAACCGTGTTTCTGATTTTCTAGGGCAAGAGGCAATTTTATGATTTTCTAGGACAAAACGAAGAGTATTGGGTTTAACCGCCTAAGCTCGCCCAGGAATGCCCAGGCACGCCTTCTCTCCACTAGGCGCAAACTAAGCGCTACCAGCGCCTTTTACAACGCCTATGGCCAAGTCAAGGCGATCCTCCACTGCCTAGCGCCTAACTGAGCCTAGGCGTGCGTCTAGGCGCGCCTTCTTGAACCATGATACTCTCACATGTCAGATTATTGAGCTAAACGTGGTACTCTACCATTGTTGTATGGGTCATGACTATGTGTCGTGACTCGTGACTATAACTTCAGACTTAGGTTAGTCAATCCCTTAGCGGCGGTGACCGGCGACTACCTAAAAGGTCTAAAAGTATCCTCCGGTCAATACTGCCGGCCGGCAAAACATTGGTTCAGAACATGAACCACACATTATATTAAACAAACGAAGTTGGCAACGACGATAATAAAAATTGAAAGGAAGACAGTTATACCACACATATCTTAAATTTTTCGTTTCGGTTTTAATCTCTATATATATAACTTTCCTCTTCTTTCTTCTTGTTATTGTTCGTCACTTTTCCATGGATATAGCTAGCTAGGTGGCACACTTTGACTGACCCTTGAAAGCTGTAAACCCCCACGTTTTCTATGGCCGACTAGCAAGTCAATGAGTATACGTATTAAATTCTCCATCTCCTGTTCCCCCTCTAACCACAAACTAACGAAAAGGGAAGAAATCATTTCGATAAGTTGTGAACCGGTATATGGTATTTAACGTTACCAATAGTTGAACAACGATTAAACCACGGGTTTTCCATAAAATACCCTACTGCTGATCTCCCGTACTATGAAAAATATATGTTGATGTTTACTCAAGTTGCTGACAAAATTGCTTACACGCTTTAATAACTTTTTTTTTCCTTCTAAAACTCATCCTCATAAAAAAAAAAACTTCAATTCTTTCTAATGTTTGTAAGGAAAAATAAAAACTAGAGAAACACGTTTGATCCCATCCACGTGAAAATCATATTAAATAGATGAGAAAATATCCATACATGTGATTTGTTGTTGAAACTTGAAATTGTATCACCAAGGTTGTTGTAATCATTAATAGGGTTGGGCAATCCCGTCCCGTTTAAAACGGATACCCATTCCCGTTTGGAGACCAAAATCCATCTCATGTCCAACATCATATACTAAATGGACATCGGCATACTTGACCTTCTAAACCAGTTTCCAAGTTCCAAAATATTGGAAAGGCAAGGTTATGAATCTTTTTAATTAGTGGAGCTAATTAATTCATTTTTGTGGGGCTACGTGGCGGCAGAAACCTAGCCATCAAAGGGCTGTTTGTTTCTTAAGAAAATAACAGCGGGAAAGTCAAAAGCAAAAACAAATGGGGAAAATGGAGATTGGGTCCAATTAATTTTGGCTACGGTCGTCATTGCAATTAATAAACAAACCAACCCCCAAATGAAACCAATAATTCAGTGTTTAAGCTAATTAAGTTATTAACAAAAGAATAGAGTCAAATAATTGTATGCGAGGGGTTCTACTGGTGACAATAGATAACTGGTCAGTTACATTAACGATCACTAAACTCCGGAATCACAAACAATTTACTACCTTCCTCCGTTGCCGTCACGTTTTCCGTCGATATGATCCAAATAAGTTCCCAAACTATAACCATAACTTGACTCCGTAGACAAACTGATCAAACTCGACATTCAGGATCGTGGCGGATTAGTGGATATCTAAAGTCAAGCTTACACACCTAATCCACAGTTTGATATTGATAACTTAAGGTTCGGGGTTATTGAACTGTAGTGGGTGGGTGAATTGCGTATTATAAATCTTATACCCGCACTTATTATGGCTGGTGGTGGGTGGATTGTGGGTCACCAGAATCACTTGCACCATATTTCACATAACCAAAATTTTGTTGTTGATAATATCGAAAAGTCATCATATTTCCTAACCGCGCTACACACTGACCATCGACTTCTTAAGGCGGAGAATAAATAATATTTCACTACTATTATTAGTTACTATGTTGTGTAATGTCCATTAGATGTTGTAATGCAAATTATAAACTATTTATTGTATCAAAATCGTAAAACGCAATAATATTTTTCTACACGGTTGGTTGATGGAGTAATAAAAAATTTGATGCAAATATTACATAGATCCACATGAGACATAGTTGGGAGTGTCTCAATTGCTAAAATATTACAAATTTACGGTAAACTCATTATAAATGTTAGTCAACCTGCTGAATGACTAAATGAAAATTTCTCTTAGAGACAATTTTGATAAAAAAAACCTAATAAGAACGGTTTATCATGGCTTTAAAATTTTAGATTTCAATATCATATTGTTTAAAATCCGAATTTCAATGACTAATACTTTAGTGACCCTAAAGTTTTGTGGCAAATTATCTAGTTTGACTCATGAAAGAGCTCAACCCTTCAACCCAAACTTAGAGAATAGAGTTAGAGCACAGCTGAGGTAGATCGACAAGTCATTTTCTGGCTTTTCATTACAAACACTACTAGACATATTTGAAGTCACTAAAAAGAGGTAGAGGGATCTTTCCTAACGGCAGAGATTGCAAACACACAAGCGGAATGGAGACTAATCACTTCTTTGTCATTAGACAAGAGTTTGCCGTCTCTTGACAATTTATTTAGAGATTCAATCCCTTCCTCTCCCTCAAATCCTGCCGTCATTAGCAAAACTGCGTTTCAATTGGTTGGCACCTTTGATGATTTGAGGAACCTAGTTGTTTGCTCTATTTTAGTTCACTGGTTTACTTGCATATGTAATACGCGGATGAAACACCTAATATCACATGTGCTCGAAATTTCACGATCCTTGTTTGTTAAATAAATGGTAATCAGACATGTACAAACTTCAAGTCTTATGAGTGACTTTCGTTTAAAGAAGAGTGTTGCTATGTGATATATGATCCATTATTAAACATCTCCCAAGTCCCAACAACAACTTGAATTGTTATTGGGATTATCTGATTCCTGACAAATTTATTTATAAATTATTATACGAAAACCTCGAAATATCATAAAGTTACTACATTCCACACCTAATACAAGATAAGGTCACTTGTATCCAAGAGCACATCCAAATTGGGCACCAATAATAAGTCTAATATTGGTCCAAATAATCCCAATCCAAGTGAGAAACTTGAGAAAAAGTTAAGGTGAAGTAGCATCCAGTTCTTCCCCAACAAAATAGGCAAACTTAATAACTCCAAATTGGTATAGCCAAATCCAAACTCACAGGAAGCAGAGTTTTCATTTCCCAGTAAAAACCCAAAAGAGTTTAAAAAAAAAAAGATTAAGACTTTTGTTGATCTCAGAACTACCCTCAACTACCACTATAAGACAGAACAATAAGCACACAAAGAACAAAAAACAAAACAAAGTGTTGGATAATAAGTTAATAACCAGAACAAAGATTAGACACTTCCCTTCCAATCCCTCTCTCTCTCTCTTTGCTCCCTTTATATACACAAACACCATATCTTCCAAAATCAACAATAATAACAACAGTACAACACAACAACATGCTCTCTAAGTAAGTTAGCTATTCTTACCAAATCATACCCAAACTCTTCCCTTATTCCCTCACAAATCCCTCTTTTGACTTCTCCACCTTCCCTTTTGGTCAATGATCACACAAGTTCCTCACTTACCACAAACTTCTTCTTCAGGGCGAGAGAGAAAATGGGTAGTGAAGAATCAGAGCCAAGCACCCAAATCCATCAGCAAACTCCGGCCGGGGCCGCCGCGGCGGAGTCCGATCACATGTTGGATTGCTGGTTGGAATCAGTCTCCTACCTCCCATCTTTCCTAGACGATCCCAACGATCTCAACTCCTACCAATGGATTTCCGGTTGGAATCAGGCCGACGAATTCGGCGGCGGCGACCCTCTTGCCACCGCCACTCCTCCGATGCAACACAATCAGCAGAATGGAAGCTTCAACGCAACGGCAACAATGGCAGCGGCTGCAACTCCTCCTCAAAGCCTTCTTCTCCCCCCTACCAATAACAGTACATTCCAAAATTACTCCACCTCCCTTCTGATTCAACCTGAGAACCCGATCAAATTCGATCATCCAACGCCACAGCCAACGATCTCCAACCCCCCACCCAAGAAGCGCAAATTGCCCGATTCTCCCGCTCCGAAACCCGCCCCGATCAGCAACCCGAAGAAAAGCCAGAGCTTTGTCGACGATCAGCACGAGGATTCTGCTATCCCAGCAGCCGGCGGCGGCGGCGGCGGAAGGAGGGCGAGCGGAGGGAAGAAAGGCGGGAAACAGAGTCAGGGGAGCGGGAGTAATAACAAGGACGGGAGCAACAAGGAAGGGAGGTGGGCAGAGCAGCTCCTGAATCCCTGCGCCGCCGCCATCGCCGCCGCCAACTTCTCCCGCGTCCAGCACCTGCTCTACGTCCTCCACGAGCTCTCCTCCCTCACCGGAAGCGCCAACCACCGCCTCGCCGCCTACGGCCTCCGATCCCTAACCCACCACTTATCCCCTGCTTCTCCGCCGCCGCCGGCGACGGCGGCCGGGTCCATCACGTTCGCCACGACGGAGCCCAAATTCTTCCAGAAATCGCTGCTGAAATTCTACGAGGTCAGCCCCTGGTTCTCGTTTCCGAACAAGATCGCGAACGCGTCGATCCTCCAAATTCTAGGTCAAGAAACCGATCCATTGCGAAACCTTCACATCCTCGACATCGGAGTTTCCCACGGAGTCCAGTGGCCGACCTTACTCGAAGCTCTCACCCGCCGCACCGGAGGGCCGCCGCCGCTGGTGAGAATCACTTTATTGACCGCCGCCGCCATGGAAACCAACCAGATCGGAGAAACCCCGTTCTCGATCGGACCTCCGGGGGACAATTTCGCCACCAGGTTGCTCTGTTTCGCCAAATCGATGAACATAAACCTGCAGATCAACCGCCTCGACAACCGCCCGTTGCAAACCCTAAACCCCCAAATCATCGACACGAATCACGAGGAAACCCTAATCGTCTGCGCCCAATTCCGCCTCCACGGGCTGAGCCACAACAATCCCGACGAGAGAACAGAGTTTCTGAAAACACTGAGGCGATTGGAGCCGAAGGGAGTGGTTCTGAGCGAAAACAACATGGATTGCAGCTGCAACGGGTGCGTGGATTTCCCGACGGGGTTTTCTCGGAGAGTGGAGTACCTGTGGCGATTCTTGGACTCGACGAGCTCGGCGTTCAAAGGGAGGGAGAGCGAGGAGAGGAGGATGATGGAAGGGGAAGCGGCGAGGGCGCTTGTGAGAGGTGGAGGTGGGGAGATGAAGAACGAGAGGAAGGAGAAGTGGTGCGAGAGGATGAGAGGGGTTGGGTTCTGCGGGGAAGGGTTTGGGGAAGACGCCATTGATGAAGCTCGAGCTCTGCTGAGGAAGCACGATGGGAATTGGGAGATGAGGGTGGAGGAGAGGGATGGGTTCGTGGGGTTGTGGTGGAAAGGGCAGCCGGTGTCGTTCTGCTCGCTGTGGAAGCTGGAAGGCGGCGGCGGCGACGGGGAGTGAATGTATTGGGGTTAAGCAGATTGAAGAACAGAAACTGAAATAGTCCATCTTTTGGCGGGAGATCTGCAGATTCTCCTTTTTTTTTGGTGTGTGTTTGTTTATGTTCGTCCGCTGTAAATGGTAAAAAAGAAGTGAAAGGTTTTTGGTCCTTTTTTACGCTTTTACAAATTTTGTGGGTGTTTTGGTTAAATGCCAATGCCATGATCTTGTTGTATGTAAGATCATCTTTTTGGTGCAGTAGCCAGTAGGAAAGGAATCAAAGGATACACTTCGTTAAGAATCGATCCGAGCTAATTTGGGAATTGGGGTTTAGGAAGGGTTTCTTTTTTTTTTATAAACTCTTTCATTACTTACTGCATTTCATTACATAATCTCATATTACATTGTAGTCTGAACTGAGAGCGGTGAGTTTACTCACACCCCACATACATCAATGTTGGTTTTGTCGCACTAATTATTTCAGCTTACTTTCATGTGTGAAATAATCACGAGTAGATTTCCACCACATACTCTTATTAACAAAATTATTGGACAACTATTGTATTATGAGGTGATTGAAATATATATATAACAAATTGTGTGAATCAATTTTTGCACATGTTTCTCTATATAGAAAAAACAATGAGCTAAAAGAAACACGATATCAAATTTTACACCAATCTCAGATGAAGGAAAGGAGGAGAATCAAAGTATTTCAAACGTATCAACTACTACAAACTCAAAACATTTATAAAAAAAAAAAAACCCGGACATAATACGTTAAATTAAGTAAAAAAGTTAAGCACCGAGATCTGAATCCAATTGGTTAGTGTGTGCACAAAGTTGGAGTCTTAAGTTCTCATATATAGTCCCAAATCAAACTTGTAAATTACTTGGTTTAGACTTTAGAATAAAGGAATTAAATTAATTAATAAGATGACGTGTCCTAATACGAAGGGCTTCCTCAAGTTGGGGGATAGATTTGGATCTTTCAGGTGATGGGCCCAATCCAAAATCCATATCTTAATCTTGGGTAGTCAATAGTCATCATCATTCATGAAACAGAGAGGGACTGGACAACCCTATCACCAAGTCCTGAGAAGAGAAGGCCCGCTTTCTTACTACAATATATTAGTTTCCTCATCATCATGTATATTCTATTCTATTGCCTGAACAAGTCGCAAGTAAGAGACAGTAGTACTACAAACATATATAGTTTTCAATATTAGTCCTTTTAAAAGTCTTGATTGCAACATACAGGCGGCAGCAGCAGCAGCAATGGTTGACCCGATTCATTAGTCTATTCCCATCTCAACCTGTCTCAACAAGTGACTAGTGATAATGACCCAACTCCTTTCGACTCATCGGCTCGTGACATACATGTGAATGAAAAAAGGGAGGAGAAACACGACTCGTGACCCGATATGATCCACTTCGTAGTACAAACCGGTTTTATCAAACACCCGCGACTACTAACGACCTGCCACTTCGACCCATGATCTATAGTGACTCGTAACCGATCTGCAACTCGCGTATAGACCCAACCCAACCCATTTGACACCTCCCGAGTGGGACAAAAAAACATGTAATTTTGAAATGAAGCGACAATGACAAAATCTCAACAAACAAACTCGACAACAGTGCGCAACACATTGAATTCTTTTTTTTAATGTTGATTGCAGAGATGGAATTTACAATAATACATGCAGAATCTTCTTGTCTCGAATGAACAAAGAAACTCCACATCGAGACAACGGCCAACAGACAGAGATTCAACGTACCAAATTGAGCAAGTTTTGGCAACTACTAGTGCATTTTTTTGCTGTGCTGGATTCTGCTATCCAATCAAAAGAGCTTAAAGATTCATCTACATAATGTCAACACAAAATGACAAGAACTAGTGGACACAAGAACATGATGTCAACAAACTGACATGCTCACTCTTTTCAGGTAAAACGCCCCCTTCGATCTACTCTTTTATATATTCACAAACAAGTCGGGTCTTCTAATTGAAACCAGCAGCAAAAGTCAAGAAGTAACAGATCAGGCTACTATACCTCAAACAATGGCCATGGTTGCTGGATTTGTTACTTTGAGACCACACATATTAAGTATCGAATATCCTGATTGAGTTCCGGATGAGCTGCCGACAGAGAGGGCACTTGGGGGACGACTCGCGCTCGACCGATATAGCACAGACTTGGCAGCAGACAAGGTGCCCGCAGGGGATGAAGGCGGAACGCCTCCTCCTCATGAGACATATGACGCACAACTGCCCGTCTGGTACATCCGTGACATCCTCCTCGGAATCAAGAAGAGGGGGATCGCTAGTTTCTTCCCTTGACTGCTGAGACAGTCTCTGTTGCCTCCACAGTTTCCATTTGCTCCAGTTCCTCACGAATGCATAGCTAAGAATGCCGGCAGAGAGTGAACCGAGAGCAATGCCACTCCACAATAGTACTTTCGTCTTGAAGCCCAGATCCAAAACCATTTGATCCTTGGTCATGTCAGAACTGCAGGATGGAAAAGCTTTTCAAGCACTAATGACCACCGAATAAAACAAGTACGTTGTGAAGGCAATCACAAAAATCAGCAACAGAGAGAACAAACAAGCACATTTAAATGATTCATAGGCTTGAGCGAGAATTCCATGAGTAGAGGCTTTCTTCCAAATCCCTTGTCTGGTGGAGCAAAAAAGGGTGCTAATTACTAAATCCATGGAAATGAGAATCCTTGAGGGTGCCCAATCCTAGGGTCCCAATGACTAAAAACAGCCCACCCCTAGGTGAGGGTTTGTGGAAATCATCCCTGATATTGTCTGTTTTGTCATTTTTCCTTTTGTTGTTAATTGCTAGGGTAATGGAGAGGATCACACTGGTGAGGCCATTATAAGATTAAAAAACAAAATTATATAAAGGTCAGCCAAAAAAAATTGCATCAATCATCAAACACATTATTGCTTCAACTGACACTAATTGGAGGCAAGTAGTGTACAAGACCTAGGAAATCATCAAAGTACAGGAACCACTTAAGCTACAAATCCCAATAATAGTTCACAAAGAATAATGCAACTGTTCAGCGCAATTGTTAACAATTTTCCATTGACCATTTGTTTTAAGTTCTCATGAAATTGAAGCAGGAGATCAATATGTTATTTAAAGCCACACCTGCCACTTGGAACGTACTGGTTAGTGTATATTGACCTATTAACAACTATGGTAAGAAGGCCTACTTACAGAAAATAAGGAAGATCTCTGCAAGGTGATATCTCAGGAATTCCACTTCTGGAACCGCACATTCCAATCGCAGTTATCTCCTTTCCTATTGGAAGTATCTTCTCCTCATCAAGTAGACCAACCTTCAACAAAAAACGAATTCAACCGAATGACTTTGTGCATCAACATAGTTAAGATTAACCAATTGCGAAACTATAAGAATGACTCAAATGTTCAAGCTGCAATTGAATAGCATCTCAAGGAAATGAGAAACCAACAGTTTGTAATGGCAGATGACATGGAGATGTATTGAAATTAGTCAACCGATTGATGAGCCATAACTCTTACAGGGTATTCATGACCAAATAGTGCCTGAAGAAATGTATAAGGAGAAGCATCAATGGGTTGCAATTGGTGATAAACTGTCGTGAGGGGTAGGGGATGTCGCGAAGCATCCATGTTGATAACAACATATTCAGATTGTGGCCACTTGCCAGTTTCAAGAAGGACAAAAGGAACCTGCAAACACGACGAAATGTTTAAATGGAGTATGACACACCATTGAACCATAGAAGCAATCACCATGACAAACAAAATAGCAATAAAGCACTACATTCATGTAACATTAGCAAGGTTCTATAACTTTTGATAGAAGATTCTGTAACTATGGTAACAGACAAAGTTCCCTAAAAGAGATATGCTGGTAAGCAATAACTAGACATCCAAACACATTGTAAAGATTGAGATGTTTTTAAAGGATTCCTAGATGGAAAAAAAAACAATTAAGTACCATGCTATCATTCTAATCATTGAGATTAAAGCTGTATCACTGCATACACTTAACTTCTACATTGCTCAATTTCTCTCTTTGTATTTTGAGAGCATATAAAGTTCATAAAGACAAATTATGTTGGCTCAATGCCATCAAAACAATCTTCTATGCTGCAAAGATGAATGATCTAGACATTGCATTCCACACCATGCCCAAGTTTTTTATTAATTTATCAAGCAGTCAGACAATGAACATTTTCAGATCAGCAATCTACTATTGATGATAAGAAAGAGATGGAATAACAGAATATAAAAAGTGCTGAGTCCAGTGAAGTAACTCACGGTTCTTAACGACATTGATTCTTGCTCCCTCCAAGATTTTCCAAAGATAGCTCGTATATCAGAGGTCCAGCCAAAAAAGCCCTTCCATTCATTGTACAAGCACTAGGTGCAAAAACCACAAAGTGGACAACTATGTTAGCCTTCAATTTTCCTTGCAATGCTAATGATTACAAAAAAAGAATCAGGCATTTTCTAAAGGAAAACCCCATGATTCTTTGTAGCAGATCCCACTTTTGGCCAATCTCAAGTATCTAAGTCATTAGCCCACCATTTACACATAGCACACCTAAGCTAGAGAATCGTTGCATAAAAATGCATAAAACACCCCATGTTGTCTAATCTCTTCTTACCATACACGATTTTCATTTTCAAAACAAATCTAGTAGCATACTGCAACAACATTGCACTCTCATAAGGCAGATAAAAAAAAGCACTAACACTAAATTCTCCAACTAGTATAAATCTTAACCCCTCTATTGTTTACTAGCTCTGACGAATAAGAACTACAACTTTGAGTGCCACTTTCTTAACAAGCAGTTTCTCCGAACTTTCGATGAGCTCCAACAATCACCAATGCCATCACCAACGCGATCCAAAACACTTGAGACAATTGTGCATAAGGACAATGTGCAAATTAGAATCTTCTAGCAAATGACACTTATTCCAATTCATCTCTCTCTATTGCTCCATTCTCACTTGCTTCCAACCTAATGAAGTTCCAGTCATCACAACATTCCACAGTGAAAAGCGAGAAAAACATAAACGAAACACATTCACAGTTCAAGTCCTCACCTAAGTCATAAGGCCACAACTTACACATACCACACCTGATCGAGTCATTCAAATTCATACGAAACAACATAAAACCATCCAAGTTGTCTAGATATATTAGCATCAGCTTACCAAACACGGTTTTCTTTTTCAAAATCGTAAGGTTGCAAATCTCATCAGGCAGATACAAAAATCGATATCACTAAATCCTCCAAACAGCCAAATCGGATTTCAACCACTCTACTCTTAGCTAGCCCTGGCAAATATGAACTACAACTTTCAGTGCCACTTGCTTAACAAGCACTTCTTTCAAACTTACGTGAGCTTCCACAATCACCCAGAGCCTTCATCAACCAAATCCAAACACTCCAAACTCTTGCCAACGAGTTTTCGTATGAAAAATTTACAGATTAGAATTGCTTAGCAAATGACCGTATGTGAATCACACTAAAGATATTCTGCTGCTCGAATGCCTCGATTCCTACTCACCAATACACCTCTCTATTGCGTCATTCTCACTTACTTCCAATCCAATTGAAGTTTTATTCATTAAAACATTCTACATCGAGGCACCAGAAACGGAATGCACTCACAGTTTGAGTCCTCTGTATGACCACAGCCTTATCACCAGACTCGTGAGAAACCAGCACGTTAGGCCTCAGGCTGCTCTTCCAGCTCCCATCGACGGCAGAGTTCGCCTCCACTTGTCCCCGCACAATCACCAGCTTCCGATCACTGATACTGCTTCGATCAAGCTCGCTGTTCGCCTCCTGATCAGACTGCGGCGGAGGCGCGTCGAGAAGTGAGCGGAGATCGGACACGCGGAGCACGGGAGCAGCGCGGATTTTTCGAAGCGCTTTCGAGCCAGCGGCAAACTTGAGAAACGAACGCACGGCGGCGTACGCTAGGGCTACGCCAAGGACCGCGCCGTCGAATGAGAAGGCCAATTGCGTGACTAGAGAGGCCAGGGCTTGCTCGTGCGAAGACATTCTCCGAAGGATTTCAGTAGCATCTAGCGACGGCGGGAAGGAAAGGAGCGGAAACCGGACTGATGCCGGAGTTTATCTCTGACGGTGGGAATCGATGAGAGAACGGCGGAAACGCGAAGGCGGTTGATTGGATTATGGGACGGCGTGGTGCGGGGAAGAAGAAAAAAAAGAGTAGATATAACTTATAAGTAACTTGCCGGAGACGACCGGTGGTTAATGTATGTTTGGCTAAAATCTTCAATGGTCACTATACTTTAGTCATTGACCAACCGGATCAACAAATTGTGAAGTAACAAATCAGTCATTAAACTTCTTTGTTTTTCCCTTTTTCTATTTAATTAGTATTATATATTACCTCCGCTTCAAATTTCCCCTCCATCCCCAATTTTTCGAGTTTTCCTAGTTCCTTCCCTCTCTTCGTAAATCCAAAATGGTGGCACCGGCGAAGCAGTGAGAAGGGAACAGCGAAGAGAAGAAGCGCAGAAATCCAAAATTCTTCTTGCCGCTAATTTTCATACTCGTACCGAAAGAGCTAAGAACCACGAAGGGCTCGAAATTAGAAGAACTGTTTGCAGAGAAGTGATTTTCCGTCTTCTTGGCTCTCTCTGGTAATAGTTTTTCTCTCTGGGACTTCAGCTAAGCAGGATTCCATATCGGTATTTCTATTTGTGTATCGCCTGTTCTGCGTAGATAGTTCCTAACATGGCGGCTAATGGGGAAGAACAAACTAATGATGCGAATAACCACATTGGGTCATTGGATTCACATTGAGCGTTTGTTGAAGTCAATGACCTATCAATAGCCAAAGCATAAAAATTGGCAAGTGGGTTAAGTTGGCGACTTTGAAGGCTCCATGTTCTCTCATTTTGAATCAAATGCTGTTTGGTCTTTAGATCCAAATCCCTCTTACTATTTCTTGCTAGTCTTCCTGTACCTTTGAACTCCCTCACAACCGCAAAAAAGGGCCTTCCTCTTTCTTCCCAAGGAAATGGCATTCAGCATGGCGGAGGCAGTTCTCAAGAAGTTGGCTCCTCTGGCTGCTGAGCAGCTAGGCTACCTTTGGGGTTTGAGAAGTGAGATATCCAAGCTGGAGAGGACGGTTTCCTCCATCAAAGCGGTGTTGTTAGATGCGGAGGAGCAGTCCAGTCATAATCATCAGGTCCAACATTGGCTTGGTCAGCTAAAGGAGGTCCTTTACGATGTGGATGACTTGTTGGATGATCTCGCCACCGAGGCTGTACGGAAGCAACAAATGGATGGCAATTGCGTCGCGAACGAGGTGCACCTCTTCTTTTCAGGTTCCAACGAAATTGTTTATGGGTTGGAAATGGCTCGTGCAATCAAGGAAGTTCAAAGCAAGCTAGATGAGATTGCTATGGTTAAGGAGCGGTTTAAATTCGAAATGCGCTCCATGGAGCAGGCTGTTGCTGTGGGGGACTGGAGGCGAACTGATTCCTCTATCCCTGATGCAGTTGTTGGGAGAGAAGAAGACAAATGGAAACTGATTGATATGGTACAAGATTCCTGTTACAAAGAGAAGGTTGCAGTCATTCCCGTAGTTGGGATTGGTGGACTGGGGAAGACAACGCTAGCTCAGCTCCTTTATAATGATGGTAAGGTGAAATCACATTCAGAGTGGACCTACACCATCATCATCATCATCATCTAATGAGTTACAACTTCTCCACTCCCTCAAGTCTCTCGAGATAAAGAGTTGCACCAACCTAATAGGTTGGTCGGCAGAGACAAAGTCATCCCAACTCCATTGCCTTTCCCAGCTAACCATTTATAACTGTCCCCAAATGGTCTCAACTCCTAAATTTTCAGCACATGTTGAGCATGTTGAATTATGGGGTGTGAAGAATGAACTACTGGATCACTTGGTTGACTCTCTTCCTCCACCCTCTTCACCATTGCTCTCACGATTTACATCACTGAAACTCCATGAAATCGAAGGCCTACTGGTTCTGCCACAAGGGTTACTCCCACACCTTACTTGCCTTGAATCACTCTCCATAGACCGCTGCAAAGACTTCACGACTCTGTCTCCAGCTGTTATTCAACACCTCACTTCCCTCCAAAGGCTCGAGCTTAGCAGTTGTCCCTGTCTCGCAAGTTGGAAGGGTGGCTACGATCATGGTGGTGATGAGAAGAAGAACAAGATGACGATGATGCCAATGTGTGCCCTCCCATGCCTGCATTCATTGCGTTTCTTTAATCTTCCGAAGTTGCTACATCTACCGGAGTGGCTACGCCATTCCTCAAATTTGCAAAAGCTTCAGATGAATGATTGTGTCGCCCTGAAGGGTTTACCAGAGTGGCTCACAAAGCTCGCCGCCGTGAAGTCTCTGGAAGTAAACTCGTGTGGTGATCTATCAACGAGATGCAGAGGCCAAACAGCTCTGGACTGGCCCTACATTGCTCAAATCCCAAATATTGAAGTTGATGATCGAGTGATTCAAAAGGACGGCTGCTACTTGGGATTAGATCAAGGACAAGGAGAAGGTAATAGTGAGGACGAAGACGACGATGAAGAAGAAGAAGAAGAAGAAGAGTCTGCTCAGGACAAGTTAGCAAATGGCTTTGCAAGGCTGACTTGCGGCCTATTCAGGAGATGTTTTCTCTGCTAACTTGCTCATCAGCCTCTTCAGCAGCTTCTTCAGTTGGTGCTCATTATTTTCTGCTTCATATCTTTGCATTCCGTAATCCATGTCTATCTAGAAGGCAGTTCATTACAGATTACCTTGCTCCATGATGGACTGCATATAGTCATAGGTGATTCAAACTTTCAATTATCACATTAGCTTTCGTATGGCTTTTTTTTCCATGAATTATTGAAGCTTTTATGAAAGAACGGTTTAATGCTCACAAAATGTAAGCATCAAACTAGAGATGTAGTAAAACGCTTAAGAAAATTGATATGAAAAGATGACAGTAGTGTAGGGGTCCTGTAGTGACTGAGTACAAACAGAAAATGCAGCTGAATTAGGTCTGTACCATGGTGGATAGAAAGTCATGGTTGCATATGCGAATCGGGAGACATCATAAATCGCATTGCCAGGTTGACATTCGGTGCATTCCAGAGATTTCTTGTCTGGTCTAGCTTGATCATCAACATATCATATCAGTATTCAGCAGCTTCTTCAAACTGTGTGCATTGATTTCTACTTCCTCTCTGTAGCAACCTATCTATCACCCTGTATTATTCTTTTTGGAAAAATCTTTGTAACTAGGCTCCGAGACCATGTTGCAATCTCGTAAATGCCGAATTAGAAGGAAATTGGAAATCGAATCTTTATAGGAGGAGGTCTTCTAATATGTTAGATTAGCTAACCAAATACATAAACTCTAACGAACCTATTAGCTTGGAGAGAAAAGGGAGCATTTCTTCCATCACAGTTATGATCAGTTACTAGGCTTATTTTCCAGGAAAAAAAAATTCCTAACCATAAAACTTCTGCTACCAATTATAGGTGCAGTCCAGAATCTCGAACTTGAGTAGACTAACAGAAGTTCTCACCAACTCATTTTAAGGTTCTATTGCAGGTAAAACACAGTGGCGGCAGGAAGCTTTGCAGTTGATTTCAGGCCGAGAATGGAACCTAAAGCTTTGCAGTTGATTTCAGGCTGAGAATGGAACCTAATCATATAGCTAACCATATCCAAACAAGACTCAGGCCGCTCCAACTCCTTGGTAAGCTTTTTATGATTAAACCTCTACATCAAGTCTTTGTCATTTTGAGTTTGCCTATTGGACTTGATTATCTGCCTTCACATATTGTTTGAGCTTGTTTGATGCTATGTTCTCTTGATCAAACGCATACTCTAGCTTTTAGATTCTAAAGTACTTTTGTCTGATTGCATTTCAAAGCATCGTTACAAGAATATCGATGAATACACGAATGAATATTTGATCCAAAAATTCAACAAATTGAGCTGAAAGATATGATTAATGGTGAATACTGTGACCAGTTAGCCCAAAATGAATGATACGATGAGCCTGTTAACTTGATCAGGAGCGTCCATATTTACTGCGTGCCCTGCGTCTTTGACTATTGCCACTCTTGCTTTTGATCCCAAGTGCCTGTCAAAAATATTTACCCCCTCAGTATCAAAAACCTTTTCGTCAAGGTTAAACTGTTAAGAGGAGAGTACCCTAAGAGAGTTTTATTGCTTTACCTTTGCAGCTGGTAAGCTAGATTCATTGGAAACACATAATCCTTGTTGCCCCATATCAGAAGAGTATCCTGAAACCAGAAACATTAGTTTGTGGTTCAGGATAAGATGAAAGTTTGACTTTAGGGTATGATAATGGAGGTTGTCATGCTCGTATTAGTATTAGGCCAACCCCTTGAGATTAGCGTTGCTCCAATTAGGTAATTTCTAGAAAGGGAATTATTTCCTGATTCCCAGGATGAAACCTGGGTCTTAGAGAAAGGGGCTGATGGCTTACCATCTGCTTCACTTTCCAGTTTTTGCTCAACATATACATACACATACTAGGAACCTCGAACCAAATATCGAGTGTGTTATAGCCCCTCTAAAGCTACACGTAAATTTGAGGGATTTGGTGAACAAACCTGAGCTAAAACAGGAAGGCTTCTTCCTGCATCAGAGTTCTTGGCCAACAAATGATCCACCAGCTCCATCTTTTCCTTCCTGTGGATACTACCTATATCCTGGAATGGGTAAAAGAAACACAGAGGAATCAATCAACCACAAGCAGTAAATGGTAACTAAACATGACACAAGTTTTTTGAATTAGCTCTCAGAAAGAGGAAACTAACAAAATGAAAACTCCCACATTGAGATAATCCTGAAGGAAAGAATCAGGAATCAGCTTCATGTAATTGCTCTTGTAAACAGACTTATACATGAGCTCCCTCAGGTCATCTGAAGTCCGAGGGACGAGCAGCTCTTTAGGATCTCTACCGAGCTTCGCCACCATTTTGTCCTTCTGGTCGTCGTTGCAGCCCACCCCGGTGCTCATCAGCACAACCTTCTCAACTCTGTCAGGACTCATGTGAGCTAAATGATACCCAACATAGCCTCCATAGCTGATCCCGTAAATGGAGAACCTGTCCACCCCCAGCTTCCTCAGTCCTTCCGCCAGGCATTTCGCTTGGAAGGCTTCTGACCTCTCCTTTCTCGTCGTGTAGGACTTGCCGAAGAACAGCAGGTCGGGGATGTAGAGGTCGAATCGCCGCGACAGGTGGCCAACCTGGGGCGAGAGAGAGTCAGGGTTTCACAATCATACATTAATGATCATTGCTACATATACATTATGGCTAAGTGATTTGCTTCAACCTGGTACATGAACTGCCAGCGAGAGTCCCCGCACTTGCCGTGGATCATGACCAGGTTAGGCCTCTCATCATCAGGTTTCCGGTCACGGCCACCACTTCTGCCACGGCTAGCCCAGAAATGGAGGGTTGTCTCGTCGTCCACGTGGATCGAGACAGGGGAGAGGCCGAGGAGGCGAAAGTAAAGCGAGATGCAGGTGTCGGAGACGGTGAATGCAGATGGGATTTGCTTGAAACGGCTGAAGCTTGTCAGGAAGTAGCGGATTATGGACAGGATTGATGAGATGTAGAATGTGAAGGAGCGGAGGAGAAGGTCGAGCTTTGAATCCATTGGTTTTCAGGTAAGAGGAAGAAGCTAAGATAGTTTTGATTTTTGTTTGTGTTATTGTGTCTGGATTTTGGATGTGTGCATTCTGGTTTTGTGGGTATGATATATGTGTTTGTGTGTATGGGCAGTGTACAGAAAAAAGAACAAATGAAGTGAAACTTGATACAAGTCTCGGCCTCTTCTTCTTCTCTTTTTTTTTTTTTTTTTTTTGTTTGGAGTTCAATTGATCAAGACGGTGGTAATTTATATCTCCTGGAATGATTCTTAGGCTTGTCCTTGTTCTTAGCTGCTTTGTGTTTATTTATTTTTTAATCTTTTTACTAGATAAAATTTTTCTCTTGTATTTAACGGTACTAACGGTTAAACCACGGTTTTGTCATAAAATACCATGTCGCTGATTTTTCCGATACGGTCTCCGATACGGTTTCATGGACCATGGAAATTTCACTATCTGACTAATTTTTTTATTAAATAAAATAATTTTTGATCTTTTCCCTTTTTTATTATTTAATACTTTTACTTTAATGGTGGTTGTCCCCTCTTTCAGTTCCAGAAGACAAAAGAAAAAAATGTATGGCTATTATCCATAAAATCCCCCTGTTTCTGGAACTCTCCATCTCTTGATCATGTCTTGTCCATGCTTCAATTCATTAGGTAAACCATTACTGATCTCTACCCTACCCATGCTGTGTTGTGGCTGTGGACCAGACGACCAGTAATCTAACAGACAAAGCTTTAATTTCCAACACCAGCCAAAAAACCATCTATTTGCTAGTTCGCAATTTTATGCCGACATGAAAACCAGTTGGATAATTATATATTTATCGTGATTCTTGATACAATTATTATTCATTCCAAATCTGTTTCACTCGTATATCGAGATTTGTAACATTTTTCACGAACTTTTATTAACATGCATTTCTCGTGGATGCCCTGATTTATCGTTCGTCATAAATAAATAATTCGTAATTACCAATCTACTAGTAGCTACAACATGCCGGTATACATTCTCACTCTAACTTCTTCTTTTTTCGATGGTTATTGTTGACCGCTAAGGTTTTCTACATATTCTATTGTCCATGACCATAAGTTCCAAACTACCATCATATACCTGAAAACTATAATTCTAAACCACCCTAGCTGACCCTAATAACTTTCTCCCAACCAATAAACCAAACAACTGGACTTTTGTTTCTTGTTATATATGGTTGGAAATAACTATACGTACTTCTTAGTTCTTAGTTGGTTCTCCCACATCCAACTACATGCTTACAGAGCAATACCTTCAGATGTGTTAAAAGTTCTTATATTCTTAAGGCATTCCTAGTCGTTAAATCAATCTTAGATAATTTGCAATTTATAGATTATGAAGGATAATTAGAGAGTTAGTATTATATCTAAAAAATATATTATACACTTTTCCGTCACCATTTCAAAATCACAAATCCCTCCCCCCTCTCCAACTATCGTTGTTAGCCGTAACGGGTAAGACGGTAACTAAGGGTGGAAATCGGTACAGTATCAGTATTCCAATACCAAATACCGAAATCCCGAATATCGAATTACACCCTGAAATCAATCTCAATCACAATCCCTAAATAATTTCGGTATCCCAATCGGTACCTCGGTATCCCAATCGATATTATCAAATACAAAATTAATTACCTTTGCAATTAATAATTAAATATATAAATTAGATTTTATTGTTTAATTTAGGGCAAAGAGACTAAGCAAAGAGTCTTCAGTTGCCTAGAGCTAACATCTCAAGTTTTTGTAATTGGTAATCTTTAATTTGATGAATTTAAGGTTGAGAGACGACTAATACTAGTGTGAAAAATGATGTAATCATCTATGTATAATTAAATGACACTCTTGGTGGTTGAGGGTCGCGTAGTAGTGAATGAGAGAGTCTAGTTTAGAGGATAATATACACACTAGCTTATATTTCGGTATTGATCGGTATTTCGGTATATACCGATCCCAATCATGTAATCCCTAATACCGAAGAACAATTGAAACTCAATCCCAATCCCACGAAATAATACGTGTATTCGGTAATACAAAATATAGACAAATTCGGTGCAGTATTCGGTATATCCCAAATACCGGTACCAAACCTCCAGCCATAGGCCGGTAACTGTCCATTGAACTATATTTACTCTACTTTTATATTTATTTTTTTATTCCTAATTTTCCTCCGCTTTGGATGGCAACTAAAAATTAATCAAAAAACAAAAATTTCAAACCTTGATATAATTGTAATTCAAAGTTTAAAATATAGTTTTAAAAAGGGTAAATACAATATATTAGCCACAACTATTATGAAGCGGGGAATTATAGCCACAATTATGAAAATGCAAATTATTAGCCATAATTATTATTGCGGGTCAAGATATGACTAACTGTCTGTTACTGTTATTGAATTTTTGATGGAGAAGGCCACTTCATCGGCCACGGCAGCAGCCACATCGGAATGGTTTTAATTTATAACTTTAAAACATAAAAGTTTAGTCAATATTACTAACGAAATTGTTAACGAATAATTAACGTTTGGCTAGTAATTTGAATTTCCATAGTTGTGGCTATAATTCCCCGTTTCATAATAGTTGTGGCTAATATCTTATATTTATCCTTTTAAAAAAACCGAAATGATTGCCCATAAAATTTTCATATGATTGAAGTGGTAAAAGGTTTAACTTTCAACCTCACATATTTTCTAATCGATTGATGTGTGAGGTCATACTTAATTTCAACCAAACACATAATGAGATATAAAAGTAGAGTAAAACATTGATGTTAATAAAAAATACAAATATTATTGTTAGGTGACTGCCTTATATATACAAATATCGTAAAGCATTGATGAGTATATTAAAATAGCTAATAATGATCTGGAATTGCTTCTAACTATCTTGTTTGTTTAATTTGTTTTCCTATTTCATAGGGGCTTGCTATTTGCCGCCAACCAAATTGCTATTTGCCGCCAACTAAAAAAAAAGTATATATGTACATCTTTGGTTAAAGAGTTTCACAATCTACAACATATCCAACTTTGAGAGAACGTATTGAATCAGAAAAATTCGACGTTCGCCGGAAAAGTCGCCGGAAAAATCATCGGGAAAGCCTATCCTCGACATATGCTGCGTACACGCATCCATGAATCATCACTAAGCAGATGCGTAAATTTTTTGTAGTCTCGAACAATTTTTCCGACGATTTGAAACGAACAGACGGTGGGCCGAAAATTTCCGGCGGCCGGAACCTGGCGGGCCGAAAATTTCCGGCGGCCGGAACCTTTACCACGGTCAGAAAATTTCCTCATGTATTTTATTAAAACCGGCACAACCGGCATGAATACTGGTTGTACCACGGTCAGACCATTCCACTTATAAAACTGACACACCGGCATAAACCGGTTTGACAACTTTGGTATCTGTACAACCAAGCAAGTGTACCTGACGCCCAACTGTACTGATCTAACTCCTCCAACTCGTCCAAAAATAGGTTCACCACCGGCCGAACCCTGTCTCTACTCTTGTCCACAAACAAAGTGGACCCCAACAGCAACAACAAGTACGACTGCGCCTCTGTCACATGTGTCCCGTGGCTCTGCAAGTATCTGGACGCCATCTCTGCAAGAAAACCACCCTTCTCGTACCACTTACCCCTATTACCATATCCAGGGGCCTCCGAACGACCACTCAACTGCTCCGAGTTCATCCCAAGAAGCGCACACAAACCCACCTCCGGATGGTCAAGCTGCGCAGAACTCCTACTCATCAGTCGTCCCTCAACAGGAATCTGCAGTAAGTACTGAACATCGTGGAGGAGGATCGTCATATCTCCAAAAGGCAAGTGGAAGGTGTTCATGTCTGGCTGCCACCTCTCCACAAAAGCTGAGATCAAAGCCTCGTCAATCGCTATCTTGTGGAACATAGAGTAGATTAGGTGCTGGAGACCTGACTGCTGAACCAGATCCTCCGCCTCAACATGACTAAACACGTAGCTACCCAGATAATCAACCGCCGATGTACGGCTGTAGCAACTGATGACCCCTCGATCTCCAACCCCCGTCCAAAGCGCATAGGCAGCGTGGCCACGAAAGCTCCTAATGAGGCTAGGATCCGTAGATCCACCAGGACACTCACCAACAAGCTCCCACGGTGGAGGACCACTCGAACGTCCTCCCCTACTCCGTCCAGTCCCCAAGCTCTCTGTCTCCTCACGAGCAGGTGGTACGAATCGCCCAGCTCGGTCCCTATACATAGCAGGACGTGATGTTGTCGTACAAGACAGCACTCGTCCATGTCCACGCGTAGGTGGAGGGACCTCGATATCCTCATCATTATCGTCCTCATCAAACTCAGCCGAGACCACTCTCGATGCAGCACCCTAGTTCCTCCCATGGGAACCAGACGCCCGTGATGCCGAACGAGCAACTACAATAGGAGCCTCTAACTCATCCTCCCCTAAATTTGCCTCTGACTGATGTCCAATATCTCGAGAGCGCTTCTTCTCCTTATTCTTCTTAGGCACCTTCCTTCGTGTTGATGCATCAACAACCCTACCATTGAATCTATACAACTCACTACCACCCGCATCATTCATATCTAATTATCTACAAATTTACACAATATCATACTTAGATGCGCACTAATTAATTAAATTTCTATTAACTAATGTACTATTAACATTAATTGTTAATTAATCACAAATTAATTAATTTTCTATTAACTAATGTACTGAATATTAACATTAATTGTTAAATCAATTCTTAATTAATTAATTTTCTATTAACTAATCTAAGTAATTAAACATTCATACGCCTATTACAAAAAAACATTTATACACCAATTTAAATAAATATTAACACTAATTGCTAATTTCTATTAACTAATTAAGTAATTTTTTATTGACTAATTAATTAACATATTAAATTAAATACAAAAACTGGTCGGGCAGAAAAAAATTTGTGGCCAGGCCGGAAAAATTTTGCGGCCGCGGCGACGCCCAGCCGAAAATATCTTTTCAGCCAGGCGTCGCACCGGCCACAATTGTTTTTTGGCTCGGCGGCGTTCGGGCCGCAATTTTTTTTCGGCCCGCCGTGTTTTTTGCCGGAAAACTGGAAAACTTGCCGGAAAAAGTAAACTTACTTGTTTTCCGACGATTGAGGGCGACGGGAGGTCGGCCGGCGACGGTAGAACGGTGCCGGCGACGGAGGCACTGGGCTCGTCAACAGAAGTTTTTGTTGGAATGAGTCAAATGTTCCTGATATCCGAATTTATAGAATGAAAGGAAGGGAAGGAAGGGAAAATTCAAAATTTGAATTCAAATTTTTTTTTAGTTGGCGACAAATAGCAATTTGGTTGGCGGCAAATAATCGTTCACATTTCATACGGCGACCGCGTTACATGTACAAATAATGTAATCAGAAACACAAAAAGTGTTTTGATTAACATAATAACTTTAGAATCCTAGCGTGGTACAATTTCATTTAGGCATTCAGACAGAACATTAAGAATGACATTAATGTTGCCTGAACGTGGTGACCGGGTACGTAACTCAATATCTGTTGGATTGTGAACTGAAGATGTAATCCTTGTCCTTCTAGGATTCGGATTGAGTGCTGCGACGTCGCTTTGGTACTGAACTAAAGGCCGCTGCTGCTGTGACTGCTGCGACGTCGGATTGAAGTTTGAGTCTGTTGAATAAAGCCAAGCTGTGCGTTTTGGCTAAGTGTCTATTTAGTACTTGTTGTTTTAAGTCTGTGTCGAATAATCCGTTTGGTTTGTTAAGAGTCTTAGCAGTTGTCTTAGCAGTTAAAGTAGATCATGCTAGCTAGTTAGTAGGAATCCACTAGTAGTGGGAGGAGGTTTGGCCGATCTCTGTGGTACAAACCTCAAGTATTTAAGCTTTGCATTGTCTTCAATGAGAAACTGTCAGTTTGCAATACATTGGTGTTCATCATTGTGGTATCAGAGCCCCGATAGCAAACTGTAACCAGGAGAAGAGAGGAGTGTTGAGTGAAAACACTTTGTGATCTGGGTTAGGGAAACACGAGAGTTGCTTGTGAGGAAAGACAGATCAGGGTGATTGAAAGAGATATCACCATGGGTGATAATGGCAGTAGTGCTCAAGTCTGCATCCCAAAGTTTGATGGAGACTATGAGCATTGGACATTAGTAATGGAGAATTTGCTCAGATCCAAAGAGTACTGGACTGTGATCAGTCCTGGCTTCAGAGAGCCTGCAGCAGGAGAGGTGCTAACAGCAGCACAAACAAAGAGCCTGGAGGAGTTAAGATTGAAGGATTTAAAAGCTAAGAACTATTTGTTTAGCAGCATTGATAGAACACTCCTGAAGACCATTGCTAAGAAGGGTACTGCACAAGAATTGTGGGAATCCATGAAAGAGAAGTTCCAGGGCAGTGCAAGGGTTCAAAAGGCTCAGTTACAGGTACTAAGAAGGAACTTTGAACTGCTTGAAATGAAAGAGGATGAATCAGTATCTGAGTATTTTGCTAGGGTGATGATTGTTGCTAACACGATGAGAAACTGTGGAGAGGACATGTCTGATGGGAAGGTGGTAGAGAAAATTCTTAGAACTTTGACTGAAAAATTCAATTATGTAGTTTGTTCTATAGAAGAATCCAAAGACATAGAACTCTTGACAGTTGATGCACTCCAAAGCTCTCTTCTGGTGCATGAGCAAAAGTTCAACAGAAGGTCTGCAAAAACTGCTGGTGAAGAAGAACATGCTTTAAGAATCTCTCATGAGTATGGGAGAGGTGGCAGAGGTCTGGGAAGAGGTTTTTACCAGGGAAGAGGTGGTAGAGGAAGAGGAGGCAGAGGCTGGAGTAAAGAATCTGTTCAATGTTTCAAATGTCACAAGTTGGGGCATTTCAAATATGAATGTCCTGAGTGGTATTCAAATCAACAGGCACATTATGCAGTTTCTGGCAACATACAAGATAAGAGCTATGGAGACATGAATGAGTACATGTTGTTGATGGCCTGTGTAGAATCTGAAGATTCAAATGAGTGGGAAGATGATACACAGGGATTGATGGCTCTTCTGGATTCTGTCAAAGAGAAATCAAATAATGATTGGTGGTTTCTGGATTCTGGCTGCAGCAACCACATGAGTGGTGATAGAAAATGGTTCACTAGCATAGATGCTAGTTTTGCTTGCACAGTAAGACTAGGAAATAATTCCAAGTTAGAAGTTGCTGGGAAAGGTGAAGTGAAGATGCTTGTGAACCAAAGAAGCATAACAATCCAGGAGGTATTTTATGTTCCTGGACTTAAGAGCAACCTGTTGAGTATTGGACAATGGCAGGAGAAAGGGCTAACCTTTGTGATCAAGGAAGGTAGCTGCAAGATTTACCATGCAGAAAAGGGTCTGTTGTTGCAGACTGAAATGAAAACAAACAGGATGTTTGTTCTTCATGCTGAGCATACACCTGCAAGTCAGCCTTCTCAGTGTCTCAAGACTGATGGTGTCATAGATCCAACACTTACACTGTGGCATCGCAGATTTGGTCACTTGGGAGTAGCAAATTTGCAGCTTCTGCAGACAAAGAAGCTTGTGAGGGATTTGCCAAAGCTAAAAGGAGGAATTGGAGTGTGTGAAACCTGCATGATTGGCAAGCAGCATCGAAAGCCATTTCCTAAGAAGAGTCAATGGAGAGCAACTGAAGCACTACAACTAGTTCATGCAGACCTCTGTGGCCCTATCACTCCAGCATCAAATGGAGGAAAGAGGTACATACTCACTTTGATTGATGATTACAGCAGGAAAATGTGGGTGTTCTTCATGGTAGCTAAGTCAAATACCTTGGAAAGTTTTAAGAAGTATAAGATGCAAGTTGAGAAGGAGATGGATTTGGAAATTAAGTGCTTGAGGACTGATAGGGGTGGTGAGTTTATGTTGAATGAACTCAAGCAGCTTTGTGAGGAAGCTGGAATAAAGAGGCAACTCACTGCTGCCTTTACACCTCAGCAAAATGGAGTAGCAGAAAGAAGGAACAGGACCTTGATGAATATGGTTCGATGCATGTTAAAGGACATGAGTGTTCTATCTGAGTTCTGGGCTGAAGCAGTGGCCTGGACCTGTCATGTGCTAAACAGAAGTCCAACCACAGCAAATCAAGGCAAAACCCCCCAAGAACTCTGGACTGGTAAGCCTCCTTCTGTGTCTCACTTTAAGATCTTTGGTTGTGTTGCATATGCACACATACCAGATCAACACAGGAAGAAACTTGATGACAAAAGTGAGAAGTGCCAGTTTCTAGGAATTTCTGTTGAATCTAAGGCCTATAAACTGTTTAATCCTAGAACCAATGCTGTGGTGGTGAGTAGAGATGTGGTGTTTGATGAAACAAAAGGTTGGAGTTGGAATTTAGCCTCATCATCAGAGCCAACCAAGTTGGTTTGGGAAGGAAGTGATGAGAATTGGGAAGAATCTGATACAGAAGAGTAATCTGATCAAGCAGCAGATTCAGATCCTGATGCTACTAGAACTCAACAACCTGGTAGTCCAAAACCTCCAAATCCAACAATGAGTGACAAAGAAGCAGAAGAGGAGGGTCATGGTACAACAACTGATGTGCAGGGATCTAGCAACACCAAAAGGATCAGGAAGCCACCAGTCAAACTGGCAAGCTATGACTGGCAAACTCACTTCACTGTGCCAGATTGCCAACTAGCAGAAGAAGAATGGATGGCATTTGTGGCTTTGGCTGATGATCCGCAATCTTATGAGGAAGCTTGCAAGGATCCTAGATGGGAAGAAGCAATGAAGGCTGAGATGCAATCAAAAAAGAAGAATCTTACCTGGGAACTCACTGATCTGCCAGCAGGCTGTCAAGCAATAGGACTCAAGTGGGTTTACAGGACAAAACTTAAAGAAGATGGTACCCTAGACAAGTTCAAAGCTCGTTTAGTGGTGAAAGGATATGCACAAAAGGAGGGGATTGACTACACTGAGGTATTTGCCCCAGTAGCCAGGTGGGATACCATCAGGACTCTTCTGGCTCTATCAGCTCATTTTGGGTTAACAGTGCACCAGCTGGATGTCAAGAGTGCTTTTCTACATGGAGAGCTTACAGAAGAGATTTATGTTGAGCAACCTCAAGGATTTGAAGTTGCTGGGGAGGAGAAGAAAGTATACAGGCTGCATAAAGCTCTGTATGGCCTCAAGCAAGCACCAAGAGCTTGGTACAGCAGGATTGAAGCATACTTTGAGAAGACTGGTTTCAAAAAGTGCAACTATGAACATACATTGTTCATCAAGAGGTCAGGGTCTGATATTCTAATTCTCAGTCTCTATGTAGATGATTTGATGTATGCAAGCAACAGTCCAGTAATGATTGAGAACTTTAAGGCATCTATGCAAGCTGAATTTGAGATGACAGATCTAGGCAGAATGAGATATTTTCTTGGTGTGTAGGTGCTTCAGAAGGATGAAGGGATATTTATCTGTCAAACAAAGTACATAAAGGAGCTGCTGGAGAAATTTAAGCTTCTGGAATGCAACTATGCACTTAATCCTCTAGCACCAGGGTTGAAATTAACAAGAACTGGAGATGGAGTTGCTGTTAATCCCACTTAGTATAAAAGATTGATAGGAAGTTTGCTGTATGTCACAGCAACAAGGCCAGACATTATGTACTCTGTGTGTCTGTTGAGCAGGTACATGGACTCACCTACCAGGCAGCATCTCTTGGCAGCAAAAAGGGTACTCAGGTACCTAAAAGGCACTATGAATCATGGAATTTGGTACAAAAGAGACAGAGGGGAGGAGGATGAAAGTTTGATTGGTTACACAGACTCAGATTATGCAGGAGACTTTGATGATAGAAAAAGTACCTCTGGCTATGTGTTTTTCCTTGCAGGAGCAGCAGTGTCTTGGGCTTCCAAGAAGCAACCAGTTGTGACTCTCTCAACAACTGAAGCTGAGTTTGTTGCAGCTTGTTTTTGTGCCACACAGTGCATCTGGCTGAGGAAGATTCTGGCAGAAATGGGATGGAACAGCAATATACAGGCTGGAACAATCATCTTATGTGACAACAGCTCCACCATCAAACTGGCCAAAAATCCAGTTCTACATGGGAGGAGCAAACACATAGATGTTAGGTTTCATTTTCTAAGAGAGCTGGTAAAAGAAGGTGTAATGGAACTTGAGCACTGCAGAACTCATGAGCAGATTGCAGATGTGATGACCAAGCCTCTCAAACTCGAAACATTTCAGATCTTGAGAAGCAAATTGGGAGTATATGATGTGGAAGATCTAAAGCTGAAGGAGTAAACAGAAGAAGAGCAGAACCAGCTTCAGTTCAGGGGAGGACTTGTTGGATTGTGAACTGAAGCTGTAATCCTTGTCCTTCTAGGATTCGGATTGAGTGCTGCGACGTCGCTTTGGTACTGAACTAAAGGCCGCTGCTGCTGTGACTGCTACGACGTCGGATTAAAGTTTGAGTCTGTTGAATAAAGCCAAGCTGTGCGTTTTGGCTAAGTGTCTATTTAGTACTTGTTGTTTTAAGTCTGTGTCGAATAATCCGTTTGGTTTGTTAAGAGTCTTAGCCGTTGTCTTAGCAGTTAAAGTAGATCATGCTAGCTAGTTAGTAGGAATCCACTAATAGTGGGAGGAGGTTTGGCCGATCTCTGTGGTACAAACCTCAAGTATTTAAGCTTTGCATTGTCTTCAATGAGAAACTGTCAGTTTGCAATACATTGGTGTTTATCAATATCTACCTACACCTATCTAGCTGACATGTCGAGTAATTTATTCCTGATGTCGGTCGGGACAGCAGATTCATGTGAGTATGCATTTGAATGGAAGGCTACACTTCTGACTTGTGTCTGTATCTAGCTTCCTTACCCACCAAGATACCTCTTTTACTCTTGGTAAATGGTAATCATACAAGGTGATGTTAAAGCAAATGGTTATATCAGTATGCAAATTCAAATGAAAAGTGATGACGAGAACACAGCTAGCAATAGCATACAAACTTTACTTTAAACAGAGTAAGGCCTTTTTCTCCATTCTCCAACGTTCTTCAATCTCACAATATGAACCCAAGATGAATGATTCCAACAGATACTTTACTTCAAACGCAATCCAATCCTTTTCTCCAGTTTTTCTCCCAACTTTTTGGACGGCTAAATTTGTCTCCCACTTTACTTTCTCCCACCCAATTGCCTTTAAGATTCCTTCATTACCTCCCATCTTTACCATCATCCCCCCCTTATAAGAAAACCCATTTGCCCCCTGACCCCAAATTCCCCACTCAGATCATTCCATCTCAAGTTGGATTTCTTCCCCTCTTCGAGAGAGGGCAAAAGAAAAACCAACCAACCGATCAAACCACATTACATTGTCGTCTCCCAAAACAGAGCGCTATCATAGCACCAATGGCAAGTTCCAGTTCTCACTATGCAACCCAAAACTCTTCATCCCAAAGAGGGCTCGCCATGGTGCTAGCTCTAACATCCGCCATCGTGCTTTCACCGTTGTATGCCAGCAGAAAGAGTGACCATTCGTCGTCGTCGCGATTCTACCCCCATTACGAGCCCGGTTGGAGCTCTGGTTTGGTCCTTCCGATGCTCCTGGCAGGGTTGATCATTGCAATCAAGACGACATCATCGAGCAATGGAGGCGGGAGGTCATTTGCGCCGTCGCCGGACCCTTCTTGGGTGCTTAGGATTGGGAGGTCGTCGTGGGGGCTTGCCGGGATATTGGTCATGCTCGTGCTTGTGTTGTCATGGCAAGAATCTGCTCAACATTTCTTCTGGAGATAGAGCAATGATGGAAATGTAAGTAATGTAGCACCTATGTATATGTACTATATGTTTTGGACCCTATTAATTAGTTTATTTTCCTAATGTCATAGGCTATGGGTTAATAGCATTTTATGCCCTTGTACTATTGTGTTTTAACGAATGTGCCATTATACTATGATTTTGCCCAAACATGCCCCTGTACTATTACAACATAGCAAAAATGTCCTTCTGTCAAAATATTTGTTATCTCTCCGTTAACTGGTACCGGAAATTACCCAAACACCCCCAATTCATCGTCTCTCTCTACTGCATCCCTAAACGAGTTCTCTTCCAACCATGGTCCAAAAATACCTTCGAGTCTTCTTCTCAAGAGAATCTGCCATCCAGCTGACAGTCGGAGCTCCCTTCCGGCGACCGTCGAGGGCTCCTTCTCCTCCGTCGGACCTATTTCTCGGGCAATATTCTCCATCCACCGGACCAGTTCCTCCCTCCGTCGATACAACTTCTCCCTCCGCAGGACCTACCGCTCCCTCCACCTGAACAGAGACCCAACTGCTTCCTCCTCCCAAACGCTCCTCCGATGATCTGTCCTCGATTTCATAACCAACAATATTCGAGAAAACCAAAGATGTGCTTCTTAGTTCTTTCTCACCTATTTTCGCTCTCTTCTGTACATTCCGAAATTTGTGGAACCCTAAATTATGTCTGTTTTGATTGTTGGGGTTTTGTTCTGATGTTGGGTTTCGCTTGGAAACAACCAATATATCATTCCTCTTTTTGTCCTATTCGTATAAATTAGGGTTTAAAAATAGAATGTTTGCAGTCGTGCCTCAGAGGCTGTTGGTGTAGTTAACATCGACGGGCTGAGGTGCCGTTTTCGCCCATGCTTATGTTGCCGACAATGTCACTCGAGGAAAAGACTGTGGACGCAGGAGAAGATGCTGTCGGCCGGCAACGGAGCTAGACGAGAAGATGGGGGATGAGATGATGAACGAGTTGGTGTATGCCGGCAGAGTTGGATCACGCCGGTGGTGAAAACGGCACCGGCCTAGTTGCTGTGGTCGAAGGCCGATGATTGCATGCTGAACGGTGAGAGGAGAAAGCGGCGAGTCGCGTATTACGGGCTCCTTTTTTGCCTTTTTTTAATTAGGTTGTAATCCCTTCAAAATTAAAGTGAAATTTTAATATTAGTCACAAGGTTATTTTGGTCATTTCCTGTCTCCGTTAACGGAGAGAAAACGAATTTTTCGATAGAAGGGCATTTTTGTTACGTTGTAATAATACAGGGGCACGTTTGTGCAAAATCGTAGTACAGGGGCACGTTTGTTAAAACACAATAGTACAAGGGCATAAAATGCTATTAACCCTTTTCTTATTTATGTACTATGGGTTGGGGGGAGCTTGTGTGCCTAATGAAGCTAATTTTATGTTGAAGGTTATCGTTTTAATTTCGAGATGGTGATGTTCCTTGAGGCACATAAATACCATGATCCATTAGTCTTACACTTACGCTGTTAATGAGCCGAACCGAGTCGAATTTTGCCTTGTTCATGTTCGGCTCGTTTATAAACGAACCAAGCTCGAGCCCGACTCGTATATAAACTAGCCGAGTCGAGTCGAACACGAGCCAGCTCATTTATACAATCTTGACACATCATTAAGATCGAAAGTTCGGCTCGAGCTCAACTCGAAGATAATTTATAATATAAATACCCTAATATGTCTATGTCATATGTGATACAAGTGATTACCTAATGTTATGTCATATATGAGACGTATTTGCTTACATATACTCAATGTATTAAAAACCATATGAAGTTATATATACAATTTAATAATTATATGCATCATTAACAAACCAACTCATAAAATATAAATTGATTTTCTCATAAGTTGTAGTCGAGTTGGCTCTCTAGTCACAATGTTTGGACATCTCATAAGCTCAAAACGAGACAGTTCATGAGTTATATTAAACGAGCCATCTAATCAAACTAGTTCACGAGCTTCACGAGCCGAACAAGATAGAGCTCAAGCTCGGCTCATTTATTAACGAGCCAACCTTTTTTTTAATCGAACGAGCTTTTATCGAGTTCGAAACCGAGCCGCTCACGAATAACTCGGCTCATTAACAGCCTGTGCCTAAAAGCTAGGCAACGTCAAAATACCTTGCTTAGGAATTCCGCCTCGCTTAGGGACGACACCTAGATTCGTACAGCGGCGAGAGTACCTAAGATATATTGTTGGACTTTGATTACAATATATATCGATACAATTCATATATCATCACTACTTTGAGATACTACTACAGAGGAAAATGTCTGCGGTTTAATTTTAACAGCTTTCGTTGAACTCTAACAAAACTATACCATACGTGAATAATTGCATACATGCACCTCATACATATACACTACTCGTTGTAAGAAATTACAAACACTCAGAATCTTCATATCTTCCGAAAGGACCAAAAGCTAGTCGAAGTTTGGTGGCAGAGAAACTCTCTTCCTGGTCAAGAGGGTCTCAACGGTCGGACATTTCCTCTTCATCCCGCCTCTAGGTCTTGATCGGAACTGCTCGTCAGATTCCTGAAAATCGCCCTGTGAACCCAACCAAAAAGAGATCTGAACAATCAGACGTGTTCCATTCCATCTGCGAGGGTTTGCAGGCAACACAAGGTAAATTAGACTTACGCAAGAGTAGACATGGCACCCGGATTTTTCGTGATTATCCCTAACATGCTTGTAGGAGAATCTCATGCCACAGCCAGGGAAACTGCAGCCAAAAGGCTTGACGTTGAGATGAGCAGCCTTCACATGCTGGTTGAGATTAGTTTTCTGGTTGAGAGCAAAAACAGACTCAGTTTGAGAGAGCCAAAAGCTATAAGGGGAATGAATTTCCTGCTCTGATGTATGAATGTGATTCCTTACAGATGAAAACGTGAGACTACAGCCTTCATGGTGACACGCAACCCGCTCTGTTGTCTCGCTGCCTGCTTCGTGGCTTCTCAGATGTCTCTTGATGTTCTTCCTCAGTTGCTTCGCACCACAAATCTCACAATTCATGTACCTGTGGGCTGTCTGGATATGGGCTCTCAGGCATTTTTCGTTCGAGAAATGCTTGTTGCAGCCCGGTTCTAAGCACATGGCTTCAACAGAATCAAGCTTCACTGCATTATAAGATGAAGAGTAAGAATTATTAGAAGAGAAGCTAGATGCGTTGAAGGTAATGGCAGCAAATTGATGTAAGAAAAAAGAGCACTTGCCATGAGAATCCTGATGTTTTTTAAGCCTCGATGGATATTTGAAGGCCTTCCCACAACCAGGCTCCTCACAAACACATTGCTTTGCGCCCCCAACGTCATTGGATGATTCACTGTGCATAAGTTCAATATGCCTATTCACATTGCCTTGATACATGAACTCCATGCTACAACTCTCAATTGGACATTCAAAAAGCTTCCCTTCGTGCTGGAGGGAATGCCGAGTCAGGTGATCTTTTCGCCGATAACTCGAATGGCAATCTTCCACCAGACACCTAAATGGCCTCTGCAAGAAAGAAAGGAAAAGGAAAAAAACATATTCAAACCAGTCACTACCAGACTCTTAAGCTAAAAGAAAAAACGAGTACAACAATGAAAAGGCTTCTCAACACAATATGAAGAAGAAAAACCAAAGCGATAACCCCTGCCAAACCTCGGTATTTCTAGTGCGTGATTCGAGGCTTTCGCCTTGATGGATCTTCTCAGGAGGTCACCCAACCTGATACTAGTCCAACAAAGTCAACTCTTGCATTTTGGAGTTCTGTGATATGGGATCCAATGCTTTCACGCCGCAACAAATCCAGTTAAGTCGTTTTAAGTACTTAAAACAACATCATAAATTTCCTGCAACAATCATTCAAATCTCAATATCCAGCTTCTTCAAAATGATATATAAACTAAGCAACACAAACCCAAAAATTCAAAGGCTATCCGAAACCAAATATAACTCTAAGGTTCGAGATTCCTCAATAAGAATTCACACATCAATCTCATCAATGGCCGATGAAACCCCCATCATACAGAAGAATAAATATTAAGACTTTTTACCTCAAGCGAGTGACTCAGCAAGTGCTGTTTCAAATATGCCGGCTTCCTGAAGCTAGCCCCGCATTCCTCACAAGTATTGGATTTCTCCTCTTTCCCTTCTCCATCTGAATCTTCCTCGCTCATCTCTTCCTGAAAACGTGAATTGAAGGAATTCGATTAGATTACAATACCACCGAATCAAATAGAAACAGCTTAGAATCACCCGAGAGAAAAGTTACCTTGTGATGGGAAAGGATGTGAGAGGCGATGAGAGCCCTCTTGGATCGGCAAATTCCACAGTATTTGCAAAAGTGTCGTCGGATATCTCTGGATTTCGGTGCATCTTCTTCGACTTCCATCTCTTCTTCTCCTACTTCCATCTCTTTCTCCATCGTTTTACCAGATTCTGCTTCTCCTACCATTTTCGGAGCTCGGCCGCAACGAGAGGAGAGGGGAAAGACGAGAAATTTGCTTACTGGTACTCCGCAGCTGCTGGGAGAGCACTAGGGTTTTGGGGAGCTTCGTTATAGAGTGGGAGTAATTGGGTTGGAGCCCGCCATTTTCATTCAGTGTAAACCTATATGCTTTCTGTAGAGCCCATGGCAAAGGAAAGCCCAATAGTGCAATTCAAGGCCCAAAAAAAATAAATCTCATTCTCCAACTACTTAGACAAATACATCCTTAATAAATAGTTATTACCTCCAGAAGTCCACCTACTATGTCATTTTATCCGTTTTGATTCTTATGTTAGAAGTTCCATTCATATTCCCTCTCCTTTTTATAGCGAGTGCCCTTCTCTTCTTCTTCCGGTTCCTTCCCGCCGGAGCTGAGTTGTTCGGTAACTCGCCGGATTCCACGTCCCTGACTCTGCCTAGCTCGCTCTCCCGGCGCCATCTCCGAAGTAAGTTTTCCCGGATTCCAGTCGCTTCAATCAATCCCAAATCCTAATGTAGTTCTGCTCCTTCCTCATGGAAAACAAAGCTCTGAGATTTGAAATTCAAACTTCTGAATGCTTACGGGGAAAAAAATGGAAATTCCATAGCTATCTCTGCTGAATTTTCTATTTCTTAGGCTAAAAACTGGATCTTTATGCTCAATATCCAGCTTCCCATTCATTTCAATTGTGCCCCAAACTTGCCCTTTAGGAGAATTTTGGTACATTTTGTATCAAGAGTTGTTAGGGTTTGGAGAAAATTTCCCCTCTTTGCTAACGGATGGTGTTAATGTAGGGGGTTTTCCCCGGCAGCAAGAAAATGGCTGAGGGAGATGAGGAGATGCCAAGAGATGCAAAGATAGTGAAGTCTCTGCTGAAATCAATGGGAGTTGAGGACTACGAGCCCCGTGTTATCCACCAGTTTCTGGAGCTCTGGTATCGTTATGTCGTCGATGTGTTGACAGATGCTCAGGTTTACTCGGAGCATGCTGGGAAAGCTGCGATCGACACAGATGATGTCAAGCTTGCTATTCAGTCCAAAGTCAACTTCAGCTTCTCACAACCCCCACCAAGAGAGGTATTTAGTCAATCAACTTTCTCTAAGCTAGTACAACCATATTATCTGAGTTAATAACAGCTTATGCATATACTTGTACATTGCCATATCAATCTCATAATGTCTTGTAACTAGAAGTGAACGGGTGGGGGAATTCTACAAAATTAAGTAGAACAGTTGCTAGATTGCATAAAACGTTTGCCAAGGTATAGAAGCTTTGCCTGCAGCTTGTACTAATAACTCTTATATCGATTTGGGATGAGATCAAAGTTTCAATCGGCTTTGTCTGAGATTGTGCATTCTGAACTTCTCACTTATTCATAACTGCACCTGGAGTCCTTTTGTCTGGATTGGTAAAACTCGTATTGCTATGTCTTTCTTTGTTGGCTCGTAGATTCTCTACATATGATGAACACTTCCCTGTGCTAGAAACCTAGATAACAGCACAGTGCCTCTGCTCTCCGTGGCCAATCACAGTACATAAATTAAGTTCAGCCACCGATATATTAGTTCATGTAATTGGCCCGTTATCTTCCCTCTTTGTGGGAATGTAAAGACCAGTTTTCAGACTCTTGATAGCTTTTTTCATCTCATCAGGTTTTGCTGGAGTTGGCAAGGAACAGAAACAAGATCCCATTGCCTAAGACTGCCCCAGGTCCCGGTGTTCCTCTCCCACCTGAGCAGGACACACTGATCAGCCCCAACTATCAATTAGCTTTCCCCAAGAAACAGCTTCCACAAGTAGAAGAGACAGACGAAGATGAAGAAATGCCTGGTCAGAATCCTTCTTCACAGGAACCAAGTACTGATGTGCCTCAACAGCAGCAAACCCCTCAAAGAGTCTCATTCCCTCTTACCAAACGACCCAAGTGATAGATAGCTGATAGGGTAGGACAGGAAAGTTTTTTTTTCATGAGTACTCCTTTCTATGCCTGCACTCAGTTATAACTTGTAAGATACAGATTAGAAGCCTGGGTGCGTCGTCCCAGTTCTATGTTTAGATTCTTATTCGTGCATTTCCTTTGCATGTTCGGAGTCGACGTTATGAGTTCGAGTTAACTGATTAGATGGACTGATAAAGAGCAACTGCTGTTAACAAATCAGTCAATTCGGTTAGCATTCTGTGATTACTGTAACTCAATCGTCGGATCAAGAACTTTGGATACTGGAACCAGTGACTTGTAGTGTTATTAAAGAAAACTTGTGGTAAGTGAAATAAAACACAGAACAGTAATCTTTTCATTTAATGAGGGGAACTTGGAAACCAGGCAGGGCCGATTTCCACAACCGGTTTAACCAATTTCCCCATTTTTTTACAATACGATTACATTACATCTGTTCTTCTACAACCAAACATGTATTTACAAGGAAACAAACCAATTGTTACTATGAACGCTATTCATTCATTCATTTGGATCCAAATGAAGTAGTAGTGTTATATCAACTTCTCCATCCAGTAGTAGTTGTAGGCACTGTGCTCGAAGAAACGCTGCTCGTTGTCTTCAAACCCCTGTCGTACATCCGCTGTATCTCTTCCCTGTACTCGGTCAGAGACTTATCGGGAATGGTGGGGCTTAGCTCCACAACATCTCCCATCTTCAGCTTGCAGGTAGGATCGCTCACTGGCTCGTGGTTAAGTTTTGGCCGCAGTTCTTCTTTGGCTGGGAAGCCATATGGCGACCATCTCGTGCTGCCTCGCCCGGCTCTCTCTAGCAGGTCTACGATGGAGGAGTTTGCTGGGAGCTCCTGGACCGACATCTGCAAATCAGAAGAATCCCAGTTGGCATTGTCAAATTTATGGGGAAACTAAGAAGCGTTAAGCCAAGCCATGAAATAGGAGGGCAGAAAGCGGTGCTAGCCGAACCTTATCATTCTCGATTATGATGATGAACACGGGTCCATCTTGGCCACAGAGAGGCTTGCAGGAATACCTGCAATCTTCTGAATGGACAGGGAAGGCACAGGGAGGTTTCACGGAATCAGCAGCATAAGGGATCGACGAGGACCGATCTTTGTTCATTGTCTCACACTGCCAAGTCACTACCCACCGAGCCCACTCGACCATCTGCAGGACGAACGAGGAGTGCTTGCAGTCGCCTTCCTTGTACCTCCAGTGCGCGGCAAACCCAAACTCAGCCTGCAGATGCATCTCTTTTGTCCGGATCTGGACCTCGAGTGGGACCTCGTCATCGCCTGTGACCACAGTGTGAAGTGACTGGTACCTGATGAAAACACGGCAACTCCAGTTACTTACAAGAGAATAAATGCAGAGATGACAGATTTAAAACGAGAGAGAAGATAGATTTACCCATTGAACTTGGGTTGACTTATGTAATCCTTGAACTTCCCAGGTACTTCAGGCCACAACTCGTGGACAACTCTCAGTGCTCTGTAGCAGTCTTCCTTGTTTTCGACGATCAAACGGAGGCCGTGAATGTCATGGATCTCGTCCATCTTCAGCTTTTTCCTGAAGAAACATAAAATTCAGGATTACTGTCGGAAACAGAATAAAGTCCTTAATTAACTACAAACATCATAAGATAGTAATTTTTGAAGATTTTTTAAGATCCATGCAAGGCTTGTTTCCCTTCTCGAATTATAAAATCATTAAATTTAACTCGGGCCTTTAGTGACACCTCAGCAGCAAGACAAAACTCACAAATGGTGAAACATCACCAGCACATAGTTCATGGCCCTTCACATCTTCCTAATTTATCAATGAGATTACTGCATCTCATAAAGGTACTTCAAGCTTTCTAACAGGATACGATGGTTTGCTGGTCCAGGGGAAAACTTATGGAAAGTAGTAATCTGATCCAAGGACTTTCTCAAGAAGTACATCAGCAGTGGTCCAATTTAACACTTGACACGATACTCCAACTATATGAGAGAGAGCGCAAGAGAGAGAGCTAAGCTTACTTCAACATCTTGCGATAAATGCTGTACAAGCTCTTATGTCTCCCAGAGAGCACATGGTAGCTTATGGCTTCATCCTTCAGCGCTCGATCCAATTTATCTGTCGCTGCAGTAACCACGGCCTCATCGAAAGACTTCACCAGTTGTGAAGACAGATCTTTATGTTGATCAGGGTTCAGATGCTTGAAGCACAAGTTTTCCAGCTGGTCCTTCCACGAAGAGATCCCTAATCGGTTGGCCAAAGGAGCAAATATTTCAAGAGTCTCCTTAGCAAACCTCTGCTGCTTGACCAATGGCAGAGCATCCAGTGTCATCATGTTGTGCAATCGATCAGCTAATTTTATCAACACTGCTCTGGCATCAGCCATTGCTAGAAACATTGTATGCAGACGATCTGCCTCGACAGTTCTGCTGGCGGTGTTGTTCTCTCGTGCCAGCTTACTCAAATGGCTAAGCTTCGAGACCTGAGTAAGTAATGACAAAGAATCATATCAGGAACTGTAATTACTGGATTCCAATGCAACAGCGATACTACATTTTTTCCTTCATTCTCAAAGTGGATTCAAACAAAAGAAGACGAGATCGTCGAATAAAATACACTACTTCCCAATCAAAATAATCATGTCAGATTCAAAAGGTCAATCAAGGTATCAACTCAATGAAGGTCACCAATAACATTAACATCACACCCCCACAACAGTCACTAAACTCGCTGAACACTAAACACTAAGAATGAGTCATCGTAAATTACTGTCATCTTACCCCTTCAACCAAATCAGCCACTCCAGCACCAAACGTGCTGCAAATATGGTCATAGCTCAAGAATGAATCATCGATCGTATCATGTAAAAGACCTGCAGCAACCATCGTGGGGCTAGCACCAATCGTTGCAAGCAAAACTGCGGTTTCCACGCAATGCTGCAAGTAAGGATCGCCACTCGCCCTCATCTACAAATGAACGAACAAAAAATACAAACTTTACATATAAGAACACATCACCAACCTCAATTTATACAAATGAAGGTGGAAGAACCTAGATTTCAACTGCGAATACCTGTCCTCTATGAGCCTTCTCGGCCTCATGGAAGGCCTTGATCACAAAGTCTTCTGTGAAGATCTTGTGCCTCATTTGTGCACCAAGCAACAATTCCTTCGCATATGGCTCGTAATCAGGCTCTCCCACGAAGCTGTCCTCCATATTAAACGTCAATTCATCAGCAGCCGGAGGAACGGGAGATGGAGCTACTTCAAAGCTCGGCGAATCGTAGTCCACACAAGAACCTAATGCATGGCTCACGAATCCATCGAACAGTCTATTCGCCCCGTACCGGAACGAGCTATGAACCGAGCTAGGAAAGCAGACATCGCCGCCACGAGCTAACCTCGTCGGAGGACTGCTGGAGCAAGAGACCGGAGCTTGCAACACTGAAACCGGACTCTGGTCCTTCTTCGCACAATACCCTCCGCCGCCGGGGACGATGTACTTGCTCGGGGAATAGCGAAACGAGCTGCTCAATTCCTTCAAATCGTCCCCTCTATCGTGCCAAAGAGCGCCCAATTCCTCCCTATCGCCGGAGAACGACGAGTGCTTTACCACACTAGGCGAAGAGAACAGACACGTCAGCCCGCCAATTTGGGATTTATGCGAGGAAGAGCCACTGGCGGAAGCAGAAGAGGAGGATCTCGAGTTCAGATCGAAGTCGTAGCTCGTGCTGCCATTGATCGAGCATGGGTGCGGCGTCGAGCATATCGTGCTCGGCGGGCTCGCGTACAGAGCAATCGTCGGAACCGCCATGAATGAACGAAGGAGATTGGAAAAAAAACCAGAACCCAGATAAAATTAACCGCTAAATCGACGAATTCCCACCACTAAAACGAACCCAATTCGATGAATTTTCAGATCGAGAAAACCCTACCCACTATAAACAAAAGGGTTTCTTCGGATTTTTGGCTTACAAAAGTTAAAAGAACAAGCTTTGCTGTGAATATATACAGAACAGACCCTGTACAGACTTCTGTTCGACACTATACGCACCCAATTGACTCAGCAAAGAAATTGGGCAGCTTTATTGAAGAAATGCAAAAGGGAGAATCTTTTGACCGGTAATTTGCTTCCTTCTTCTGGGTTTCTCGAAGAAAAGAGAAGGAAAGAGAGAAACAACGAACAAGTATAAATTTTGAAAAAAACAGAGAGAGCTTTGAGAATTTGCAGCTTTCTTCTTCGTTCTTCTGCCAGAAGTTTCTCTCTTTCTTTCTCAATCTGGATTGATTTCCTCTCCCTTTCCTCTCTTCTGTGTCTGGGGATCTTTATTTCGCGTAGCGGCCAGGTAAAGGAAGAGTGCGCGAAAGTACTTGGTTGCCCTCCTTTGGCAACTGAAATAACGGCTTTTACCTGCGGGTTGCCGGGTTTTCGCTCTTTTGTCCTGATTTTCGTTGTTATCTTATTTCTGTTTCCGCGATAAAATGTATAAAATATAAATTATTAGTTTTTAATGCACAAACAAACATGAGAAACAACTTAGGATGATTATCAGATTGGGAATTTTTATTATTATTTATGGTGTTGTTTGTTTGGCTGAGCGGTTCATTTCAATGTATCTTCTGTATTAATTTTTCTATGGGGAAACATCTTTCTATATTTTAGATTATAATTAGATAATGTTGCATGTTTCATTATATTTAGACTACATTCAGAAACAGGGTTGTATATTTTGTGAGTAGATACATCATGTTATCGGTGATTTCATATGCAATGGATTACCATTCATGGTTATTTTACGTATTGTAATTTTGAAAAAAATTTTGTCATTTTCTATCCTTTTAATGTGTTACATTGAAAGAGAACTGTTATCATGATTTTATATTCATTAGATTTCATGAAACGTTATTTATCACAATTCACAAGTTGATGATCGTTGAAATATACATTTGTCATCTGAAACAAGAAATGAAAGTAATAATTATGTTTCTTGAATAAAAAACAAAGACTGGTTTTACAATTATGTAACGATTGTGGTACATAATGCTCTAGTCTATATACCCAAAATAATATCAATAATGTATATGAATTTTTTGATGTTGGTTCCATTTACAATAAACTAAGCCACTCAATCCGCCTTGCAAATAGTGCCGACATGGGGCAAAGAAAATAGAAATAAGATTAGAAGGTAAGATGACGTCTTCTCATATAGTAAATTCACACGTCACATTCACGAAACTAAGTATCTTGGGGTTCAAAACGAGCTTTCATAAAGATTACGTTATCGGGATAAATGAATGAGTGAACTCCCACTAATTTAGTGTATACATTCCCCTAAAATAAAAATAAAATAAAAATTACAATTTCCACCATAATCGCCCTTAGACAAATAAGAGATTTTAATAATGTCACAAAGTTATCCATAAGCATCTTAATTGGTGAAATGTACTCGACAACCAACATTCTAGCTAGCACCAAATCTTTTACCATAAGTATCAAATCCCTAGTACAAGTAATTGCCAATGAACAAAACATGTATGGTTCACGTATCCACTAACAATTCCCATTATGGATGGTTGCTTTAATTCTAGAAAATAAGTGGCAGTTTTTCAGACCCCTACCTTTTTTGTTTCTAGAAGGGCTAAAACCCATTAATAATGTTGTTTTTGACAAATAAAATTGGTCTAAAAAACAACATTAGTATATATCCGACCATTTGATTGGTAAATATTATTAAAATCCTAATTATCTCCTGTCTCTGTCAGTCTATCTTCAACCTTGGAGTTTTAGGGGGCAAACTCAAATACTCAATAACAATAGAAGCCAATGGAGTCATCGTTGGATGATTTGTCGTACACTGTTAGCCAATTATTAATATTTTGTATAGGATGATAATCACCCATTAGAATAAGCTTACAAGGATGATTAATTTAAAGGACATCTAGAACCAGGGGTGGTGAAGTCTTTTGAGATGAGATAAATATATAATATAATTATATCAAAACCCAAGTGAGTAAAAGAAAGTTCATCATATAGAAGGTCATTATGATGTTTGGCTTATCATAGTTAATTATGATGATTGATTATTGTAACTGAACTTTTATCAGATACCAACAATTTCTTTATTATCAATTAAGTGGGAAACTTCAATTTTAGTAATGTTTTTCACACGTCTTTGTTCTTATCTTAAATCCCTCAAACTTTTCCCAAAGGACAAGCAAAAAGCTAGCATTAATAATTACTAATTAGCCTTCTCGAATGTGTAGTTAGGAGTGAGCACTGGTCTGTGTTGAACAATCATGAAAGATCTTTTACTATGTTCTAAAGGATCGATGTATTGAGTTACAATTAAATTTGTAACAATGACGTTAAAGGTACAAAGTATATTTGTACTATAAACTATTTTTTGTAAACCAAAAAACCGACATTGTAAAATTCCTACAGAAATGAATGCTTATTTCTCCTTAGCTGTAAAAATGTATTTGGCTTCCCTTGTTGGGTTATGGAATAAAAAGCAGTTTCTCATTGTTAAAAAATATAGTTTGGATAAATGCAACCTGATATGATAGTTAAAATTGCATATATGGAAAAATGTTTTAACATTGAGATTTCATTTTTTGAAAAAAAAAAGTTTAACGATTGGTTTGAAAAAGAAATATCAAAATTTAGACTAGACAAATTAACAATTCATCCTCCTAATATTGATTTGTATTCAAATCATGTAACAACAAATATTATCACCTTATACAATTTTGGATTGTTCACAATTAATAAAATAACATTTTGTGTCTTCTATCAACGATTATTTGGGTTCGATCACTGGTACTTCCATATTTTTATACCGTTTATTGTGCACAAATTTTTGTTGATTCAACACTTCTAATTGGTTACTTGGCAATCCTAACTATTCAAATCTACGATGATGCTGATACCATTACCAACAATTGGTTACATTGTGACAAAACATGATTGTGAAGACAAAATTGGGCAACTTTGTTAAACCATTATTATGCTTGCTAAGACGACAAGTAGTAGCCTTCAAAGGTCGAACCAATCTCATTTGGTATAGGGTAGGTGGAACTACAAGAACATTCCTTTTTTATGTTTGCCAACTTGCTGCAATGTAAATGTAATGTTAGCTATAGGGCCACATCAAGTTGGGAGAGAAAAGGGTCCACATTATTGGATTTTTTTCCATGGTCATGGGAGGGAGTAAAAGGAATCCAATTGAATCTTTTCTTCCATTGTAACATTTTATTTATTAAAAAAAACACTCGAATTATTGTGTGGTTGTATTTATACAGGCTCCCATTCGAAGTACAATATAAATTAATATGGGTGAAAATATTAGGAATTTATTTATATGGAAAACCTTGTTTGAACATTTTTTTTTATGGGTTGAATTCGTTTGCGCAATATTTCAATTTCACAAATAGGATAAAAATTGATTTTCAATAAATTGGAGGAATCATAATCAGGTAGAGAAGATCGGTATTGATTATACTAAGTGCACATTTGTATTGCTGAGATCTGATGCTACAAGCAAGATTTAACCTTTTATGGACTACGTGTACGAATGTGCCAAATTCCCCTATACATGTTTGGTGACTACAACCACGGACAACCTCATAGACTGCCAATGTAATTGAAGATCATGTTAACATGGGTACGTAAAACGACATGTACAAAAAAGTTGAATACGAAAACTGTATATTTTATTTATTGAATCTATGACGTTACAATGTTACAGAAAGTACAAATCGGACATAACAAATTACATATGTGCAATGAAAATCTACAGTAGTAAATTTATAAGAAAGTCATTGACTCAATAACTGAAAATAATAGCAACAGAAATAATTCGACCAACCAAAGTAGATTAGTTATACTTGATCACCACCTCTGATTTAATATATTGAGTTTGGCCGGTTTCCCAATTGTTTTCTCCCCACCTTCTCGAAGGTCTAGCTTTCGATTTTATAAAATGGTTAAGCCCTAACACTGTCTCGGTTCGTCAACTCTCTTTTATATGTATGGTGTATCTTTAGGTGCAGTTCAGTAGTTGGAGGTCAAACTAATTTGGCCAACAATAAATCTATAAATATTGACAAAATTTTGTTATTTCAATTAATTTACTTTGCTTCCAATGGTCAACTAGTTCCATGGTGTTGAATTTTGGAAATGTGATAAACATAAACCTAACCAAACACTTTGACATTAATGCACAAATTAGAGTTTGTGGAGCTCAACAAAAGTCAGGAGTTTTCGATTATTAATTGGATAGAAATTATAATTTTTATTCAAGTTTTGTTTTTTCTTAAGACAGGTTTTGCAATCCAACATTATTCTAAGATCTTATATCTAACACTGTTGTTCCTTGTACGTAGCAAATACAATATATTGAATTGAAGCTTTGACCTCTCTTTATTAGAAGAATCTCTGTACCCAATTATTAGTGAGGTGCTAACTTTACAATCACGCAATCAATAAAGAGAAGATGGCGACCCTAATTTCTATAGGTACTTAACATTTAACAAACATAAAGAAACTGAAGGGTGTTTACGATGAGTTTGTGGTAAACTCTAAATAATTTTATTTGGAGTTTGATGGAAGTTTGTGGTTGACCACATTGTTTCGACCACTTCTAGTTATGATCAATTAGGTAGACTATTTATGCATAAATGTTTTTTTATATAATGGTGACATAGATTAAATAAAAAGCCCCTCAATTTACAAAGGAAAAACAAACAAAAGGAAACAAAAAGCCAGAAACAGGGGAAAATGAACATGATAGTTACAACATTGAATAATCACAAATATAAAATTATGGCTCAAATTTTGAGTTATTAGAATTTCAGTATATACAAAAAGATTACTCGCTCATAGTTTTAAATCAATTATCTATCAAAACACTAACATTCTACATTCCTAAATCATAAGAACTCAATCCCCATAAATGTAGACCACAAAAACCATAAATTATAGAACATGTATCTTTGTATTCCAGCAATTGCGAATTTGTGATGAACTCGTTCAAGATCGATCTAGTTCACTTATTCATATCTGAGTTGTTCATTCTTAACTTGGAGCAAAATTTTGTTTTCCCCCCTTCTTCGGCCTAACTGTTAATGCTCAAGTTAGAGGAGCACCAGAGAATGTGATCGTAGTCACAAACTCACAAGGAACATGTAGCAAACAAGTTTTGATTATAAGCAGTATGTTTGTAGATCGCTTGAAAGTAGGAATTGAAAGTCTAATCATTATGTGAGATATCGAAATCACACGTGACGTGACCCAATATAATTCAACATAGGTACAATAGTTATGGCGCTCTTCGAACACAAACAACAAGCTAAGTTCGATATCACCTTTTTGCTCGATCAACTTAGACATTGACGATGACGACGAGACGAGACGAGGACAACAGCTCTTTGATCACATGGTTACATGAGAGTCGTCAATTGTTAATTAAGCCGCCGTAGTGCCATCGGCCGGGTTCACAATCAGGGATGGGATTAGGTGCTAATCCTTATAGGAGTTAGCACCGTGATAACTAGCAAAAACACTAATAAAAATAACGAAATCACTACGGGAACAGCTACGGTGCTAATTGTACAATAGTTAGCACCGTACTAACCAAGGGAAAAACTACTACTAGTTTAAATTAGTAGTGATTTAGCTTAAATGTTGTATTGATTTTATAATAATCCGTAGTTATTTTTCTAGTTATCACGGTGCTAACCCTCTTAATCCCATCCCCACAATCACCGGCCAAAAGTAACGTATAGAAAGAAGGAAGGGCAGGGGTGAGAATTAGTAGGAGAAGTGGAGGCCAAATACGTACGTATAAAATCCCCCACTCCACCACACGTTTGGGTGTTTTTGATGAGTGGCCTGGCCTGCCTAACAAAAACACACATCCAGTCTCTGATAAGGACCGGCGCGCCAAACGGCCCCTAACTTAACTTCTTGCGGCCGACCGATTCTCTCACGTTGCGTGAAACCCAGTGACATACCACGTGGCACTTTCCAGGAAGGCCACTCCCTTCCTCCGCGCCTTTCCACCGCCGCCGCGTGGACGACCCTTGTTCTTCACACGTGTAGCTCGCCGGCCATCCCACGTGCCAGGCTCGTTCTTTGGGCGGACTTCCTCCGCGATTTCAGCTCCTAATTCCACGTGTGACGGCGTCCGGAGTTCGAAAGACTGACAATTGATTAACCTTTCAGAAGTAGATTAATTAATCTCATAAGTGGCTTCTCGACCGTTAATCTCGACGGAGAGATTCTTTGCCACCGGGATCTTTTGATATTACACGGCGGTGTCAATTAGTGAGGAAAAAAAAAAAACAAAATGTCGTCATAGTAGAGAGTACTTGGACTTTTTGAGCTCTCTCGATCTGTGTGTTTGTACTTATAATACAATCCAAACTAGTGTTCTCGATCGAGTTAGCCTTACTTGTATTGTAGTGTATGATCGAAAACTTAATGATCGAGATGCATGCATGTATATACATTGATTGACGTACGTGGAATGGTCTTCTCTTCTTCCATGGTTGACATGTGTCACCATCATCATTCCCTCCATAAATATTCCTACATTAAGGTGAAAATAGAGATAGATTATTATCGGTCCGGCCGCGACTCGAGATTCGTCTAGCGACTGAGATGAAGGTGAAAATAGATTGAATGAAATGATGCACGGTTGGATTTCACGAATTCAAGTGACATCTAAACCTTGGACCATTATGCAAATCTCAAAAAAAGTTTAGATGCAAAATTGTCATTATAAAAAATTTCGGGTACCAAAATATAATTCCAGAATGATAATTTCTTCCCGAGATCTACACTTTAATGCTTAATGCGAAAATTATAACTGAGCTATGCAATGATCAATGTGAGACTTGTGATTATATTCCATTTTAGCTAGGTAGTTAAACCTCCTATTGGATAAGTTTGATATAATCCTCAGAACAAATGAGGCAAAAACCATTATCAGAAAGGAAAGAAAGAGCAGAAGAAGGTGCTCTCGATTTGGGTGTTGTAATAATTTTCAGGCATAATCACATGCGTATATGTGTGATAAGTTGTATGTTTCCATCGCTACAATTCGTGAATCATTGAATTGCACTCGTCACGTGCAAAATCAGCAAATCATCGCTATCTTCAACTAATTTTCTAAACAAATTTCTTAACTATAAGGTAACTAGGATAGTTGCAGCAAGTTGCTGTCCAAAGAGGGAATAACAGCTTGTAAATTTGTGAATCCTACTAGCTAGACACTATCAGCATGTTGGGGGCGTAATTCGTAATATATCAAATCAGAACTAATCGACATTTGAATTTGATTTGGGTTTCGTTCTTAAATTCATTTTTTTCGTTGGATACCCACGCGTTCTTTATCTGAAAATAAGAAATCAAGCCAATCGAATTAGTGTGAAACTAAATCAAAGATAATTGGATGCATATATACTCAACATGTCTCCATCTTGTATTGATTTTTGATTGAATATATTTAGTTTGCATGTCATTGTGGTGACTGAGAAGAGCTTTTTCTTTGTCTTTTCTTAAAACAGGCAATAAGATGTGGAACTGTGGGTTAATTTAAGCAAAACGTGCAAGACAATTTAAGAGTGTGCATGGAATGGATGCCTTGAAATGTGGCTTTCAATGAATGAATAATGGATATATGTTGCGGATACGTCACCCAAATGTTAATTTTCAGCATAAGAAAACTTCTCCACCCTTGGGACTTAGGATGGCAACTTTGCCCATATCCATGGGTTTCTTACTATCCAACCCAATTGGGTTGGGTATGAAATTCAAATAGATGGATATGGATAGAGTTTGATGGGTTTGTACCCATACCCATTTACTTTGGGTTGAGTTGGGTTTATATCAAATGGATTTGGGTTTGTACCCATGCCCAAATACAAATTACAGTTTGGTACCCAAACTTAATAGACATGCATTTTTAGTACCTAAATTTAATTTTTTTTGCATATAAGTCCTCAAAATATCGATGGAAAATTACGTTTTGGTACATAAATTTTTTTGGTCTTACATTTTGGTACCTAAACTTTTCAAGTTTTGCAAATAGGTCCAATTTTTGCATGTGTAGTTAAAACACCCTCAAGTAAATGGATATCCATATCCAACCCATACCCATTTAGATTATGGAAGCTCCAAACCCAAACTCATCTATAAACCCCAAATCCATATGCACTTCACCCATACCCAACCCATTATCAATGGGTCTACTTGGGTTTGGATATAATTACCCATGGGTGGGTAATTTGCCATCCCTACTTGGGACATGTTTGCTGTCACGAGTAGGCGGCAAATCCGAATTCGGGTTTAACCGAAACTCACCCCTTTAGGTTTATTTATAGGCCTTTCTTAACGGTTACAAATTGATATGCGGTAAACGATTTTGGTTAGAACCGAAAAATCTGATAAGAGCCAAGAACATGTGTCTACGGCTTCGCCAATGGTATGGTTATTTTGCATGATTTTTCCATACCGAAATTTAACTATTAAGAGGATTATCGATTTTCAGAAACAGAAAATTACAAAGCCCTATTAAAAATTTTATTTTTATTTTTAGGGAACTAAAAGTTGCGTGTTTTCAATTTAACATTTTAACGGTTGTTGGTTTTCTTGTTCAAGACATTATAATTGAGAGATATGTTTTTTTTATGCCCGAGGAACATCAAGAAAATAGTTAAAAAGAAACACTACCCACATTCCCTTCCCACACCACTAACTAGCCAACTTACAAAATCAAAAGAAGCTAGTTCTAGCTGGGACAACAACAGGGCTTTACGTGCCACTCTATGAGCAGCCCAGTTGATAGTCAGCGGAACCGCCCTAAAATCTATACAATGAGAAAAGGAATCAAGAAGACAACAACAATCTCGAAGAATGGGGCCTCCAATAGAATCCTCCACCATTCCAAGCTTGAGTTGACGGATGACTACTTCTGCATCGCCTTCGATGATGACACGAGACAATCCTCTGGATGCTGGAAGAGAAATTATTGAGTCTCTGGCTGCAAGAAGTTCGGCAAGTATGGATCCAAGATACCATGATGTTGCACACCCATTGCGAGAAACACATGCCCATCCGAGCCACGAACAACAAGGCTGAACGAGGAGCCAGTGACTTGGACAACAATGTCAAATTTGATCTTCACATAACTTTGGGGCGGGCATTCCCAGAGTAGCATAATAGAGGAAGGAGCACGAGCAAGGCCAGGAGGGCCAAGCATAATAGAGAGCACTAAACAGGAGTATTGGCGGGCAAGTGAACGGACATGGGGCTGAGTATTTTCAAATACCACTTTATTTCTTGATTTCCATATTCTCCACAAGAGGCACACTACCTGGAGAATATGGGTTTGGGACTGTTGGGTAAGCATAAATTGACGCCACCATAAACTAAAATTAACTCTTGGGACTGAATCCAGTATACACTACAAGAAAACTTGGTTTTGGAGACAAATAATTAGATACAATTATTCTATTATTCTATCACTTAATCCCACAAAATAATATAACTGGATGACAAGGGGGCAAAGAAAGATCCGGTGTTTTATACTTTCTCGAAATCTCTAGCAAACAGGACATCGCATTAGACAATTAACTCTACGAATTTTGAGAATCACTATTGTAGGAAGCACCACGACGACATCGTAGTATTGACCATTTGTCATACGTCCTTTGGGCTTACAACTCTAATTAGGCCCAATATATATTTTTATTATTCGTATGTCGGGCCCATAGCATCCTTTTTGTCCCACTCTTTAGTAGACCAAAGATTCAAAGAATTAAATAGATCGTTGTTTTCAGCAAACAAGGAGAATTAAGGTACTTATTAGTAAATTCTTTGAGACCGCGGCACAAGCTCCCGAAATCATCTCCCACTAACTCCTCTTCGGCTCTTCCGCTTTGTAAATTTACGGGTTTGCCTCTTTTCTTTCGGCAGACGACTACGATTTTGACTGCTTAGATTCTGACTAAACTATAAAAATCTCAATCTCCAAATCCCCTAGGGTTTTTTTTGCTCTTCCCGAGTTCCCACTCTCCTTCTCCACCCCCAAAACCTTCAGTACCAAACCACCCCACAATCATTATTACCTAAGTCTGGTCTCCCAAATTCAAGCACAAAGAGGTATGCTTTCTCCAAACACTGCGCGGATAGCGGAAATTTGACTCGAGAGATTCATTGGGTTCCGCTTGAATCCAATCTAAAACCCGGGAAACTGATCGGGCGCTGCTAAAAATTTGATCTTTTTTGGTTGGTTGATTGTTTAAGAATAACATCATGGATGATCTTGAAAAGGCCGTGCTTATCAGTTTTGATGAAACCGGCACCGTTGATTCCGCTCTGAAATCTCAAGCAGTTGCTTTCTGCCAGCAAATGAAGGAGAGCCCCACGGTGGGCAGAGTTTGTATAGAGAAGCTTGTCTTTTGCAAGCTCGTCCAGGTTCAGTTTTGGTGTTTGCAGACTGTACAAGAGGTCATTAGTGGCAGATATAGTTTATTGAGTTTGGAAGAGAAGGATTTCTTCAGGAAGTCTGTTTTTTCGTTGTGTGGCTTTGATGGAATTGATGACGAGAATGCTGTTAGGCTTCTGGAAGGTCCTGCATTTATAAAGAACAAGCTTGCTCAGGTTTTGGTTACTCTAATCTACTTCGAGTACCCATTGGTATGGTCTTCGGTTTTCGTTGATCTGTTGTCTCAGTTGAGCAAAGGGGCAATGGTCATCGATATGTTCTGCCGTGTCTTGAATGCCTTGGATGATGAGTTGATCAGTTTGGACTACACGCGGACTGCGGACGAGACGGTGATTGCAAACAGGGTTAAGGATGCGATGAGGCAGCAGTGTATAGGGCAGATAGTGAGAGTTTGGTATGACATTGTATGCATGTACAAGAATACTGATCAAGAGCTCTGTTCCGGTGTTTTAGATACGATGAGGAGGTATATCTCGTGGATCGATATTGGTCTGGTTATGAATGATGTTTTTATGCCATTACTATTCGAGTTGATCCTCGTTGATGGCAGTTCAGAACAGCTTCGCGGTGCGGCCTGTAGTTGTGTTCTTGCTGTGGTTTCTAAGCGAATGGAACCACAACCTAAGTTGAACATATTGCAAGGCATTCAGATTGGTCGGGTTTTTGGGTTGGTTACTGGTGATAGCGACTCGGAGCTGGTATCAAAAGTAGCTGCATTAATCACAGGTTTTGCTGTTGAGGTGCTAGACTGCAGCAAGCGAGTAAGCACGGAGGATGCTAAAAGGGTGTCAACGGAACTTATGAACGAAGTTCTGCCGTCAGTTTTTTATGTTATGCAGAACTGTGAGGTTGATTCTACTTTTAGTATAGTTCAATTTTTATCCAGTTATGTGGCCACTATGAAAAGTCTCTCTCCCTTAACAGAGAAGCAACTGGTTCACGTCAGACAGATACTGGAAGTTATTCGTTCACAAATTCGTTATGACCCTGCTTATAGGAATAATCTTGATATGCTTGATAAGATTGGGAGAGAAGAGGAAGATAGAATGTTCGAGTTCAGAAAGGACTTGTTTGTACTACTCTCTAGTGTGGGTCGTGCTGCCCCTGAAGTTACTCAAGTGTTTATAAGAAATGCGTTGAATAGTGCTGTTGCCTCTTCATCTGACGTAAATGTTGAGGAAGTGGAAGCTGCCCTTTCTCTTTTGCATGCTCTTCGAGAGTCGCTGAGCGATGAGTCCATTAGAAATGGATCTGGTTTGTTGAGTGAGTTGGTGCCAATGTTAATCTCAACAAGATTTCCATGCCATTCAAGTAGATCAGTTGCGCTTGTGTATCTGGAGACGATTACCAGATACATGAAGTTTGTAATGGAGAATACTCAGTATATTCCCATGGTACTGACTGCATTTTTAGATGACAGAGGAATACACCATCAGAACCTCCATGTCAGCCGCAGAGCAAGTTACCTGTTTATGCGAGTTGTCAAATTGCTCAAAGCAAAGCTTGTGCCTTTCATAGAGAAAATACTACAGGTATGTAGCAAATTGGAAATACCGTATTTTCTGCTTCATGCAATCATGTATGCAGTCTATGCGATTTTTATTTTCTCCTCACGATATCTTGTTCTCTGACACATCCTTTGCTGATTTAGCAGAGCCTCCAAGATACAGTTTCCCAGATCACAAGTATGGATTTTACATCTAATCAGTGTTCAGGAGCTGAAGATGGTAGCCATATTTTTGAGGTATTCTGCTTTTCTCTTTCTGGTGCACCTGCTTGTACTGATAGGTTGAGAAACATGAATGACCAGTTGAACCAGAATAATCTTGCTTTTCATTTTTGCAAATATTATTGTGAGAAGGGGTTGGTTGTTGCTGTTTCAGTATCTTGAACTGTTATTTACAGGCAATAGGTATATTGATCGGGATGGAAGATGTACCAGTTGAAAAGCAATCCGAGTACCTGGCTTCATTGCTTACTCCTCTTTGTCGTCAGGTTGGGACTTCTTTTGTGCTTTACTCTCTGTACTATCCCTTACCTTTTTTTTGTGAGCAAACTTTCCTTGCAACAATGTCTAATAACTAAATCTAGGTGGATCCTTTTTGAATTGTTGTGGATTCCAGATTGAGGTGTTGCTCATGAATGCCAAGATACTGAATCCAGAAGAGTCTCCTGCAAAAGTTGCCAACATTCAGCAAATAATTATGGCAATTAATGCTCTCAGCAAGGTTTGTATCCTTTTATCTTTCCAGTTTAGATTATTTTTATGTTCCTTATCGTAGGAATGTCGGGAATTGATGAATCCAAGTGGTTGCAAAGGCTGTGTAATTGCTTGTAAGTGGAATTGTGAAAGAATTACCTTGTAGACTTGAGAAGCTTAGGTCTCAGATTATGTGTTTGTCCCACTCTCTATACGTGTAGCTTTTCTTATGGCAATTAATGCTCTGAGCAAGGTTTGTATCCTTTTATCTTTCCAGTTTAGATTACTTTTATTTTGCTTATCATAGGAGGCCGAGAATTGATGAATTCAAGTGGTTGCAAAGGCAGTTTAATTGCTTGCAAGTGGAATTGTGAAAGAATTCCTCTTAGACTTAAGAAGCTTACGTCTCAGATTATGTCTAACTTAGACACACGTTCAAGTAACAGTTGTTGTTTATGACATCTTTTGATCCCGAATCAGTCCCACTTTCTACACATGTAGCTTATCTTATGTTTTCCCCCTTTATCGTCCAGGGTTTCAGTGAACGTCTTGTAAATGCTAGTCGACCAGCAATAGGCCTGATGTTTAAGCAGGTTGGTTTCCTGATCTCTATTTACTACTCTTTTAATTTCTTAATGGAGGTTCTTGATATTGTGTTTGGGTAATATAAGGTCTTCTTTTCCTTCTCCCTGAACTTGAGTCTGCTGTTTTTGCTCCAGACATTGGATGCCCTTCTCCAAATTCTCATAGCATTTCCGAAAATAGAGCCCCTAAGGAGCAAGGTAAGGCCACATTGTAATATGAAGTAGTTGGAGTGCTCTCTTGTGACGTCTTCTTGATGAATACGTGATTCCTCATGTTTGACAGATTACTTCCTTCATTCATCGCATGGTGGACACATTAGGAGCATCTGTATTTCCTTACATTCCGAAGGCACTGGAGCAATTGCTTGCTGAAAGTGAGGTAATTCTGATGTCTTTTCTGAACATGAAGTGGGTAAAAATTCTATCATGAAGCAATTATCTGCATTTTGTTGCGCCTAGCTGTTAGGTCCAGACTCATGATGGAATCTTTACCGATTGTTCTAGCCTTGAAATGCTTCTGTAGTATTCAGTTTTTCTTTACTGCTTCACAGGGAGCCAATTTTTTTTATGCAGACAAAGGAAATGGTTGGATTACTTGTACTGCTCAATCAGCTCATATGCAAATTTAACACCTCGGTTCACGGCATTCTGGAAGAAGTTTTCCCCACCATTGCTGGTAGGATCTTTCCCATAATTCCAAGAAATGGCTTTCCTTCAGGACCTGGTACCAATACTGAGGTAAGAAATGTAATCAATATTATTAAATCATTGTGTAGTGGTTGGAAAGTCCCCTGTATCAGCTGATTGTCTTGATAATCCATAAACTAAAGATGTACTCTTTGTTTCTTTTGTCCTTCTTTCTCCTATTGCTAGGAAATGAGGGAATTGCAAGAACTCCAGAAAACTCTTTACACGTTTCTCCATGTGATAACTACCCATGGTCTATCATCAGTTTTCCTCTCTACCAAAAGTAGAGCTTATTTGGAACCAACAATGCAGTTGCTACTGTACACAGCTTGCAATCATAAGGATACGGTTGTAAGAAAGGTGCGTTAACTTATATCAGTTCAGCTAATGTTAGATCTTCTTGAATCATCCGAGCATAATTTTGATATGGTGGTTCTATTCTTGTTTTGCAAGTCAGGCATGCGTCCAGATATTCATCAGATTAATTAAGGATTGGTCTGTGGGACCTTATGGTGGTGAAGAAAAGGTTTGCCGTCTTCTATTCTGTTATTCATAGGTCCATATTCACTGATATACGAACTGGATTAATGGGCTAGAGCTTTTTCAGGTGCCCGGATTCCAGAGTTTTGTGATCGAAGTCTTCGGAACAAACTGTTGCTTGTACAGTGTACTTGATAAATCTTTCGACTTCCGTGATGCAAACACGGTAAGAACTTTTGGAATTGTTTATACTTGGAATTATTAGTCCCTATTATTTGTTTATATTCAAATAAGTCCTTGTACTGCATCAATTAACCATTTCTAGCTCATAACATCCAAATACGTTATAGTACGGTCAAGCCGTTCTTTATAAGCACGTCTTGAGGTCTCATCATATGTCCCACATCCTGTGAATTCTTCTTTCGCCCCTAAATCTTATCTCATTAGTTATTCTCCGCCCTAGCACATGTACTTTTAACAGCAGTGCCGCCATTAAGAGTGATTTAAAATATGCTTACTAAACCTGGGTTGATCTAAACTATATATACATTCCTACAAAAAAAAAATGTTGATCTAGGGACTAAAGAGACGACATGGTACACATATCTGTTTGTTAATATGGCATAGTACATGAACTACAAATAACGTTAACCCTACTCTTCCCTTGCTATGGTTGTTGGAAGAATCTGATGACAGCAATTTCATGTTCTTACCTCTGTTGCAGCTCATTTTGTTTGGCGAAATAGTGGTGGCTCAGAAGGTCATGTATGAAAAGTTCGGTAACGATTTCCTCATTCATTTTGTATCCAAAAGCTTTCAGTCTGTACATTGCCCTCAAGACTTGGCAGAACAATACTGCCAAAAGTTACAGGTAAATATGCCTTCTCTTTAGGCGTGGGGTTCAGTTTCTGAAGCACCAACACGAATTTCTTGCCCTAATATGTCATCAATGTGTGTGCAGGGTGCTGATATCAAAGCGTTCAGATCGTTCTACCAGTCGCTGATTGAGAATCTCAGAGGTCAGCAGAATGGAAACCTTGTTTTCAGATAGCAGCAACTAAAGATTGAATGAAAGAGATCATGTTCTTTTTCTCTCTACGGGTCGTCTCAAAGTTCATCAAAAGTTGCAGGCTCCCTTTTGTGTAAATATATATCATTTTTGGGAAGCCCCATCTCACGTACAACGAGGTAATGCGAAAACTTCTAAGCAAACATCCTTGTTTCAATGCTCAGAATCTGTGAATGAATTGGCACTGATCTGGGCTTTCTTGATTTGTTGTTTCCTGCAGTTGTATATTTCCGGCACCTGTTTTCTTTTCCCCCCCTTTTCTAGCCCGCTATCCATTTTTCCTCACCCTCAGAAATTGGTTTGATGTTGTGAAACATTCATAACTTTTGGCTGAATGTATGTAATCAAACTTGAAAGTTGAAACCCCCCACTTCTTTTCTGAATGAAAAAGGAAAAAAAAAAAAAAAGAGAGAAGGGTTTGCAGAAATGGCTAAAGGTTTGTTGTCTGGCTCCATTTCTCGTGGCCACCGTCCTACATGGCGTCAAGTGCATACAAGTCATGAAAAAGGGTCAAACTTTGTCAATTTGGAACGCCATTAATGACAGCTTGATCTACGAACCTGAGATGATCGGCTGGTACCCTAGGGATTTGGTAGTGAAGATTGGTGAAGAAATAGCCTATTCTGTCTGATCCAATTGTCACCTTAAATCAACAATCTCTCGAGTCCTAGGCAGCAAGCATCAATTCAGACTTTGTCAAGTGTCAAGTCCCAAAGAAATTGCCTTGTGTGATCCAACTGGTACATACTCATAATATCCGAGTTCCAGGACCACCAGTGTATGCAAGTGGCAGTGTTCGACATGCCTTAACTCGTCATCTCTGTGGTTTAACATTCGATTTTTTGTCTTCGATCCAAAAGAAATAGTACAAATTCTTCGGACAATTACCTTGGTGGTGAATAACGTTTGTGCTCAAGTCCTCCTGCTAATCTTGTAAGACAATAGCTTGATCGTATTCATGTGACAACCACAAATTGGTTGGTAGGTTGAATGGGGAAACAAACCAACTTCCATGAAGGTTCTCTATACTTCGTTCCAGCAGACACGTTTTATCCCTAGTCTAACAAACCCTGCTTTTTGTTGAGTCCTTGAAAGGGAAAATACTAAGTATCCATGATTATGAACATCCTGGAAATTCCAAGATGCAGAAAAGGTGTGATCTTTAATCATCAAAATCAAGAGCTAAGACTGTGTGAAGTGTTTACTTACTTTCCATCTCCCTGTATTGACTGCCGACACATATTGGCATAAGGCCTACAAGCCCATAAAACGTAAACCCTTGGTAAAGAAAAGATGGCCTACCTGGAATCGAATTTTCCTTGCAACTTTTTCTCGTGGCCTTCTTCCCCAATGTGGAATCATCGGCCTTCCCCGTTCTCCTGGCTTCCAACTTGACATCAATTGACTTAGTAGACCTAGTTTTCGGGATGGCAATCCAACTCGAACTCACGGGCCACGACGATTCAATCCGGTCAAAATGAGTAAAACAGAGTGTTGACGGGTTTCAAGTCGGGTGCGAGTTTTATCTGCTTTCGAAATTGACGGGTTGGTTCGGGTTTGGATTCTGTTAAAACTCAACATGCTTTTCCCCGACCTGCACCCATGAAGCAAAACGATGTCATTTTATTTCTAATCATAAAAATATGAATAATTTATGAATGTAATTGGTTTTATAAAAATAAAAACCTAATAATATGGATCATTTATTGATGTTAGTAGTGTTTATGAAGATATATTTATCAACTTTTGATAACATAACATTGTGGGTGTTTGTGGAAATAATATATATGCTTATGTCATGAACCCATGAGTATCCATGCCTCCCTGGATACCCATGAGATTAAATGGAGTTTTCACTTCTAAAATCAAATTTGTATTTTACCGTGGTTTTCAATGAGTGCACCCGTTAGATTGAGTTTGGGTTCAGAGAAACCTAACCTAACTCGATTCATTGCCATCCCTACTTGATTTAGAGATACGTGGTTGGTCGTCAAGGTTTTAGTTTTGTTCATGAGCACGGAGTTCATTCAATATATAATTGCACAATGATTTTTTGATAGGGATATTAATCATTTTTGTTTGTGATGATTAACGTGAAAATACGGTTGATTAACTGGTTTTTGGCCCCACTCTGTTTTTCAATGTGACAAGACATTTCTTCCTAATACATTGATTACACCGTAAATTCCATAACACATCTGCTGCATAAAACACATTATATTACTCCTAAGACTTCGCCAACAATACTTTGTTCTTGCTTTCTTGGTTCTTTGTTCATGTTCTTCAATGGTCCATTCTTCCTTGGAGTACCACTTACTTTGATGCTTTCAACGGATAACAGTCCATCCAAGACTTTAACAATCTTTTGGCTAACTGATAACATTCATTCTCTTAGTTTCTCCTAGTTATTAAGGAGAGGAAGTATTTCTCATTTTCTAAAATGATTTTACCATTTTTATCGGAATGTATCGTGTTTGAAATTTTAGGATCCCCAACATTAACAGTTGATTTGAGTCCATGTATAGAATCTTGTTTAAGATACGGGTAAGAAAATAATATAAGGCGTAAATTTGAGTCTCTGACAATAAATCGAGTTATTGACATGAACTGGTTCTCGACATGATGCATATCAATATGGAATCTCTGTACAAACTTCAAACAAAAATGAATACTCGTTTGACAAAACTCTGGGACTTCAAAGTAGTTGGAAGGAGAGAAGAAATTAAGCCTCTAAGAACTAAGAAGTAGAGCCGATCCTCCTCCTATACTAGGCAATTTCCTATCCACCCAACGCCCATTTTGCTTGCAGGCTTAAAACTCTAAAGGATTACGACGTAAAAAAGTTTAAAAAGTTGGTATGTAGTAAGTTCCAATTTGTTATTTATTAGTTATAGTGGTAAAAAGATAACATAGGGCATTCCACGTTTTCCATGTATTCCACTTTCATGTACAGTAGAGTTTTGCTTAATTATTAAAGCTAGCGGTAACTATTAGCTTTGGGAAAACGGTCTCTTGTGGACATGGATATAAATTGTTCCATATGATAAACTACAACCTCATTTGCTTAACTAGCAAGTAGCTAGCTAGGTTAAAAAGGTCTTTTACTTGGTAGGTTGAGCTTTATTTTTTTTTTCTTTTCCAAAAGATATCCCAAGAGGGAAAAGAGTAGATTCAACATAATAATAAGGGATCTTTGCAGGTCAAAATTACAAAGTAGAATTAAGAAAGATCTGTTGGCCGACCAACCAACGATCCAACGATGAGAGGGTTTGTTTCGCCATGAGATGGGCATCCCTATTATACTTACGCGGGACAAAGTGGAACGATGGAACCTGAATGGAGGCTCGAAGGACCTGAGCTTCAGATAGAAGGCTGCAAGCAGTTGCGTGATCTGAGTCCTTTCGATTTATCATTTGTATGATCACCTAAGCATCACCACAAAAGGAAACATTAGAGATTGAATGTGATAGACACTACCTGAGTGCATTTCTGAGGGTCGTGAGTTCAATGATGAGAGTGTCATGCCGTCATCTAGATAATCATAAAAATTTCCAAAAGCAAGGTGGATGTCGTTTGTCCCTACAAAACCAACAAAACACACTCCTCCTCCAAAGGAAGATTTTATGCACCACAAAGTGAAGTAAGGGATTGTTTGGAAGTTGTGATTCTTCAAATTGATGTATTGGGTCAATTAGTGTATTATCATTTAGGGGTCGTTTGGAAGTTGTGATTGTTAGAGTTGTGTTTGTTGAATACATGTATTATGTACAATAGAATGTTTGGAAGTGCCAAAGTGTAAAACAATACATGCATTGTTTAAGTAGGTTCCACCAACAATCACAAAAAATGATGCATTATACAATCTCAACTAAAAGTTGAAATTGCTGTTTTTAGATTTGTGTCAACTTTTTCTTTTCATTTATATCCCTAATAGTTTTTGTCTTATACTAAAAGTTGAGGGTAAATATGACATTTCCTCATAAAAATAACTTTATGTAAATCAATGGATAAAGTGGAATCTCAACAACCAAACAATGTATTGGTACAATAGATCCATTGTATCAATACATGCATTTATATTATGGTGATTCATTACAATGCAACGATTTAACATTCGCAATTTCCAAACGAGCCCTTAATGTATTGAATCAATTGATGTATTAGACAAATACTTTGTTTGGAGATTTAGATTGTGTTTTTGTTGTAAAGGCATAAAAGTTAATTTGAGTGATTGTGACTCTACAAAAAGTAGAGATTCACAATCCCTCAATTGAGTGATTGTGGTGGGGCCTCCAAAAAGTGAATGCATATATTCTAGTTCAATATATCCTAAAAAACGACTTAACCTCACAAATACATGAATTAGCTCAATACACCATTTGAAATCACAACTTCCAAACGACCCCCTAAGATAGAACCATGAGGGATTGGAGGAGGAGTAGGATGGTGAACCCCAGGAGGGACCGACTGTGAGGAGCGACGGCTACTTGATGCAGCCAAAGCTTGAGTAGAAGTCCATTCTTCCAATATTTGAGAGTGAAATTGGCGCACCATGGAAGATGGGGGAAATTGGATATAATCATAAGTGGTCGAACATCGGGTCTTCCAAATGCGCCAATACCCAAATACAAGTCGATTGAGAATGTCATTGAAAATGCATTGTATATAAAAAGGAACCACCGCCAGCCCACAAAAACATGCATATGGTAAACCTGTAAGCGTAAATGATTAAGACCAACAAGGTTCCAAAATTCCACAGCCACCCTGCAACGCATAAACACATATAACATTTTCTCGACCCTCCGAACAAACAAGATACTTCACACTCTCTAAATCCTCACCATCAATTAGTTCCTTCTGTTTGAGAATTTCTCGTAAATGAGATAACCTTTGATGACACGCCATAAAAAAAAAAAAACACAGCTTCGAATGACTCCCAATCATCAGCTGGATAAACCGATTGAAAACAACTTGAATTATATAAAGGGAAAGAAGCATATTAAGACTTGATGGCGGCAAATTGGCAGCCGCCGGCCGACGATTGGATGCATGGAATCGTTCTGGCGGTTGAGCAGACTGGTTTTACTTGAGACAAATGCCAAGCACTAAATTAAACTACTCAATTACCTGCTCATTCTCGTCTTAATTCTAATTTATTCACCCAAATGGTAAGAATATAAATTTGAGTGATTGGATGCTGGGGAACAATGAAGGTCAAAGAGATTTGAACTGTGGTAATTGGACAGAGAAGTATTGATGTTGTCCTATCAATTTTTTTTTTTGCAAGATTTATGTGCATTTTTAACTATTTTTTGGAAGTTGTGCAAGGTTATTGTCGCTCCTCGACATACAATAACTTACGGGTCGTTTGCTTCATGGATTTGAAATATGAGGGTTTTGGTAAAACCTGGGTTTTGAAAAACCATATGGATATATGATGGATTTGGTGGCATCATGGATTTGAACAAGTCTATTGTTTGCTTATTGGATTTGATAATGGATTTTATTTGATTAGATTTGTGGATATGAAACACAAATTACCTTGTTACCCTTATGTAATTATATTTTCATTAAAAACAAATCTAATGCATACAAAGTAACCGAACTTCTACTTTGTGAATTCGTTCAATTACAAATATAGAAATGCATAATAGTTTGGAGATGACACAACTCCCTAATTTTTGGATCTAACTGTCGATCTAGCAATAATGCACAAGATGAGCAAAAAGTGTTAGAAATATCAATAGAGGAGTAAATAGAAGACTCAGTAGACGAAGATGTGAAATTCAACCACAATTGAAAATGTCCCGATTTTTTGGTCAAACTCGAGCACCACGCTTAATAAAAAATTTCATCTCGAAATTCACAACTTATGCGAGAAATTAATGTTAAACAAGCCCAAAAAAAGAAAGAGACAAGGAGAAACAAACGTGAGAGTCCTTTATCATTCATTGCTCAATATGAAAAACTGAGGACGGAGAGTTGGAGGCCGCCACCAGAGAAGAAGGAAGGGTAGATTAGTCATTAGGTAAAATAAGTAGGGATAAACTAGTAAAATGCCATCATGGATTTAAATCCATCACCCAATTCCCACCTCCATGGGTGGAACTTCCAAGTCCGTGGGGTCCACGGATTTGGACCTCCAAACTCTGTGGGCCCCACAGATTTACTCCCTCAAATTCCATCAAGCAAACAATAGACTTTTGTTAAAGTCCATGATAAATGCAAGTCCATCACCAAATCCATCAACAAAACCTTGAAGCAAACGACCCGTTAATATATTCAAAGGTTCAGTTTGGCTTTGTGGTAGCTTCTAACTTGAACTTTTAGAGAAGTACTTTTCAAAAAAAATCAGTTGAGTGTTTGGTTGAAAATTTATTAAAAATACTTTTTAATAGGAGAGGTTGTGTAAAATGACTATAAAGGACTTATAATGCCTATGTTTGGCCCGACTTTTAGAAGTGCTTTTCGGCTTCAAAAGCTGAAGTAGGGCCAAACACCTCTAAAAGCTCGGCTTTTAAAAAATCGAAAAGCGTTTTTGTATAACATAAAAACAGAAGCTCCGATTTGGAGCTTCTGCGAAAAACTGTTTTGAAATACAAGATTATCCTTACCATATTTTAATTTTATTTCAGAAAATACAATTTTCCTTCATTTATATTATTTTAAAAATAAAATAAATTATAAAATAAATTATTTAATATAAAAGAAATCTAACAAGATCCATTTTGACTACTTTTTATTGTTTAGAATTTATATTCATATTTTATATTATAAGTCCTTTATAGTCATTGTACACAACCGCTCCTATTAAAAAGCACTTCTAATAGTTTTACAGCCAAACACTAAACTGTTTTTTTTAGAAGTACTTATCTAAAAGCTCCAGCCAGAAGCGGCTTCTGCAAAAACTACAGCAGGGCCAAACTAAGCTATTATAAACTATGAATAATAATTCTAAACAATAAAATGTAGTTAAAATGAATCTTGTTTGACTTCTTTTATATTAAATAATATGATTTTATACTTTAAATAAAATAAAATTATATTTTCTGAAATAAAATAAAAATATGGCAAGGATAATCTTGTATTTTCAAAACAGCTTTTCGCAGAAGCTCCAATTTGGAGCTTCTGCTTTTATGTTATATAAAAGCGCTTTTCGGCTTTTCAAAAGCCGAACTTTTAGAGGTGTTTCTTCAAAAGTTTAATCCGAAAAAACACTTCTAACACCCGGGCCACAGACAAAGTTTAATCTAAGGTTCATACTTCTTCTCTGTCAGGACGATGACCAATCAATTGGAACGAGAAAATATAAAATAAATAATAAAAGCATAATAATTTTGTCCTTGTGATAGAGATGGAACATATGTTGCCGGGTTGGGTCAGATTGATACTTTAATATCAATATATTTCACGGTTGATTCCAATACCACATATCATGAGTATGTAAATATATGATCAAGTTAGGTCAATGAGCTTTTGTTTAGGAAAATTTAGAACAACGTTTTGGGACACTTTTAGTGACAACTGGAGTTATAAAAAGCATATAGTAAAATCATTTGATAAAAACAAATTGCATGCTCCACGGTTGAACATGTGCTTGTGTCCCTCTTGTAGTTGTTCATTTTCATTTTTTTTATTAAATCAAACATTTGCTTTGAATTTATTTTATATAGATTTTCTTCGTGAAAATTCAGGGGGGGGGGGTATATCATTATTTTGTGCAAAACCAACAGACAATAATCCGGAGAAGGAGAAACCATGGGATTAAGTCAATAGTTTCTTTTTTCCATACATATCTCAAAAATAACATAGATACGAAATAATACAAAAGACTTTTTCGACCAATTAAATAAGAGAAAAATGATAAGAAAATAAAATAAACCCCAAAGTAGACATTAAAGAACCGTAACACTGATTGAAGTAAGGATGAAAGTGGGGCGGTTTGAGGTCAGATCTATAAACCATCTTATCTCCGTCCTAATTAAAAATATATAAATTCATACACACCTCGTACTTAGGGATGGGAACGAGTCATGTTTGGGGCAGGTATCCCTAAACTCGTGCCCTGCCTTCGTATCCATCGCCCCGCCCTGCGACCCACAACGGGTCGCTGTTTTTTGACCCAGGTTGTGCCTCGCACGGAGCGGGTAAAACCCGCCCTACTCCATTCTCATTTACACAAATGTACTAACAACAATGCATCATATACCAACCCTGCACTCCTGTCTCATTTTTAGTTACCAGCCTTTAATTTTGCATATCCATTCATTCATCAAAATATAGCTACTTAATCTGTGATATAACATATAATCCATAAAGAAAATTCCAAATTCAATTCATCATCACCCAAAATAAACTCTCAAGCATCCTCTAAGAACTGAAATCCGATCCAAAAAGTGATTGCATAAATCATAAGAACATAACAAAAGTTGATCAACTGAAGAATCTGGAAACTTCAGTCTTCAAACTTCATGCAACAGATGATGAGATGAAGCATCCAGTTAGCCTTCCTCAGTCTGTAGAAAAACAAACACCTCCCTCTGGTGATGACATAGCTATGGGTTCTTTTTTGTACACTTGTTGCTTGTTCTTCTCTTAATATATTGCTCATCATTATCAAAAACTTTGCATACCATTAGCCTGCACCTTCACATATATGCATAAAACATGAACAAGTCAAACATAGTTGTAGGTGAAATTGAAAAAGGAAACAACTAAACACTCATGAAACAGCCAAACAGCCAAAAAATGTTGTAATTGAAAAGGAAAATGTAATGGATCAGCACCTCAGGATCATTCCCTTCCTCTCCATCAGAATCCTCAAGTATAGTACCATATGAGGCCTTTGTGTAGTGGAACCAGCTGCACTCATGCATAAAACAGTTAGAAAGATTCATAGATTATGTATATGTGAAGAAATAAACACTTGGAATTGTGATAATTACCTTGAGCTTGAGAAGTAGCACGCAACCAGCTTTGAGCACACATTAAACATTCTACAGTATTTTGATCCAACCTACTTCGATGAGAAGAAATCACCCTTCCATTTGTACTAAAAGCATATTCTGATGCCACTGTAGAAACTGGAATCGCCAAAATATCTCTTGCAGCCTTATGCAATATATGATATTTACTTCTATTTGACTTCACCAACACAAAACATCAAAATAAGGTGTGTTGGGTATAATTCCATCTTCCAAGTAACAATCCAGTTCTGATCTAGTAGGCTTTCTTTTCCTTCTAGAAGCATATATAGCCAATTTGCTTGATGCTTCCTTCTTACCTGGAGCAGCTCCTGAACTGTCCATTGGAACCCCATCATTTACTTTATCTTGCTCTCTTTCCTTCTCTTCATAGTCTTCAACTAACTTACGACATATACTAATCAGCTTCTCCTTCTGCACCTTACTATCCCCACCATAAATCTTGGAAAAGTAGCAATCCATTACTTTAGTCCTATACCTTGAATCAAGTATAGCTCCAACTCCCATTAAAGAATGCACCTCGGACCAATACTTGTCAAAATTTTCCGACATGTTCATTGCCATTGTTTCAATGGTTTCAACTCCACAAGCACACAACTGCCTTAAAGCAATCTTAAGCTCACAAACTTCTTCAAAACATAAGTTGGTAGTCGGATATTTAGTGCCTGAAAAAATTTCAGTTGCACTATATAACTTTTTTAGCCTACTGCAGATTTCTTCAGTCAAATTCCAATCATCTTCAGTAGGCAAGCATTTGTACATTGGCTCCTGATTTCTTAACCGATAAAAAACTTCTTATACCCCAAAGCAGTATTCAACATTAGATAAGTTGAATTCCATCTAGTGTCACAAGCAAGTATAAGCTTCTTACCATTTTGACAATGAATCACGCGTGCTGCCTAAAGCGGCCGAGTATTCTCCACAAACTTTTCCCATCTCTTTGGTGTCGCCAGCCAAAAACGAACACTCTCTCTAATTCAGTCAATGCCATCTCCAATCACCTTAAGACCTTCTTTGACAATGAGATTTAATATGTGTGCACAATACCTCATATGAATCATGCTTCCATTGTTCAAGAGAGACTCTAAAGGAAGCTTCTCGATCAGTGGCTCATCATTGTGTCATTAGTCGAGCACTTATCAACCGTGACAACTGATAATCTATGGCCGAGGTTCCAATCCACTATACAATCAAACAAAGCTTCACAAAGTACTTACTTCACTGGTACATAAATGAACGTGTAAATAAAAAACGAGTGAACTTAATTAAACTGAAACAGTTGTAACGAGCAGGGATTCAAACATGTTCTGAGTAGTAATTACAAGGAAGAACAAATAAATAGTGAATTTAATTGAACTTAATTAAACTTAAACATGTTCTGGGTAATAATCACAAGGAAGGAGTACAAGTACAGTAATCACATCAACTCAAATAAATTTAAACATGTTATCTGACTTCTGAGTTGTAATTACAAGGAAGTAATTACAAGGAAGTAATTACATTTACAAGGAGGAAATAAACCTAAAGTAATCACAATCGTAACAAGCCAGCAACAGGGATTCAAACGTTATCTTATTTATGAGTAGTAATTACAAAGAAGTAGTACAAATAAACAGTCAACTCAATTAAACTTAAACATGTTCTGGGTAGTAATTATACAAGGCAATAATACTGGGTAGAGATCACAAGGCAATAGTGCAAGTAATAACATCAAATTTCAAAAGGCAGTAGTAATCATTGAAGTAAGGAATAATCACATCTCTTTACACATACTGTAAAACAAGGCAGTAGACCATTAGTACTCACATATTATAATAAGGGAATACAACTTAGTAATCATAGACTTTTAGGGAATGAACACAACAAATTACCTAATAATTCGACTTTATAAAGTCCAATTCTTATCGATATAGTGTGCAGTCACTGCCATGAAACCATTCTTCTGAGAAGATGTCCACATATCAGTGGTTATTGCCACTCGACCTTCGTTCTTCATCAAAAGCTCCATTGCAACTTGTTTTTCATGTCCACATATTAGTGGATTCAAACTCATGCTATAACTCTTAAAACCCTCATGCTCCATGATTGAGAGAGAATACTCATGCTTTCTAATTGCCTGAGCCAATCCCTTTCGAGAATTCTCTTGGCTGAAGTTGAACAGTGTCAACTGGAATTTCTCCTTCTTCAGATTTCCTAGTAAGAGTTGTTGCTTTATATCTCCAGGCTGCTTCACTTTAGGACATCGATGGTAATGATTCTTCAGATGAGTTGTTCCTTTTGATGGGTCTCCAACAAGCCTCTTCTTACAGTACTTGCACTCGGCTTTTGGCTTGCCATCCACTGTCATCTTATTGTAGTGTTTCCACCACTCTCAAAACACCTTACCAAAGGTAGCACCATACACATGCGGATTTAAACGAGTCGAGGAGTGTCAACTTTTTTCTTTAAGCCCTTTTATTTCTCCGTGGTGGTAAAATATATATGAAAAGGCAAAAATAATACTCCTTTTTATTGCTAAGAATAAAAAAAAATTAACAATAAACTAATGCATGGATTCTAATGGGCTAATCGCTAACCATAAAATAAAAGAGTTGAATGGACCTGACCTACACGAGATTTGGCCATCAAGTAAAAAAAATGAACATTATGGTTTTGCCATTCTAAAACAAGCTATTTTCTCTAGCATAATATATATTATGCTATTATTTTATATCTTATGGGCGAAAATATAATTTGTTTTAAAGTTATTCAATGGTTCTACCTCGACCAACCCAATTAGTCCAATTTTTATCATTTCAAATATATATTATGTAATTATTTGATATCATAATGATTAAATTATAGTGTATTTTATAGGAAATTGTTTGGTATTTGTTAGTAAAAAACTAAACAGAAAGATCTATTTGATTATTTTTAACATTAAAACGATTCTAAATATTTTTCAGTTTCCTTTCGAATTTCTATGGTTTTAATCCTGAATCAGTGATGTGTAAATGACGAATTGCAGTCATCTCTTTTTTTCACTATTTTTATTTTCAAATAGAAAGTTTAAAAGTAAAGATTAATTAGAGTTTGGCATGGGTCGGTCAAATAGGCTGAATTTCAAATTTTGGCCCGTTTTGATCAAGTCAAATTTATAATCACATGAATCACCGAAAAGAAATTTATAATCACATGGTTCCCTGATACCCGATAAAAATCTCAATACAAACTAGTTTGGTCGGTGAGTCCGTGTTTACCACCATTTTCTAGGGATACAGGAACGACGGTTCCTATCCCAAAGCGTGTTGTTCATTCTTGATTTCCTTAGATTTTATCATGGTCTGGCAAAAATCAGAAAGCACAATGACGACAAGATAAAAGTTTTATAAAGCAAATTAATCGGCCAACGGGCCGAGTAAAAGCTAGCAACGATTGTGATATGCTAATTTTCCGAAAACCGGGGGGATAGGCGATTTTTTATTCGATTTTCTGAAATTCGGTTTCTACAAAAACTTACTCCACCTCATCATATTACCAGAAGCAATATTGTTTCACAAGGTAACATGTACTTTATTTTGGTTCATAAGGCTGATTTTTTATTTGTTGCATCATTCATGTCTCTTCCCTACTAAAATTTATTATTTTTATTACGTGTTTTCCAAAAAAAAACTATACAACAATAAGCTATACACCTCATTACATTATCAAATTTCATATCTCACCTTCCTCCAGCCATCTGGTCGGGACCCACTCTAGTTGGTTACTATATTCTAACATATTAAGTGTGAAAAATGGTGCGCCGGAAACTGAAGCAAGAACGTATTCAGCACACACCTTTACCAACATCATAAGGCCAAATAGCAGAAAAGGGATCGGACCATGACTTTTATTTGATTAATTAGTAATATTATCGTAATACATGTGGACGTGGACCAATCCACTACAGAGTTTATTAACTGACTTTCAGGCTTTTCTCCTTTCAAAGTCAAGAATGTAGCCATGGAAGACTGGCCACTCTTCTCCACACATGATGTGTCCACCCGACCCACAAGGAAACTTGTGTAGGGTAGGGATGGTAATGGGTCGGGTTGGATCGAGTTTTGCCAAAGCCAAACCTAAATTCATTGGTTTATCCGTGAAAAAAATTCAGGGTAAAACTTACTGGGTTTGAAAAACTCAAATCCAACCCAACTTGCTGGGTACCCATGGGTTTTTGTCGTAAAAAATTTACAATAATAAGTTCCTATCAAAATTAAAGTCAAATATCAATCTCTCAATACAAATTATCCATATATAAAACACCATTCTAGAAAATTCAAGCAAATCACAAATTAACTATACAAATTGTTCAACACCAATCTAAAAAATCAAGAAAATTGAATAACATGATTAATTGAAAGCTTCTTCCTTTCAATTCGATAACATGATTAATTGAAAGCTTCTTCCTTTCAATTAAGTTTCTTCGCTTTCCACTCGATAACATCAACTTCATTCTACACAATTTGAAAGAAAAAATTAGACATGTCTCCACAAACATAAATAAGATTAGTTTTTTAGAATATTAAATATACCGAGAAAATTAAATATATGTGTGTGGGCGGGTACCCATGGGTCGGGTTTACCTAAATCCAAATCCAACCTGGTGAATAGTGAACGGGTTTAAACCCAAACCCGACCCAAAACCCGTCAACACGGATTTTACCCACGTTGACCGGGTTAAATAGGGTGGGTACCCGTGGGTTCGGGTTTTGTTGTGATCCCTAGTGTAGGGATTTAGGAGGCTATATATGGATCAATTCAGACGAGTTTAACATTTCAATGTTCTTGATTATATTGTCGATAATTTTATTGTTTCATGTGGAAGATCAAATGTTTTGATGTTGTGTTAGCAAATAGCAAATATGTCTCAATAAATTGAAAGTTCAAAAGAGATACTAAGTGTCACTTTTATGTTGTTTATCAAATTTGATTTATTCTATCAAATAAGCTTGTTTGGAAGTTTAGGTTTAAGTATTTTCACACAATTCTAGCACACAAAGCCATTTAAGTAAAATATTATATCAAAGAAATTTCAATAAAAGACATGCTTGATCATATAATTTGATAACGTACGTATTATATTGAAAATTTAAGTGTCTCGAAATCAAATTTTTGAAAAAAATAGAAATAAAAACTTTAGATCTATCTCTATTTAAACATAAATTTTTTTATCAGGATGATATATGTGTGTTTAATTTTTTTTTCCTGTTAGTTGCTACTTATTAAGTGAATCAAGTCTGGAACCTCCTTGTTCAAACAAGTGACATTATCACTAGACTAAATCATTGTTTCGTATGATTTTTCAATTTATATGAATGACTTCTCATCAAAATATTGTAAACTATTCTCTCTACTTGGAAGAAAAGAAAACAAGAAATGGCAAGGGGGAGTTACACAAAATTGGAAGAAAAATGGTGCATTGCCTCCTTCCTAATAGGGTGAGAAAGAAAACAAGTAAGAACAAGTAAAAATGGGGGCAATATTTAAAATTGAAAGTAGAGATGGTTGCTTCTTAGAGAGAGTCATCAACAAGCTACCCCATCTCAATGGAAGATCATATAAAAACATAAATATAAATCTTTATGAAATAATCACATTGGACAACAAAGAGAAAAGAAAAACCAACTGGCCACCTTCTTTTCTATATTAAGTTTCAAAACCATTATATTAATTCCAACAAGTTACTATTTGTCCTCCTCATTCCCTCCCCTTCTTTCTTCCTTCCCCTTTCCCCACTTAACAATATTTTGTTTAGCCAAGTCTATAAATACCTAACAAGCAATTAGACAAATCCTAAGCACAAAAACCCCCTTTGGAACAAACCACCAAAGGAAACAAAAAAAGTAGCAGCCTTTTCACACAAAAAATGGGTATCTTGAGAAGTTCCAGTTGGAGGCCAAACTTTCTAAACTGCTTCAAGCCCAAAGATCCAAATAATCCAGATTCCACAAAGAGCAAGAAGAATGGTGCTTCATCTTCTTCAAACAGGATCTCACTCTTGGATTGGAGTGGCCCACAATCACAGCTCTCAGTGATGAGTGACCTCTCAAACCCTGTCTTCAACCTCCACATCTTCACCATGAAAGAGCTTCAGAAGGTCACAGCCAATTTCTCCAGGAGCAATTACCTTGGGGAAGGTGGGTTTGGTACAGTTTTCAAAGGGTTTGTTGATCCCAAGCTCAGGCCAGGCTTGAAAGCTCAACCTGTTGCTGTCAAAGTCCTGGACTTGGATGGCTCCCAGGGTCATAGGGAATGGTTGGTAAGTGATCTTATCAATTGCATAAACAATCACTTAAAAATTTTATAGGTCATCAACAAATGCTTCAATTTCATTTTGATTTTTTTAATGAAATTGTCACCAAAATTTTGAACAACTAATACGATTGTCATTTCGTCCAAATTTGTCCAAATGATGGTGTCAAAAGTTCACCCGAAATCAGAAAATATATCATGCTGACCCCTCTGTCTATAATTATTGTAATCGAGTTAAGTATAAAGTTTTTTCGAGTCTGGATCGCATATGAGTTTAAACGTATTGCACAAGCTAGCCAATATTGTTGAGTTTGACATTTTAATTTAAACGATTTGGAGAAAAGACTTGACGGTTTTAGTTATTCCGAACTTCACATAACAAGTTGGTTAAAAAATTTAAGTTCTGTAACAGTGACTCAAAATTTTAGTGATCATATTTCCTAATTCGAGTTTTCCTCTGTCTTGGGTTCACTTAATTTGTTGCAGGCAGAGGTGATCTTTCTCGGACAGTTGAAGCACGACCACCTCGTGAACTTGATCGGATACTGCTGCGAGAATGAACAGAGGCTTCTGGTCTATGAATACATGGAGCGCGGCAATCTTGAGCATCTCCTTTTCAGAAGTAAAAGCCCCAATTCAAATCAAAAGTTTCCATCTTTATATTGAGTTTCTGATCATGATCAACATGTTTAATGAACACTGAATGAAAAATCAATGCAGATTATGCAGCAGCTCTGCCGTGGCTAACAAGGCTGAAAATCGCACTTGGGGCAGCAAAAGGGCTGGCTTTCCTCCACGAGGAGCAGAAGCCGGTCATTTACCGCGACTTCAAGACTTCCAATATCTTGTTGGACTCGGTAAGCAGAGGATTTATGTACTCTGTTTTTTTCCTTGTCCTTTAGCAGAAGAAATTGGAAAGGCTGCAGCTTTAATTAATTGGTGATTTTGGGTTTCTTTTCTGAGCCAATTGGTGATTTCTTTCTTTGTGAGCAGGAGTACAATGCAAAGCTTTCGGATTTTGGGCTGGCGACAGATGGGCCAGAAGGGGATGAAACCCATGTTACAGCTCAAGTGATGGGGACTGAAGGCTATGCTGCTCCTGAATACATATCAACCGGTACAAAATCACACCAACTAGCAACTAGCTGTTACTACTTACTTGTTACAACCTACAATAGGTGTTAGATCAGTCACTGGTTTGGTTGGATTGGGTTGATTGAGTTATGAGTTGTGGGTCGTTTGCATACTGGTTAATCGGGTTAATCGAGTTGCAATTTATCACTGGTTAATGGGCAAGTTAGGTGTGGGTTTGACGGGTTGATTAACCAGGTATGTGTCAAAGCGAATAGAGGTTGAATCAGTTGTGGATTAATTAGATAAGTTACCAATACGGTTCTCGAATGACTGACGTGTGGATCAATTGGGTTGCCAATTAGTCAAGTTACCTATCAATAATGTTTGGTGGTAGATTGGGGGTCTATCAGATTATGAAATAACCGAGTTATGAATTGTGTAGATTTCAGACTTTTTTTTCTTTTAAATTAGTTTTCGTTGCTGACAAGTTTAACGAGTTGATTATATTTTTTTGAACCACATTTTGTACATTTTTGTATGATATCGCATAATTATTTGGACTCATATAACTATAAGAAAATACTTTTCAGGCCATTTGACAACAATGAGCGATGTGTTCAGCTTCGGAGTGGTGCTATTGGAGCTTCTAACGGGCCGTAGATCAGTGGACAAGAACCTGCCACCCAGAGAACAAGTACTAATAAAATGGGCAAGGCCATTCCTAAAGGACACTCAAAGACTTGACCAAATAATGGACCCAAGGCTCGAAGGCCAATACTCAATTGAAGGTGCCAAGAAGGCTGCAGCTTTGGCTCACCAATGCCTTAGCCACCAGGCCAAATGCAGACCCACAATGACCAAAGTGGTCAAGACCTTGGAGGGCTTGCTAGAGCTCAATGACATCTCAATTGGGTTCTTTGTGTACATTGTGCCAAGTGAAGGCACAAAAGAGAAAGGTGTTGTGATGAAGTGTTTGGAAGAGAAGAATGAATCCAGAGACGATAAGGATTGTGATGAGCATAAGAATGGTGGCGAGGGTGAATTTAAGGTGGAAGGTAGGAGGAGGAAGAGGTCAAGCAAATCAAAGAAGGGTAGAAGTAGTAGTAAAACTGTTCATTCTGATACAGATTTGTATAGAAGGTTGGGGACTAGTTTGTATTCTCCTAAAAATTAAGGGGGCAAATTAGGAGTACCCACACAAAAAAAAGTTAGATAGGTCTTTTTTCCTTCTTTCTCCTAAGTTTTGTTTATTTCACGAGGTCATTCGCTAAAGTATAGCTAAATCTTCATCATGATAGTTGCGAGATGGATTATGATGATAAATGAATCAAAACACATAGTTTGATTCTCTAATTGTCATAATGGAATATGAACATGTGTTCAACCACAATAAAGGCCAAATTCATTTACTATTGGATCACATTCGCACGAAGATGTTCTTCATAGAAGTTTGATCGATTCTTTTTTATACTTTTTCCTACCGGTCATGTTTACCTCTGGGAGCTGAAGAAAGCATAATTGAATATGGAGCACTATGATGATGAAATGTTTATGCAAAGAACATTTACTGATTTGTAACCCAAATCAAAGTCATGTCAAGAGTCATGATTTTATTTTACTCCAAACATGAATATTAATAAACATAAATTTTTGTTTGTATGTGATGGTGATGACAATTTAAGTCTGTGAATGTGGTCTAAATTAGGCCTAAATTTTTATCTCTTCATGTTGGCTGAGGTAAGAGGTGGCTTGTGTTAGAGCTGCAAATATATGACTACCGATTTTTGTGTTGAAGTCAATTACTAGTTCGAGTTTGAACAAGTCCCCTTTTTTTATGGTATGTTAAATTTCCTTCTCATTATTCAATAAAACGTTATTACCATCATAAAAATAAATCTAGTTAGAGTTCGAACAATTTCATTAAATAGTTAACTTTTATGTAAGAACATGTCAACTACTACACAGAGTTAACAAAAAACGACTGCAAATACAATCCCATGTCAAGCCAAATGAGCTCTTTGCCATTAGTGTACTCATACCTAAATTCTTTTTGGGACGAGATTTTCTGCTAATCAAACCTGATATTCCTAATCTATTTTTCTCTTTGAGGTTCTGCAGTCAATTTTCTTGAATCAGCAGGCTAATTAAGGGCTGATTTTCTCCACCTCAACTCACAAACTGCATATGGTTCAGAAAATCCAGCACAGAAGAGACAGACTTCCAATAATTCCAAAAGAGGAGCAATTGCATACCTTAAATTTTCAACAAAGGGAAGCATTTCAATTCCTCTCCACTAACACCAACCCACTAATTAAGATCCCCCAAGTCAGATTGAAGACAATGAATGGCTCCTGATATTTCCAAACCTCAAGTCTCTTATTAGACAAACAAGTTTAGGGTCGACTACCATTGGTGAAATCGTGTTTAAGTTCTTGAGACAAATTCAACGGATTACAAATCTATAGTATTAAAGTTTTCTGATACACAGTTTTTTTATTATTTATTCACGGTTTACTCTCATGTTAGCATAAGTGTATTCATCCAGGCCAATGTTTGCATCAGTAACTATTGTTGGCATAATTTGTAGTTATGATAATATGACAATCTCGAGGTTGTGATTAACGAGACCTACAAGTAATTTATAATCTATTTAAAAGTATATCATATCATCATTTATATGTCATTGCAAACTTCAAGTCCGACAATGAACAAAATCTTTTGTTAGACATTTAGCAAACTCACATACGACGAAACTCTGAGCTTTCAAATGACAACTCGTATTGTAGCGAATATGTGATGAATGTTTGTTCAACAAAGTTGATAATATTTGTGGATTCTCATTTCCCACCATGGAAAACAGACTTGGAATTCAAAGCTTGGTTTTGGGATGAATGATTTGATGGGGACACCAAGACAGCCTCCAAAAATCCTGACATGTTCAAGGTGCTCAGGAGAGTGGAGAAACAAAGAAAGAAAAAGAAAAGGACTTTACATGACTCATGATGGCATTAAAAGAAGAATAAAGTCCAGAAATCTATAGTCCCCAAGTTGATCCCAACAACTCCCATTATCAACCCTATCAATCCCCCAAAAGATTAAATCAACCAATCTGAAGGAAGAAGTAGTTGTTATGATAACTGCCCAAAATTAAACCAGATTTTTATAATCCAAAAATCCTAGAGCATGAACTTAGCCTGAAATGGGCTGTTGTTCATTATCATCAGCAGGCCTGTCCTGTTTAAGGATGTCATGAAAAACAGGACAAAAGATAACTATCATTCATAGGCAGATGGAAACATATAAATGCATGGGATTGAGCAGCCAGCCATCAGGTTGTGATGTATCTGTCAAAAAGGTCAAACCAATTGACAATGGTTAATCACCATGATGACGTTTTTAATGGCTGCTAATCTTTGATTCTGCCTACAAATCAGAAGTCCACCCATTTTTTTTTGGGTGTTGAATAAAGTCCAAAATTGGTGGATTACCAACTTGGAAAATGATAATATGTTATGATTTGATCTAGTAATTTGGTCTGAATTCAACCATCGACTCTCACTCTCCTTCCATTTTAATTTATCACAGCGGTAGTAATTTAACCTAATACATCATCCAATTGATTGTTGTGCGTAGTTGCCTTCAACTACCATCATTTCATTTATGTTCAAATTTTTTTCCGTTCGCAAAATATGGACATTTTTTGAAGTGATTAGTTGTGGGGAAAACTAGAATGGCTGGTTCAAATTCTCTGTTCCTTTCCTCTTCTTAATTTGGGACATATACATGTATGATACGGTACCTAATGATCATTCATAAACCAAGTGAAAAAAATGGAAGCACCAAATGTTATACAGTCTATAGATATGATTATCAGTTTCCATCAAGGTTGTCAACCCGCTTAGCCCCTTTGTCAGGTTAAGTAAGTGAGTTGACGGTTAATGGTCAGATCCCTTTTAGCCCATTTTAGCTCGAATAAGTGAAACAGTCATTATATTGTTTATACGTTTATAAATTATATCAAATCTCATTTAACATATGAGTAATAACATATAACATTACACCAAAATAATATATCATACTTGGATCCAACGTATAGTGAAAATTCACACGCAATTGTATAACATCAATATTCAAATGTTGAACTTAGAATTCCAAAAATAGAATTAGGCAAAGAAGAAGAAAAAGAAGCGCATTTCGAAAAGCATAGAGAAAAACGACGTCGTGTGACCTCCAACCAGTGGCGGATCTAGGGCTGGGCCTCCCCGGGCCACGGCCCAGCCCTCCTCCGATCTAGAGCTAGTATAGTACGTATGAATTTTTCGATTTTAGGTGTTCAGTCTAGTAATATTTTAAGGTCGGTTCAATGTTATTTGATAATATGATTTTGTGTGACTTGAAAAATAGTCTAGATTAATATATCCAAAGTCCAAACCACAATTCCAAATTTAGACTAAAAATTCAAACTCCGATAATTTTCATTCGGAAAGAATAAAATAAACAATGAAATCTAAAAGCCTTACACGTAAAAGACTAAAAGAGTAAAGTTTCATAGAAATTAAAAAAAAACCTCTAAACTAAATCTCACACTTCTCTGTCAGAACTCCAAAAATTCCTCCAATACCCAAAATCAAAATTAGAACGAGGAGACGAATGGACCCGAAACAAATTCCTCCGCTAGTTCGTCAGGCGCTGATTACTTTCCACTCTTTTGATGAAGAAAATATTTACAAACTTTTTGAGTCATCATTTAAATTGCTTGAGTTGAGTGGTGCACTAGATCCTAAAAGTTCTTTCCGGTCTTTTGATGAACAAAATGTTTACAAACTTGTTCAAGAGTTTATCCTCGAGATTTTGAAGGCTATTATATGCATTCTTTGAAGAATGATCTACGTATGCCGCTCATGTGGTTCATAGTCATGAATATGAAGTTTCTTCCCTTGCAAAATTACTAGAGAAGCTAGTGGAAACAGTGATGGATACACAATAAAAATTGATTTGTCGGTTTATTCGTCTAATGTTGACCTAGCTCGTTTCGACTGCTACTACGTAGATTACATTTTCTGCAATGAAAACATGTGAAAACTTATTTATGCAACAAAATGAGCGATCAATTTCTCACTAATTGCTTAACTATTTTCTTTGAGATAGAGTATGTTATTGGTATGGATGAAGACTCCATGATTTGGTGAATTCGCTAAATTAAACGACAGTCATGTACAATTGACATTGTAATGAAAACTATATAGTCATCATTTATTTTTTATTTAAAGTATCTAATTTTCTATTCAAATACGGCCAAGTACTCTACTATGTCCTGGATCCGCCGCTGCCTCCAACCCGATAACCTTATGGCAGGTCGACCCGTAGGTTGTGTGACTAGTATATCTCAGTAGGGTTAGAGGTCAAAACAGATCAATCAGCGGGTTATTTCCATCTAAATCATTAGTTCTCCACAGTATTTTCTTTCATAAAAATCCAAACATGTTTGATTTTCCACTCAATTTTTTGCCATATTTCATAAGGGGAAAAAAGGAATTGGACTACCATGTTTCACGCCCATTTCTGAGAACTTGGGCCTAGGACATTCGAGCCCAATGATTTTTGTGAGTTCTTTGCCATTCTGCAATTATATATGTATTTGGCCAATATTACACTGCTACTATTAAATGTATACTTTTCGAGAAAAAAAGATGAAAGCGATGAGTTGTGATGATCATTTCTTGTCCTTTGATCATAAATTTACGAGTTTGATTTCTACTTATATAAATAGAACTCACTTTATTACCTGTCATTTATAACTTCTTTTGATCACCAATTATGTTGAAAGGTTAATCACTGCTATCCATCTACACAATACATAAAGGCAAAATATGAGTTGGAATTCAACTATTTCAAATTTTGTGGCCTGAGAGTGATTCTAGGAAGGTCATTTTTGTCATTGTACCCAGTTCATATTTATATATTAAAAATGTTATCATTGGAGTTCAAACCTTGGTCACTTGTGATTGAATAAAGAACATTATAACCAATTAGGCTACATTTTATTTATTGTTATTTCTTTAATTGAACTCTAGGAATATGTTTGGTGATGATGCTTCTATATTTATATTTTATCGTAAGTTATTTATATTTTATAGAAAGATATTAGTTCTGACATCGAAACTCAAGTAGTATTGATTCAAACATTAATATTAAATTATATGTGTTGTTTAGTTCAGACAAAATACAAAAGTGTAATCAAAACATGTACCTTTGTGATGAGTATACTCATTTTTTGTGACAAATCTACACATAATATAATGACAAAATTGAAAAATGAGAGTCTCATTTCAAATTTCGTGGTCTTGGAGTGATTCTATGGAGCTCTTTTTCGTCATAGTGCTCAATATATCTTTATATTATGTGTAGATTTGTGGCAAAAAAAAATTATATTTGTCACAAAGATCCATGTTTTAGCTATACATATGTATTTTGTCTAAACTGAACCACACATACAATTTATTATTTAATGTTTGAATCAACTACTTGAGTTTCGATTTCACAATTATCACTTTTTATAAGATATAATAATTTCAGGTAAAATAATTTTCCTACTTGGTTGAAGAAGCTCTTTCTATAAGATATATTCAATGTTTTGAGATTTGCTATTTCAAATTTCATGAAGCAAGAGTGAAAGTAGTAATAGTATTTTTGTCATCACAATTATTATCTACTTCATATGAAAAAAAATATAAATATCAAGATTTGAACCATGGTCTCTTCAAACAAAAACAATAATCACAACCAATTACACTAAACAAATTTGTTTTATCTTCATAAATTGTAAACATGCACTAAGCGGGGATTTGAAAAGCAGAGGACTTTTCACGGTTAGCTAGCCTATTAAATCTTCTGAAAAGCAAAGTTGAATATGTGATTTATAATTTTTATAACCTATAAAATGACGGGTAATTTTAAAATTGCAACACAAACTTCATTACTTGAAATATTCCATATCGAATTGTAGTATTGAATATGCAAAAGCGATGTAGAATTCTGTAAATTAATATGAATTTTCAGAACTAATACGAAACAATAATAATTTGTACAAACTATAGGTGACTGGATCTCTAAAATTTTAGCCTAGTTAACTGTTGAACGTTAAACTCTTGCTAATCGAGCATGAATGGACCCGACCATAATGAGATCATATCTAGTTTAATGTGATGTTCATTTCGTCAATTTTGGATTGAATGTGTTGATCAATTCATAGGGCATTAACATATAAGTGAGTTATAATTAACCTCACTATACAATTTTTAATCTTTATAATAATTAATTTAATCTTGATATTTGTGATGTTTGAAATATTTTATGTATGATTTAGAGGTATAATTATTATTTGTCACATCAGTTGTAGTTTATTCAAATGTAGTATTTCATTATGTAGTCAAAATCAAATATTGGGTGCATTTATGACTGTTTATAACTTGGTTTTATGAATATGTAGAAACTTAATTATTACAATGCTTATAACTATACCTAGGCACATGGTCGAGCTAGCACGACACAGTTAGAGCATACTATGAAGACAATGTATATGGATCGGCCATGTACAAGCATGAATGCTTCATGAGTCGTACCAGACTTAAACTTCAAGGGCTCGCGCACAAGTGCGAGCACCACACGGGCTATACTGGTGAACTGATGTTTTATGGAGAAATGCGTTATTTGATGAAAATAAAATAAAATATTCTAAAATAGTATAATAAATAAATAATGAATGTATTTTATAAACCTTTTAGAATATGATCTGTCACACGTTGATGTGAGAAACTATTCATTAATTCAAATTTTATTATACTAAAAGGTTTATAAAATATAGAATGATTTTATAAATGAATTCAGTTACTAACTATACACTCACTCGATTGGTTTAACGAGTTCTGCTTTTTATCACTTTTATCAAGCTACTTTGCTCCGTTGATGAATAAGCGACCATCTATTCACCGGGTTTCAGGTGCTCTGATTCACACTATCGACTGTGAATGGAGAAGAAGCATTTCGAACGCAAAATTGGATAAGTAAATGGGTTATTTCTAGGTTTCTCTCGATTCAAGGCGGTGGGAAGAAAGAGGAAGGGAAAAGGGGGAGAGTTGTGAGATACAAAGATGGGAGAGAAAGATGGAAAAACAAATGAAAAACAAAGAGGAAGACAAATAGAGAGTGAGATGACACATTTAAAAGAGGAGGAAAATGAGGTAATGTGAAATAATTGCTTTTTTACTTTGATTAGTGGATATTCTTGGCCCTATTATGTTGAGTTTTGATTTATTTTAGGAGATGACATTATATTTGACATATTTCTATTTCAATTTAAAATCCTAAATCAATATTATCATTTGGAAGATTTTTTTCTTAATACGATTATTGTAATTTCTGAGATTTAAGGGGTATTTGATAATGTCAATATTTTAGTGGTTTTTATTTAAAGTTTGTATTGAAAGATCGTACTTACCGGCGGTTAGACCATAAAACTTCACATCATAGGCTAAATTGATAGGCGATATTTAATAATATGAAACGGTTGAACCACAGTTAAATTATGACTTCAATATAAAATACTATATGTTTGAGTCCAACTGAGGGTCGGAGGTGAACTCGGAAAAGAGGGTGAGAAGAGTAACAACAAGAGGTCTAGAAAGGAGGTATTCTTAGAGAGAGAAAGCAGTTGTTCGTAAGGCTAGTCAGAGAGTGAAAAATGCGATCCCCTCACCCACCGGAGTAAATGCCGTATTTATAGGCTACATGGTGGTGAGTGAGTTACATGGTGACAAGACTGCTATCATGTCATAACTTTCGGCCATCCTCCTACCTAGTACTAGGGGACTTGTCCATCATTGTACCTAGTACTCTGATGTGACCACTCTTCGGGGGATAGGGTGTCGTTTCCGAGGCAGGCTAGGTCTGGTCAACTTTCGGCTGAAACGTCGTCGTTCGGTCGTTTGGAGTTCATGTCCGCGCATGAGGTCTCCAGGCGCTCAGGCTTCTCGCGTATGCGCGGCTTTGGGTAAGCCTTTGCAAGCGCGGCGTCGCGCTGGCTTCTTGGCGCGCCTGGACCCGAGCCATATGCCCAACAATTGCCCCCCACCAGGTGGTATTCTTCGGATGCCGCCTGTTTGACTTCCACGAGGTTGGCTCGGGTCTGGGTTAAATCCGCGAGACTATTGGGTCCGGGGTCGATTTCTAGCGCGCCTCGTGTTTTCCGACAAGTGGGTAGAACTTTTTCCTGACGCGGATGCGCGTGGTTTGATTTAGGTGCGACTCTTTTTTTCTTCGTGCGTACGCCATGCCCCCCAGTCGGTGCGTGTATACGCGCGAGCAACATGGTTTGGTTCACATGTGGTTTTTTTCTTCGTGCGTGCGCCATGCCCCCCAGTCGGTGCTTGCATGCGCGCGAGCAACATGGTTGGGTTCAAATGTAATTTTTTCTCTTCGCGGGTACGGCATGCCCCCCAGGCGGTGTGCGGAACTTGTGACGTCAGCGCCTATAGGCTGCCTAGGGTAGGTGTCCACGTGTCGCTGGCTGATAGCTCTATTGAGGCGGCGCTTTTGAAATTTGAAAAATCCTGACAATTATGATTTGACGGTTGCGATTCCCGATGTAACTTTAACTCTTCGGTTTCCTCCTATCGATTATAAGTAGCAGTCGATAATTGAGGGGAAGGTCACTTTGCTGTTTTCTGGCTTTGCTTCGTTTTCCTTTCCCTTCTCCTTCCGTTTCGTTCCTACTCGAGATTCTTCTCCTTCTTCTACAACCTTATTTCTCTCGTGTTGTTGCTATTACCCTGAAGAGTGCCATGGCGAACATCAATGTCGACGAGATTCAGGTCGTGCAAGACGAAGAAGGTAATCTTTCGCCCCTTTCGCATATTTCTACCGATCCTTCACTGGATCTAGCTGATTCCGGCAACGGTGACGGCGGCGGAGCTTGTGGTGATGGAGTTCCGGCGACGCCGTCCTACGACGCCGATTCAGGGCACGATTTCGTGCCCGATCATGATTTGGAGATGAGGGAGTCCGAAGGTCGTGGAGAGAGCTCGCGCACTCGCGGGGTTTTGATTATACGCCGCGACCGCGCGGGTAGATCTGAGGAGGCAGAGGGCTCGATGCGCGGATGGTCTGAAACCCAGTCTGAGCCATTGTGTGTCGCGCGCGTCTCAGAATCGATGGCCCGACTTGGGCTCCGCGGCGTGGGTGCAGTCTACACTATAATAGACTGGGCGAAGATGTGGGGCGATCAACCGCCACCACACGACAACCTTCTTCGGGGACCCGACCACGCGTCAGTGTACGGGCGGCGTGAAGTGACGGACATTGTGCGCGGCTTAGAGTTGCCCCCCACCTGGGAGTATGCCATCCCTTCCGTGCGGAGCAGAGTCGGCAATTGTCCGGCGGGATGGTTCGGGGTGTACACGGATTATTGGGAAATGGATTTCAAGTTTCACATTGATCCGCTTTTATGCGCATTGTATCGGCGCCTTAACTGCTCTGTCGGGCGTCTCTCTCCCTCAGTAATTATGCACGCGTCGTGCCTCCGCCTTGTGTGCAAGCGGCTCAAGATCCAGCCTACTTATGGCTTATTCCGGAAGATTTACAAGATTAAGGAGCCCACCGAGAAGAGTGACTGCCTGTCGATTAGGCGGCGCGACAAGAGGCCCGATGGCTTTGTATATGGGTTTCCGAAGTTGAGGAAGGGCTGGTTTGATCGGTTCTTTTACGTTAAGCCGATCCCCGGGGAGTGGGCTAGTGAGCACGTAGAGGAGCCCACAGTGTGGAAGAAGGGTAGCACGCGCGGCTACGAGTCTGATCAGGGCAAATATGATGGCCTCCAGGAGCAGTATGACGCGTGCATATTGCAGCGCATTAACTTGTATCTTAGCGGGGTCCACGCGGCCTGTTTGGAGGAGCTCTATGCTGATGGTTAGTTGTATTCTTTCCTTTTGCATTCTGTCATATTAACGGCCCTCTTACGACTTATTGACGCATGTGTTGATTTCTCGAGCTTAGTGAGCATGATGTCGGTCGACGATGTTGTGAAGGTTCTGCGCTTCCCGCGTGGTGAGAGGAAGAAGAAGAAAGAAGGTGTGCGTTCCAGCAGCGCGAAGCGAAAAGAAGTGGAGCAACCGTCCACCGCTGAAAGGGCGCGGAAGAGTGCGCGGGTGACCACGGAGCCCGTGGTGGTTTCTCAACAGGTGGTGCGAGTGGACGATGCCCCGCGCACTGAGGCTCCACGCACGGAGGCCCCGCGCGTTGAGAAAGTGACACCTGCCAGTTCCTCTGGGGCGATCGTCCAGAAGACGCTGCCAGAGATGGGGGCGATCGACTATTTCCGCGATGTGCGGATTCATACTAGCGCAGCTTGCAACACCGCCTCCGCCCATGCTGCTTTAAGGGCTCTCGGGCCTATGCTTAGCATCCCTCCTCACTTGGAGAAGTCAGATCCACTGCTGGATCTCGCGCAGATTCATTTCGCGGTGAGTAATGAGTCAAACTCGTGTGTGTTGTAATGTTTGTCTTAACAATTTGACTAAGTGTACTAGCGTTGTGGGTGCAGGGTTTGTTGTCTACCTTCTGCGCCCAGCAGGAGAGGGCTAGGGCAGGCGCACGTCTGCAGGTTGACGAGTCAAAGATTGTGCAGCTGGAAGGTAGGCTCGCTGGAGCGGAGAGTCGTGCGGAGGTGGCGACGAAGAAGGCTAACGAAGCCATGGAGGAGCTGGGTGTCTTGCAAAGCAAGCTGGCGGAAGATGTGGAGGCAGTGAGGGCGCGGGTTTGGGACGAGCTCCGGGTTGAGTTTCAAGGGGAGAAGGAGAAGATGGAAGCGGATCACGCCGAGGAGCTGCGGCGTGTTCGCGAGCAGTTCCAGACGGAACGGGAGGAGTTCCAGAAGGAGAAGGAGGATCTGATCCGCCTTCATGACGTGGCTAAGGCGGAAGCTGTGCGTGAAGCGCCGGTTGCCGCGGTCCGTCAGTATAGATCTTCTCCTTCTTTCGGGAAGATTTTGGCGGACGCGATGACAAAGACTGTGATTGCAATCCGCAAGAAGGTGCGCCCGGAAAATCCCGGTGTTCGTTGGAACACTCGCGCTATGGTCGAACACGTTCAAATGTGGTTGCGCGAGAAGAGGTCACTGGAGCCCGATACCGAGTCTGAGGACGAGGAAGACGAAGAGGGGGAGGGTGAATCGTCCGAAGCTAAGGACGAGGAACCTAACGCGGCAGCTGACAAGGTGGTTGTGGACGCGGCAGCAGAAGAGGGGGGAATGCAACTGTTACTGACAACGTTGTAGATTCAGTATAGGTTCTATTTTCCTTTGTTTTCTGTAATGTGTTATTTGCTATCTCCCAGTGGGAAAATCCAAAGACATGAATATTCTCCAAGTTATGTCGCGTTTCCTTATCTTATTTCACTTGTTGCATTGGTTTTTCGCGTTTAAGTTTCATCGCGTTGCATTTGTGTTGTATTGCAACTTGTGGTTGCGCTATATGTCGCGCATCATATGCGGGGCTTATTTTGTAGCGCGTTTCATGACCGCGCGGTTACATGGCTACTTGGTAGCTCTATTTGTTTTGCATTGCGACTCGTGGTCGCGGGACATATCGCGCATCATATGCGTGATTATTTCGTAGCGCGGTTCATGACCGCGCGGTTACATGGCTACTTGGTAGCTCTATTTATCGCGCATCATATGCGTGATTATTTCGTAGCGCGGTTCATGACCGCGCGGTTACATGGCTACTTGGTAGCTCTATTTGTTTTGCATTGCAACTCGTGGTTGCGGGACATATCGCGCATCATATGCGTGATTATTTCGTAGCGCGGTTCATGACCGCGCGGTTAAATGACTACTTGGTAGCTCTATTTATCGCGCATCATATGCGGGATTATTTTGTAGAACCGCGCAGTTACATGGCTACTTGGTAGCTCTATTTGTTTTGCATTGCAACTCGTGGTTGCGGGACATGTCGCGCATCATATGCATGATTATTTCGTAGCGCGGTTCGTGATCGGTCATATACTGTGTTATTGCATGGGGGAGGAATATCTCATTAATTAAACCGGTCGTGAAGGTACATGGGCGGTGATTACAATCTCTTGTGGTACTTCCTTAAATTCTGGGCATTCCAAGTTCGTGGGATTGGCTCGCCGCCAATCGTGCTGATTTTGAAGGTATTGACGCCTACGACCTCGCGGACGAGGTATGGTCCCTCCCATGTTGACGCTAGCTTCCCATGTTTCGCGTCGGGGCGAAAGTTACGCCGCAGCACTTGGTCTCCGATTTGGATGTTGTGTGGGACCATTTTGGCGTTGTAGTACTTTGCGTAGTTAGCTCGAGGTCCGTGAGTCGAGCTTCGTTGTTGTCTTCCTCGTTGAACATGGTGATGCGGTATGTGGGTATGACTGTTTCTATTGGGATGACCGCGTCACTGCAGTAGGTTAGCGCAAACGGGGTTTCGCCCGTCGCTGCCTTGAATGTTGTTCGATGCGCCCATAGGACTGTGTGTAGCTCCTCTGCCCACTTACCTTTCGCTTCCCCGAGGCGGGTGTGCAGGCCGTGTAAGATTGACTTGTTCGCCGCCTCCGCTTGGCCATTAGCTTGGGGATACGCTACCGACGTGAATCGAGCTATGGCGCCTACCTCATCACAAAAGTTTATGACTTTTGCGCAGTCGAATTGCATGCCATGGTCGAATACGAATGAGTTTGGGACACCAAACCTGGTGAGTACATTATTTTTCAAAAAACGCACCACCTGTTGGGCCGTGATTGGCGCAAGCGCTTCTGCCTCTATCCACTTGGTGAAGTAGTCCACGGCGACAATGATGTACTTACGCTTGCGCTTTGCGGTGGGGAATGATCATAGTAGGTCGACCCCCCATTGTGCAAAAGGGCATGGGCTTACATTTCATTGGAGCTCTGTGGATGGTATGTGATGCTGCCACGCATTCAGCTGGCATTTGTGGCATTGATCAACAAATTTCTTCGCGTCTTTTTTTATGCGTGGCCAGTAATACCCTTGTAGGAGGATGTTGCGCTCCATGCTGCGCGCGCCACAATGCATTGCGCAAATGCCTTCGTGTATGTCTTGTACGATATCTCGCGCCTCATATGGTCCTACACACTTTAGGTATACACCTGAGTGTGAGCGCCTGTGGAGTTTGTCGTCGCCTGTGGAGTTTGTCCTACACACTTTAGGTATACACCTGGAGTTCTGCCTGAGCGCCCATGCTTTTTTGTGTCTTCTGGTATCGCGCCGCTCGTCAAGAACTCGATGATTGGTGTTCGCCAGTCGCTTTCATCTATCTGTGTTGCATTCACGCTGCGTGATGGATCTTGATCCTCTTTCTGCACGGAGACCAATCTTGTTGTGTCGAAGTCTGTCGCCGTGGCTAATTTGGAAAGTGCATCCGCATGCATGTTCTCCTCTCTCGGTATCTGGACATACGTGACAGCTTCGAATTGGGATTCCCATGCCCTCACCCGCTCGATGTACTGGGACAGTGTGTCCTCTTTGGCGTCGAAGACCCCATTCAACTAGTTGACAGCGATGGAGGAGTCGGAAAGGATCTGTACTGTTCTCGCGCCTAGGTCTCTGCGGCAGTCAATCCCGCGAGTATTGCTTCGTATTCCGAGGCGTTGTTGGTTTTGAGGGTTTGGAAACGGATGGCGATTTCGTGAATAGCTCCTGTGGGCATTTTCACGACAACACCTGCTCCCGCTCCGTGTTTGCTAGCCGCCCCGTCAACGTAGATCTCCCATGCTTCGTCGTTTTTGTCGCACAACGTTACTCCTTCCGCTACGAAGTCGGCAAGGACTTGCGCTTTGATTGCTGGCTTTGACGCGTATTGTATGTCGTATTCTGACAATTCAACCGCCCATTTTGTCATCCGGCCCGACACTTCCATCGAGCTTAGGATTCTCTTCAGCGGCAGGTTTGTGAGCACTGTGATTGCGTGTGATTGGAAGTAGGGGCGCAACTTTTGTGAGGCGTTCACTAAGGCCAAGGCGGCTTTCTCAATCGGGGAGTATCTTGTCTCCGCGCCAGCTAGCATTCGGGATGTGTAGTAGATTGGTCTTTCCGTTTGCGCATCTTTGCGCGAGATTAGCACCGCGCTGACGGCTCGAGCGGACACAGAGAGGTACAGAAACAATTTTTCATTAAGCCCGGGGGCGGTTAATACAGGGAGGATACCAGGTACAATTTGAGCTCGTTGAATGCCGCTTCGCACTCCGGGTCCACTTGAAGCGAGCGCCATTCTTCAGGGTTTGGAAAAATGGAGCGCATTTGTCGGCGGATCTTGGGATGAATCGCCCTACCGCGGCTAGCTTGCCGTTCAATGATTGTACCTCGGTGGCGCTCCTTGGAGCGCGCAGCTGTTGCACTGCTGTGATTTGCTTAAGGTCGACTTCTATCCCGCGCTTGGTTATCATGAAACCAAGGAATTTGCCAGCTTCTGCGCCGAAGACTCACTTCAGGGGGTTGAGTCTAAGGCGATTTTTTGCGTAGCGCCTCGAAAGTTTCGCGGAGGTCTTCCAGATGGGAGCCCCCGCTCTTTGTCTTGACAATGAGGTCATCTACATAGGCCTCGATGTTGCGCCCGATCTGGGGTGCGAAGACGGTGTCAATCATTTGCTGGTATGTTGCGCCTGCATTCTTCAGGCCGAACGAAATCCCCGTGAAACAGAAATTGCCGAATGGCGTCATGAACGCGGTCTTCTCCTCGTCTTCACGACTCATTGGGATCTGGTGATATCCTGAAAACATATCTAGGAATGATAATGTTTCGTGGTTGGATGTCGCGTCAATCAGCTGATCAATGAGCGGGAGTGGGTACGGGTCTCCCGGGCATACTTTGTTGATGGTGGTGTAGTCGACGCACATTCGCCACGCGTGTGAGGTTTTTTTCACTAGAACGACGTTTGCCAGCCATTTTGGGTACTTCACAGCTCGGATGAGACCGGCAGCTAGTAGTCGCGCCACTTCTTCTACTATGGCTTTCAACTTCTCACCAGTGAATATGCGTCGCTTCTGTTGACGGGGCGTCGCGGTGTCTGGTACCGCGAGGCAATGTTGTGCCACATGCCTTGACACTCCTGGCATGTCCTCAGTGCACCAGGCGAAGAGCTCCTGATACTCTTGCAACAGTTTCACCAGCGGCTCGACCATATCCCCAGGGACATGGGTAGAGATGCACACCTTCTTGTCTGGTCCTCCCGGGTTCAGCGCGACCTCGGAGTCGGAGTCCATAGACTCTGGGCGCGGGCCGTTAGCGCGGGTGTCGGTGATGTTTGTCTGTCTCTGTGGCGCGATGGGGCGCGTGATTTGTTGGTTTCCCTCGGACCATTGTGAGCCGCGCGATTCTCCGGTTCCCACCTTGGTGGGGAATTTGAGTTTTTGGTGGCATGTTGACGCCAACGCCATGAACTTGGCGAGGAACGGGCGGCCTAAGATGTCGTTGTGAGGAGAATTGCAGTCCACGATGGTGAACTGCACTTGCTTGGACGTGCGTGGTTCGTCGTCGCCGAGTACGATTGGCAGGGTGATTTCCCCGATTACCGCGACCCTCGTGCCGGAGAATCCCACCAAGTTACCTTGAGCCCGTTGGATCAGACTCGGGTCTACGTCCATTTGATCCAAGTGCGCTTGAATAGGACGTCCACAGCGCTCCCCCCGTCTATGAGCAGACGGTGCACCTTGCAAGCGGCCACCAGCGTCGTTATAGTTATTAGTTAGTGACTCTTCAGATGCGATTCCGCGCGGGAGCTCTGAGTTGCCGAAACTCAGATCGCATTTTACTGCAGCGCTTGTCGTCGCACATTCGACTGCGCGGTCTCGCTTTGTCTTTTTCTTTGGCCTGTCTCCCTCGATCGTGGCAACCCCTATTTCTTTTCGGACGATGTAGGATCCCGTTGTCTCATTGTAGTCTGCCTGGGGCGGAGATGGCAGTGGTGCGGCTTGTTGGTCTTTCCGCTCCTCCGCTCCGCTTACGTATTCCGCCAAATATCCTCTCCTAATGAGCCCCTCTATTTCTACGCGAAGATTGAAGCAATCTTCGGTCAGGTGCTCTGGCTCTCGGTGGAAGTCGTAGTGCTTTCTGTGGTCGCGCGTGTGCATAAAGGCTCTTATTGGTGCTGGCCAGTTGACGCGGTAACCCTTCTCCCTGATGAGGTGGAAGATGTTCTTTACCGAGTCGTTGAGGGGGGTGAAGCTCGTTTGCGGGCACCTCTCTGGTGAACGCCTTCGTTGCGGAGGATCCTGAGGGGCGTGCTGCTTACCATACCCGCTATGGTACTGCGGGAGCGGGAGTTGCGGCTCTTGTCGCCTTTGTTCCTCTCGCGGAGGCTTTGTTGGCTTGTAGCGGCGGACCGATCCGGCTCCCAGGGTTTCTTCTAGGGTGACGGCTTTCTCGATTTTGGTTTCTAGTTCCGAGGAAGAGATGACGGGTCTCTTTGCCAACGCGCGCTTGAGCTCCGCGTTGGTGGTTGCCTCCATGAGGTGGTGGGCTGCGGTCTCCGGAGTCAGATCGCGCACTGCCATGGCGGTTCTTGACCATCTAGCGTAGAATGCCCGCAGGCTCTCTCCGTCCTTCTGTTTGAGGTCGATCAACGCTTTAAGGAGGAGCGGCCTTCTCTTTTGGGAGGCGAACTTAGTTGTGAAGAGCAGTATGAACTCCTCATAGGTGCGGATGATTCCGTTGGGGAGGCGGTTATACCAGTCCAGGCATATTCCCGAGAATGTGGATGGAAAGGTCCTGCATAATGCCGCGCTGGAGTTCGTCTGTAGCTGCATGCGCAGGCAGAAGCTGCTGACGTGGTCTTCGGGGTCTGTTGTCCCGTTGTACATGGGCATGGTGGGTGGGGTCCCGCTTAGATGCTCCGCCATAATTTCCGGGCACAGTGATTGGTGCAGTGCTCTTTTTGGCGGGGCGCGGTACAGCGGGGACAAGTGCTGTTCCAGGAAGGTCAGATCCTCCCTCTCTGGCGGATTATGCTCGCACGACGCCGGGTCGGCTTGCCTAACTGCTTGGCAATCCGCGGGTGGTGGTTGCGTCGTCGTTTGACGCGCTGACATAGTTGCGGCGGTTGTAGTGGCGGCGGTTTCCTTACTCATCATCAGGGCGATCACTTGGTTCATCTTCGCTTGCATGTCCGCGATGACCTCGTTCTGCTTGGTTATCTGTTGGCGGACCTCCTTGGCCGTCAGCTCCGGTTCTTCTTCTTCAATTAGGACCGCATTGAGATTGCTCATTTCCGCGAATGACCTTGAGTTTGTCATCGCTTTGATTTGGGTTACTTCGTTGGGAATGCTGTTATCTTGCTCCGCCATTGGGGATTTTGATCTTGTTGTTCCTCTACTTCAGCCCCACGGTGGGCGCCAATTGTTTGAGTCCAACTGAGGGTAGGAGGTGAACTCGGAAAAGAGGGTGAGAAGAGTAACAACAAGAGGTCTAGAAAGGAAGATAGGCTACATGGTGGTGGGTGAGTTACATGGTGACAAGACTGCTATCATGTCAGAACTTTCGGCCATCCTCCTACCTAGTACTAGGGGACTTGTCCATCATTGTACCTAGTACTCTGATGTGACCACTCTTCGGGGGATAGGGTGTCGTTTCCGAGGCAGGCTAGGTCTGGTCAACTTTCGGCTGAAACGTCGTCGTTCGGTCGTTTGGAGTTCATGTCCGCGCATGAGGCCTCCAGGCGCTCAGGCTTCTCGCGTATGCGCGGCTTTGGGTACGCCATTGCAAGCGCGGCGTCGCGCTGGCTTCTTGGCGCGCCTGGACCCGAGCCATATGCCCAACACTATACTACCAACTTTTTCGATACGATTTTACAATCCTTTGGTTCAAACAACTCTTTTAGCACATTTTGAACTATCTATTGCAAAAAAGCATAAATTAGTTAGCGATAATGAGAATATGTCATTTAATGTAACCCAAAAGACACTTCGTAACTTCTATATTTTTAAAATAAATGTATGCTACTCATACCCTCGCTCATTTATCAACTTAATGAGTAACATATATTTCATGTAATATTATTTTCATACATTTTTATTTATTTAATTATCATGAAAAAATATTTGTTGCATGAAAATTATTACATTGTTGATATACATGTCTGCGATATGAGAATAATTTTGAAAGTCCGTACACAACACATTTTTCAACTAACTATTAGTGACAGCTTAGCATCATGTCTTATACATAATATTATTTTCATACATTTCAAATTAAGCAAATTTAGATTCATTATCAACAGTGTTATAAAAAAGAATGCTCTCTATTGGGGAAAACTTAAAGAACATACTAAACTCTACGAGACATTTTCTTTCATCCTAAAGGTTAATTATGTATGTATTATGAGAAACAACTATAGGGAGGGGGCATACAATAAGATCATGCGCGGCTTTGGGTACGCCATTGCAATGTGCCTTTCGGATGCCAAGTGTCCATGTTATAAGACTAAACTTATAGAAAATCACAACCCAATCAATAGGGCAACCTCAAAACTCAACTAGCATTCATTATCACCAAAGCCCAATAGGGAGGGGGCATACAATAAGATCATGTTGAGCTTATTCAACATCAAATACAATCTTAATTCAAACTACTACCATGAAAACAATTACTATAGCTTAAAAGGGAAACATGACTACAGCTCACTAGAGAGTGGACCTCAAGATCAGTTTTTGTAGAGATGAAGGGGAAGCCTAGGGTGAGCAACAGCAACAAGAGGGAACTTCCTAGGAGTAGAGAGCCCATAAATCTCTTCCATGTTCAACTCTTCCCTCTTCATCCCACTAGGCAATTCCCACTTAAACCCATGAAGAAGGCTGGCCAGACTGACTTGAATCACCTTGATCCCCAACGGGTACCCGGGGCACATCCTCCTTCCAGCGCCAAAAGGCAGAAGCTCGAAATCGTGACCTTTCACGTCGATGTCCTTCCCGATGAACCTCTCGGGACGGAACTCTTCGGGAGTGTCCCAGATGGTGGGGTCTCTCCCGATGGTCCAAACATTGACTAGAACTCGGGTGCCCTTCGCGACCCGGTAGCCAGAAAGCTCGACGTCCTCTCGAGCCAGCCTAGGAACCAACAGCGGCGCCACGGGGTGCAGCCGCATCGTCTCTTTCACAATCGCGTTGATGTATGGCAGGTTGGCTACGTCCTTCTCCTCGACCCAACGCTCCTTTCCGACTACCCTGTCAAGCTCCTCTGTTGCCCTAATGAAGGCTTCCGGGTGTTTCAGGAGCTCCGAGATCGCCCATTCTACTGTCACTGCTGAACTTTCGGTTCCGCCTGCTATCATATCCTGATAAGATGTATATGTATACCACCATGTTAAGACCATCCTCAAGAGAACATGAGAATTGTTGTTGTGTGTTTATGGAAGAAATTTTGAGTTGGGTTCTAATTTACTTTTTCCACTTGTAGGGATGCGACTAGTGATGGAGAATGATTCAAAATCCAGACACTGTGACAACAGCTCTAAAGTAGCTAAATGCATAATTCATTGTTGAAAAGGAGTGATGGATAGAAGGAAAAGATATCATTTTCAAGGCTTGGCAATCGCCATTGAAGGCCCCTACCTTGCATGTTAAAATCAATAATAACTAGACTATCACTTTGGCAGTGTACTTTAAAGGTTTTGTTTTCATGGGCTCTACCCCTAAAACTGATAAAATAATTGAAAGATCCGAAAATCGGATGTAATGTTTATGATAGATATCATACTTGTACCAATCAAAAAAGATACCAATTATTAATTGGTCACCCCAAAAGTACTAACATTTATAAAGATTATACTATTTCCCACACACAAAAAAAAAAAGTTCTACCAAAAAAAAATAGTGAACTATTAGTAGAAGGGTATGGAGCGTATCACCATGGTATAACTACAGTGTTGAAAGATTATATACATGATACTTGAGATATATTAATCATTTACCACATTTCTATTAAAGTTTAGGAAATCATACTGGATTTTATATCGAAACAGTGAATGATAAAGTATTTTGTATCAAAATAGTGGTTTAACCGTGATTGAATCGTTTCTTACCGCTAAAACCGCCTATCGTTTTGAGTCCGGTATCCAGTATTTATGGTAAGACTGATAGTTATGGTAGGGTTTCCTAAACCTTGATTTCTACACCATCATCTACCACCTTATACCAGGATGATTTAGAGCGGTATATATTTGATCTTATAAAGTTGTTTTCAAAATTTTGTAAATCATAACAGAACATTTCTCAAAAAATGTCAAAAGTTAGATATCATATTGTATCACACAACAAACCATCTCATATGTGCAAACAAATGGATAAAAATTTGTGTAAAAAATAAATAAAAATTTATTTTAGTCTCACATTTTAGACTTCAACCCACTCAAAACCAAGAGATAAGATATAATTAATTAATTATCCGGAAATGAATAACCAAATACTTATACTCATCCTAGACAGAGACAGTGCTAGTCTGCTAGAGCTCTAAATACTTGTTAAACACAGATAAGTAAGGCTATACGAAAGCGAAATAAATCAATTAAAAATCGACACTGCCAAACATTATTGTTTCTATCGGTGATGGTTGGTTGACCCTTTCTATCCATTTAATAAAGACCGCATTTTACTTGCCCCAACCGCAACTTTTACCATATAAAAAAAAAAAAAAAAACTCACCTGAGTAAACGCCTTAACCCCCCTCCGATCAAGCTTCACCTCCAAATCCGGATCCTCCGCCAGCTCCAACAACACATCCACCATATCCTTCGCGCCAAAATCCTCCTCCGCCAACATCCCACCACCACCACTCCTCCTCTTCAAGTTATGCTCGTCCAAAACCCTCTCCAAAAACCGGTCAAACTTCCTCGCCACCGCCTTCATTCGCCGCCGGTACCCCTGCAGATCCAACGGCGCCAGCCAAGGAATCGAATCTCCGATATCCAGAACCCCATTCAGCAAAAACAACTCATCGAGCATCTCCTTGAACTCCTCGGGGGTCACAATTTCCCCTTCCGCCGCCGCCACGCCGGTGTACTTTTTCCCCAAAACCATCCGGCTGATGACGTTTAAGCTGAGGTCAGACAAGTGGTCCTTCAAATTGACCGGGCTTCCACCCGACCCGAATAAATTCCTCATGACCCAATTCAGCTCCTCCTTGCGGATGTACTCGTAGGAGGCGAGGCGCTTGGCGCTGAAGAGCTCGGTGAGGCACATCTTGCGGGCCTGCCGCCAGTAGGGCCCGTACTGGGACCACGTGATGTCGGAGTAATTGTAGGTGGTGTATTTTCCGGCCGCGATCTCGGGCCGGCCCGCGAAGGCGAGGTCGTGGGTCTTGAGGATGGATTTGGCGAGGTCGATGGAGGAGCCCACCATGACGGTGTGGGCCCCGAACCGGAGCTGCATGATGGGCCCGTAGTGGGAGGAGAGGGCGTGGAGGGAGCGGTGAGGGAGTGGGCCGATGAGGTTGAGGTTGCCGATGATGGGCCAGGGCTTTGGGCCCGGCGGCGGTGGGAGGAGGGTGGAGCGGGAGTGGGAGGTGCGGCGGCGGAGCCATAGGGTGAGGAGGAGGACGGCGGCGGTGGCAAGCCAGGCGGCGGCTAGTAGGTTCATCTCCATGTGTTGGGAAAGTGAATTTGAGGTTGGAGACTTGGAGTGAGTGATGGGAAGTTAGGGGTGAGAGTGAGGCTATTTATAGGGAGATTGTGTTGGATTTGGAGGGTGGTGGCTCTTTAGTTTGTTTAGTGCATGGGTAGTGGGGGAGTAATTTGACTGACCAACCACCTACATAGCAAGTTCCATGGATTGATGGGTCAAGTCAACTTCCAATTTCTTTAATTGAGCTTATTACTTTCTTTAAGGTTGTTGTTAATTATTGGGTGGGAGGGTTTGCAAAGAAAGTGGAAGGCAATGAGGAGGAAAATCAAGTGGGTACTAGGGATCATGGAATTCATCTTGGGCGATTGGTTACCGGTTATAACCGAAATAACCGAACTGCCACCCCTACTACCAACTCCAAAAATAAACTAAGAAATCCTAATACCCAAGATGAATTCCATGATCCCTAGTACCCACTTGATTTTCCTCCTCATTGCCTTTCACTTTCTTTGCAAACCGATCGGTTATCGGTTAACCGAAATAACCACCACCCCTATCGAACACCGACCGAAATAGGTTTCGGTTTCTCGGTTATCGGTTAACCAAATCACTTTTAAGACCAAAAACCATTTCGTATAGCCTCCGATAACCGACCAAAGTTTGGTTGCTTCGGTTACCGGTTTAACCGAGCGGTTAACCGGTAACCGAACGGCCACCCCTAGTTGGTAGGTGTGCGACTGTTTGGTTTATTCTGGATCAAACTTACGTATTAATCGGATTATACCAAATTGAATATAATATGATATGGTTTGGTTTGGTCGCTGAATTTTATAAATATGTGGAAAAGTGGAATGAATTGATATTTGGACCAGATCAAATGCATTGTTGATCTGATCTTTGGTCGTAAGATGTCTTTTGCTATTGGACCGCAATTCTCAGGAGTCTGATCTGGTTCGAATGTGACCGTCGCACACCCCTGGCAGTTGGTCGGTATACGTCTCGTGAATTCACAGAATATATTATAGTATCGGAAATTGTGTGAAACTGTGGAATGGGAAATTGACTTGGAAGTTGCTATGCGGATTCCCACCTTAGCTACCATGTCGTTATGTACTTGTGTTGGTCATGGTTGTTGTTAGGGAGGTTTTCTATATGGAAAAGAAATTGCTAAGTACTGTAATAGTTTATTATTATATGATACAAACTGTGTTCCAATACTAGTAAGGTCCGTTTGAACACTTGTGTCAGTGTTCACATTAAGTCTTATTGTTGAGTCAACCGGCCTGGGAAGTATATGCATTATCCAAAGACTAGTTTACCAAATGGAATTTGCGAAGGAATTTGCTTGTGGAATTAGAGGAAGGAGACCACCTTTATTTGGTGTTAATTTCGTGGTAATGTTTGTAGGGACACATTTGGACTTTAGTGGCACAAATGGAAAAGAGGTATATTTTCCATTTTTTGTTTAGCCAGCAAAAGGCCAAAAGAGGGAGCCTTTTCTTTTTTAAGACTATCTCCAACCCAAGCATGCAAATTTGGAGAAAGGGAGGTTTTTGGCTTTTTTTCATTTCCAACCCACCAATTATTTGGCTTGCAAATTTGGAGAAGTGGGCTTGGGCATGGATAGATAGAAGCTCATATGGAAAAATGCAATGAGAAGGTGGGGGACCAACCATGAACCCAAGCCAACACGCTGGGGCCCTCCACTTTCCAACATTTTTATTTTTATTTTTATTTTTACTTTCTTAATTTTTGATTGGTTGGTTATGAGTTGAGAAGGCAAATTTAGAAAGTTTAGGGTTGGAGCAAAAATGTGTTTTTGGAAGGTAAAAATGCACATTTGAGAGATTGAGAGGCTAAATATAACCTTTTGGGTTGGAGTTAGTCTAACACTAGACTCCTCAACCAAGAGGCAGGGGACAAAGATACAGATATGTGAAGGGAGCACTCAATCTCCAATTGTTGCATAGGTAAAAGAGAAGCACCGTAACAAAGAAACAAAACCAAAGAGAATAGTAGGTGACAAAAGTATGGGCGGTAATCGGTCGGTATTTGGAATAGTCGGTATTCGGTATACCGACAATTTAAATTTTGTCGTTGAATATCGATACCGAAAGTTATTCGATATACCGGATATGGGATAGTCGATTACCGGTATTTTAACCGGTATACAGGATATCGGATAGATCGTTTTCTTCCAAAACTAGAGTCATTGAATTGTGAGTTCTAAATTTGCTGAAAATAAACCTTTTGGATTGTAATATTTTTTAATATGTAGAGAAATGTCCAAAAATGGAATATGTAGAGCTTGTATGCTCTCTCTACATTTTGAGTATCTTCACTAGGCTTGGTGTTGCTACAGAGGTTTTTGGCCTTTGGTTTCAGATGCTGCAGCAAAAGAAAAAGAGTGACCAAATGACCAATTTCAAGAGGTATCATCAACTGTGCTAAATGGATGCTTGGGACTTGGAATACAAAGATGATCCCAGTTCTCTTATGTCTTCAGAATCTTTGCTTGCCATCTATAGTTGTCCTCTGATTTGTGCTATTTCGGTATTCCGGTATATCGGATTACCGTCGGTATATTACCGGGTATTATCCGGTATATCGTTATGCCAAATTACACCATTGAATACCAATACTGTCGATATTCGATATACCATATACCGTCCGTATTCGGTACAAATATCCAGTAATACTGAATACCGGTTTACTGATTACCTAGACAAAAGTTTAACTTTCGTATTAGCAAATGAGCTCATTTATTTAATATTTACTATGACCACAATGTTAAAAATAAAAAAAAAAAGGCCAATTGAAAAGGCAATTCGGGTGTGGCTGATGACAATGGACGGGTCGAGGATTTCCCGTTGGCGCCGACAAATTCTGCAGCAACGCCTCGTCTATTTCAGGCACATGAAAATGCCATCGAGTAGCTAGCCCACACCACGTTTTCTATTTCCCTTTGCTAAAAATGAGGCCCACGGCATCTTGTGGTCGGACACCGATAACTTTTAGGTAGGGATGACACAAATATTTCAGTAGGAGATGATATGTTGATCCAACAGATTAGATAGGATAAGATTGGAAGTTAGAACTAAATGGATCATTCATTATTTTACGAGGGTAAAGAAAACAATTGATTATAATTTATTAGATAATTGGCCCGAGCGTTGCTTCGGGATCTTGTACAATTTTATTTTTGAGATTTTTTTATATGTTGTGATATTTGGCTTTGTAAATGAACCTTTTATACTTATGGTCTAAATTATTGAAGGACCAAATCATTTATAATATAATGAATTATGCAATAATTTGATTGGATGTAATGCATATGTGAAGTGTAGGAAAATGAACTTTGAATTATAGAATGAATAAACCTAATTCGTTTTGTTCGCTTCTCTCATACATTTCAAATTCGAATGCGTTGGAACGAATAAAATATTATCAAATGCTTAGTTTATAAATATGCTACGCAAGTGCTAAACAATGATAGTTTTTTTTAAGACTCAAATACATATCTACATGATAGTCATGTGTTTTTTTCGGTTTTCTGATACATTTCAAATTCGAATGAGTTGGAATGAATAAAATATTATCAAATTCTAATTTCATATATCTCCACAATTAGCCATTATAACCCATACAAATTTTGCCTTGCGTGGCTCTTATTCATAATTAGCCATTATATAATCTCATCCCTATGGATAACATGAATATAAGACGGTACCATATAGCATTGGGTAGTCTGTACTCTGTACATATGGGGGGTATCAATTAATTAATTAAGGAAGCAAGAAGGTGAATAAGGAGGCAGCAACTAATAAAATGAAGAAAGGTGATAAATGGGCAAGCAAAGTTGTCAAACCGGTTTATATTGTTGTGCCGGTTTGACAAGTGGAATGGTACGATCGGTGGTATAACCAGTTTGTGCCGGTTCATGCCTGTTTAAAAAAATGTGAAAACAATTACTATCCAATGTATCTAATCATATATAAAACATGACAATTTAGTTACAATCCAACAAATATCATCAACTTTTAACTATTACATTCATAAAATGAATAATAAATTAATTTTTTTATTCATTAAATTCATTAAAATGATGTCATTTTACTTAGAATGGTTAAGTCGATCATACCGGTCATACCAGTGGTGTCATACTGGTTTCATAACTGGCACAGGTTGAACCAGGTTCAATCGGGTGACATGCCACCGGCATGACAACCATGCGTGTAACCTTCATCTCATGCAACAAATGAACATCATCCTCTTGATTTCCCTTATCCTTTTCCCTGTTATCCCATTACTTTTTGTTGCTCTCTCTTAGTCATCCCAAAAATCTTCTTATGCATTGGATAGAGATAGCGAGAGGAAGAAGAATGTGAATGAAGCGGAGGTGAAATTTTGAGTAATATTCTCCCCATTCAAGTGAGGTATTAGTCTCACACGAAGAATCACTATGAAGGAGATAATTAAAAAAAAACATATATTGGCAAATTAAGCTCAGTGTGTTCTCTTCTTCTTCGCATGCAACTTTGGAGCATCAGAGAAGGACTCCCAGTGCAATTGCAGAGTTGGAGGTTAGTGGAGTTGGGTTCTACATGTTTCCTATGTAGGTTTTTGAAAGCATCTCAATGTGAGAATGACAATTCGAGCTCTGCATGTTAATTTCCATCACTCTGGCCGCCATCGAATCATTGGAGGGAAAGAGTTCTTCTCTCGGATATGGAAGGGAAATCGGCAGCAAACAACTTACCCATTTGCTGGATGGATCCCCGGCTTATATTGTATCTAATACCCTCCATAGAAATTGGGAGGATTATGTCAAGAACCAGTTGATCCCAATAACTCGAGTTGTTGGGAGAGGTTCAATCGTGGATCATATACCACATACTAACAGGCCCCCTCAAACGAAAGCCACTCACAAGGGCTTGAAGTTTGCACAGGTCCAAATACCATGTGCTTGACAAATGGGGTCACTGGAAATCGAACACAAGACCTTTCGGTCACAGAAGGCTCTGATACCATGTTGAAATCAAAGACAGTAATGGAAATAGACACAGATTTACGTGGTATCCCCGGTTTCCCAGGACTAATCCACGAAAGAGCTTGAACGCTCTTCGACTACTGATCTTACTGATGATTTTTGATATCCCGTTACCGGAGAGATTTGCTGCCACTATATTCAGCTGCCTAGCACAACCATCCTCGCGTCTCTACATGGACTGACGTAGAGTGCATGGACCGAGAGGGCTTTTAATGCAACATGCCCATCTAATCAAGCACTATACTACGTAAATATACAAACTTATTACAAAGACAATATTTAACAGCCTCCCCCAAATTGATGCCGGGTTACAAGCATCAATTTGTCAGATAGATAACGGTGTCGGCTAGTAGAAAATGTCTTTGTAAGTATATCTGCCACCTGATCTTCAGTTCAAACGTAGTGTAGTGCAATGGTTCCATCTCTGACTTCATCTTGAACATAATGCATGTGCACCTCAATATGCTTGGTCCGATCATGCAGAACTGGATTCTCAGCTATTCGAATAGCACTAGTATTGTCAACAAAAAGATCCATCGGACTTGCAATCTCCACACCCATATCGCACAATAAGCGCCTCAACAAGGTAAGTTCAAAAGTCACATCCGACATTGCCCTGTATTCTGCCTCGGTAGATGATTTGGACACCTTGTCCTGTTTCTTACATCCCCAAGAAATAAAAGAATCTCCAAACTGAACGCACCATCTTGTCGTAGACCGTCTTGTATCAACACAACCAGCAAAATCTGAGTCGGAATAGGCTCGAAGAGTGTCCTTCCCAGGCGATGGGAACATGAGTCCCAACTCCTTAGTTCCACGCAGGTACGCAAAATACGATACACTGCAGCCAAATGATCAATCCTAGGATCTGCCATGAACTGACTAACCAACTGTACTGCATAAGAGATATCAGGCCGGGTAGCCGATAAATATATCAGACTACCAACAATGCTCTGATACTGAGAACTATCCTTTATCTTATCACCCGAATCTCTGCTGAGTTTTAAATTAAGTTCCATAGGAGTATTTACCGGGACACATATTTCCATGTTATGATTACCCAACATATCCGTAATATATTTCATCTGACAAAGAAAGATTCCCGCAGTTGAATGAGAAACTTCTAAACCCAGGAAATAAGAGAGCTTACCCAAGTCTTTAATACGAAAAGCATCCTTAAGTTGCTGAATTCCTTTGGAGTCCGATCATGTGATGATCATATCATCTACATATAACAGGAGTAGAACAATATCTCGAGAAGTGATCTTGATGAACAGTGAAGGATCAGTGAGGCTTTGACAATATCCAAAACCAACCAGAGTGCTCTGGAACTTCTCGAACCACGCCCGAGGGGCCTGTTTCAATCCATACAGGGATCGGCAAAGTCTGCATACCTGTCCCGGCCTTCCAACATTATAACCTGGAGGTTTTTCCATATAGATCACCTCGTCAAGGTCACCATGCAGGAAGGCGTTCTTCACATCAAGTTGAGATAGAGACCAATCCTTCATAGAATCTACAACCAGAAGAGTGCGAACTGTCGACATACGAGCAACAGGAGCAAATGTCTCATTATAATCCACCCCGTGCTCCTGTGTATAACCCAAAGCAACTACTCTGGCCTGGAAACGTTCAATAGTCCCATCTGGGTTCATCTTAATGGTATAGACCCACCGGCTGCCAACAGTAGGAGTATCCAGAGTAGGACGATCAACAACATCCCAAGTGTGATTAGCATGAAGAGCATCGAATTCACTCCCCATCACCTCCTCCCACCGGGGATCACCCTGAGCATCCTTATACCTTGTTAGAACTAGCAACATGTCAACACTAAAGGACACGTAATCATTTTAATGGAGTGGTGGCACTCCTTTATTAGACCGAAGGGAGCGCCAAGGGAGAACTGCTGACGGAGAGGAAGCAGCAGGCGGGGAGTCAGCAGCTGGTGGCAGGCTGCAAGAAGTCGACCCAGCTGAATTAGGCGCAGAAGGAGAAGTAGCTGAGGGTGATGTGCTTGGTGAAGCTCCTGGGGAGTCCAGATCATCAGGAGGCGGATCAAAAAATTGACCATTAGTAAGCAAGTCATCTTCATGGAACATGGGCAAAAATTCGGACAAAGGAAACATAGACTCTGAAGAAGACCAGGATCAAAGAATTTCATATGTTCAAAGAAGACCACAGTGCTAGCCACACGAATACGCTTAGCTACAGGATCGTAGCACATATATCCTTTATGAACATCGCTATAACCCATGAACGCACATTTCGCTTTTCGAGATGTCAACTTAGTACGCTCCTTTTTTGGAAGAAGAACAAAGCAAAGACATCCAAACACACGAAGTCGAGAGTAATCAGGGTGACGAGCAAACAATTTAAAAAAAGGACTAGCATTACCCAGGACCGGAGTGATTTGATAATTATTTAACCAGACAGCCGTGACAACCGCCTCAGGCCAAAACCTGGACGGAACAGAAGAAGCTAGCAACAAGGCCCTAGTTAACTCGACCACGTGACGATTTTTACGCTCGACTAGACCATTTTGCTGAGAAACGCTAGGACACGATTTTTGACTCAAAATCCCACGAGATCGATAAACTTCGCGCAGAGGAAAAGAACTAAATTCCCCACATGGATCCGAACGAATAACTTTGACAGAAGTGCCGAATTGAGTTTGAGTCATGTTTAAAAATTCGATGGCAACATCCCGAAGATCAGATTTGAGACGAAGAAGATAAATCCAGGTATAGCGAGTTGCGTGATCTATGAAAAGAGCAAAATATCTAAAACCATGACGTGAAACAGTAGGAGCCGGTCCACAAATGAAAAGGATCCTGAATAACAGTAGTACTAGAGGGATAAGAAATACTGGCAGTTTTGGCTTCTACGCATCTGGTACATGAATGAAAATCAGGAATGCTAACATTTTTTTGTACCAAGCAAAGATTGTTTGAACATCACAGAAAGATGAAGTGAGTGGGGATGCCCCAGCCTGGCATGCCAAAGTTCCCACAACTTATTCGACGAACTAGAAATAACTAAACAAGAATTAGAAGACACAAGACTACTGACAGGCCTATTCAACGAACCAATGACACCAGAAGAAATACTTTGCCCATGTAGTTCCTTAAGATGAAACAATCGACCTTGCTTACTGTCCTTTCCGATTGGCCTCCCCGTCTTCGAATCCTGCACAGACAACCAGGCGGAGCAAAAGATACAGTGTAACCTTGCTCAGTAAGTTGACCAACCGAAACCAAATTGGGAACTAAAGCTGGCACATGTAACGCATTATTCAAGTTCACCCCTTCAGTTTCAACATCACCTATTCCATGAACTTTCAACTTCGACCCATTAGCTACCATCAATTCCATGTTTTCCACAGGAGACACATTCTTTAAATTATGTGAATCACGTGTCATATGATTATAACACGCAGAATCAAGAAGCCAAGGTGTGCGGGATTTACCAGTTCCATTTAGCATCGCAAACGCTGCATTAATTGCAGAGTTTACAATTTGCTCCACAACTGCTATGGTCACACAGCCGCCGCTAGCGCTGGCCTCACCTTCAGGTCCATTCTTGCAGGACCACTTCCTCGGCCGCTGTTGGCTTCTCCTGGCGCTGTCCCATGAAGCGTTCCTGGCCTCCACTGGTTACGTGAATTGCCCATCCGCCAATTGGCGGAATCATCAGCAGCAAATGCCCCATAAGCAGAATGATTAGGGCGATTATAATACCCAGACCGAGGCTGATAAGAGCTGGGACGGGAATCATTATTCTCGGAACGAGATGGATACCTTTGTTGATTTCCTTCACGCGCCTCATTCCTCTCTTTAGTTCGACAGTCAAACATTATATGTCCCATTCTTTTGCAAACAACACAAAAGTTCCTCCTTCTACAATGTTTCTGCACATGTCCTCTTTCCCTACAGTGGTGACATTCCAGGTATGTAGCGTAAACTCGACGCTGAAATTGGGGTTTTGCTACAGCATACACAGAAGCATTGTGACCCAAACCAGGATTACCTTGCTCAGCAGCTACAGCTAGGACTTCTCCCTCATCGGGTCGAACGTCGATAGAAGCCTGAGTTCTTAGGCGAGTTTCCTCCCTCACAAGAGTTCCGAGAACTCCATCAAACTGCAGAATGTCTCGATTCAGCAGTGTTGCACGAACAGATTCAAATTTTGGACGTAATTTCATCAAGAAGTTCAGAAGCCGAGTCTGCATTTTCTCGGCAATCGCATCTTCAGTAAGAACAGCTTGAGGACGGAGAGCAACGTTAAGAAGAACTTGCTTGGTCCAGAGCTCTTGTGCATCATTAAAATACTCAGAAACAGTGCGATCTCCTTGCTCTAGACGAGTCAAGGAGAGTTGAATCTCGAATTGACGGGCAGCATTGACTGTAGAATACATTACCGCGAGATGTCTCCACATTCGATTGGAGGTCGGATACAGACGAAGACTGAGGCAGGTGGAGGGATCCACACGTCCGAGCAAACATGATCGAACGCGAGCATCGTTTTGGTTCCAGGCAGCGATAGCTTGAGCACATGCGGCGGCCCCTTCTGGCTTTGGCTGCGTTCCATCAGGGATGCTGAGCAATCCTCTCCCTTCTACAAAAACCCGGAATTGAAAGTCCCAGAGAGCATAGTTTGTTGAATTCAGACGAACAGAAGGACGATCAGAGTTTACAATTTGCTCCACAGCAGCTATGGTCACACCGCCGCCGCTAGCGCTGGCCTCACCTTCCGGTCCATTTCTCGTAGGACCACTTCCCCGGCCGCTGTTGGCTTCTCCTGGCGCTGTCCCATGAAGCGTTCCTGGCCTCCACTGGTCACATGAATTGCCCATCCGCCAATTGGCGGAATCATCAGCAGCAAATGCCCCATAAGCATAATGATCAGGGAGATTATAATACCCAGACCGAGGCTGATAAGAGCTGGGACGAGAATCATTATTCCCGGAACGAGATGGATACCTTTGTTGATTTCCTTCACGCGCCTCATTCCTCTCTCTAGTTCGACAGTCAAGAATTATATGTCCCATTCTTTTGCAATAAACCCATGTCAAGAACCAGTTGATCCCAATAACTCGAGTTGTTGGGAGAGGTTCAATCGCGTATCATATATCACATACTAACAGATTACGTTCACTTTGTCGGTCCAACTTGCTCAGCCGTCAGGGAATCGTTGGAGGGGATGAAAGGGAAAGAAACGGGTTTAAGGGCTAGCGTGGGGTGCACCAAGCTTCGGGTAGACCCGCCCGTATTTGCCCAGACCCCTTAAGTATGCTTGCCGATTATTCGACAGTCAAGAATTATATGTCCCATTCTTTTGCAATAAACCCATGTCAAGAACCAGTTGATCCCAATAACTCGAGTTGTTGGGAGAGGTTCAATCGCGTATCATATATCACATACTAACAGATTACGTTCACTTCGCCGGTCCAACTTGCTCAGCCGTCAGGGAATCGTTGGAGGGGATGAAAGGGAAAGAAATGGGTTTAAGGGCTAGCGTGGGGTGCACCAAGCTTCGGGTAGACCCGCCCGTATTTGCCCAGACCCCTTAAGTATGCTTGCCGATTAATTATATGATACTAATAATTAATTATACTAATAATATGATACTTAGCCATGGGAACGTGGCCAACCACCAATAGTTTGTCATAGCATCAAAACTTTATATTATCATTAGGTTTACTTAGATAAATAAACTCTTAATTAAAGAGCTAATCATACAGAATCCTGTATTGGTCTCTTTCGACTAATAATATATTCTGTTTAAGCTAATCAAGTATCACAATTGGATCTTTACTAAAAAGTATCACAATTGGATCATTTTGGTATTCATGAACTTCGAGCTTTGCCCTAACATTTTTAATTATTTGAATAGACCAATTGTTTATTATGTATGTTACTGTCAATAATTAAGAGGTTCAGTGTTCAAATTCTCACTACTTTTAATATTAACAGCCTGAATTAAGCACAAGGTATGTATGATGAGTTTTGTGCAAACCAAGTTCGTCGACATTTGTTCAGTGGGCATGTTAGAGATTGATGTTATGAATTTCATAAATAAACTTCTTCCGATTAATCGAGTTATTGTAATGGACTGATTCTTAACAAATTATCAGCTTTGTGTTCTACTAGAGGGGATTTTCAAAACTATATATAATGAGAAAATACGACCTTCACATTTTTCAATAGTATTCCGAGTTTCTACTCCTTCAAATTAGTATTGAAAGGAACCGACTAGAGTGACCACGGGTTATTTTTCGATTCTAATTAAATTGCGTCAACATAGATGTGTTGATCGATTTTGGGTCAAAATTTGCTTCTTATGTCAACAAGTTAAGGTTTATCATTGCTTTCATCATCTGGTTGATTCAGCAGGCTGATCAAGAATAATTTGGTGGACAAATTTAATCGGTTATGTTAAAATAAAAGTTCAGTGGTTAATATGTTAGTAACTCCAAAGATAAGTGAGTCCACATGTAATTGACCCTATAACCGAACAAACTAAATCCAGGTAAAATACCTCAGCTACCACTTAAACTTGAGAATTGGGCCAGACATACCACTTAAGTTTGAATAGGGCGTCAGGTACCATTAAAGTCGGCAAAATGTGTATCCGTTTAGTTTTTCATCCAACCCACAATTGTAATTACTTTTTGGTACCCAAAACTTTTAAAAACATCCAAAACTGTATTTTAAGAAGTTTTTATCTAATATAGAAATTAAAAAACCTTCTAAACATAATATTACTAAAATGACTAATCAAAATTGTTAATAAAATAGATAAATTGGTAAAAATAATAAAAAAATATCAAGAAGAAGAATAAATATATAGAGTATAATAATTAATAAGAAATATTTAAAATAAATATTAGAAGATTTATTTAAATCGCTAATTTAATTAGAAGTACTATTAAAAATAGTTAAAATAGAACCTAATCGATCATCAATACATCAAGACCAAAGAAGGATAAATGAAACACAGTCAGAAAGAATAAAACATATTCCAATAATTGAAGAAAATTTAGAACAAAAAGAGAATGGAAGTAACCAAGTAATAAATAAATAAAATCTACAACATGTAACAAATGAAGAAAAGAAAATACGACTATAAGAAGAGAATTAGAATTAGTAAATTTAATTAATATGGAACATCTAAAATATAATATTAGAAAATTACAAGGATATTTAACATAGAAAATTATACAACATCAGCATGATGTACGAGAATTAAATATAACATTCTCATATTATTTATATCGATATAGAATTTATAGGATATATTTGCTTCAGAAAATTATTCAATTATTATAACATATAATGGTAATTGAAAATACTTATAATGATAATTGATTCGACATTTCCTATTCAAAAATTGGTTTGGTATCAAAGTCTTAAAAAGAGGATTCCAACTAAACATAATTTATAGGATATATTTGCTTTAGAGAATAATTTAATTATTAGAAAACATAATGATAATTGAATATACTTATAATGATAGTTGATTCTTTTTTATGAATGGTTAGCTATATATTAATCATCAAAAAACCAGTTACTATGTGGCAACACCCCCTGCCACTGAGGAAAAATGAACTCAAAGAAACTCTATAACCTCTCTATATCGAGCCAAGAATTAAGAGCAGCAACAAAAACCAGAGGCACTTAAAAGAAAGCAACCACTTCCACATCTTCACACACCACCCTTACTTCATCCTTAATAAGTTTTTCAGCTTCATTGAGACTTAAACCTGTCCCTCCAAACCTGACAGAACAACGAACCCTCCAAATATTACTGATCATAGATTGCCAAATCATTCTTCCAGCCCTTGAGTGAGGAGCAACTTTTGAGAAAGAGTCAACAGCCCAAGCAAGTTCTGTAGACCACAAGTTTGTAGAGACCCTATTGCAAAATCTGGAAAAAAGTATTTTGAATAACTCCTTGTACCTGTAGCACTCTGCAAACAGATGGTCTTGAGTCTCAATCCTGCAATCACAATAAACACATGCAGTGACCCCGTGGAAACCCCATCCAATCATTTTATCACTGGTGGTGATGAACTGGTTAATTATCAGCCAGCTAATAAACTCATTACATGGTATGATAGGGGATTTCAAGATCAGTTTAAACCAAGACACCATAGAACTGTGAGGTCTGAGGTCTTCCCAGATCAGTTTAGTAGAGAATTTCTTCAAAAGCTTCCCCATCCAGTACCATTCTCCATCAATAACAGAAAGCTTATGTCTGATTAAGTCTCTTGTTTTGAGTACCTTCAGCCAAATCTAGGACCCTGTTTTACAAGTTGAGGCCCAAAAATCAACCACATGGAGTCTATACTCCCATATCCAGGCAACCCATAGGGAGCCTTGCTTAGTAAGCAGATCCCAGATGTGCCTCACTATGCAAGCCAAATTCCAGCTTTTCAAGTCCCTTAACCCAAGTCCATCCTCTTTTTTAGGGAAAGTCAACTTCCCCCAAGCTGCCATTGCTCTTTTCTTCCCTTCCTGGCCAACTCCCCACAAAAAGTCACTACACAGTTTTTCAATAACCACTATCACTTTCTTAGGAAAAATGAACACAGCCATCCAAAATTGGACCATGCTGTACAAGACTGAGAGAACAAGTTGAAGTCTGCCTGCATAGCTCAGGGTTTTCACTCCCTAGTTCTGAATCCTTTTAGTAATTTTGTCAATTAGAGGTTGACAAGCTTTGATAGTCAACTTTCCAGGTATTAGTGGGATTCCTAAGTAACTCACTGGAAGTGTCCCTAGCTGGTAACCAGCTCTGGCAGCCATGCTCTCCTGCCAGTCCTTAGGCAATCCACAACAATAGATCTCACACTTAGCTGGGTTAGAAGCCAATCCTGAAAGCAATCTAAACTGCTGAAGCACCTCTTGTATACAGTGAATACCATAGTTAGTGCCATCATAAAAAATCAATAAATCATCAGCAAACATGAGGTGGGTTAAGCCTGTACGTTTGCACATTGGATGGAATGACATTCTCTTGTCCTGCACAACTTTTTTCATTAAACAACTAAAAATTTCCATGGCAACAGCAAATAGATAAGGAGAGAGGGGGTCTCCTTGTCTCAAACCCTTCTTTGCAAGAAATATCCAACCATACCTCCATTGAAACCAACACTGATTTTTGGTGTGGTGAAGCACATTTTTATCCAATTAATGAAGTTTAAAGGGATGTTCATGGCCTCTAAAACAGTTGAGAGAAACTGCCAATCCACTGAGTCAAAAGCCTTCATTAAATCCACCTTCACCATACACCTAGAAGACATATTTCCCCTACCATATTTCTGTACCATTTTATGAGCAAGCATGATATTTTCTTCTATGACCCTTCCTTTAACAAAAGCTGTTTGGTTTTCACTAATCAGATGAGGCAAGCATTCACTAAGACGAGAAGACACTATCTTTGCTATACACTTGTATAAAGATATTACAGCAAGAAATGGGTCTGAAATTTTTCATATCTTCAGGGTTCTTAGTCTTAGGCAGTAAAGATAAGAGGGTAGAATTTACCTCTAGTGGAACTTCAGAAACAGAGAAGCAATGTTGTATAGCAGCAGTGATCTCCTCTCCAATTAAACTCCAAGCAGACTGAAAGAAACAGGCTGAATAACCATAAGGACCAGGACTTTTCTCCCCTTTAAATCCAAACATAACCTTCTTAACCTCAGCAGTAGTGACAGGTCTACACAGCTCTATGGCAAGATCACTAGGGAATGTCTTTTGCAACAATCCCTTAAAGAAATCCACTGACTCAGCTTTCACAGTAGGATCTGCCTTACCAAGCAGATTCTGATAAAATCTCAAGGCAACCTCACTCATACTTTTAGTATCCACCACCCTTTCTCCAGCTTCATTGATAAGAGACCTGATAGTGTTCCTCTGATTTTTAATTTTTAATGATCGATGAAAATAAGAGGAGTTTGAATCCCCCTCCTTGAGCCAGATGTCCCTAGACTTCTGTTTGAGGAAAGATTCTTCAGCAGTCCTAATAGTTCTCAACTCTACTTCCTTCTCCTTTACTAAAGCAAAAGAATCAGAAGATGGATCGACTAAAGCAACAGCCTGTGCATTCTGCAATTCCTTTTCCTTCATCCTCACTCTCTCCCTTAGGTCAGAATATTCTTCTTTATTCAATTCCCTGAGTAACTTCTTAAGAACCCTTAGTTTCTTACACACCCTGCCCAGTGGTGAACCTGTCACTTCAGTATCCCATGCTTCCTTAACAAGATCATAAAATTTTGGATGTGAAATCCAAAACTTAAAGAACTTGAATGGTTTAGGAAGAGACTTAATCTGACTATCAGTATTTAGGAGAACAGGACAGTGATCAGACACTGAAGGATCTAAAAGGTCAACCACACTGTCTTTCATCTAAATTTTATATTTAAAAATTAATTTGGTATCAAGTCTTCAAAAAAGGATACCAACTAAATAATAAAAATTGATGTTTTTCATAAGTCAAAATATTTTTTTACAATAAGAAAAGTAGAAGGACCAATTAAGAAATTTAGAAAACAGAATATTCTAAGAATATTCTGTTAACTTTAACGGAATGCACCTAACATTAAACTTAAGTGATACCGGGTGCACAAATAATAGAGTTCAGTGGTACCCGACGCCCTATTCAAACTTAAGTGGTATCTCTGCTCCAATTCTCAAACGTAAGTGATATGCAAGGTATTTTACCCAACTAAATCGTATAGGCTATACTATACAAATATGGTTTCCCGGGAGAATTTCTTTCCCAGTTGCTTCTTCTTCCGATAATGCTCCGGAATCGACGGAAAAAATCTCAGAATACTCTAATTATTAAAAAAATTCCCTAATTACTGTACTTATAAACTTATTTCCCAAAATACAGCAGTTTCAACATCACTGTTGAAGAGTAAGACAGTGATTACAATCACCGTTTTTGTCCAAAACGGTGATTGCATCACCGCTTTTAACCAAAACAGTGATGCTATCACCGTTTTGGACAAAAACGGTGAAGCAATCCCCGCGTTAGGCAAAAGCGGTGATTGTCTGACCGTTGATAAGGGAAACGGTGAAGCAACGATGACCGTTGATGGAGAAAACGGTGAAGTGGACGCGGATCGCCAACGTGGACGCGCGCGGGCACTTCACCGCCAAAGAGAAAAGCGGTGATAGCCCCGCCCCGCCATGTCAGCGATCCTTGTCGTCCGCGCCCTTCAGCGCTGCCGTTCGATGCGGTGAGGCGCGGATTGTGGTTTTTCTCCACGATCTGACGCCTCACAGGTCGCCACATCAGCGATCCGAGCCTTCACCGCCTTCCTCCAACGCGGTGAATTCACTGCTTTCGACGAAAGCGGTGATTGGTTCCTGGAAATTTCCAGCGCCCCTTTCCTCCTATAAATACCACTCCCCCCTCATTCCAAACCACACCAAAATTTTATACTTCTTTCTCCCTCCATTACTTCACTCTAGTTTCGTTCTAAGTATGCTCAGTGGTTGCGGCTAAGTCCGATCTTCCGCATCAGAAAGAATTACTAGAGTTTTTGTTTTGTCGATACTCTTGCTAGCTTTTCGGCAAAAAATGGACGAAAAGGCTCTGAGAGTGCGTAAATTTATTTTATTCTTTTGTGATTTTTTTTACATGTGTGCTAAAATATAAATTGATTTGATTTCATATTTTTTATAGATGGGTGCTGAGATATACGACCCTCGATTGTATATCGATCCTGGCCCAAGGGATCGAAGGTAGTTAACCGTGCAAGATCAACATCGTTTCCGTGCAATTTGGAACAATAATCCGGTAAACACTAAAATTATTTCATTAGTTTTAAAGTTTTTATATTGCTTTCTATTATTGATTGACAACATTGTGTTTTTTGTTTTGTAGGAATCACTTATTCCCATCAGTCATCGAGGGACATGTCGATTGCCCCGTTGGCATGCTTGACTGGCGCCCTATCTAGAGAGGACGGGATTGCACATGCTGAGGCTAGGGATGGCAACAAAACCCGAACCCACGGGTACCCACCCGACCCAACCCGGTCAACGCGGGTAAACCTCATGTTGACGGGTTTTGGGCCGGGTTCGGGTTTAAACCCGCTACACTATTCACCGGGTCGAATTGGGTTTGGGTTTAGGTAAACCCGCCCCATAGGTACCCGCTCACACACATATAATTACTTTCCCGGTATATTTAATATTCTAAATAATATATCTTCCTTAAATAACTAATATTCTTTATGTTTGTGGAGACATGTATAATTTGTTCTTTCTAATTGTTTAGAATGAAGTTGATATTATGAAGTGGAGAGTGAAGAAATTTAGTTGACGAGGAGAAACTTTCAATTAATCTTATTATTTATAGATGTTTATCTTTAATTTTGAACAATTTGTATTGATCATTTGCGGTTTGCTTGTATGCTCTAATTGGTATTTTTGTATGAGAAAATTGATGTCAAACTTTATTTTGAAAGAAACTTGTTATTGTAAAATTTTTACCACAAAAACCCAAGGGTACCCATGAACCCGCGGATACCCAGCGGGTTGGGTTGGGTTTGAGTTTTTCAAACCCAACAGGTTTTACCCCGGGTTTTTTTGGCGGATAAATCCATGGATTTGGGTTTGGGTTTGACAAAACCCGCCCCAATCCGACCCATTGCCATCCCTAGCCGAGGCACTTCATGAGGCTTGATATTGACAACGATTTGCTGACGACAATGGCAGAGCGATGGCGCCCCGAGCTGCATACCTTCCACTTTCCCGAGGGTGAAATGACGATCACCCTCAAAGATGTTGCCATCCTCACCGGGCTCCCGATCACCGGAGATGCCATCATCGACAACTCGAGAAAACCGGAAGATGGTTGGGGGCCGTTGATTCAAGAGCGTTTGGGGTTCAACATGCCGACCACCACGCCCGTCGAAGGGGTTGGGCATCCACCACTGGATGCGCGGCAAGTATCGATCCCGTGGCTTGTTGAACACATCCAGGACGAGGTTAATATAGGCCCGGACACTCCTGAAGATCAGGTGGAGCGGTATGCACGTGTCTACCTAATTGGCTTGGTTGGTGGGTTTCTGTTACCCGACAAGGCAAACCGGTGGATACGAGGCATGTGGTTACATATGCTTCTCGGTGACTGGGACGAGATCGGGAAAAAAAGTTGGGGGTCGGCTGTCTTGGCTGGGATCTATCGAGAGTTGTGTACTTGCTCGAGGTTGGATAGCGGTAAGCAATTTGACCAACTCTCCTTTGTCCGCCCGTACAAGTCCTTTCTGCACAAATGTCATGGAGTTCTTGCCACGAGAATCTCGACTCAATTTTTAGCATAGTGGATTCGCCATTTTCATAGTCGATCCCAATGTTCGAGTTTGTCACCCGACCATTCCACCGAATAATAAGTCGAAACTTCTTAAATTTACCCATGTCTTCAATTTATAATAATTAAGTATAGTATATAATTAGTACATTAGGGATACAAAAACAATATCATCCCAACCCATAAACAAACGCAACTAATTGATCTATCATGAGAAAACTAAACAAATTCATCTAAATTCATAACTAACTAACTAACTAACATCTATCATATCATAATTAATCTAAATATATCATAACATATTTTCCAATAACCGCAATTCACTAAATACATACATATAATTACTAACACATCAACATGTAAACAATACATAATTATAACATACAGAATCCCGATCTATCATGAGAAAACTAAACAAATTCATCTAAATTCATAACTAACTAACTACATCTATCATATCATAATTAATCTAAATATATCATAACATATTTTCCAATAACCGCAATTCACTAAATACAGACATATAATTACTAACACATCAACATGTAAACAATACATAATTATAACATACCGAATCCCGATCTATCATGAGAAAACTAAGCAAATTCATCTAAATTCATAACTAACTAACTAACATCTATCATATCATAATTAATCTAAATATATCATAACATATTTTCCAATAACCTCAATTCACTAAATACAGACATATAATTACTAACACATCAATATGTAAACAATACATAATTATAACATACCGAATCCCGATCTATCATGAGAAAACTAAACAAATTCATCTAAATTCATAACTAACTTACTAACATCTATCATATCATAATTAATCTAAATATATCATAACATATTTTCCAATAACCGCAATTCACTAAATACAGACATATAATTACTAACACATCAACATGTAAACAATACTTAATTATAACATACCGAATCCCGATGAGTTTCTTGAGCAGTAAGTCAACTCCAAACCAGCTGAGAACACGACAAAAAAAACACTAATTTTTGTACTAATTTGCTGTAAGGCAGCAGGAGGGAAGTGGGGGTCAGAATTTATAGGGAAAAATGCCAGCTAATCACCGCAGTGGACAATTGCGGTGAACACATCACCGCTTTTGTCCAAAGCGGTGATAACTAGGTCGTTGTGACCTAATTTTCCACCTACCAGGGCTCTAAAACGCGGTCAATTATCACCGTTTTGGTCGACGGCGATGATGTGATCACCATTTCGCACAACAGCGGTGAGGCAATCACCGTTTTGGACAGCAGCGGTGATTACTTCCCCGTTGTTGTCGAAAGCGGTAATGTGTTCCCCGTTGTTGTCAAAGACAGTGATGTTGAAACTGCTGTACTTTGGGAAATAAGTTTATAAGTACCGTATTTAGGGAATTTTTTGTAATAATTAGAGTATTCTGGGATTTTTTTCCGGAATCCACCCGGTTCCTCTATTTGGGCTGAAGGGGGATTCTCTTCGCGAAAGCTTCTGGCGGCGCTGAAAAACAAAGGAAACCAAATCGGGCAGTCTTGCAGCGAACAGGTTTGGCGCCGCGCCGGCGGGCGGCAGGAAGCGGCATCTGGGAGCAGGGGCGGACCCAGGGGGTTTTAGGGGTGTCCCCGGACACCCCTAAATTTCGGGAAAATGATTATCCAACCCCCGGTGGTAATTTACGTATAGACAAAAAAATATAATTGATAGTGAGGGACACCCCTGAAATTTGAAAAAAATGATTATCCTACTGTCATTTGTGTATAAAAATATAAATAGTAGGTTGGGTAATTCAAATCTGGAACACTATTATTATTAATAAACTTAATTTCCGTTGAGCTACAACTCATTTGTTGTTTGATTTTGAACAATGTGTAATAGTAAAAAGTCATTCCCTATCTCTAATTATTTCAATCTAAACTAATTTCAATCTACCCTTAATTTGTATTGATTTTATGATTGTACGACAAGTGTTGAAGAGTCTTTCAGCTTGGGTTACATCAAGAACAAGTTTACAAATCGAATATGCGATAAGTTCCTAAATGATTGTCTAGTAGGGTATATAGAGAATTTTTTTTAACACTATAAACACCAAGTGTATTCTACAATTATTTTCGAATATGAAAACACATCATGGACTTTTTTAACCTGTACGAGTAAAATATTTTCATATTTACGATTTTATTTTTATTAATTATTTTTATTTATTTTATTTTTTAAAAGAGAACACCTATGAAAAATTTCTGGGTCCGCCACTGTGTGGGAGAGATGCTCCGCGGTTATTTAACGACTCTGATGGCGAAGGAGACACATGAAAAGCTTCTGGCGGATTAGGCGAAGCAATTACTTCAATTGGGAAAAGGTCGACGGAGGCGGCAGCTGGTGTTTCTAAAGCCAGTATTCAGTATTCGGGAGGCGAAATGCATGAGAACTGTTTGTGGAAATGCCCCGCCGTGTAAATGAACAAGCAAAATGCAGAGTCGAAAGTGGCAAGAGACGGCGGAAATGCTCGAAGAAGTTGAATCCAGCAGAAGCGCTCGTATGGGTCACCAATCAAATCCAGATCAAAGAGGAAAAGGTTCTTACTTCTCTGCGCCTTGCTCTTGCTCTTCATTGATTTTACTACTCAAATTTAGCCATAGACTTGCCTTAGAAGATCGTTCCATTGCTATGGAGTTGGAGATTTAGGATAACAGCTAAAGTTTAGGTAATACTAATGAGAGCCAATGAACGAAGCAAGGAGAATGGAAAGCAGAACTCAGTAACACTCAGTAAGTAGAAAGCTGGAACCTTTGATTTTTCATGATCTAGAACAGGCAACAATACTTGTCAAGAAACTCAGCCTATGATAGAAGGGATCGTTGAGGTTTAAGTTTCATTTCATTGCCACAGATAGAAGGTTGCAGTTTTCAAAACCATGGCAAGTGAGCGACTGTGGCTGCGTTAACTCTAAGATCAACTATTGGATCTTGGACATTGAGCTGCTAGCCACCAGGCTAACGTCCAACTTTTGCTTCCGTGTGTCACATTTTCAATCAAAACCTTGCATATTTGTTGCCTGAGTATGTCTGCTACATCAAACATCTGCCCTTTTTTTGAAAGTTACTCACACCCACGCTGCTGCTTCTCCTTGTACTGCTTTTCCTCACTGCCCTTCGCCTAAAAAATGGCAGTTGTTCTCGCTGAGGTGGTCGTTAAGAAGCTGGATTCACTAGCCACTGATAAGGCAAATCTCCTCTGGGGTGTCAAAAGCGAGATTCCAAGACTTGAAAGAATGGTTTCCACATAGGGGATTGCCATGTCTTCACTACTCTGTCTCCATCCAATCAACATCTCCCTTCCCTCCATGTGCTTCAGATTCGGGATTGTGGAGCTATGGAGTTAGATAACTACGATGACAATGAATGATGGAGATTGATTGTGAGAACTATAACATGCCTTGATGTGTCCTTCCAAGCCTTTATATCATGGTTGTCAGTAGTCTTCCTAAGTTGGTTACTATACCGAATTGATGACAGCATTCCTCAAATTTGCAGCAGCTGACAGTAAAGGAGTGTGACAACCTGGAGTGCTTACCATGTTGGCTTACAAAGCTCACGCCTTGAAGACTTTGGAAGTGAAAGAGATGTCGTGTTCTGTGGGCAAGGTGCAGAAGCAACACCAGCTGAAGACTGCCTCAACATTTCCCACATCCCAAATATCAGATTCGACGATATGTATGTTCAAAAGGATGGTCTCTATTTGGGGATAGATGAACAAGAACGACAAGAACAAGGAGCATCCTCACACACCCAATTCTCAAGGTATTTACTTCAGGTGGTTAGATACTTAGATATAATTGATGTGTAATGCTGTTTTCCCTTTCTGTCTTATTTACCTTGTTCCTTTGAATCAAAAAGAATTGACTTGATTGATCTCTTTGCAAGGTTGACCTGCAAACTTTCCCAGAGATGTTCATGGCAGCATTTTTCATTGTATTGTTGATTAAGTCATTAGTGAAATGTATCAAACCCAATTAATTAGTAGCTAAATTGGGCTGTTCGTTATAAAAATAAGTAGTGGGAATGACATAATACATGGGCTAAAGTGGAATTAGCCGGAAGGAAAAGAAAGAAGAAACAACCAGGTTGCCGGTAAGTTCTCCGATGAACGAATTAACAACTTAATCTATATCGCCTACTCTACAATAGCAGCAAGCTTAGCCGCCACGACGGAAGGAGAAGAGCCGCCGCACCTGTCGAGAGCTCCGGCGGCAGGCGCCGCCAATTGCTGGCGGTTCGCCTGAGCCAAGACAAGCGACTTGTAGATCTGGAGGATCATCTTCTCATCGTACTCCTTCACCGCCTTCCTCCCGAACGACGAGACGCCGCCGTCGCCGACCATCCCGGCGCCGCCGGCGGAGTTGGCGAACCCGAGCATCATCCTGACGTAGGCGTCCCGGAGCCAGATGAAGAACTTCTTGGGCGAGGCGAGCTTGTCCATGAACTTGAGCTTGGGCTTGATCTTGACCCGCCACGAAATCCTCCGCCGCCGCCTCCCGCCGCCTCCGAGCTCCACCTGCCGAATCCTGGTCGAGGCGCCGCCGCCGTGGATGCGGTGGTAGCCCTGGCGCTTCCAGTAGCGTTTCATTTTGGTGTATAAGGTGGCAGAGACGCCTTCCATTTGGGAATTTTATTGTAAATTGAGAATTCGTGAGGTTGAAGGGGATAAGAGAAGAAATGGGGATCTGGAGGATTTTGCAGGCTGGTTGTATGGGGTAAAGGAGCTGGCTGGGAGAGTGGGAGACTTTAATGAAAGGAAAGGTGGATCAGAATTCAGAGGTACTAGTTGGCGGTGGCGTACTGGTGTCTGGTACCTACCTATTTATTATTGTGCTGCTGCGGTAGATGCAGGTAGAGGTGTGAAGCGGGCTCGGGCTGGGTTCATTCGGGTTGCGGGTCGATTGGGTTGTGGATTTTTCGAGTTCGGGTTGATCGGCTTGCGGGTTACTCAGGTTACGGGTCAATCGGGCTGCGGGTCAATCGGGCTACGGGTCAATTGGGCTGCGGGCCAATCGGGTTACCGGTCAATCGGGTGCGGGTCAATCGGGTTACGGTTCGGGCGGTTCAGGTTGCGGGTTTTACAGACCAGAACATCGCGTTACTTTTTAGTGATTACTAGTAAGTCGTAAATCGTAACTATATGAAGCTAGCACAATACTTGTCAAAAACAAGGAATCACTACTCAAAGTCAAATACTCAAAGGTGGGGGAAACAAAATTTTGAGAAAACATTACAGGCGGAATTATTGGCGGGTCTCGGCGGGTGGGGGGAATCAAATTTTTGGGCAGTAGTATTGGGGGAACCCAAATTTTGGAGAGAAAAGTTTAAAAATAGTTTTTAAATTTTTTAAAAACAAGTGAAATTGTTCATATAAATGTATAGAGATATTGTTGGTTTAGCTAGTTAATTGTTTATATGATTTTTGTATTAAACTAAATTATAAAATTTAGAAAAATTGTTGTGAGTTCAATTGTAACTTTACTCGATAACATATAATCTAAACTCTAAATAATCTATACCCTGAACTCCAAATAATTTTATTCATGAACATGTGTTAATAAATAACTTGATCCTTATTATTTATGATTTTGATTAATCTTAGCTAAACCATTAATAGTTTAATACCTTAACCCTAACCCATTACCTTATACGTCGACTCTATATCATATACCCTAAACCCCTAATAGTTTGATTGATGAACATATGTTAATAAAAAAAACTTGATCCGTATTAGTTATGATTTTGACTAATCATGGCTAAACTATTAATACTTTATACCCTATTAGTCGACTTTATAATCTATACCCTAAACCCCTAATGGTTTGATTCATGAACATATATTAATAAGAAAACTTGATCTTATTAGTTATGGTTTTGACTAATCGTGGCCAAACCATTAATACCTTATACTCTAACCATATACCTTACAAGTCGACTCTATAACCTATACCCTAAACCCATACTGGTTTGATTCATGAACATATGTTAATAATAAAAGTTGATCTTATTAGTTATGATTTTGATTAACCGTGGTCAAATCATTAAGACTTTATACCCTAACCATATACCCTATAAGCAGGAAAACTGGTTTTTAGTCAAAGGATCTTATTCACGGGACATTTTCTCGTATTAAAATGTATACTAATAGTTACAGAAATAATTCTTGTATTTGATTGTGTAGTTCTAATCACGGGATCTAGTTTATCTGTTTTCTAATCTTCATTTACCATGACGAATTGTTAATCACGGTTAATTACCGTGAACAATGTGGTAATTTAGCTTTCCAAATTTTATGTGAAAATCAAGAAAGATTAAAAAAAATTCAGACTCTTTATTATAGTGTAAATGAAATTTTAGTCAAAAGAAAAATTTCTCCTCAGATCACACATATTCAAAATTGGGAGTAAAAAACTTATACAACTCCGATTCATGTTATAATGGCCATAGTTAGTAAAATACGGTACAGGTAAGTTGCGTATAAAATATGTACGGTTATTTTACTTTGTTTATAAACTATGTTATGTTTAATAGTAAGTTAAGATTTATAAATATATAAAATTATTATTTTATAAATATATAGATATATAAATAATATTTAAGTTATCAATTTAATTCATTAAATACAAATATTAAATGTGTTATACGGGTTTACTACGGGAAGTCGGGAACCATCAAATGAACGGAAAAAATAAAACAACTTAACAATAATACGAATATGAAAATTTTAAACAAATAAAATAAATATGAGTACATATACTATACAAGTATTTACTAAATATTAATTGTACTCATTTAAAATTGCTTTCTCAAAAGTTTCGACAAGCAATTCAACACTTTTTCATTTTGTTGCCGCCTCTAAAATCCAAATTTTTGCTCTAAAAATTTGCCTCCACAATCCTAAATTTTTCCCTCTTTCAAATCCTGAAATTTTGCATCCGTGAATCTGCCCGCCATCTCCCTGAAAATTTTAACTCCTAAAGTTTCAAAGTGCCGCCATCCTACCTTTTGCTTTATCTCTTTTATTTCATTCATGAATAAAATATCTCTTTGAAAATTGCAAGCCCTCTTTCAAATATAAACTTTTGGTTTATTATCATCGATTTCCGTCTATTATAGTCGGGCTGCGGGTTGGTCGGGTTACGAGTTCGGGTTAGTCGGGTTGCGGGTTGGTCGGGTTGTGGGTTAATCAGGTTGCGGGTTGGTCGGGATGCGGGTCGATTGGGTTGCGGGTCGATCGGGTTGCGGGTCGGGCGGGTTACGGGTCATTAACTTTTAGTCAAATCGGGTTGCGGTCGGGTTGATCGGGCGGGTTGCTCGGGTCGGGTTACATTTTGACAGCTCTAGATGCAGGGCTGCAAATGAGCGAGCTGCTCGTTTGACTCGAGAAGTATTTGTACGAAACACGGCTCGTTAATAAACAAGTTGAATATGAACTGAGGTTTGTTCAGTTCATGAAGCTCGCGAGCTAGCTCTATTCAGTGGCTTGTTGAGCTAAAATTGTGAACTGGCTCGTTTAGAGCTCATGATATGTCTCACCACATGTGGCTAGAGAGCCAACTCGATTACCGACTTATGAACAAATCAATCAATATCTTATGATTTTAATTCATGTGGTGTCATATATGAAGTTTAACACGTTGAGTATGTGAGCAAATATCTTATTTTATATTCTAAAAAGAAATTAATCAAATTATGTATCATAGATTGCTTCGATACTGTCGCAACCGTCCCGTCCGGGGGGGTCCGTACGTCGTCGCGTCGGCTGTTTTAGGGAGTCGCCATCGATCTTACTTGGAGTGGATCGAACACTCTTAGGATCGGCTGTAACCTTAGGGTCAGAACCGAGATATGGTCTGCGAAAATGAAGTTCTGGGTTCGGGAGTACGGTTACGTGTGGGGAAGTGAAATCACACCCCACGACGCCCTAAATCGGTACTACTTAAGTCGATAAGTTTCATATTAGTTGGGTGTATATTTAGTAATAATTTAGTAATTTTAGGGTCCCACTGGACCATTAAAGAAACTAAATCGTGTTAGTTGTAATTAAATTATACATCCACTGACGTAAAAGATATAATTAATTGATTAGTTGGACTCGAACCTTACCGGTTGCCTACGTACCCGTTAGACGGGATCAAAGTCCACGTAGTTCGTTTGAACTTTGATAGTTTAATTGTGACATTTTCATCACGTTCCACTGATCGTGATTTTCGTATTATAATTTATGTCAATAAAATTTAATTTGATTACTATGAAATTATGAAAAGAGAATATAATAATTTAAGTTATTAGGGAGAGGCTTGACTCGTATTGGAAAAGTAACGAGATAAACTTAATCCGCATTTGCCATTTCGTATTAAGAACTATAAACAAATAAACTTAAGCGGGATGGTTAATTTAACACACGATGGGCTGGCAGCCCAACTGGTATGACTGCCGCTATTAATTCACGTGCGTGCCACACAACACGAGTTCGAAACTCGGTAAGAGCCTTAATTTTGGTGTTTTTTCGTTTTGGAACTGAAATGAAGAAGGGTGTCTTGGTAAATGAACGAAAACACGGTGGTAGGGAGGGGTAATATTGAGGAAACCCTAAGGGCATTTTTGCCATTTCAAATAACAGGGTATATAACCTTCTCTTAGCAAAACCCTAATCTGCTCTAACCCTAAGCGGCGGCCGCCCTCTCTCTCATCCCCCTCTCATTTTTCCTTCTCGATTCTTCTCCTCTCTTCTTCGCTCCCAGAAAAAAAAAACCTAGCCTTTCTCCCTCTCGTCCTCATCTTCTCCAGAGAAACCTAGCCGCCCGAAACCCTAGCCCCCAAATCGAAACCGCCGCCTCTTCTCTCGTCCCTCATCTCGGTCAGAGAAACCAACCCTAGCCTCGCTCAAAACCGCCGCCGCTCTCCTCTCTCGGCTCTCTCCCTCTCGACTTGATGAACGCGAGAAACGACCCCGCTCACCGGATTAAAAAGAAAATCGATTTGAGTAAGATACTATCCTTGCATGTTGTATTTTTCGTTTTTTTTTTGTGAAAATCGAAAGGTTTCTGATGTTTTTTTTTGTTTTTTATTTGCGCGAGCGGAAGAGGAGACGAGCATCGGGTCTCGCCGCCGACTACAGCAGCAACAGGCGAGGATACCGCCGTCGGTCACTCGAAAATTACCAGAAGACTCTCGATCTAGGTGAAGCCGTGACATGCATGACCCTTTTTTATTTTCTGTTTTTTTTATATTTTTGTTCCAAATTTACTAATTTTCTGTTTTTTTCAATTCTGGAGAAAACGTCCCAAACCGAGGGGATTTTTTCGATCTACCTCCTCCTACTCTCTCGGTGAGTTTCTCTTAAACATGCACGCTTAGATCTAATTTTTTTACATAAGACGTGATTTTAATCTTGATTTTTGTTTGGGTTCTTGGTGTTGGACGAGGAGGGCGAAGACCGGCGGTGGTGTGACGACGTCACACAGGTGGTTTTTTGGTTGTGATAGTAGTTTTTGTGTTGTTTTTTTGGTTCTCGTCGAGAGGAGAGACGGAAATGGGGTCGCCGGCGGCGCGGCCAGCGCCAGAGCCGACGGCGAGGGTCTGGTTTTGGGTAGGTTATTATTATTTTCTATTTTTCGCTATTCTGGGTAATTTTATTAACATTATTTTTGGATTTCTGATCTAGGGTTCTTCTTTTTTTTTACAGATCCCTACGATTTAAAGAGACCAATAGGTGATACTCTTCCTAACTTATGACTAATGGATTGGTTATTGTGGCTAGGATTTTATCTATTAATTCCTGTGGTGTTAAGAAAACAGGGTTTTGGTTCATTCCCCTGTTGGGCTCATTCGGCTTTAATATTTGGTTTTGGATTTGTTGAAAACGAAAGCTTGCTTTATTAGATTCTAGTGTCTATAATGATCCTAGCATAATATGAGGTCAAAGCCACTGTTTATGACCACCATATTGGTGGGAAGCTTTCTTCTAAATTGGGATTTGGTTATATGATTGATAAAAAAAAAACTGGTATGAATTGGTAAAATCTGAAATTTTCAATAGCATCAGGGCTTTTATGGTGTTAGGCGTGCGAAAATATAACAACTAAAAAAGAGAAGTTTGTAATTACCAAAAAGTTGGTAATTGGGTCGAAAGAGGGGTGCCCTTAAACACAAAAAGAGGTATTTTAAAATACTCTCCCAAGGGTCTGTTTTGAATTCTTTAGTGTTTTGAATGGATTGTTAGATCATCTTTACTACGCTTTGGGTTGCTAATGTTATTTGTGTGTGAAAGAGCTGGTGGACTAACCTAGCTGATTAGAGAACTAAGTTTAACTAGCAACTTAAAATGAATTATGCTCGCTAGAAAAACTTGAAACGATCCAATAGGATTCATGGCACGCTAGTGATAGCTAAGAAGCTGCCTAACATAGCACGTAATGAAATAGATGAACGGAGCAAAGAGACAGACAATTATCACAGTCAAAATTTCTCAAAACTACTTTGATTTAAAACTGAGCACAAAGACAATACACATCAAAACTGTCGAATTTTATGAAGGGCTATTTCATACATCTATCGATTATAAAATAAGGACATCATTATATAATCATGGTTGATTTTCCATCTCTACATGGATGTATGGATGAATATATGCTTGTGCGATTGCTGAGATGAGGAAACACCAACCTGTCTTCTTTGTCGTTTGGTGTTTGATGGCGATGGCCTCTTGTTGTCTTCTTAGTGCTTCTTGTCTGCCCTTTAGTGTTTCTTGTCTGCCCCTTTTGTGTTTAATGCCCTGTCTGTCTTTTTAGTGCTTTCGTTCTTTTTTCTCTGCTCTTTCTCCCAAAATTCTCCCTTGCCCTCGTTTGGGGTAAGAAAAACCCCTTATATATGATCACTTTTTACTGTTCATTATTGTGTGCTGGCTGCTCCTCCTTTGCTCTTGAGGTGGTTGTCTGAACCAACTTTTGTGTTGGCAATTTGGTGTTGGTTCTTTGGAGGAGGTGGCCGAATTCCTCTTTTTGAGATGGCAGTAATTTCTGCTACCCTACTACTCTACTACTCTGCTGTTCGGCGGTTCTGCTGTTCTTGTAGATAAGATAAGGATGATGGGTTTGGTTGACCGGGTCGACCAGAGCTAACCCGGTCGACCCGAGTTGACCCGGGTTGACCAGAGTTAATTGGGCTGAGATATGGACCTGGATTGTGGGTTTTTGTTTTGGGATGCCCTTCTAACACTTCTTTTTTCTTTGCAGGTCTCTGGTCTGGCCCAAAATGATGACCTAAGGAGGCCCAAATAGCCTCAAAAGGCTAGGCCTCTAATTCTGATTGGTGCCACCAAAAGGAGAATTTTTTTATTATTATTTTTTTTTAATTGTATAATTACAAGGTGTATCTTAAATGTCACAGATTGTAATTTGTAATTACACATTTGTTTATTTATGTCCTTGCCCTTTAGAATTAGATGATCATTGTATGTATTACTCAATCATTCAATTGATTATTTCAAACCAATTCGTTAACTACAATCGTGACCAATATCCCAACTTCTAAGTAAATAATTCTTAGCTATGAATCGTGACCAATACCCCATTCAACCAATTTCAGACCTATATCACCAATCGTTAACAATAATACCGGTATAAGTCGTGACGGCATACTATTGCTATTCTAAATAAAGCGAATTTGGTAGCCATTAGCTACTGCTAATCCTACCTAGTACAAATATTCGAAATGAATAGAAAGAAAGACTTGGAAATCGTTGGTATTTATTGATTCGCCACCGCTAATCTCAACCAACCTTATCTAAACTTTCGCTTGGGTTCTCTTTTTGCTTTTTAAATGGAATATTCTTCCGAATTTTGAGTAGGATAGTTGCTCCGGACAAAATGTGGTGTCTACAGATACTATGAAATAATATAATTTGGAGTAGTTAAAATTTATTAACTAAATGATATATAATACCAACAAAGTATAATATGAGATTAGCTAACAAAATAAATCATATGTATCATGAATATATAAAATGAAGTACCAAATAAAATTCAAGATTTTAGTAAATAAGTTAGCTCGAACTTGACTCGGCTCGTTAATAAACGAATTGTGCTCGAGCTCGACTCATTTGTTAACGAGCCGGACTCAAATTGGGGTAAAACTCGACTCGGCTCGATTCATTTGCCGCCCTAGATGTCCTCCTAAGTCCCAACAAACGTGTAAGAGTAACATAGATTTGTGTTAAAACGATTATTTATATTAGCATCATCGTCAGATTTAAATACCGGACCTTTAAATCGTCTCATCCACGTAACTTTAGTTGTTTGGCAATGTATGAGTATGCTATACCTTTTCTTTTACAATATGACTAGGTCGAAATCTCATGTTTCTCAAGGGGTGTTGATCAATTCTTGTTATATTAAATATTTGTGTTTTTATATATATGAAGTGATATGGTAAACGAAAAAAAATAAATAGAAAACTCACGTAATACAATGTTTCAGATAAAAAAATGAAATAATATAACCCAAGATCAGTTAAAAAAGAGTGCATTCAGTGACATCTATCTATCTATCTATCTATACTATATATTATGGCAATTCAAAAGTAACTTCTTGCCACATAAGCACTTGGAGAATTCACAAGTTGCCAAGGTGGACAATTTTTTTGCAAACAAAAAATATAATTATTGATCTATTTATGATGCTATCTCTCTCTTCTTTTAATACTTCTACTCATGTTTACTAAACATTAGTAATAAGTTACATATTGATGAAAATGTAAGGAAATACACATAAGCAATAATATTTATGTCAATTAAAAAAATATAAAATGAAAACAGTGAGTGACATATATTGCATTTGTTAAAATCAAAAAATATATTATATCTTATCAAGTAAATTTTCTACCCATTTCACTAAAACCTAAATAATAATTTCATTTTGATGAAATAAAGAAGTACACACAAAAATAATATTTTTTTATCGATTAAGTAAAATATAGCGATAAAAAGAGAGAAACAAGCGTTTGAAGCAACTAAATTGGGCCTTACGTGGGCTAACACGATAGCAGGCCGAGCCCGACTTCCCGGGATGGCAACATCTCTTCGTACCTTATATGGATTTGGAAGGGGTAGAAATCCGAAGTTGGCGTCCGAAGTTGGCGTTGGAGTCGGCCGTCTGTTGTCCCTCTATTAGTTTCAATTCCTCACCGAAGTCTGAAGGAGCGGTAGAAATCCGAAGTTGCAGCCGGGCGGGTGGAATTTGGATTGTTTAATTTTGTTTTAGGTGGAGACCGGTGGCCAATGAAGTTGTATGTAGCTCAACTGAAACCATTCATCACTTATTTAGTTATTCCAGCCTAACAATGTTTTCTTTGATTTCACTAATAGTGTAGACCAATCTTGCAATTTGTAATATTAACAATTGATTTAAACGTGTAATATGATCAAGCTACTCAACTTTCAACGACATCACATGTATTTAGCTTAGGAGAGACCGAGAGAGATATCGGGGTTCGATTTTTTTGGTTAAATGATAATTTGAACTGTTTCATTGTTTATGATATGGGATTTAAAACAATTGTTCTCACCACTTTTGGTTTTTTTGTTTAATTGGGAAACCAATAACAAACCAACAAATTTCACTTTGCTTGAAGATTTGCCCTTTGTTTACTTTTCAATTTCGAGTTCAAGAGGATACATTTATAAAAAATTTATTTTTGTGATTACGTGCCAATTTAACAGAAATGATATTCCACCTCTACATTTGGGCCTTTTAGGCACTTTTGAAATGGATGGTAGTGTGCCCTTCGGTTGGGATCGGGAAAGGGAGGGAGAGGGGACATTATCGTACAAATTAGTGAAATGGCGGGACGAATTATATTCATCTACAAATGAATAAAAATATTATTATTACTAGCACTGGGCTTGGCCTGTTGGCCGGGAGAGTTTAGCCGAAATAGTTCAGAAACACCAAGACAAATTGTCAAACTATGCATAATGTGTCACAATATAATAGAAAGAGTAGAAAATTTATATAACCTTAAATAGAATGCAACTAAATGGTCTTTGTCTATTTATAATTGAGGTGTGCTACTTAAGTAAACTATTTAGTTGATTATTGGAGTTGTTTCCCATGATACATATGTAATCAACCTTTAGAATGTTGTTGTAGTGTTTTCCCTGATAGAAATCATTATTGTTGATTAGAACACGGGTGATGGATCTGAAGTTTGCAGGCTTTGAAGTATATAGAGCACGATTCAAAGTTTTCACTAACCCTCATATCATAATGTGAAAATTGCCTTACAACAATGTATAATTTTTCTTAGAATGTATATAAATAATGAGGATGTCTAAAAAAGACCACATAGAAGATAGGGTATGCAAAGAGTGAAGAGTTAAAAATCTCTTACCATATTGGAAGAAGATAATCGAAATGATTTTATTTCTCGAATTGAACAAATACTGTCACGTTTTTTACAACTTCATAATGTTTCACTTTAATCTTTGTTTCATTGCCCTTAGTATGGGAAAATAAGTGAATATTCCAAAGGTTATTGTTTGTGACTACCATTATATCTATATAGATCAAAACATTTACTTACAACTTTAACAAAGAGTGCAGTCAGGGACGGATCTTGGAATTACACCAAGGGTATTCAATAATGAAACAAAAGTATCAAGGTCTGCCTCCACTAATTACACCAGCACAGGTCTGCCCTGGATGCAATAGAAGATAATTCAAGTTAAATTTGGAGGTCGCAGAAGACATTAATTCCATCAGTTATTCGTTGTTGATTGTCATCGACTCCTAACTTTTCGTTGACAACTTCATCTCATTTGATAAGTTCGATTCTATAACGTATTATAAACGGTTACAACACATACATAATAATCAAACTCTCCTGGCCAACAGGCCAGGCCCTGTGCTAGTGTAAGATTAAGTTGAAACTACTGGGTAAAACTCTCGTTACAACACTGTATTTCTATGATATGAGAGTAAATTGGACGTGATGGGCTATGATGCCTCAGATTCTATAACGTACATGACTCGATGCAAAAACAACATATTTGTTTGAAAAGTCGGAAAACTCGTAAATATTGTCAATCGATAAGAATTTGAAAATGGAAAATGCAGTGTCAAAATACACGTGATTAGCTGACCTCTAGTTGAATAGTTAGATACTCATGGGTTTGGGTGTAATCGTCATTCTCAATCGAAGGGAAATTTTGAAAATAAAAACACTAATGCGGATAAAACCCTCACTTTAACCGAAAAACTCGTCAATACTGGGTTCAACTAGCTTTAATCAGGTCGAATTCAGTTGGATACCCATGGGTTTGAGTTTGATTTTCATTCTCCACGAAAAGAAAAAAGCAGATAAAACTCACCTCGACCCAACACTTGTCAACACGTGTACAACTCGCTCATGTCCCAAAACTCATTAGCACCAGGTTCAACCCTCTTTGACTTGGTCCATTTATAATTTTTTGGATGTGATTGAGATGCAAATCGGCCTCATTTTTAACAAATTCACACCGACCCAACCCGCTAATTAGGAAAACAGATAAAACTCTGTCACGACCCAAAACTCGTCGACACAGTAAAACTCGACCCCAGCCCAAAAATCGTCAACACCTGTTCAACTGGTTTTCATCGAGTCGAATTTGGTTGGACACCCATAGGTTTGGCTCTATTGTCATTTTCAACTAAAAGGAAAAAACGGATAAAACTCGGTCTCGTCCCAAAACTCGTCAACACGAGGTTGAACTCGTTTTGACCAGATCGATAGATTTGTTTTCTAAGTGGAGGGATAAGTAATAAAACAAAAATGAAAAAAAAAAAAACAAGCAAATTTCAAATAGCCATCAAAATTTTCACGATATAAGGAAAATGTCACTCTTTAGATGTGACCCCAAGAAATAACGTCCTTCTATTTGTTCTTTTAATGGTTTAATTTAATAATAATTAATTTAATTAATTAACAAAAGGCAATAGGCATTACACCATTCCTTCATCTGTTTGTGGGTTAATGTTATGTGAGTAGGTCATATGATAACACACACGCACCGCATATGTTCTTCAAACTAAGATCGTTGCTCCGCTTCTCGATTATCTCGGTGTCCCAAGGTACTCCTATTTTCAAGCTCGATCAGTGTCACCCTCTTCGGGGATGTGCTTCCTCTTTAGGGGTGGTGTGCCGTCGTACCCTCCTCAAGGGAGTTGAGCGCAGTGTGTTGTGCTGAGGAGAGCTCGGTGACGTTGGTGTGGATCGAGACCATATAGTCATTGGTCTCGAACTTGGGCCGTCAGCGTTCCCTCATTCTTCATTATGTGTGAAGAGAGAGAGGGAGAATTGATTTTTAATGCACGTCCTCTAGTGTCGGTTTATATTATTAGTAGTGTAAATTTGTACTATCAGTATTCTTGTAAATAATGGTACAATACTTTATTTAATGCAAGTCCTCTAGTGTCGGTTTATCTTTCACACTTCTTTTGGAAAAATGGTACAATACCTTGTCGGTTTGGAGAGAGTAGGGCGACAAAATAAGTGTGGGCGGGTATCTCTAAGCCCAAACCAAATCCGGTGAATAGTTAACGGGGTTAAACTCGAACCCGGCCCAAAATCCGTCAACACGGGTTCTACCCGCGTTGATAGTGTTTAGTCAAGTAGGGTACCCGTGGGTTCGGGTTTTATTGCCATCCCTAGTTGGGCGTCACTACGCTCATGCGGCAGGATGCTGGTGCACTACTACTTAGTCTCAATTTGACTTTACTATTAATGTCTTCAATTGGTGCGCTAGTACTTAGTCTCAGTTTGGCTTATAGTAACACCTCCAACAATTTTGTATACAATATCATTCTTATTCCTGCACTTTTATGACGTAGTTCGTATATTTTGTAATATTAATTTGTATACTTTTATAATTTGATTTGTTTACTTTGTATTACTGGTTTCTAATTTATGTAATATTTTGTGTACTTTTAGTATGATTTGTATACACTATGAGTCTGATTTGAATACTTTATTGTGTGATTAGTATATTCTATAATATTAATTTGTATAATTTGGTTTGTAAGCTTTTTTTTTTTTTACTTTTATCACCCGGTTTGTATATGTTGTAACTTGTAACATTACTTATATATACTTGCTAGTATTGGTTTGTACATTCGGTATTACTGATTCGTATAATTTTATAATATGGTTTGTGTAGTTGTAGTATTGGTATGTATATTTTGTGCTATTGGTTTTATACTTTTAACAACGTAGTCAAAATCATCATTATATGCAAAAGCACTTTTGTGCCTTAAAAGCGGGAAAACATAACATATAAAGTTTTAAAACATAGATTATGACTACAATTATAAGTGAAAAGTGCGATTGTAGAAACATTTTGATAACATAGAAGTGTAAGTTTTAAAAATTTAAAGTACGATTTTGATTGTAATTCTAAAAATAATGACAACTTAGTCATTTGTCTAAGCACCCTTAGTCATGATAGTCATGAGATCCTCTCCTTCAAGTAGCAAAAAGCCAAAACCTAAACCTCAAGAAAACTAAGGGTGAGAAGCGGTGCGGTTATGACCAGACCAGACCAGACCATGCACACGGTTTGTGGTCCAGACCGAGAGGTTTGAACACAAACCATGGACCATACCATATACTATACAGTCCAGATCAGACCACGCTTGTGCGGTGCGGTCCGGTAAGATCTGGACCAGGCAGACCATGTTCAAAAAAAAAAATCACGCTTATTCCGCTCTCCAGCCCTCCCCGGTATCTATGAAAATAAAATTTTCGATGACCAATATGCTAGTGAAACAAAAATTTAGTGATCGTAATTAAAATGGGAAGAAATATATGAGGAGAGAATTTGACTTTTTCAATTTTCTAACTCTCTTTCCAATCTCCGTGGCTCTATCTAGTATGACAGTATCCATTAAAAACACACACATCAAACAACCTTGTTTCCCTCTTTCTTTTTGTACCACCGCTTCTCTCCCTCTCTCGGGTGATCCAGAAGGTTCTCGTCTTTGATCACCATCTTGATGATGTCGGGGTTGTTTTGAACTACTAAGATAGTCGTTTATCTCTCAATAATTTCCCTTATCTCATCAAGGTGAATGAATTTGTGTTTCTTTTTATCGATCCATAGTCTAGACATTGTCAGTGAATATTATTTATGAATCTTTCTTGTTTCTTTTTGGTTCTTTGATAAGGAGATAACATATAAGCAATCATTTGGGCAATCTGTTGGCTTTCAACTGGATGCATAATCAACTAAATTTGTTCTTCAATTATGGAAATGGAGGTTTAATTTAGTGTTATTTTCGTCTAAGTTAGTAGGTAGTGTGTCACGGTCTTTCACAATTTAATGTGATATCCCGCCGTCCAGACCACACACTAAATGAGGAGACCATAAACCAAACGTCCAAACCATACCATAGTTTTAGTCTCACATTCCACACCAAACCATACAATACGATCTAGACCACGATTCCCATACAGTTTGGTCTAGTTTCCAGCCCTAAAGAAAATCACCAAGATATGCTTTAGCAAAAAGAATTTATTTTTATTATAAAAAAGAATAATTTATTTTTCCCGGTCTGGTTGTAACCGGATATTGGGTTGCAATCTGGTTTGGTTTCCAGTTATAATGGTGGACAGAAAAACCGATCTGATCCAATCCGGGTTTAAACTGAAATAACTGGATAACACAAAAGCCTGCACCCCAGCAAGCCTGCCCACCCTAGCCCACACCCCACGAAGCCCAATACCCAACCTCCTCAAACCTGAAACTGATCTTATCCTTCTCCTCCCTCACACGCACAGACATAATTAATTGTTCAGTTTCATTCTCCAGTTCTCGCGATTCACCTCCCAGCAGCAGTCGTGTGAGCTCGCTTCGTTCTCATTTGCTATCCCCCGAACAGCGCCTCATCATCGTGTTACTCCTCTTCATCATCAATTCGTTGTTTCTGGGTACGTCTTGTTTCTTCTTTCTCACCGGCTTGTGATTTGTAATTCCCGTCAGTTCTCTGTCCTTCTGTTTGTTGTTTCATGATCTGGGTATTCGAAATTACCTCCGGGTATTGCTCATTGGGTGATCTGTGCCTTGATCTGATGAAAAAGTTCGTTTCTTTTTGTCGTTTTGCTGCCTGGTAATTAAAAAAAACGTCATTTTCCCCCTCCTCCTGGGGGGTTTCGTTTGATTTGGCCGCTCCAAATGGTTTGATTCCTTGGCGTGTTGATTTCCTGCTTGTCTTTGAATTCAATGTTTGCGATTGGTTTTCAATTACCACTAATGAGTGTATTGATTCTTTGAAGAAACTGAGGACATCACGACCTTAATAGGTTGCATTAGGGAGCTATTATATGGTAGTTTCTGGTCTCGTATTGCAATATTTTGGTTCTTGCTCATTCTAAAGAACCAATGCGTATTGGTACATCCATAAATAAAAAATTGCATTGAGAGTCATGCTACTGAAATTGGGAAAGCTAGGCTAGTGAAGCGTAGTGATGCGCATCCATAGCTGCAACTGGCATTGGTATTTAGAGTACAAACATTGACTGGCTGTAGAAAGAGATGGCAATTAAAACTCGATTTTGGTGACGGTGGTTAAAAGGGAGAGAGGTAGGATTCATCTTCAAATTATCTCGGCTAGCGCCTGATAGACGGTAGGGCATAACGGCAGTCAGGTGGATCGATGGTGGTGCTCTCCTAATTTCTTGATTTTGGGTGTGTTTTCATATACCATGCTCCTTTCTAGTTGTCGATAGGTTGTATGGCGGATCTTAATTTTAATTTGTGATGATGGTTGACGATTATGATGTTAGGTTGTACCTAATTTGTTTACGGTATATAATTTTCTTTTCAAAATGCGGCCTAGTGCTCTACTAAGTACTGGATCCGCTGCTGGTTACTCGAATTTTCATTTCCTTGCATCCACCGCCTTCGCTCTTACGTTCTCTTCTTCTTTGTCAACAATCAACAATTAGATATCGCGAGGTTGCCGACAAAAGCTTCCTGTAATGGAGGAGAAGAAGGAGGAGCACGACCCTATTGTCCAGATGAACAAGCAGAAGAAACTTGCAACTACTACGAAGAAGGAAGTTATTCGGTTGGAGAAGGAATCCGTCATTCCTATTCTTAAACCCAAGCTCATCATGACCTTAGCCAACCTCATCGGTATCCTGCTTTTTTGCTTCACCCCTTTGAAAATTTCTGTAATTGGGCTTCATTTTATGGAACAAAACCACCACTTTGTTTATTGCAGAACAAAGCAACGACCGAGCTGAATTCCTCAAACTCTGCAAGCGAGTCGAGTATACTATTCGAGCTTGGTACCTTCTTCAGTTTGAAGATCTCATGGTACCCTTCAACCATTCCCGTTCTCTCCAATTATGCTTTTGTTGGTTTCTTCTGTAATGTTAAGTTTGATGTGAAGTTGTATCTTTGCAGCAATTGTATTCCTTGTTCGACCCTGTATCTGGAGAACAGAAATTGAAACAGCAGCACCTTACCTTAGAGGAAATCCAAACTCTCGAGCAGAATTTCCTTTCTTACTTGTTTCAGGTACTTCTTGAATTGTTGTATGCATTGCACCGTTTGCTTCTAAAGTGGCTGCCAAATTATATTTCCACATTAATGGAAACCCATTCAAAATGCTAGGTTCTTAGCTCTTGTACGAGGTAAGCTGGCTGGTTGCTAAGATATTGTAGTGAATTCATATACTTTTGGTGTTTTCTCATACGGTGATTTTGCAGGTGATGAGTAAGAGTAACTTTAAGATAGCAACTGATGAGGAGATTGATATTGCTCTCTCAGGTCAGTATCTGTCTAATCTCCCAATTAAGGTGGATGAGTCCAAGGTTAGCGAGCTTTTGTCCTTATTACACACTTTGTTTTATTGTTTGGATTGTCTAATTAATGAATGAATTAGATAATTCTGCCCCTTGGTTGCGTTCAAAATTTTACTTATCTGGAGGTTTTGTACCTGTAGCTTGACAAGCAACTTTTGAGCAGTTATTTCGCGAATCATCCTCATGACAACCTTCCCGAATTTTCAAACAAGGTAAATGAATTATACATATCTACCTATATGTTTGTTCATAGCCAGAACTTGCTTTAAAAGCACAAAATGGTGAGAGAACTCGAATGCCAGCTGATTTCGCAAACAAGAATGTATATGTCTCTTATATCATTCTACAAAAGCCTTCTTTTCTTCATTTTTTTTTATTGCATTGGTGGCTCAGTAGATAGTTCATCTGACCTACTCCGTAGCTTCTTCTGTGAGTAAATGTTTCATTAATCTTATCTGCTAAGATTATGAAGATTAATCCGTACTTCACTTGGTCATGCAACCCTGATTGAATCATGTTGTTAATGGGGAGGGTCGATAACTTTTGTTATGTTTTATTGATAAGAAAATATTACTTATGTTTTGCCTTTAATTTAGGTCTTGTGTCAAGATATATCTAATGAAGTGATGATTTCATTTTTCCTAGTATGTTATCTTCCGTCGTGGCATTGGAATTGATCAGACCACGGGCTATTTTTTCATGGAGAAAATTGACATGCTTATTGCTCGTATTTGGGCTTACCTTTTAAGGGTTACAAGGTAAACAGGAGGATAGTTAATATCTAACCTCCTCTTGGTGGATCTCTATTTTATTATTGAACTGATGAATCTACTTTCTCTTATTGTTTTTGCTTAGTTCCTTCGTTCCTTACCAATGTTACTGCTGATGCAGGTTGGAGAAACTTTTCTCAAGAAAGTCAACCAAAAAACAACGGAGAGCTCTCACGGAAATTGATGACACTGATTCGGAAGAGAACAAAGACAACTTTTTTGTCGAACGTATCCGTCTAGAAAATATGGAACTTAGGTTGGTTTATATTTTAGTTTTGGGACTGTTCTTCTTCTAGACAGTTTCAATATGTCGAGCTTCAGTTGCTGTATCGGAGTGATAAAACCATGGAAAATTCTATTCACGCGAAAGCTGCATTGCCTATTATCTTGGCTCCATAATGCTTTTTTTTTGTTGGTGATATTAAGGTCTGCTGATTGTTTACATCTTCCTGACCAACTGGCAACTCCTTTGCTTTCTCAGCGTGAAGAATTTGCTGAGCAAGACAACAATTCAGGAACCGACATTTGACAGGATAATAGTTGTTTATCGGTACGTCATTGTTTGTTTAAGCTGGTTCAGATTTTGTTCTATTGCCTATTTCTTGGGATGGTGTCTGAGCTGACATTTCTATGGCTGGTTTTCTGTGACTTTCTTTCGACGTGTTCATTTGTTTTGGTGAAATGTATGGACTATGGATGGTAATACTAACAGGTCCAAAATGATATTTCCAGGCGAGCAAGTACAAAGGCGAAAGTAGAGCGTGGTGTATATGTGAAACATTTCAAAAACATTCCAATGGCTGATATGGAAATCGTTCTTGTAAGATTCTACCACTCTTCAACTATTCTCGCACAGATATGAAAGAATGTTAGAATGTGTATTTTCGGTTTGAATTGGTGCTGATATAGTGGTGCATTCACAGCCAGAGAAGAGAAATCCTGGATTAACTCCAATGGACTGGGTCACGTTTCTTGTTTCAGCTATAGTTGGATTGGTGAGATTGTTAAAAGATTGTGTCTTTGTTGACCATTATTTGTTTTAACTATCAGAGCTGTGTATTTAATTTAGTATATCCTTAAACCCCCCACCATAACAGGTAGCAGTTGTTAGTTCACTTGAATCGCCTACAGATGATCTTTGGGTTATGCTTGCTGTTCTCTCAACAGTGGTTGGCTATTGTGCCAAGACATACTTCACGTTAAGTGCTGTATCTCTGTTTTTTTGCTCATAGTTTATCTTTGTTTGGTATTCCAATTCCTGTTCTGATAGTGACCAATCGGGCTACTTTGCTATGTTTGACAAACAAACTACAGTTATCAGCAAAACTTGGCGGCATATCAGAACTTGATTACCCAGTCTATGTATGACAAGCAGTTGGATAGTGGAAGGGGCACTCTTCTTCACCTGTGTGACGATGTGATTCAACAAGAAGTAATTATCTTGTGTGCCATTGATTATTCCTTCTATCTTCAAGTGGTTTGTAATGGTAGCTTAAGCTTCTTTTCTTACTATTGGGTCAGGTGAAAGAGGTGATAATATCATTCTTCATATTGATGGAACAAGGCAAGGCTACTAGAGAGGTAAGCATGCATGAGGCTCCCTTTTGTTGCAACTCGTACTAAGAGCACTGGATTAGTTTAGAATAAGATAGCCGAGTATGTATGTTTGAATAATAGGATTTGGATGTACGGTGTGAGGAACTACTGAATGAAGAGTTTGGGGAAAGCTGCAATTTTGATGTAGATGATGCTGTTGAGAAGTTGGAGAAGCTTGGGATTGTTTCAAGGGTAGGTGGCCCATACACTCTCCAGTTCTTCCTCCGTTTGCTAATCATTTGTGTTTGCTTGCGTCTTATATCCTGGAAACGATTGTGATGCAACCCGAGGTTCAATTTTCTCTGATTTGTTTGTGTACCATGAAACAGGATTCTCTTTCAAGGTATCAGTGTGTGGGGCTAAAACGAGCCAACGAGATAATTGGCACCACAACGGAGGAGATTGTCCTCAAGGCCAAGCAGGGTGTTAGTCCCCAATGACATACATGATGCCTGCCCCAACAGTCTGCCTCATGGGAATGAAAGCTTGCATGGGCATGGGGTAGTTTATGCTCAATTTGTGGGAAGTTGTAAAGAGACTTACTTCTTGGTAGGGTGATAATAGAATGCGTGTAAATCCATGGCATGGGGAAGGGATAAGAGTTTGCTTTGCTATTTGATTTTTGGTGTTTTGAATAATAAGACAGTAGCAAGAGATGCTTATCTTTTGTTTCTTAGTTTTGTGGATAAGTGACTTCGAGTTCTATAATGAGTAGTCATTTTATTGATAAGAAAACGGAAGTATGCATAAGATGGCGAGAGTTACTAATTAACGTCCTAGGTTTTTAAAATTTATCGCCCTAATTTTTTAATATGACATTTTTGTTTCATTTTTTATTCCCAGTCTAACAAACCTTCGCCCTATAATTATTCCCTGTAGTCGTTGTTCCCATAGGAGTCTTCACCGTAGCAGCCGCAACTTCCTTCCGCTACGCCGCTCGACTTAGGATTCCTCACGGCGGTAGGGAATGCTACTCGGTCTGCCTCGTCGTCACCGCCATCGCAGCAAAGTAGGGATGGCAACTTTGCCCATACCCATGGGTTTCTTACTATCCAACCCAATTGAGTTGGGTATGAAATCCAAATAGATGGATATGGGTAGAGTTTGATGTGTTTGTACCCATACCCATTTACTTTGGGTTGAGTTGGGTTTATATCAAATGGATTTGGGTTTGTACCCATGCCCAAATACAAATTACAGTTTGATACCCAAACTTAATAGATATGCAAATTTAGTACCTAAAATTAATTTTGTTTGCATATAAGTCCTCAAAATATCGATGGAAAATTACGTTTTGGTACCTAAATTTTTTTGGTCTTACATTTTGGTACCTAAACTTTTCAAGTTTTACAAATAGGTCCAATTTTTGCATGAGTAGTTAAAACACCCTCAAGTAAATGGATATCCATATCCAACTCATACCCATTTAGATTATGGAAGCCCCAAACCCAAACCCATCTATAAACCTCCAAATCCATATGCACTTCACCCATACCCAACCCATTATCATTGGGTCTACTTGGATTTGGGTATAATTACCCATGGGTGGCGACGAACAAAGCAAAACTAGGGATTGGGGGCGACTGTTTTAAAGAATCGGGGTAATGTCGTCTAATTGGTTAATGTAGAGCGAAATTTTTAAAAATTAGGGCGTTAAATAGGAATCTATATGGGGATGGGCCATGCCGATTCTCTTATCGGTGCATTAACATAAGAAGAGAAAGATTGCCAATAGCAGCCATTATATACTGAGGTGGGAAGCAGCTCTCAATTTCATGGCGATTTTCTGCCCAGTCAATATATTGCAAATGTATCACGATATCCTTTATCTCATGATATATCGTCAATTTATCGGGTTTTGATTTTGGTCTTGAGAGCACGAGGCGTTCCGAGGCCACCATTTTGGTCTCGATCAATATATCATGTCATTTTAACAATAGTGTTTTATATTCTTGTAATATTTTCAGTTTCACTTTAGCATCATGAACCAGCAACGAATCCGAGACATTTGAATAGAATATTAGATACAATAAACAAAAATATATAATAATTATAGTTTTCATTCATTAGAATCCCTATGTTACTAGAAGATCTTTTAATTTGACTAATTCATCAATAACAGAATCTCCATCTATACATCTCTCAAAGAAAATAGCTAAGCAATTAACGAGAAATTCATTGCTCATTTTGTTGCGCAAATTAGTCTTCACATTTTTCATTGCTGAAAATGTTCTCTCCGTGATAGCCGTTGAAATGGGCAAGGTCAACACTAGATGAATCAACCGACAAATCAATTTGTATTCTGTGTCCATCCATATTTCTTTCAGCTTCTCTAGTAATTTTGCAAGAAAAAGAAACTTCATAATCCTGAATAGGAACCACATGAGCGACATAATATCATAGCTCATTCGTTAAATAATGCATTTCATAGCCTTCATAGTCTTGAAGCTGAAGTCATGACTAGTTTGATTAGGATAGCAAACAAGATAATGAAACATATTATAAGGCCAAAATGATAATTGTATACAAATGAGATTACTCATTAAAAATGTCTCATCTAATTTTTTTTTATAACAAACAACACTATTGGAAATATTTACATTGTCAAATGTCTATTCAACCAAATAACACCGCGTACAATAAGAGATGATAATTTTAACTTGATCCGTTTTATCCGACTTGTTTGGCCTGTTTTAGGGCGGGACAGACATGAGTACTCTCATCAACCCGACCTGCGGCACCAAATCTTGGAGGTTGTTGAAGATTTGAATGAGCTATAAAAAAACTTCCTACTTCTAGAGATTCACCACGAGTTCGTGTTTCTGACTAAATAAAATGATAGGAGGTTCATTAGATGGCCGCTGTTAGAATTTGGTAGATCTGCATGAGATCTCTAGCGCCAGCTTAATAAACGAAGAAACAAAGGAAAAGAAGAAAATATAAGCTCTTTTATTAATAACTAATTGAGTTGATTGTGACAGATAAACGATATTTTCTTTTATGTAGATACGAGTGACCAACCATATAATTTAGCACAAAATTTACATATGGAAGACAAGAAAACAGGGCCGTTTTTATTTATTGAGTGATATACTATGGCATATACATTTCTACGTAATGAGACTGCAATTAGCAGCCAAAAGCCCTCTAATCCCAGACCCCTTAATTAGCTACAAACAAACATTCATATAAGAATGGTCACTGAAAAATGACATACACATCATATGGACACACTATTAGGCACTCCTCTACATGTCACACCAGGCTCAGAGCTAGGAGCCAGCAGCTCATATGGCAACACACCAGCACCACACCTGTTCTTCAAGCTAGGATCACTGTTCCGCTTCTCGATTTCCTTTTCAATCCGTTGAATCTCTACCGAGAACTCGAAGAATGCCTCGACTATCTCTGCATCCCCCGACCATATTGACCGCTGCTGCCTCTCCCCAAGGTACTCCTCGTCGGGCGAGTGAGTCGACAGAGTGTCCACCACAGCCATGAACTTAGTAGCTTGAAGCAAACTAGGCAATGCTGAGAGGAAGTACTTTTGTGGGTCGGCTTGGAAATTTTCGTATTCAGGGTCACCCTGTTCAGGAATGTGCCTCCTCATTAGGGGAGGTCTGTTGGGCACGTACCCTCCATAAGGGTACTGCCCAAAGTTTAGCGCAGCATGCTGCGCTGAAGAGAGCCAGATGATGGTGGTGAGGATGGAGACCAGATCCTCGCTGGTCTCCAACTTGGGCCACCACTCTGCATCAGAGAGGTCAGCGTGACCCACATTGACTGATTCGGAGTACCAGAGCTGTAGCTCCGTGTCGTTGGTGATCATGGTTGAGGTTGGGTAGTAATGGTTTACGTAGGTCCGAACCCAGTTCTCGATGGCGAACCATATCAGGAGACCATCTTGAGCATATGGGTAGTCCTCAAGTAGAAGCTTTAACCCATGTGGCTGTGTTGGGTCTGGTACTGCCATTCCCCTGCATTGATGAAAATGGGGGAGAGAGTTATAAAGTTGGAACTTTTCAAGCACAAATGGGGCGGACATAAGGCTGTACAATAATGGGCCAAAAATAGACGAATGTGGAAGCTTTCAAAACCCAAATGCAACCAAACATTAGGTTCATGTTATAGAAGTTTGATTGTGTCCACCATGATGAAAATGGTATCTATCTATTATATAAATAGTGTACTTTAAATAGGGCAAACATGAAGTGCAATAATGGCAAAAACCAGCCCAAAATGGGGGCTCAAAACATACACCAAAATGAACAAACAAAAACTTCATGTTAAGGTGTTGTTGTTACCTTCTGATGAGATCAGCAGGGAGGCCTTCCTTGTCGAAACGCCAAAAGTTCTTGTATGCAGCTGCACTAATGTCCATACAGTAGCGTCCAGGGGTGAAGCAAGATTCAATAACGCCATCAGCATTGATCAAGCTCTGACGGGCAAGGGCATTGATCTCGAGCGTATACCTCATGTGAGGATCCAGAAGCTTGAAGATTGGGTGCATTGCACTCATCTGCCTGTGTGCTGCCAGAATGAATGGCTCCATGCAGGCATGCGTTCGCAACCTGTAGCATTTGAAACTCTCAGCCCATCAACAAAACTAGCCACGAGAGTATGTATTCACGATAATCAATTACTTTTATTTCAGGTCTTACCAGTGATTCACTAGCTGATGAACACCAGCATCATTGGAGCAAACATGAGACTTGGCAAGCTGCCAAATCCAATTGCTGGTTGCATCAACTGGAGGAGTAACCACACGCTTTGTTCTCTTACATGGTCCTGAAGGTGGCAAGCTCAGCTCTATTGCAATGGGTTTAAGTGTGCCCTCGGAGGTCAAGAAGAATATGGTACGAGTTGCATATGTGTTTCTTCCATCGAGTGCGTTAATCCGGTTCAAAAATGGAAGGTAGGCATCATGGTAGTCTACTATAAATAACTTCTTCTCCTCCAAAGCCTGCAACAAACAAACAAACAAACAAAGGCATCCAAAGCTTAATGACTGTTCACGAAAAAATGACCCAACTACAGTACATTCACATTACTGCAGAACGTTTCTGAATCATTACAGAGATTAACGAGGTGACAATTATATTAGTTACTCCAAATTTTAGTGACAAGTTCGTTAAAAAAAGTTCAGTAACCAATATTTAACAAACCAAATTTAGTGACAATCTATGTAATTTGATGGTATTTTCACATTAGTTCAGAAGGTTCTCTGAGTTATAGTACCTGTTGAACAGACATGCCATGGAGTTGTCCCAAGATGTGTTCTTCCTTAAGAGCAGATTCCAGAGGACCATAGGTTTCAGGATCCAGGTTGCTCTTAGGTGGGAATTCCTTGAGAAGTTCAATGTTCACTGGATTAACACCAGCAATGGCTTGGCGGGCAAATTCGTCATCTCGCAACCAGGCAAACTTGTCCTCTGACAGAGTGAGAAATCCCATGACAAATTAGCAGAAGAATCCAAAAGGTTCTATGACTTGAAGTGGGGGAAAACTATCATATTGTCACTTATCAATTAAAAAACTATCAAATTGCGATGATTGCACGCAGCTCCTCCATGTGAAAGTCTGCCTGCTATTACACTATCATACACTTCAAAATATTTGGATGAGCACATTTTTCATAGGTTCAAGCCTGGATCAAGGGACCAAGACCCTTTTCCTTTGTTTTTTTCAACAGCTGGCTGTCTTACATCAGAGTTTAATTATTTAAAAATTATGGAATGTCATGCTATGCTGGCAGGAAATGGGCGACCAGAACAATCTAGGGATGGTTTGGCAATACAAATGATTATAGGATGCAGCTAGTGGCCAGTGGCCATGCCCTTTCCCCAAGAGCAACCCGCCTGCCAAACCGACCCCTAATTCTTAGAAAAAAATGTCAGCAGTGCTGTGCTGGAAATGGATGGCCAGAAGGAAAGTGAACAAAATGTTCAATCAAATCGATCACTTACTGGAAAGAATCTTGGGAGTGTCATATCTCAGAAGTCCTTCACTAGACTCTTGGAACTTGGTCACCACCCTAGGCAAAGGCAGCCTCCTCCAGATTTCGTCCTGAATCCCAACTTTGAGAAGGAGACCTTCTTTGTAGAGGATGTCAATGTCAGTGAAGGCACTGAAATCTCGATTCTCCGCAGAAATGCTGGCCTTCAGAGATGGGACCAGAGTGTGGAGAACTGCTTTAAGCCTCCCATATGAGAAAGTCTTCTGCTTGGACTCCTCGAACTGTTCATCTCTAGGCACATACATTGGGGATGGCTTCTCCACACGGCTCTCAGCATTAGAATCTGCCAAAACATGAACATAGAATTCCATCCATCAAGGGCTTGTTTCAGGAAAAAGGGAAGTCTAGGGGCTCGTCTGAAAAGTATCAAAGTTTAGGGGACAAAATTAGCATTGAACAAGATAACATCCACAGAAAAGATGGTGAAGTTTTTACCAGTATAAGTTGATTCACGGCCAGTACGACACCGTCTTGGGTATGGGATCTTCTCCCCACCAAGAATTGGCCTAGCATAGTCAATGCCCTTGTCTGGATTCCCCAGATCATTGTAGATGTCATAATCATAGATCCTATCAGATAACTTCCGGACTCCTTTTCCATCTCCTCTTTGATCTTTCAGCTCTCTTTCCCTCAAAGATCTCAGCCCAGGTGGTGTCTCACTTGGTAGGTATGGCTGTAATCGAAGTCAAAATCAAAATCAATCACCAAAATGGAAACTTGACCAAGGAACAGCAAAAAGTTGAAACCATTATCAGCAAAAATCCGGTTCCTTCTCAAAGTTAATATACAGGGAATTTAAATAAAGTAGAAGGTATCGATAAAAAAAAAAGTCGATCATAAATAAAGTAGAAGGTATATTATTTGATTAGAAGTTGGGCTCTTTTGAATTGCTTTGGTTTTCTCTTTTTGTTTTGATATGGACATCTCATTGCTTACCACCTCTGAGATTCCAAGCAAAATGTGCAGGAGTGTGAGATTTCAATAAGGGCAATCCTTTGAATTGTTCAGAGCTTCCACTGAGGTGCATTAAAGCCATAATTCACCAAAAACCAGAAACTTCCAATAAAGCTGGACAAGAAATAGTCAAAGCTTCAAGTTTTACCTCATTAGAGAAGAAAATCCTCTTGGGAGGATGGTGTTTGGTGGATTGAACCCATGAATTGCAAGGGAAATGAACTGGGCCAGAAGCAAATCCTTCAAGGGCAATACTCTCCAGGAAGAACTCCCGCTGGTGTTTATTGCTCACTGTGATTGCTCCAGGCAGTCCAAAATCGGAGTCCAGAGTGAAATCAGCCGAGTATTGAACTTTTTCAGCTTTAATATTTGACTTCTTTGACCAGTCCTTCAACACAGCCCTCTTGCTTCTCTTTAGCGCCTTAGTTTCTGGAATCAGAACATAATCAAGTAAGTACAACAAAAGTAACAAAATTTAGCAAAAATCACGAGGACCCAGATGAGGAAAATGGATACCCAGATGAGAAATTGACTTACTGGGATCGAGTTCAGTGCTAATAAGCTCCAATACAACGTTCCTGCCAATCCTGTCGGTAATGGCGTCCAACTGTTTGACGAAAGTCTCCTTCAAATCTTCCTTATGTTTGTTCCTCACTATCAACCTAGCTGTCACCGTGAATTTCGCCGTCGACTTCTCCTCGTTATCCGCCGCAAAACTGCTGCTGCTGCTGCTCTTCTTCACCAAATCCTCGCTGATTGCCGCCACAACTGGGCGCACCCTCAAACCCCTCTTCTTCTGCTGCAGAGGAACCATCACCGGTCTCCGAACCAACGACAACTTCGAACTCGTCGGAGCAAATGGCGACAACGACGACGACGAAAAGTCAATTAAAGATCTACCCATGATTTCTTTCGCCAAACCCATCTCGGAAATATGATCCGAGCTCGATCCTTTTGATCAGAGAGAGCTGGTTTTGGCTTTGAAAGTTTGGGTCTTTGTAAGTGAAGAGGGATCTGAAGTGAAATGGGGAGGGGAGTTTTAAGAGAGAGCAGTTAAAGACATGAGTGATCTGATGAAAGATCACCGGCCACCAAGTTTTCCGAATTGGGGGGAGAAAGGGAAGCTACTCTCTGTTTATTCAATTGAGGACTGGGTTTTAAGTTTGAGAGCTTCGATGGTGGGAGTGTTTATATAAAATGAATCAATGATGATGGGGAAGAGGAAGTAGGATTTTGGGAGCAAGGGACCTAGTGGAGGTGAAGGGAGTGGACATTGGGGAAAAAAAAAGCCTTAGTCTGCAGAGTCAAAGCCGAGTTTGGAAATTTTGATTTTCCCAGTAAACAAACACGCGGGAGAGGGAAAAGAACGAAGGCTGATAGAAACTGCGGGAATGGGCCTTTAGCCCTTTAGAGCCGCCTTTTTTCCAGTAATTTTCATTTCTTGGTTTCTTTATTTTCTCATAGGACAATCCAAGTACCACATCATAATTCAAAGGAAGGAACCCTTGTATATTAGAGTCCACCTAACCCAATTAGTACGAGACCTTTTCGGGAGGACACCCAAGAGTAAAACCGTACGAGTTTGGCCCAAAGCGGACAATATCGTACTAATTGAACAGGCCCACTTATGACAAGTGGTATCAGAGTCTGGTTCGGTGGATCCGGGGCGGTAGACGTCAGTTTGGTGGACCATCGTTCGAGATTGAGATCTGCGTCTGGTTTGGTGGATCCAGGAGAGATCCACGTTTGGGTTTGGTGGATCAAGATAATCGTTGAGTTGAGGACACGAAGTTCGTGGTCCTTGTCTTGAGGGGAGGATTGATAATCGTTGAGGTGAGGACTCGGTGGATCCGGGGCGGTAGACGTCAGTTTGGTGGACCCTCGTTCGGTGACCTCGAGATTGAGATCTGCGTCTGGTTTGGTGGATCCAGAGCGGACAATATCGTACTAATTGAGCAGGCCCCGTTATGACAAGTGGTACCAGAGCCTGGTTCGGTGGATTCGGGGCGGTAGACGTCAGTTTGGTGGACCCTCGTTCGGTGACCTCGAGATTGAGATCTGCGTCTGGTTTGGTGGATCCAGGAGAGATCCACGTTTGGGTTTGGTGGATCAAGATAATCGTTGAGGTGAGGACACGAAGTTCGTGGTCCTTGTCTTGAGGGGAGGATTGTTATCATACTAATGAGTCAACCCCGTTATGACACCTCAAAATTGTGATATGAAATTAAAAATTAAGTGAAAAAAAAATTAATACTCACGTTTGGGTTTGCCGGATCAAGATAATCGTTGAGGTGAGGACACGAAGTTCGTGGTCCTTGTCTTGAGGGGAGGATTGCTATCATACTAATGAGTCAACCCCGTTATGACACCTCAAAATTGTGATATGAAATTAAAAATTAAGTGAAAAAAAATTAATACTCAAGTTGTGGCAGTTTGTTTGGATGAGAAATTGTAACGAATCAATTTGATTTAATTTTGCTATTTTGTGATAATTGCCCACCGTTTGGCACCATAAATTTGGATGAAACAGTTTGGCATTGAGAATTTCGAATTGATTCATTTGAGGCAATTACAATTGTTTGTAATGTGTCAGCCTGTCAGGTAACTCGAATTGACTAGTTTTAGATGACTCATTTTCCAATTGATCAATCCAACTACCAGTGAGATCTTATCCTAAGTAATGGATTTGTTTTTTTATGACAAGAAATAGGATCATAACTCAATTGATCCCTATAAGTGAGTAATGTTGTGTAACTCCAGTCAAGACAATTTTTCTAGGAGAAGAAAGAAAACTAAGGGTTGTTGGGATGGATCCATTCATAAACGTGACAATTATTTTTGGTCAATTGTCTAATTTTGTAAAATGAGTTAGTTCGAATTTCTTGTCCTCATACAATTTGAATTCGACCTAAGAAGTACCCATGCTGGTAACAGTAATATTTGGGAGCTTCCATCCGGATTCCCTCGTCTAATCTCCTCGAGAGTGGAAGAATTTGTGGAGAGGAGAGGGCGGCTCTTGTAATCTACGATTCGATGATCAAGTTGGTACGAGATATGAATAATGGTGCATATGAAGGTAGAGAGAGTTTAGAGAGATAATCATGTGCGGTGAAATGGGAGAAGGGAAGAGAATCCCCTTTCTTTGAAGGCTTGAGACTCTTTAGATAGGAGTCTGTGCCACCGGTGGACTTAAGCTTGAGATGAGACGCCTTGTAATGAGGTTGAGACCGTTAATGCCGTAATCGTTTATACGCATTACGCAAGTTAATATCACACCTCCAACAAAAATAGACAAATTCGAAATTCTCCATGTCAAATATAGTAAAGTTCGTAAGTTATTCTAAATTTATGAGAGTTTTACTCTTGCGGTCAACCATGGTTCACTTCAATGAGATGTTCCTTACCTTACGACGATGCATTTGTGAGTGGAAACACAAAATTACGTAAATTAAACAAATGAAGTTAGTTGTAATGAGTATATCAAGATTAGTTCACTGAAAACCAAATATAATTACATTATGATCAATTGCCATCACATCATAGATATTATGTTTCCTAACTTTTTGATCGATCATTTATAAATTATTTTTTGGGTCATCTACTCAAGTTGACTTTTATATGTGATTGAATGACAACTATTTGTTGTAGACAGCATTTATATGGGGAAAAATCTAGTAGTAATGCCTTATGTTCGTAGGATACTATATATCTTGATTTAATTTCCTAGTTATTTTATATGAATTAATGAATACAAACTTTCCTAAATTTATTAATTCCTGAGGAATTTGTGGGACGGTAAATAGTGTATATCTTGCCAGGAGATATATGCCTTCAAACTCCATAAGCTAAGTTGATTGACTGCATATATAATGAGAATGGAGATTAATTAGTTGGTCATTATTTTTCAGTTTCTCTTCCTCACCAGTAGGCAGAGAGCCAGATATTATATTACAAATCGGGCGAAATCATAAGACAAGAATCACAAGATTATTACATGATACCATGTATATATGACATCAAATGTTGATGCATATCTATGTAGATTGTAGGGAATGATTCAAAGGTCAAAATGTATCGTCTTTTACACTAATTCAACATGTGTAAAGGAGGTGGTTGGTTGAATAATTCCAAAACATTTTTTTATCCCAAGTTCGGATACAATTTATCAATCGAATTTTCGGGTCGACAAAGAGGCCCTGAACTTAGGAGATGCTAGGTGTATACATCTTTGGAACACGCACCAATGATTCCATAGTGACCAATACAACGCTTATATACTACACATAATAGAGCAACCGATCAGTGGCGTCGCATGCATCAAAAGTTTATCCGACAACGGAGATGGTCGTTTTGACCAGTATTGTTAAAACCGAACCGAGCCGGTCGGCCGGACCGCTAAAGTCGCCACCAGGCCGTAAAACCGGCTCGGATCAGCTATTTAACCGATACGGGTTTATACAGCGGCCGAGGCGGTTAATCACTCGAGCCGGTCTCGCGGTTCCCCCTTTCCGGCCGTTTTGTTTACCTAAAAAAAATTTAAAATTGAAATCGAGAAGGGCAAGGGAAATCATGGGTCTGGGGCAGCCAAACAAAACCCTAACTCTAATTCATTTAATTTCTTCGTCTTCGACCCTAGTCGCCGTCAACACCTCTTGTCCCGGCATCGGCGCTTCCCGACGGCATCGCCATCCCCAGTCGCTATCGCCATTCCTTGTTGTAGCAAGCAGCTCCTCGCTCCCGGTGCTTCCGTCCCGTCGCCATTGTCGCAAGCAGGTCCCCACTAAGCTGCCATGTCTCACCAGAGGTTTGGATTGAATCCGAGCCATTTCGCGGATTGGGACGAGGAAGAGCATTTACGGGTTAAGAAAGGATGAGGAAGAATTGAATGTGGTGATGGGTTTTTTGAGGATTTGCATAAGGCTATAGCGGCTGAAAAATAAAAATAGGTGCGGCGGTGGGAGAGGAGGAAGGAGAGAGGGAGGGGGATGGGGGATGGGGGAAGCGGAAGGAAGGAGAGTGAGGGGTGCGGAAGCGGCGCTGCTCCTTAGGATTAGGTTAGGGTTTGTTTTTAGTTGCTATATATATGTTGTGTAGAATTACTAAATGTACCTGTAATTATCATTTTTACTCATTAAATTATTGAATTATTACTTTATGTGTGTTCTGCTATGATATTATTGTTTATAAAGTACCGGTTCTCTAACGTATTAACGGCTTAATATCAGTTGGACCACTAAAGTGCGAACCATTCACGTTATCGGGTCATGCTCCGGTTCGGTTTTGACAACATTGATTTTGACCGAAAATATGAGAAGTAAATCAAGAATATAGGAAAGATAAATCACATTGGTGGCAGTTGAATGGTGTTAACCTAAATCGAATTCTGCTGAGCAGTGGGCAGTCCCAACCATCTTTCAAAAGTTTAAATAATTCGATTTGTTACGTATGAATTACCTTCTCTTTAGAGGCCAAGAGCCCAAGACACAAGTGATGACTTGGTTCACCTCACTTCCATTCATCTTCCCTTCATCTAATCTAAAGTTGATCAGATTATTGCACTATCTAATTAAGCATTACTATAATATGATCAGGCAACGAGGAAAACACTTGTAACATGGGATATCTTTTGCCCCAAAAAGAAACAATCGAGTAGCAATGGAATTTTGCCATTGTCACTCCCCACTTAATCCTGTCCCAACACGGAAAGGGACGTAATTGCCAATAGTGGAAAAGTGGAACAGCAACTCAGCAAGTGGATATGGTAAGAAAATACACTATTGGGGAGAAACTATTTAACTAGAACAATGGAAAACTCATTTAGTAGAAGCAAAATATATACATGGCGTACTAGAAATCTTTTTGTTGTTGCGGAAAAGGGTTCTTTTCCCGTTTGAAAGAGTTGCAAACCGTTCCATTTTAGAGTGTACATTGTTTCATATAAGTATGGGAGAATTCTTTGACCATTAGTTCACCAAATCTGATTACGTGGGCATAGCAAAACTACTAACGGTGATAAGATGTGCAATCGGGAAGAATTTTACCACCACAAGTAACTTAGACTTTACTTTATGTTAAAAGCACAACGACATGAGACCGCGGTCGAGATTCGTGAATGTGTATCTCAAACAGCCAAATTGCAACCCTATGTGTTTGGTCCATTGCAAGATAACTTATTTCGAGCGATTAATGTTAACGGCACGTAATATATTAGCGCGACTGACGCGAAGTCTTGGGACGACTGAGCCATGCTTGATACCAGTGTTGATTATCCTTATCAGTTTTCACTACCAAGTATAAGATCATTCCCTAACCCTACTTTAAATATTATTGTTGGTGATCGATTGTCTTTTTTATGATTATGGTGAAATAGAATTAAAATTACAACACAAGTTTTAAAGCAAGTACACAAAACGAAAGAGCATCACTGGCGGACCAGGAGCAAGGGGAAGGAACACATGGAAAGAGAGGGAAAAAAACTCTCAGACTAAAACTCAGACTCCAAACTGTTGTAAAGTGAGGAGAGAAACATGCGATCGAGGGGATGTTAGTTCATCTAAGGATACTAATCAACTCAAAATTTAATATATACACAGGTTTTAGTGTTTTGAAAATTTTAAAAACCCTAATCAACTCAAATTCTGATTATACCACTCGAAGTGAGAATCCTTGTTTTATATTTTTCTATATGGATATTTTTATGCAGATCGAATTCTCTGTTGGAGAACATTGACCGCCCGAGAATTCCAAATTCCATGGTCCACCAACGTCCAACAACCAAATTCTCTAGTTTGGTTACTTACTGTTCAACACCACCAGCCATGCATTTCATTTTTTTTTTTTTTTTTTTTACAAAAGCCATGCATTTCATTTGCTGGAGAATTCCTGCACAATAGTACTGTGAGCATAACGAACGACAATGCGCCCCACCAGCTAGCTGGTAGCTGAATATTTTATTTTAGTCTAATAAAAAAGATATTAGCAATTGAAAGTTTAACATAGAATAAAGCAATTCAATGTTGTGGCGTAGACAGGATTTCGTCTGAGGGGGTCCACTTAAAAGAAAAATACACCTAGTAAAATAATTTTTGTTAACTTTGCGAATCATTCATGATATAATCTTATATTGGAAAATTTTGGTTAATTAAAATAGATTAGCAGTCGAAACTATCAAGAATATCACTCTATATACCAAACAATCATTAATGATTTAGTTAGTCATTCTGTTTGGTATGGTGTTCTTTGATGGAAGAAGGATCTATCAATAAAGGGTACAAGCTCGACCACAATCAAGGAGAAAACTTGATTGATACAAAGCAGCAAATTCTCAAGTCTAAAACTCAAAGAACAAAGAAAATATCAATATTCATCAAAGTCTGCCAAAAATTCGTGTGTCAAACCCTTTATATAGTGTAGGGCAAATAAAATAACCAAAATTCCGGGGGGAAAAAACAAAATCCTAAACCAAAAAGGTAACTTTTACTCTTCAGTTGCAAATCCACGGCCTACCCTTGAATTCCACGGTTGTGGATTTGGCATCTTTGGCCGTGGAACTCCCCTACCCAAAATCCACTGTCTGTCCTTCTATTCCATGGTCGTGGAATTGGCTCCCTGACCGTGAATTTTGACTGGTCACCGTACGATATTCAGCCTGCTCGTTTGGTGTCCATGAAGCTTCAAATCAATGATTCAAAGCTTTCACGATACTCAGGAATACTTCTAGCTACTTTCATCTCCAATTCCTATAAAAGACTAGTAACCCTTCACAAGCAACTATGGTTAGGTAACTAGAGAAGGTGCATAATGGTCCTCATAATAGTACACACAAATGACTCTTACTTATCACTTCCCTCACGTTGTGACTCAAACAAAATAGTACAAGATGAACTACAAGTGTCATCAATCATATCCACGCACCAAAATATTCCACTATAATCTAATAACGATCGAAGAACTCGAACTATTTATAAGTAAACGATTTATGTCATGTTTGAAACATCATTAACATAAAAATATCGTGGAACCACTCAAATAATCTCGTATCCTCGTTCCCAACAACCAAATATTCCAAAAAATCTAATACTTTTCTCAGCATGTTTTCCAATCAATTACGCTCACACACATGTAGTGGACCTTGAAGTGATGGCCAGCCGAGCCGGAGGTGGGTTTCAAAGGCGCAAATGATTGCGAACAAAAACTAGTGCGCATGATGCAACTTACAGATCGATCCCACGCAAATGAAACAGTACCATCAATTAACTCTTGACAGTCGACACACAATAGCACATATTTCTATCGAGGGAAATGCTTCGTAAACTTGTACATCCTCCATCTGCTTGCCCTACTCGGGCAATCTTTAGCAAAACACAGGCACAGCATTCGAATAATTGCAAGCCGAGTCGCCAAGCCAAAACGAGCAAAAGCTGCTTAGAGGATAAAAGGGAGATGAAAAGTAGGTAAATAGAGAGGCCAAAATTGATCATGGTGAGTTCCCCCCCAAAAAGATTCATTTGAGTTACTTGAGCTTTTGGGTTCCTATGATTCATGTCACCAACCCTTTTGTCTAACTTGTCACATTTGATCAAGTAAGCGTACTTCATGTTGAAATGTAATGGCTTCTAGGGGTGGTTTTGGACTTTTTGGTTCAAGGGCTGGTGTGATAGATATTAACGATTCATGTATTTTGAAGATGTACGTGTTTTAGAATAACAGTAATGTAAAAGAATAGTGCACTATCATGATTCACGACGACAGGATTCCAATGAAGATAACATGGCTTGAATTCCGATTTAGTGGATGAATTTTAGTAATTTGGTAAGGTTGAGAATCATGCACACAGGTGATTTGGTTCAATACATTTATTTAGAAACTTTGTACAAAACACACATCGGTAGCTAAATAGTTCCACCGACAATCCGACATACTAGGGAGAACAAATTAAATCTATGGAGTGCAATGGTAGAGAATGCCATCTTATTGTGGACTTTCTAGTCAATAATAAATGTTGAGATTGAACTGCAATATGTATCGATTCTGTATGTTCAATAGAAATTTATTGTCCACATGTTTATTTGGTGGCGGAGGTAGAAGATTAAAATAGGTGTGTCCTTTATATGATATATAATTATATGAATAACTTTTCTAAAATTGATATTCAAGTAATTCATTTTGCAAATGAAGAAATAACGGATTCATACACATTTCCTTTTGCATACACAATGTGTGTCATATCTGAAAATAATTGCAAAGACATTCTTAGTCTGTATTCTTAAGTAATGAAACCAGCTAAATTTATTTTATTGTATATAAAACTTTTTTCGTATTATATATAGGTCTAGTATTCAAATCCTATATATACACTTATGTAATGTAAGATTAATAAAAAAAATTCCAAATATTAGGCGTGTCCCGCGATAGAACATAGTGGAACTAGTTCCATTTCACTCGACATGGATTCCATTCCTCTCATTTCTCTCTTTGTCTTATCCTTTTCAAGGGGCATTTTCAAATATTGTTAGGGTTTGATCGAGTTGGGTTGAACCATAATTCATATCATTTTCATCACTTTGCGATTTTGATCTTGCATGCAATTTCATGGTATATCTGGCTAGTGAGCAATGGGCACATTTTTTAGAGAGTATTTTCTGATGTTTACCGTTTACTTTATAAAATAAACCAAACAATAGGTAACTAGGTGAGTGTAATTAAATAGATATTCATTATGGGTCGTTTGGATGGATCAATCTAGAAATGAGTCAATTTGATCAATTGTCTCGTTTTATAAACGAGTCAATTAAAACGAGTCAATTCGAATTACCTGCCCCCACTCCAGATAATTGAAACTGACTCAAAACGGATCAATTCAAAATACCTCAGGCAGATTGATCCATCCAAATTTCTTTCTGGCAAACGAGGCAATTTGGTACAATTGTCTCAAAACGAGACAATTGTGTCAAATTGATCTGTTACAATTTCGCAACGAGGCTAACTTCAATTTGATGCTTATTGGTTGGACTACCTACCTACTCTCACATTTTAATTTTTACATATGGATGGGTCAATAATTAACGCCAAAAGCAGTTGTCTTCCCAAGGTGGTAAATCAATAGTATTTTTAATTATATGAAGATTCTGTGTGTTTGTGGAAAAAGAAATTAACCTAAAGCAACTCTCATTAGTGGGTGCCATTCCATGGTGGTTAATTGAATAGTGCTCCATTCATTTACTTGTTAACCCGAAATCCAGTGGTTACCAAAAGCTTGATGACTTAATTAATCACCTTGTCTTTTAAGCAAAGTTAGACACCTTCCATAAAAAAACAAAGTTAATCACCTGCTTTACAGAGACACCCCCAGAATTATATCATTTAATTTCTGAAATACGTCACGTTTGAAACGGTTTTCCCTTATTAATTAAATCATTTTATCTCTCGGCCCAATGGATCGAATTGGATTTGGCAATATGTACTTTGGGAATATAGATATTCAGAAAGTTGGCTGGTAGATTTATTAGTTGTTCGATATTAAACAAAAGCTCAGCATCAAAGTAATTTTTCAATTATTTGAGAAAGCATATTTGTTTAATTGTATTAATTTAATCTGAAGTAGTACCCAACTAACTAGACCAGTAGGCCTCCTATATCCTTCAATATCACAATTTGACAAAGATATGTAGCTTGCTCATACGAGAAAAGTGGTACGTGACTTGAAGAATTCAAGAATATATCTGCTACATAATTGATCTGTTGGTTCTTTATGTTAAGAATTCAATACGATATGTCAGATACCACATCTTATGAAAGTGTTAGGGATTGAAGAATTATGCCCTCTAAATAATTTTGCTTGATGTTTCGGTGTTTCTGAAAAATTAGTTGAATACTTTTCGATGTAGACTTTGTATTCCTTACTGCGGTTTGGTTTAGTCTGTTGATACAACTACAACTTTACAGGTACAAAACACTTGGCATTATATTTGTAACTGATGAGAAGAACACACCCAAATATACTTATCACGTAAGTATCGTGTCTTGATTGCTATTTAATAATATCATATATTCTATATTTGATGAACTAACTAATGTCCATTGATCTAATGCAACTCTCATGCCTTTGTGAGACGACAAGTGGCCATTTTACTCTGTTATGCAGTATTAATTTGTCGGTTTATTTCAGGAGTGGCCCAATGAGATACTTAATTAAGCACTGTTGTGATTTTATATAATTAATAATACGATGCCGTATTCGCCTTATTAAATCTCTAACCAATCCTCTAAGCAAGCAAACTAATCCAGTTTGCGATCTGCATTAATTATATCCTTCTTCTGATCCCCGGCGGTCAAATCTGGTCTTTGCTCCAATCCAACCTAATCAAAGTCTGAACAATCACCTTAGCTTCTTTTGTCCTTAACAGCAGCAATGGAGATAGAATGCTCCCGTTAACCAAGGTTAATTATTCTCTACCCTGGTAACAGCAGCAGCAACAATAGAGATAAAATGGACTCCTTAACCAAGGTTAATTATTTTGTAGATGAGTCCGGTGAAAACTATGTGCGAGAATCAAAATCTGACCACCGAAGAAGAATCGATCATTACCAGGTATAAATTTTCAGGTCGCAATAGATCATGACGACTGAAGCGCCCTCTTACTATGATTTTGAAAATGGTCAAAATCACTGCATTTTTTTGATACGTTAAACTCTTTTGATAACGATTTAACGAGACATTTTCATGTATTGTATTCACTTGAGTTTTCATTAAACATGTCTCGCTTTTGAGGAAAAAATCCCAAGTTACACATATTTTTAAAAAAAATTCTCAAAAAGGCACATTCCATGCATTGATGGACTTGGGCTTTACAGAGTAGTATGGCTTTATACACGGGGCCGAAGAAAAGCCCATTAGAGAAAACGTGCAAAACCCAATCGATTTTGGACGCACCTGGTCCAGACAAGATCCGGCGGGAATGCGTGCCATGCAAGAACCACATGCACCTACCTGTTTCTAGTGCAATTTGTAACGTGGCTTCAATTATTTTTGACAAAAAATGGTGATGTCTCGTATCATATTTGAAATAAGTGAACAAAAATGGTCCAGTATCTTAAATGTTGATCATCGTAATCAATGGTACAGTATCCTAAGTGCAGTTGCGGAGGCAGAATCTGAAAGTACCTATGTCCTTTTTTTATAATATAAAATAAATAATTATTTAATTATTTAATAAATATAATTAAAACTAATAATATCTAAATAATTTATTCATATATATTAAAAAATACTAGACTAATAAAATCATTATTTCATAAGAATTCACGACGCATTTTCAAATTCTCAATGTATCCGACTAAGCAATCATTAGCAAATTGGTCGCAATGCGATTTTGAAAATTATTTTTAATATAGCTCAAAACTGAAAATGTTCTTTCTACACTTGCAATTGCAACGAGTATAGTCAAAACTAACTTTTTTGATTACCCCGGTACCTTAGCCCCACGTGCCACTTTGTGACAGCGGGTCCTACTAAACCTGGGGCCACCTGCATTCACTTTGTCGCCAAAGAGGGTTTCGCCCCCAGCAGCCTTATACCTTCGGGAACACCAACGGGTCTCGCTTGGATTCGAATCTGGGATTTGCACCTCCCAAGCCTTCACTGTCGCGGCAGCTTACCGTTGTTAGGCTACTTACCTTTGGTGAGTCAAAACTAACTTTAAAAGACACAAAGATCGACCTTTAGGTATTGTGAATTTTGTTTATAGTGTGATATATTGATTTACATTAGCTTTGAAACTTGAAATAATTTGTAGTGTAGTGATAAAACACTTTTATATTACCTAAAATTAATCAGTGCAATCCTTAATTGATACATAAATATACATATAGATATATTTTTTTACCAAAAATTACCTGTGTCCCGGGACACATCCCATGCCCTCTAGCTCCGCCTATGCCTAAGTGCGTGTTATGGCCTTATTAGCTAGGAAATCCATAGAAAGGTTACATTATATTCCATAAACTTATGAAAATAAAATTCTTATATATTATTGGGTGAAATGCAAGTATTTAATTAATTAAATACTTAGTGGGAGTCTGAGATTCAAGGACCGTAGTGATCAGTCGTAATGTATCTCATCAGTACTTAATTAACTATAATAATTCATAAATTATTGTGTTGATTAGTTGTCCATCTTTGTTGTATAGTGAGGATGGATCTGAGCTTGAAGATGGGAAGGGGAATCTGTGCTAACATAACATCACAATTCACATATATATAACATGAAAACTGGGCCTACAGCCACATCATGAGTGATCAACAGCGAACCGACAGTGAAAACAACAATAAATAAATTATCATTATTTAATAATATCAATTATTGATATATGTCCTAGTTAATTTTTCTTTCTTATCAACATGGCTTATGTACACGTCACAAGATGTGCCTTTGTTCTGTTACATATTGGGCCCCACGGGCCCATTTATATTCTCCAATTATTTGTTTTATTATGTACCCATGAAAATATTTTATAATTTCAACGAAAAATATATTTTGTAATAATTGTTAATATATTCCGGAGTCAGAAGCAGATCGCGAAAAATATGGCACATGATCTTTTTGGAAGGTTTAGAACTGAATTTATGTGTGTTTTTCATTTTTCATTCCTATTTTAATCAACTACTTACTTTTATAAGGGTGATATAGATTTTATTTTCTTGTGATTAAAGCACTTATTTATCATTTAAAGGATTCGAACTTGACACCTCCAGGTTCTAAGTCAGTGATATTACTATTAATCTAAATCCTTTCGTTCCTATTTGATTGAACTTGTCGGTAAATATATATATTTTTTTTGGATTAATGAACCTGAAAATCGCGTTTACAAAACCACTACAAACACAATGTAAAAGCCAAAGTTGCATTGCGTCTTATTAGCTCTAATGACGTAATTAACATAAAAAGAATGTCATCCAACAGGCACATCTAACCTAACGCCACTCCTATTGAATTTCCATCCAGCTGATTATTCAATTTAATTATTTTTTACATGTATTGTATAGACAGATTGTTAGGTTGTCACTTTTATCTAGCAGACATGCAAAAAAAAATTAATTTAAACAATAATATCAAACCGAAAAAAATTCGAGCGCTAACGCAACTATAATTTATTATTGTTTAAAATAAGTTGAATTTATTATTATCAAGTTAATTGCTCATGATCATTTACCATCTATCTAATAATGGAAAAAAACATGTTCAGAAGGTTAATCTTCATAATTAATCCACGTAGGTAGTATAATCAGACCTGCTTCGACCATGCCTTTTTCTTAGGCTCAAGATAGGGTGGATAACCATGGGTTATGCATCCATCAATAACCAAATCTGCACTCTTCATTTAGAAAATCCAGATATAAGGATGGAGAATTAAAGATCATTTTTATTTTCTCTAGCTTTCTTAATCGGCTCATATCTTTTTCGTTTTAACTCGGATTTTAATTTTTTTTGCACAGGTGGAACGAGTTCATCGTGCTCTACAAAATGAGATCAATTTTCAATATTTTTTTAGAACAAAAAATTCTGGCCTCTCGGTACCAACTGCATAACATATGGTATTTTCTTCATTTTTAATTCGTTTTTGAAAACGTTTGCACAGAAGGGACGAGTTCATCATGATATATTAGATCTACAAATTTCTGGGTGAACAAATTACAGGACCAAAAAATACCACACAATACCATACAATGTCGTAAATGACAATTAATATATTTCTACTATCAGGTATTCAACCATCCTACAGTCTTGGTTTGTTCATACCACCATGGTACTTTTTTTCAAACCATAGGTATGTTTTTATTTCAATACTAGTCAATACCATATGGTATAGACTGGTAAAAAATGGCTCAATTTTTTTTGTTCGAAAAATATATTAAAGTGGATATCATTTTGAAGAGCACAATTAATCTGATCTAACTGTAAAAAAAATTAAATTTCGACTTAAAATGAGTGAGAAATCGTCCGTCAAATATTAAAGAGGAAAAAATTAAAGATTTGCTAGGAGAGAGAGGATGCTGATGTCATGCTGATGTGGACATGTTACTCATGGTTACTCACCACAAGGTTACTCACCGGATCTGCTCCCCTTTTCTTAACGAACACTTTTACAAGCTTGTACCGTATCGGTTTTCCAATTTTTGATTTATGTTTCTAGCAAGGAAAAAATAATGTTACTATGGAAACAAATTCCGTTATCCCACCACATATATAGCAAACAAACAAACAAAAAAATCTATCAGGCTAACGCTTGGCTTGAATTTTGTACCAAATTATTTCCATTTTCCACCCAACATCTCAAATACTTAATTTGGCAAAACTTTAAACCGAACGTACACCAAAACGGCCTCAATTTCATTAATTTGGAATACTACGCACTACTTTTGGCTCATGAACTGAGAACTGTTAAGCATTGGTCAGAATATTATCCTTTTATGTGCTCAAAATTAACTGTGCCAGCGTATGTCCACAATGCAATAATTCTATGTGAATAATGTGACGCTCTGTTAAGTGTTGAGATTACATTTCTTAAATATAAACAATCAACATATATTTTTACGTTTTATGGATTCATCTCATATACTCCGACTCGAATGATTAAAATCCTCGTAAACACTTATTGAATGATGTCGTTTCGCGCGATTCAATAATGCCAGACCCATAGAGACCATTCCATAATATTTCCATCAGTAGAATGATAAAAAATTTCGTCCATATATAGAAAAATAAACGAAATGAACTAAAGGAAACAATTTGGATCGGAGAAGAGAAGAAGCAACAATAATGAAATGAAACTGGAAACTCACATTACAGCGTCATCGATATTATTATGTCTTCATATTTATAAAGATACAAATTGGCTCCTTGATGATGATAATATAACGCTTTTCTTCTTCTTTTTTTCATAAAAAGATTTGAGAATTGGATCTCACAAAGGGCTCAAAAGAGGACGGTTTGTACACAATTCTTCATGGTTTGTTGACGATCAGAAACGGCGGCTCCCGCCGCCGGCCGCGGCGGCGATGGAAGGGAAGCTGGAGAAAGAAACGCCCATGGGGACGGCGAGGCTGGTCTCCATCATGAGACGCTGCTGGTAAGCCTCGATGGTGGCGCCGGCATCGATGATGTCCTTCACCAGCCCCCGGTAGTACTCCTTCAGCCGCTTGAAGAGCTGCGAGTGTCGGAGCTTCAGCCACCGCAGCCGCACGCGCCGCAGCATTCGCGTCAGGGAGAGGCGGCGCGGGGACCGCGGGCCGAGGCGGACGGTGGGCAGGTGGCGGCGGCGGCGGTGGGGGAGGAGGCGGTGGAGGCGCGGGCGCTGGGGGAGGAGGATCGGTGTGATGTATGGCGATGATGATGGCGGTGGCGGCGGTGGTTGTTTCTTGGCGGTGGCCGTGGCGGCGGTGGAGGAGGAGGGAGAAGCCATGTGAATTAAGGTTGTGGAGGGAGAGAAAGGGGGAGAAATGTTTTTGCATATAATGAAGAGATGGAATGGGGGAGTTGACCTCATATATGGATGGTATTGAAGGCATCCTCTCTTGTTCTAGTTTAATATTTATTTTTCTTTTTTTTATATATATAATATATGTAATGACTGGTGTACGTCAGGGCGTATATTATACATCATGTGATCTAGCCGTTAGATGTATTCAGATGAGCTCCGGCCGATCTCAACGGTTAATTTTTGTTTTTCATTAAATCTAACTTCGGGTTGGGGTTTAGAAAATCGGTGTCTGGGGTTTATCCATTAGAGGTTAGAGTATAGTATCATACCCCAAACTCGATTTAATTCATGGTCTAGATAAATAGAGATATCTCACTAGTAGTACCTGACGTATACTATACACCTGACGTAAGTCAATCTGACCCATGTAATGTAATGAGGTAATGGAGTTCGAGATCGTGTGTATAAACTTAGCTACGGATAGAAAAATATATTTCTTATTCATGTTATGTTACGATTCTCGTCTCTTTCGATAAAATTCAACTAAGAAAGAAAATCACCCATAGTATAGAGCTAATTAACGTAGATAAGTTTTGGTTAGCGCTAAAGTTAGGTGAAAGTAATTGAGCCCTATGGTAAATTTTAGGTCCCTATAACTAAACTTGATACCAAACTTAAACTTAAATATTCTTTATTGAGTTCCGTAGGGAGTTAGATAGTGAAGGGTGGGGGTGGGCAAAGATTCAGTTTACATTGAATTAAATTGTGTCAAATTGATACTTGGGCCGAATCAAATTGGATGGAATATGTTACGATTCAGTTTTTTATCTTACAAATTATCTTAAATATGAAGAAAAGTGGATCGAAATTAAATATGAATTAAAATAAGTCGAACCAAATTAATCGAACTAGACATACTTTTGATCCGATTATTTTTTTTATTTGATCTGAATTTATCTGAATTTGAGCGGATTCTAGATCGAATCGACCAATGCCCATAGTTTGTGATGGCAACAGAAAGAAAGAGCATCAATCCATGTTGAAAATACATAGTAGTTAAGAAAAGGATAAATCATGCAAAGCGAACATGGGGAGATACTATTGGAACTCGCAATTCGCCTGACTTCTTGATTTTCAAGAGATTCTTTTGAGTATAATCCTGGCTTTTATGAGATCAATATATTTGCTCTAATCAAAAAATATATGAATATGATAAGACAAAGACAAGCAAACAACATTTCATAGAGCAGAGGAAGTGTACGTGAATTCATTAGTAGTTAACTAAGGCATCTTAATCCCGACCAAATCCCCTAATCTTCACCTTAATGACAACCTCCCATCCATAGCTCTTACTTTTATAGCTGTAGGATGCCGAGGTGGACTTGATTAATAATGCTAGGCTCAATACACACACTATACTTGTCTTGTCTGCCAAACTTTGATTATTACATTAAACTAAGTACGGACTTAATGTCGTTTTCAACCCATGTACTATGCCATATTTAATAATTACATCCACGTACCTAGGATGCTAGACTACTAGTAGTATGTCTTAATTATCTTTCTGTTAAACATCACATCATAGTGGGTTATCAGTAGGGTTTTTTTTTTGGACAAATAATTCAACTTTTATTCCTCCCTCGAAAAAGTTGAGTAAATTACAATCTTACAGAAGATCAAAAATTAGATCAAGAATATTGATCCAGTCAACAGGCAGATTAGATCTCGCTTTAGATTGTGCAACCCAGTCCGCTCTAACATTCATCGCTCTTGGTACCTCCTTGACTTTAATAGTAGGGTTTGACCCGAGGATATTGATCATAGACCCCATCCATGCTGCACAGCGCCATGGCCATCTTGATTTACCTTTACCCAAATCTTTCACCAGTACCTGACAGTCAGATTGAACAATGCATTCCGATCCATATTCTTGTGCTAATTTTAAACCTTTTAAGAGAGCCCTTGCTTCCGCTTCAATCGGGGTGGAACAAAGAAGAGTCTCAGCTCCCCCATCACACACTTGTCCATGGTGGTTAACCGCAACAACACCATAAGCCGCCGGCTGAGATTTGCTAATGAACGACCCATCACAGTGAATCTCCATAGGATGATTACTTGGCGGGGGAGTCGTAGTGGAATGGGTTCCCCTGAGCTGAGCCGGAGAGGCATGATTGGGGGACTAGGGCCTCGGACAGGAAGTCCATTCGGAAAGTTCTCTAAAAGTTTGCAGACCAATGTTAGGAGGCCAAGGAACTCTATTCTTGAACGTACACTCATTCCTTGCCTCCATATATTCCAGCAAAGGAAAACAATATGGATAAGGGGAATCATATGAAATGACCTCCTTAATAGCACAAATTCAATCAAAGAACGAAGAATCCTGGGGAGGGAGGGGGAGAGAAGGGAAGATGTTACTCCAAGCTTCACTAGCATGAGGGCAATAAAAGAGGCAGTGCGAGATGGATTCGTTTGGGTTATTGCAAACCCGACAAATCGGGTTAGAGGCACATTTCCGATGAAAAAGCCTCGCTTTCGTTGCCAACCCATTTCTGGAGCACCTCCATATGAAGAACTGGAGCTTTGGTGGGAGGTTTAAACTCCACATCCATTTTCATTTGTCAGCGTTTCCCATCGGTTGATAGTTTGTGTTTGCTTTGTGAAAAGCGTGGTAAGCCGTCTTAACCGAGAACATTCCCTCTTTTGTGAGAATCCATGCCCAAAAATCATCAGCTCCTTCCTCCCTAATCGGAACTCTCAGAATGGCATTTAATTCCGCCTCCGAAACGTGGCCTTGAAAAAAAATATGAGTTCCAACATCTATTCTCCTGATCAATCCAATCCTTGACCTTAATCTGATGTTGGGCCCACTTAAAATGGTGAACATTTGAAGATTGGGAATCCATGGGTCTTGTCCTACCCAAGTATCATCTCCCGAACCAATGAACTTAATCGCTCCCAAGTTCAAGACTTTTCTGGCCTCCCAGAGGCTAGCCCATATCCAAGAGGCTCTACTTCCCTTCTTTGCTTTCATGAAGTCTCCTCGCGGAAAATAGAGTCCCTTAAGGAGGTGGCTCCAAAGGGAATCAGGGGAAGATAGGAGGCGCCAAGCCTGTTTTGACAAAAGTGCCATGTTGAAATCTTTAAAACTCCGGAAGCCCAATCCCCCTTCTGATTTCAGAGAAGTGAGTACCTCCTTTCTACACCAGTGCAAGCTACTTTTCTGCATTGACCCCGACTAGAAGAAGTTGGCCAGGAGAGAGTCCATTTTCTTGGTAAGATTCACCGGGAGGTGGAAGAGATACATGATGTATGATGGGATAGCCTGTATCACGGCCTTGAGCAGAATTTCTTTCCCCCCCGTGCGATAACAGAAGGCTCTTCCAAGCTTCCCCCATCTTTTCCATTCTTTGAATGAGGAAGCTAAAAATTTCTTTTTTCGAATTACCCCATTCAGTCGGAACCCCAAGATATTTAGAGTGTGAGTTTGATGAGGCAAAGCCCAAGCGGGCAATGATGGAGGCTTTGTCATCATCTGGGACATTAGCACTGAAGAATACAGACGACTTGTTGATATTCACTTCTTGTCCAGTAATTGCTCCATAATTGCTGATAAGATCAAGAATTTTCCCTGCTTCTTGAATGTTGGCATTCCCAAAAATAACTGTATCATCTGCGAACAGGCAATGGGTGATGATGGGACATCTAGAATTCAATTTAATTCCTTTCAGTAGGGTTAATGCATAATGGGTCCATATAATTAGGGATGGCAACAAAACTCGACGCCAGGGGTACCCACCCAACCCAACTCGCGTTGACGGGTTTTGGGCAGGGTTTGGGTTTAGACCCGTTCACTATTGACCAGGTTGAGTTTAGGTTTAGATAAACCCGCCTTATGGGTACCCGCCCACACCTATATAATTAATTTTTCCGGTATATTCAATATTTAAACAACTAATCTTCTTTAATTTATGTTTGTGGAGACATGTCTAATTTTTTCTTTCTAATTGTGTACAATGAAGTTGATATTATCGAGTAGAGAGTGGAGAAGCTTAATTGACAAGGAGGAAAAAACTTTCAATTATTAATCATGTTGTTTATGGATATCTTGTGATTTGCTTCAATTTTCTTGAGTTTTCTAGATTGGTGTTGAACAATTTGTATGGTTAATTTGTGATTTGCTTGAATTTTTTAGAACGGTGTTTTATATATGGATAATTTGTATTGAGAGATTGATATTTTGACTTTTATTTTGATAAGAACTTGTTATTGTGTATTTTTTACGACAAAAACCCATGGGTACCCATAAACCCGCGGATACCAGCGGATTGGGTTGGGTTTGAGTTTTTCAAACCCAGTGAGTTTTACCCCTGGGTTTTTTTTTTCACGGATAAACCCATGAGTTTGGGTTTGGGTTTGACAAAACCCGACCCATTGCCATCCCTACCTGTATAGTCGTACAAAAAGCTAATATATAATGTAGCAAAAATGAGAGTGTAAGCATCTAGTTTAATTTACTGGTTAAGTAATCTTACCTCCATCAGCCAGGTTAAGGGTTCAACGGTATCACATCTCGTTGTCTTTGTAAAAATTAATAGAATAAAAAATGGAGTCGTATAGGGTTTGATGCGAAAATGATAAAAATGTTTGATTCGATGCAATGCACATTTACTTTAATTCTGTATTTTTACTTTTTGCATGGGTGAAAAAGTATAACCTCTATCAGGAGTGGTTTGAGTTCATAAGATGTTTAGCACGTCCTATAACAGTCAGTAAAATAACCTTATATTAGTCACCTCAACCAGATGAGTTCGAAAGTTTAGAGAATACGTTTGATTTTCCTACTAGTCTTTCCATATAATTGGATTCACTATAAGTACGAGAGATGACCTCCCATGCAAAAACCAATAAAAAACAACATGAGATCACTCATCAAGAAGAAAAGTAGCCACATACACTGCTAAACGAAAGAAATCAACTGATAAAATCGAGTGAGTCTCGTAAATATGTGAAACGATGACACTAATAAAGAATAACAGACCATCAAATGAGTCACCTTATCGTAATTCCGACCAACAATTACAACCCTAAGTGCTGAGAGTAAAGGAAGTATGTCTGCCAAGTGCCAACAACCCAAAATTAATTGTTGATATCTAAGCATATTCGGCCCAAATCCTTGCCTCCTAAGCTTAGTTTGGTCCTCCAATTCCTCGAAGCACAAGGAATACTAATAGGGTTTACCGGTTACAGGCCCATTGCGAAAAGCCCTTTCTAAGTGGCCCAGCCTGAAGATTGCTGGACCTCCTCGAAATCCTCGGCCCACTCCATTCTCTATAAATCAAGACACCCCCGTAATTTCTTGACCTCGCAAAAGCGCAATTCTGTTGCTACTCGCAAAAGACTCGCATCCATCGGTTCCTCTCTGTCTATCGGCGAAACCTAAAAACCTTCACTCGACGGAGATGGACTCAGATGTCGCCATGGTTCCGGCCGGCGAGGGAGGCTCCAGCGGCGCCGCCGGAGCTTCGTCTTCAAGCAAGAAGCCGAAGCGCTTCGAGATCAAGAAGTGGAATGCCGTCGCTCTCTGGGCTTGGGGTTCGTCCGACGAAACCCTAACTCTCTCTACAGCCTCGTCGCGCTAACCGTTGCTTCTAATCTTTGTTCTCTTCTCGCTTTGCAGATATCGTAGTTGATAACTGCGCAATTTGCAGGAACCATATCATGGATCTCTGTGAGTTTTTCTTCGTCTCTTTGGATTTCGCGATAACTGTTTGTAGGCTGGAGTTCGTTTTCGTAATTGGGAATTCTCTTTTGTTTTGGTTAGGCATCGAGTGCCAAGCCAATCAGGCCAGCGCAACCAGTGAGGAGTGCACTGTCGCTTGGGGTAGGCATTCCTTTATTTACTTAATTCGTCCGAAGCCTTGGTTCTTTTTGGTATCTGAGATTGCCCGAATCCTGAATTGTTTTTTATGGGTCTAATTGTCAACTGTATGGCTTCATGTAGAAGATGTTACTGGGAGTGGATTTATTAGTAACTGGGGAGGGATTTCTTCTTTGGTTAATTGACTGTGTTTAGCTAGTTTCCCTCCGTGAATGTCTCAGCTGCATTGAACTATAAACAATGGTTCTAGTTGTTTTGATTTGTGAAATTCTTAACTGCATATAACTGTAAAAGAATTGTTAGGCTTTTGTTAGTTTGTATATTGACTGGAGGGTCATGCTTATCTAATCTGTTACTGTCTTGCCGGTTTGAATGTCTCTGTTAGGATAGGTGGAGAATGCTCTGCTTGTAGGACTGTTAGATTAATTTAAAGCATTATAAATTTGTTGGAGAATGATTGCAATGGTTGGGAGTCATTTTTGTCTACTTTTGGATGTGTTGGGTTATAAGCTTATGCTCACCTTCAGGCTGCGGTATTAGTAATCTGTTTTTGCTTTGGTTTGAAAGTAGGAATTAGATGTCTATGAAAGCTCACTTTGAGTTCTTTTTGGACTTGTGACGAGATATCGTGGAGATCAGGTTCATCCTTGAGGGTTTTAGATCATGTTGAGCTGAATGTCTGAACCGTATAGTAAGTCTAGATTTCTGCATGCTAGTTGATACTTCCAGGTGTTTGTTTTGCCTATTATTTGCTTCCTTTTCTGGATTGTTTAAGTTGCATCTCTCGTTGTTATGCATGGAAAAGCTTCTGGTTCTGCCTTGTTGAGTGCTCAGCTGTGTTCTGTCCCTATCCCTTATACCAGCCTGGCACCAATGCTTATTGTTCACTTGTGAATTTAGCATACTCTCATGCCTTGTAGAGGAGGACTCTGTTGATCATTAAGCTTATTTTTACAATGCTGGATTTGTCAGTTCATCTATCGCGGTCTACACCAATTATGTTTCAGCCCTACTTAGTCTGACTCTATGATTGCTGAACCAATGCTAATTCCTATCCCCTGCCCAGGTGTCTGTAACCATGCTTTTCACTTCCACTGCATCAGCCGCTGGTTGAAAACCCGCCAAGTCTGCCCTCTCGGTATGCAAAAAACTCCTTATCAATTGTCCAAACTCTGTTCTTCCATTGAGGCCTGAAAATCCCACATCTTACATTGGCTTTGTCCAATCTGCAGATAACAGCGAGTGGGAATTCCAGAAGTACGGGCACTAGTGGAGTCTATGACTTGAACGTGATAGCCAGGGGGTGCCACCAAATTTCATTATGTCTCGGAAGACTTTCCAAGGAGTTTGTAAATTGGCATTTGCAGAAGGGAAACACTAAACAAACACTTGTTCCTATGTTTTTTTTTTTTAAACTAAGCTGAGTGGTATAATAGGGCAGAGCTCTTGTTTTCTGCTTATGGCTTTGGCCCTTTCCTGTCCTTCCCCCAGTTTTAGGTACAGGGTAAGTTTTCTATCCGGTTGAGCAAAGTGATTAATTGAGATGTTGGTATATGCTAACCATTATGTCCGCTCTCCTTATTAGAACCTTTCTCTACTGTGTTCTCTTTCTTCGTAATCAGCATGGGCGGAGCATTTTGTTCTCCATATCGGCTGGTGGCGTTGGCTTGTGTAATGTTTTATGGCTAATTTGCAAGTTTGGTCACTCGAATTTCTACAAAATTTCACGTTTGGTCATTCGAATTCGTTGATTCCATTCGTAGTCACTTAAATTAGTTGAATAGTCCAAGTTTAGTCACTCTCCGTTAACCTCCGTCAGACTCCGTTAGTGCTATCAGTTAACTGCTGACGTGGCTAACAGAGATGCCTAGTCACCCAATTTTAACACAAGAAAAAACAAAAATTGACTCGCCACGTTAGAAAAACTTACCACCTCATATAAACACAATCCAACCTACCCAACCTAAAAAAACCATTAACCCACCCAAAAATCCAACCTGTGACCCATCCACCCTTCTTCTTCCTCTATACCTACTTCCGCCGCAGCCGAGGGATTTCCCCTCGATCTTCCTGCTGCAGCCCCCGCCATCGGATCCAATAACCCCCAAATCGTCGCTGCCAAGATGAACAGCAGCCGTTCGCATAAAGCACTGGCACGACTCCTTGAGGTTCCCTACACGGCCTCCGATTTCATCGATTGGGGCGACCACATGACTCCCACACTGTCCCCCAAGCGGGACATCTCCGGGCGGTGGCGCAAGCTCCACGGAATCGACGATTGGGACAACTTCCTCGACCCAATCGACCCAACCCTCCGCTGCGAGATCCTCAAGTACGGCGAGTTCGCCTCTGCGACCTACGACGCCTTCGACTTCGACCCGGAAATCTGGATCCCGCCTCTCCACGTCCGCCATGTAAAAATATCCCCGCCCACAACTGCCCGTCACTCTATCTTATCCCATCTCTCTCAATATCATCGTCGCGATTCCCCACTACTTTTATAAGAAGTAACTGAACTCTCCCTTCTCTTCTTTCTTCGTTAAGGTCTTGCTGCTTACCTTGCTATCGACGGAAAAAAATTCACATGAGAAATCAGAAATGACGAAAGCTACATCGTTTCCGCTAAGGGCGTTCCTCGTTCTGTCGCTGGTCGCCTTGTCCCGGGTTGCAATCGACTTCGCGTCCATGGCCAAGTCCAATTCCCCGTCGGTCCAGGCGGATAAGTTAATTAGGGATCGCAATCTTTTTCTGGGTGGGTCACGGGTTCGATTTCTGGGTGGGTTAATGGTTTTTTTTAGGTTGGGTGGGTTGGGTTGTGTTTATATGAGGTGGCATGTTTTTCTGACGTGGCGGGTCAATTTTTGTTTTTTCTTGGGTTAAAATTGGGTGACTAGGCATTTCTGTTAGCCACGTCAGCAGTTAACTGACGACACTAACGGAGTCTGACGGAGGTTAACGGAGAGTGACCGAACTTGGACTGTTCAACTAATTTAAGTGACTACGAATGGAATAAACGAATTTGAGTGACCAAACGTGAAATTTTGTAGCAATTCGAGTGACCAAACTTGCAATTTAGCACATTGTTTTATAGTTCAGCAGATAAAAATTGTCAACTAACATACTAATGATTAATTTGGCCCAATTCAAACTCCAATTAACCCAAAAACAAAAACTGAATGAGAGATTTATGATGGTGTAAGTGAAGATAGCTGACACACACTTCTCACATTTCACACAAGATCAATCTGCACTCCCATCCCCATATGAAATTTGAACCTAGATCTAAGAGCGAAACAAACATACATCGTGGTTTGTCATTTGTCAAGCGTCATTCATAAGTCTTCATGAATCATTTTCAGATTGCTGGAAAATTCTTCACAAGTCTAAGTACGTGATGGAAAAAAGTTGAAGAGGAGACTAAAGACTTTTGACATCTTAAAAACTGGTGAAAGAAGAATATCCTTAGATTTTTTTGGTTATAACTTTGCATGGCTAGGGATGTTCTTGCTATATATTCGTCTCCAAACTAGTCCCTTAATTATCGTTAATCATCCATTAACTGCTATCTATTAACTATTTAGATTAATCCAATGAACATGAATGACTTTAAATACTTAAGTTTGAAGGCTTACGTACAGCGGCGGATCCAGAATTTAGTAGAGCACTAGGCCGTATTTGAATAGACAATTACGTATGGTTAATGAATTTTGCACAAATTTGAGAGTATATAATATGGTACCTCATTCTTAAAAGAATGCATCTCATTTTCTTCGACAAGTTTGTCTATAATTAGAACTCTTCAAATTAGTTTGTCATTTATCTTCAATTATGCATAATCAAATAATACAGTAATTGTATACATTCTCAAGTTTCTAATTCACTTCCCAATTCTAATGGTTCATTCCTTGTCATCTCTTATTCTCAAAATTAGGTCACTTGTACATAGCATTTCTCCAAATAAAACCACCGGTACTTCTCGATTTCTATTTACAAACTTCCTATATTCTAAAGGCTCCGTTCCATTCTACTCGGCACATTTACTACCGACGCACTACTAGACTCATGCACTAATAGCCCACGTAACCCCTACTAATCCTAATTAACCTATCACAAACCCCCATCCATGAAACGTTTTTAAACAAATAAAGAAGCTAATACTAGCAATAATCCCCCGGATCCAAACCACATATGCATCAAACATTACAGTTTTGGTGATGAACCGTAACTCACGGTTCCAATGTTTTACTTATAAGTCACAAGCAAGAGCACAATATTGATATAAAACCCCCTTTTATTTTTTATTGATTGATTCCCAAGACTAACGCGACAAATACATTTATATAATATGTAACCCTGCCTATTAGCCTAACTATAGCTGAACCCTTCACTTCTCCCTGGCTAACTCGGCAACCTAGCACTACTAATCTTCTAATTAAGCCCATGCACTAATAATCCAAAACCCACATACATAAGCCCAACAATTACCCATTACCCACTTCACGACACAACTAACTAGCTTGGAGTCCATAGCTCCATCATTTGGCGTTTGGGAGGCGGACGAGAGGGTTGGGCCAGCATGATTAGCAGTGGGCCAAAAGATGTGGAGGGGGCTCAATATAACCTCTGGATCCAAAGGAGGATTGGGCCCTGATCCAGGTTGGCCCAGCCCTGGATCAGCCACTGCTTACGTATTCAAACTCATCCCAGATGGCCAGATCCTTGGATGCTTAGAGTCAACGCAACAAAATTTGACAACTTCATGATCAAGTATGCACTCATGTTCGCTCATCAGTTAGTAGTGTTAGCTAAAAATTAGGGTGATGTGGTCAAAGAATTGTTATAAGAACCGAATCAGACCATCGGTTAGACTAGTAGAATTACTAAACCAGTGACTTAGATGGTTAGGGATAGAACAAACGATTTTTAATAGTTTGCCATGAAACCAGATGAACCATTCCGGTTTGACTATTCCACTGTGTTATAACTGCGCTGCTACGGATCAAGAAATCGCCGGGATCGAGAAAGCAAGAATACGAAAGCGAGAATCGAAAACAGACACACAATTTACGTGGTTCACTAACACGATGTGTGTTAGCTAGTCCACGGGCGAGAGAGAGTCAGTTTCACTATATCGATGAGATTACAGATTACAGAGGAGTATGAGAAGTATATATAGTACTTCTTCTAGGTCTAACACTAATCCAATCTGGTAAAGGAAAAAACGGTTACAACCAAGCCCAGAACCCGAACCCAAATAACATTGAGGACGTACACCGTGGGTTAACTAATACTTTCATAACGACTATTCCACTCGTAGTGGTTGATAGTCCGATTCAAGTCACGTCAATACACTGATTCATCATTTAACCACAAAATATAATAATAATAATAATAATAATCCTTGGATGCTTAGAGTCAACGCAACAAAATTTGACAACTTCATGATCAAGTATGCACTCATGTTCGCTCATCAGTTAGTAGTGTTAGCTAAAAATTAGGGTGATGTGGTCAAACAATTGTTATAAGAACCGAATCAGACCATCGGTTAGTCTAGTAGAATTACTAAACCAGTGACTTAGATGGTTAGGGATAGAACAAACGATTTTTAATAGTTTGCCATGAAACCAGATGAACCATTCCGGTTTGACTATTCCACTATGTTGTAACTGCGCTGCTACGGATCAGGAAATCGCCGGGATCGAGAAAGCAAGAATACGAAAGCGAGAATCGAAAACAGACACACGATTTACGTGGTTCACTAACACGATGTGTGTTCGCTAGTCCACGGGCGAGAGAGAGTCAGTTTCACTATATCGATGAGATTATAGATTACAGAGGAGTATGAGAAGTATATATAGTACTTCTTCTAGGTCTAACACTAATCCAATCTGGTAAAGGAAAAAACGGTTACAACCAAGCCCAGAACCCGAACCCTAATAACATTGAGGACGTACACCGTGGGTTAACTAATACTTTCATAACGACTATTCCACTCGTAGTGGTTGATAGTCCGATTCAAGTCACGTCAATACACTGATTCATCATTTAACCACAAAATATAATAATAATAATAATAATAATCCTTGGATGCTTAGAGTCAACGCAACAAAATTTGACAACTTCATGATCAAGTATGCACTCATGTTCGCTCATCAGTTAGTAGTGTTAGCTAAAAATTAGGGTGATGTGGTCAAAGAATTGTTATAAGAACCGAATCAGACCATCGGTTAGACTAGTAGAATTACTAAACCAGTGACTTAGATGGTTAGGGATAGAACAAACGATTTTTAATAGTTTGCCATGAAACCAGATGAACCATTCCGGTTTGACTATTCCACTGTGTTATAACTGCGCTGCTACGGATCAGGAAATCGCCGGGATCGAGAAAGCAAGAATACGAAAGCGAGAATCGAAAACAGACACACGATTTACGTGGTTCACTAACACGATGTGTGTTAGCTAGTCCACGGGCGAGAGAGAGTCAGTTTCACTATATCGATGAGATTATAGATTACAGAGGAGTATGAGAAGTATATATAGTACTTCTTCTAGGTCTAACACTAATCCAATCTGGTAAAGGAAAAAACGGTTACAACCAAGCCCAGAACCCGAACCCAAATAACATTGAGGACGTACACCCTGGGTTAACTAATACTTTCATAACGACTATTCCACTCGTAGTGGTTGATAGTCCGATTCAAGTCACGTCAATACACGGATTCATCATTTAACCACAAAATATAATAATAATAATAATAATAATAATAATAATAATAATAATAATCCTTGGATGCTTAGAGTCAACGCAACAAAATTTGACAACTTCATGATCAAGTATGCACTCATGTTCGCTCATCAGTTAGTAGTGTTAGCTAAAAATTAGGGTGATGTGGTCAAAGAATTGTTATAAGAACCGAATCAGACCATCGGTTAGACTAGTAGAATTACTAAACCAGTGACTTAGATGGTTAGGGATAGAACAAACGATTTTTAATAGTTTGCCATGAAACCAGATGAACCATTCCGGTTTGACTATTCCACTGTGTTATAACTGCGCTGCTACGGATCAGGAAATCGTCGGGATCGAGAAAGCAAGAATACGAAAGCGAGAATCGAAAACAGACACACGATTTACGTGGTTCACTAACACGATGTGTGTTAGCTAGTCCACGGGCGAGAGAGAGTCAGTTTCACTATATCTATGAGATTACAGATTACAGAGAAGTATGAGAAGTATATATATAGTACTTCTTCTAGGTCTAACACTAATCCAATCTGGTATAGGAAAAAACGGTTACAACCAAGCCCAGAACCCGAACCCAAATAACATTGAGGACGTACACCGTGGGTTAACTAATACTTTCATAACGACTATTCCACTCGTAGTGGTTGATAGTCCGATTCAAGTCACGTCAATACACTGATTCATCATTTAACCACACAAAAAATAATAATAATAATAATAATTTGACATAAAGTATGACGTCATCCTATATGAATTAATAATTTTAGCAGATGAACGATATTATCAAATATTAACTAATAGTTTCATAACGGTTAACCACTAAACTATAAACCACTAACTTTTTCAGTCTAACATTCGATCCTGTTAGAATAACAGAGGAAGAAAGTCTGTGGAGTTAATTTGTTGCAATTTCATTCTCAACCAAGCTTGCTAAACCCCCGTAGAGTTAGCATCATATGATCCACAACATCTAGTTTGAGATGGTACATATGTACATTCTTTCCTCCACAATCAATGGAGAAAACCAGAGGCAATTAATCCACCGACGTAGAACAAGCAAAAAAAACAAGCGTCCTATTATAATCCAACCACTGCACCAGGCAGAAACCTAAAGCAAAAGACCATGAAAATGTCTTCACCTTGATGATAGATAATGTGGCATGCGCCTTCAAATAGACTCCACAGAACCTCCCTGCCTCCATTGCACAGCAATAGGACTCCTCACCTTATGCACTCCATCGCTCCACTCCACGAACCCGAAGCTCTGACTCGCAACAGCGTTCGAGAAACCAACAACAGAACTCGAGAACGTGATCTCGTACGCCAGAGACGAACTCTCCTTGCTAAACACGAGCTTCGACGGCGAGACCTGGACATCAACGTTCATTGGAGCATTCACTTTGATCTCGTAGACCGCATCCACCGAACTCCCAACATTCTTCACCACCCTCTTGTACGTGACCACATCCGATTTCGGTTTGAACACCACGGAGAACGACGGGTAGTTCAGGTCCCCCGGACCGGCGGTCAGCGCCGGTGCATGCTCGCAGACGTCCGACGCAATGGGCTCGCCGAAGATCACCGCGATCCTCGATGCACTGTACCCGCTCGAGCAGAGGAACGAGACGTAGTCTGTCGTGTTGAGGTCGTAAACCAGCCCCGGGCTCACAGCGGCATTAGGAACAACATGCCCTGCACCGTAAACAAACGGAGTCGTCCCTTTGCCAATGGCCAGATCGTTGATGTTCTCCCCGGAGTTGTCGAATGTTGTCGCCGTCGTGATCATAGCCGATTTAATTGCTGCCGGAGACCAATCGGGGTGTGCTCCCTTGAGCAATGCGGCTAGGCCGCTAACATGTGGGCAGGACATTGAAGTACCTAGCATCAATTTGATCAAAATCGAACAGTAAGTATCCAATTCCTAGCAAATTTGATCAAAATCATAAGATGGTTAAAAAAAAAATTTGTACCTGAAATGATGTTGAATGTAACTCTTCTGGGATCAATTTCCAAGTCCGATGGTGCTGCGGCGCCGGTCCAGCCAGCCAAAATGTTGACGCCGGGAGCGATGACATCCGGTTTGAGGATCTCCGGCGTGACCCTGTTCGGTCCCCGGCTGGAAAACGATGCCACTTTAGGAGCAGGCGGGGTGTCTTCTCCGATCACAGTTCCCCTGAATTGGATGGTGGCAGAGGGAGATGCGGCGGATTGAATGTAGGCGCGGATTTTGTCCCCTTCCGTCGCTCCCACCATGGTGGCGGGAATGAGATGAGCGTCGGCGAGAAGCTCGTCTCCTTCTAAATCAGTGTTCGCCATTATCATCCCAGCACCGCCGGCGAGCTTTACCGACGCTCCTTTCTCGACCCTCGCGTTCCCTCCGCGATCGCAGAGCACGATCTTGCCTTTCACCTTTGCCGGGTCGAGGTTGCCGGAATAGCAGTACCTGCTCCCGCAATCGGCGCTGTAAACCAGAGGCAAAAGTTCCCCCTCCGGCAGACCAACCCCACCGTAAAGCGAAACTCCGCGGTGCACGCTTCCATCTCCGAGCACAACATCGGCAGGGAAATCACGGTCAACGGTAGACGCGCCGACGGTCAGGATCCACGGAGCGATGTTCGTCGCCGTGTAAGCTCCGGGCCCGGAATTCCCCGCCGAGCAGGAGACGACGATCCCCTTTTTCGCTGCCGCGAAAGCTCCGATGGCGATCGAATCGCTGTCGTATGGAGGCGGGTAGCTGCCTCCGACGGAGAGGGAGATGACGTCGACCCCGTCGTCAACGGCCTGGTCAAATGCGGCGAGGATGTCGGAATCGAAGCATCCCGGCGACCAGCAGATCTTGTAGGCGGCGATCCACGCGCTCGGCGCCAGCCCCCGCGCGTCGCCGGCGGCGTAGCCGAACAGGCTGGCGTTCGTAACGACGGATCCGCCAGCTGTCGACGCCGTGTGGGTGCCGTGACCTTCCGTATCTTTCGGAGATTTCGATTCCACCGTCTCGTCGATCGGCCTTCCCCTGTAGCTCTCATACCCTTTGTAAAATGCTCTGGCTCCGATCAGCTGTTCGAAAACAAGGATTCTAAAATCAGCTGATTTGAACACCACGATGAAACCTAGAAATCGATCGTCAATCCAATTTGAATTCGCTCTTGTGAGAGCTCAAATACGCCTTATTACCTAATCAATTCGATTTACTTAAGAGCCCTAGAAATCAACTACTTATCTACGGTTCTCGAGAGTTCAAAAACCCTAGAAATTCGACTGACTGACCTTTCGATTACAAGCAGCGGCGGGGAAATCCTTGCCGCTCTCGCAGACTCCGCGCCACTTGGCAGGGATTTTGTCGGCGGCGGCGGGGAAGGCGGCGTCGTCGAAGCTGGGGTGGAGGGGCCAGATCCCGGTGTCGAGGACGCCGATGATGACGCCGTCGCCGTTGGCGGAGTTGAGGGAGAGTGGGGATGAGGGGGAGAGGCCGAGGAAGGAAGGGGTGTGGGTGGTGTGGAGGTGGCGGATCTGGTCGGGGACGACGGAGAGGATTCCCGGGGTGCGGAGGAGGCGGGAGGCTTGGTCGGCGGTGAGGGAGGCGGAGAAGCCGGCGGCGGCGTGGGAGTAGGTGTAGAGGAGGGCGGAAGGGTGGGGGAGGATGGAGGCGTACCAGTCGCGGTGGGAGGAGAAGAGGGCCGGCTTGTGGGATTGGGACACGTGCACGATGAAGGTTTGGGGACGGGGTTCTGGCGCTGCGGCGGCGGCGGAGATTAGGAGGAAGAGGAAGATTGCTGCGGCGGCTGCCATGGTTGCGGTCAGTGGGGAGAGACACGAGTGTTTGGTTGCTAAGAAATTGGAGAAGAAGAAGAAGGGAAAGGAGGGACTGAGTGAAGTCTCTGAAGCTGGTACTGGTAGGTTGGGAATCTTGGAGCTTATTGGTCCACGTCATCCACAGGATTAAAATGAAAAAAAAAAAATCTTTGGATACTTTTGCAAGAAACCAATAATACTGGATTAGTTAATTTATAGGGTTAATATTTTTGTATGGCCTAAACTTTGATCAAAATAAACATCCTGGCTAAACTTTTCGATCTATAACATCTTGGCCCGAACTATACAACAAAATAAACAATTTGGCCAAACCTGATGTTTGACCGTTAACTTGGACAGTCAAACGCGTTGACTAACGGTCAACGCGCCACGTCACTGCCAAGTCAGAAGATCTGATAAATATTTAATTTTTTTCGTTTTTTTATTTTTGGTTTAACTAAGGGATTAGATGATTTTTTAATTTATAATGATTTAAAATTAGGAAATGTGTGGAAATTGTGAATTATTTTAAATATTTTATGCTAACTTGGCAATGACATGGCGCGTTGACTAACGGTCAACGCGTTTGACCGTCCAAGTTAACGGTCAAAAGTCGGATCTGACCAAATTGTTTATTTTGGTGTATAATTCGGGCCAGGATGTTATAGATCGAAAAGATTGGTCAGGATGTTTATTTTAGTCAAAGTTCGGGCCATACGAAAATATTAACCCTAATTTATACTTTCTTCTACCTAGCTTTCTTCTCCTTATTGAAATCTCAAAGTAAGTTTTTTCATACCTTCATGAATCACGATTCACGATTTAGTTTGGGAATGATTAAAAAAAGGTTAGTCTTTATGCTCTAGTTTAAGATTTATATTTGAGCTTATACTTAATTAAATATCTTGTATGAATTTGATTTTGGTGATAGTTAAATTGATGCATTGTTATTATTATTAATGCATGCATAATAATATATATGTATATAAGAAAATTGTTGTATTGTAGTTTACATCGTTTGCTTTCTGTGATAATTATTCAAATATCGAAATAAGTTATATTACTTTTGGATGAAACGTCACTTTTGCCCTTTGTTTTTAATATTAAATAAGCAACACACATAAAAAAAAGTAGGGACAAAGTTGGAAGTAGGAACAAAACAAAACCCAACAATCTCTACCAAACAATCTCAACCAAAACTTGAGATTTAACTATCACTCATTTTGAGTTATAGTTTGTGTCAAATCAAACAAACAATACATGTATTTTTTTTTTGTGCATAAAATAAAATAAAAAAACGATGCATTGTAACTATCCCAACCAAACTATCACCAAAACCAAACGAGCCCTTAATTACAGGGAATTATTTGGTGGTGGGGGGGGGGGGGGGGATTTAATCAGATTGATTAAATCGATGTTCAAAATAAGGAAGTTGTAACATGATATATGACGAGACCTAGACCTTTCAGTAATAAATTATTCGATATGATATAATGTTTTCCTTGACACTATTTTGATTGTGTAAACAAAACATTAAATCATACAATTCGATTTCACTTATTTTTTTTTTATAATTCGTGAGCATTAGATCAAATAATATTGTTTGTCTTTATTTTGTATTCTTTACCTACTTAAATGATGTTAGTACAAACTTACGTAATACCGCATTTATATTATAACCCAAAACACCGAGGAACAATTAGATACTAGTGTTTCATCAAATTACTAGATTTGAGGAATTTCCCAAATTGTCAACATGATTTTGGTTGGCATTAAAATTGGGTGTTATTGGGGGATCATGATGGGTCCTAACTCCTAACTCTTAAAGGTTGAGTTGTGTAATGGCAATGGGAAGCATGCATAATATTAATTAGCAAAAGTTTAGCTCCCTACCTAACTCATCCATGTAGAAGAAATATGATATGATTATCAAAATCGAACTGCTTGTTCAATTTGGAACATTCGATAAAATTGGACGACACATAAAATTTAGCTACCTACCTCATATAAACCAAAATAATTTGGGGAATTTGGTGAGATAGAGAATGAATGGATTTCTACATAGTGAGCTTAATGTAATGGCGTGGTCGTGGATATGATAGGATAGGATAGGATAGGATAGGATAATAATAGTGACATGGGCATGGCCGCATGGGATCCCATTCATAGAAAACAAATTTTTTGGATGAAACTTGTACAGCAGAAAAACTTTGAAATTATACCTACATACATGAATGCTTGGTGTTATTATCAGTTAATTAATAATCTGTACAAGTTTCATCCACATAAATACGATATCTTACATATTAACAGGAGAGTGAGTAAATGTGACATGTTTCAGTAATTCGAGTGACTGGAGTTGGACGGAGGCTGACGCGAGAGTGAGTAAATGTAATATGTTTCAGTAATTCGAGTGACCAAAATTGATATTAAATTTTTTTAGTGACTAAACATGACACGATATTTAGTGATCTTAGTGGGGCTGTTGATGAACCAAGCTATTCGCGAACGACTCGATCTCAAACTCGTTCGATTTTAAAAAAGCTTGATTCGTTTATTAATAAGCCAGGCTTGAGATCAACCTTGTTTGGCTCGTGAACTAGCTCGATTAGGTGGCTTGTTGAGTTCGACTCATGAACTATCCAATTTTGAACTCATGAGATTTCTCAACATTGTAATTGGCGAGCCAACTTGATTACGACTTATGAGAAAATTGATCTGTATCTTATGAGTTGATTTGTTAATGATGCATATATTTATTAAATTGTATATCACACCGCATGTGATGTTTAATAATTTGAGTATGCGAACAAGTATGCCTTGTGTATGACATAAATATTAGGTATTTAATTCATAAATTATCTTATAATTGATTTCGAGCCGAAATTTTGATCTTAATGACAGTCAAGATTCAATAAATGAGCTGGCTCGTGTTCGACTCGACTCAGCTCTTTTATAAACGAGTCAAGCTCGAGTTCGGCTCGTTTATAAATGAACCAAACCTGAACAAGGCAAAGCTCGGTTAAGCTCGACTCATTAACAGCCCTAGATCTTAGTGACCAAATGTGGCATTTACCCCTTTTTTTTATTACCCAGGAACTTAAACCTGAAAGCCACCTGCAATCAAATTCGCACATGATTTCGCTCCTAGTAGTCTTCTACCTCCGGCAATACCAACAGAACATTCATGAGGTGCTTCGTCTTATGATCTTCTTTAGCATACCTATGAAAATTGAAAGGGGGAAAAAGAGTAGAGGCCTCCTTGTTGAGTGATAGAATAAACCAAAAAAAAATTGTACCAAGAAGACTCTAGCCCATGTTCGGTTTTGTTTTTATTGGGCTCGATTGCTTGCTAAGGGTGATATGATATGGGCAGTAGAGGTAGCTGCAGTGGCATGGGAGACGGGGATTCTGTATTGGGCCGAGGAGCTCGGGAAGGGCTCAGAGGCCCAATCCTAAGTATTGCCAACAGACCGTGAGGAAGAAGAGGGCAGAACCCAGATAGTTAACAAACTGATTCCCATAAGAAAACCCAAAGCTCGCAACTGAAGAAAACAGAGCAACTTCAAACCCTTTGGCTGTCACTCCTCATAGTATTATCATTCAAAATGGACATCGATCTTCTAGCTGCTAAACTCATAGACAGCAGCACGACTTGTAGCAGCAGCTACTGTTTGAACAACTAGGACAACAACCGTTCACCTTTGTACAGTTACTACAAGATAGACAAGATGATGCACTCTTCATTAGGCCACAACCATTGCAGCTGCCACTCTTGCAAGTTGGTTTCCCGAAACAACTACAACACTTGGAGTTGGAGTCGGATTGGCGGTGGCCGCTGTTGTGACGCCGGCGGCAGGTGCAACAGGACAGGCATTTTGGGAGTTGAACGTGGCATTGGCATTCACCGAGGCAGCAAACCCATGGTAGACTGTTTTTGAGGGAAGTAGCAAAACAATGGTACCACACATTAGTCGTATTAGTGTCGCATTTACATACATGTGGTGTCACAAGCACAAGCATTAAAATGTTACATCTCACAAGTTATTTCCTCCTCTATCCGTCTAGGCTGATGCAAAGTTTACTGGCATTTCATAACCAACCCCGACCCACCAAAATTGACTCGTGACTCGGATGAACTCGACCTGTGTTATCGCGATTTGTTTGTTACAACCTGTTCACCACCCACGGTACATGACTACATGATGACCTGACCAAATATGATTTATCACCCACAATGAACCAAACGATCATGGCTCACAATCCACAAAATAACCGTTATTCATAATGATCCGACGAACTATGACTCGACCTGAACCAACTTTATGGTCTTATCTAAACTCGAATTGAACTACTTCTCTGATTATATTCTAAATGAAAGAGCCAATTTTGTTCTCCATGGAGCATAAACTTGATCTAATTGGGAATCATGTCCTAATTGCAAGATGAAAGATTTGGTTTACCATAGTTGCTTCCAGGAGAGGCAGGGCTTATGCAACTGATGAGGCTCCTCTTTTCTGCTTCAGTCAAGAAAGAAAGAGCACAGGAAAGGGATTAAACCTAACCACATTATCTGGTGCACATGAAGAACTCTTTGAATGAAGCAATTCAGTTGAAAAGTTGAAAGAAGTAGGCTTACATTGAGATGAAAGGATCCTGTCTACCATCAACATATTCATGAACCCTGTCAATCCCAAATGCAAACAAGTGTTAAAATAGGAACTGATGCGGCATTTGCATTTTGCAGTGATGAAAAGCAGAGCAACGGAGGAAGAAAGATGAAGGCCTATCTGTCCTTACTCTCTGCAGCACTTTGAAGCTGGTTGAAGGATTTCCACAGCTTTCAACTCTTCCTGTTTCATAAAGTGGGGGAAAATCATTTTCACTTTACCACCTTTAACTTGCAATGATGTTTAAGTCATGGTACAACAGAGAACAAGGTACAACAGAGACTTGTACAAACTCCAAGCTTAGTGTTGTCCTAAAAGGGGATAACCAGCTCTTCTTGACATAAACAAGGAGAGAAAAGTTATCTTCTCTCTTTTGGGTTCCACTACCAAATTCAGCTATAAGATGAAGAAAAGGCATCGACTTTGGTACATCACCACACAACCATGTCCCCCAAAAGGAATGCCTCTCAAGTCTCAAATCAGCATGCCATCACAAAGTGAAAACAGCATACTATGGAGGCAAAAAGAAGAGGCAAGCTTCAAATTGAATGAAAATATATGAATTACAAAAGCTAGAAGTAGAAGGGAGGATGATTACTTACTTGAAGGAGGGCAATCTCTCTTTCCAAGACTTGAACCTTAACAAGCTGCCTTCTCTTGCCATACAAATCCAGTGAACCAGAAGGAGGGGACTTTGGGCTCACTGGCCCAACTACAACCACCCCAACTGACGAAGAAGACCCACTTGATGAAGCTCCTGATGATGATGAACATGATTTCAAACTCCCATTTTCCATTCCTCCTTCAGAATAATCAAAATCCCCCAGAATCCCAGAAGAGAAAAGGGAAGAATGAACGGAACCCAGAAGCCAAAATTTGTACTTTTGCAGCTAATTTAAGCCATATTACTAAGTTCCCAACTGCCAACCACTACATTTGCCTCTGAAACAAAAATGGGGTGAGTGAGTTATGAATGCAGCATAGTTAATTATCAATGGGGGGTTTTAAAAGCAAAGCTGATGGACATATGTCCGTGGATTCAGACTGAGAGAGGAGAGTAGAGAGAGAGAGAGAGAGAGAGAGAGAGAGAGAGAGAGAGAGGGAGAGGAAGACAAAATTTTGAAGTTTGCAGCAGCAGAACTGGGCATGGCTGCAGAACACACGTGACTGCAAAATGAAAGTCGTAAATAGGGAAAATGGTCCTGCAGCCGTTGTTATTTCTCACTTCCCTTTGCTTTCCACTATGTATTCTCCATGTTACACCTTGCAGCCAACTTGTTTACTTCACCGTAAAACAAGTTCTAAACTCCTAACGCTTTAACATCCAAACAGAATACTTAATTACCAACACACCCTATCGGACGAAGTAACTTATAGGCCTGAAACTCGAGAAGTCTCATCTTATATGATGCTTAAATAATCTCTTAATGTTAGAGTACATATATTAGAGAGCGAGAGACCTATATCATAAAACATGACACACATTATTACGTCAAAAACCAGATCATCCAATCAGAGACTCGGAGTACCAACCTTTGCCATTCCAAGCTACAAAACATTACGATTAAATAAGCTTGGGTTCCTGCATTGAATCGTTACAATGACGAACAATTCAGAAAAATATGTTTTTTTGAGGGTGCAGATATGAGAACGAGGGGAAAGGCAAAACAGAGAATCTTTCCTTCCCCTGCAACACGAAAGAAACTGCATAATTAAATTAATTGGTGGAAACTCGCAAAAGTGAGTAAACTAATGATTAAAAAGAACAGCAGGGTAGCATAGTATCAGTATCAGGCTATCAGCCATGAAGTTCTGACAGTGACACAGACGTTTCAAAGATATTGAGTGAGTGCTGTTTGTATTGTACTATGAACCAATTTAAAATAAGCCATTGGAGAATCTGACCTATGCATGCATGACATGTCATAGCTAGGAAACAAATACAGTATAAGCTCCAGACGACAGACAACAACAAACGTGCGCCTGTTGTTGTTGTGCATTCCCAATGGACACAGAAACTATTGCCATCCACACAGAGAGAGAGCTTGTGAATCTCAAGCTGCCTGTCGTATTCCATGGCCATTCACAGCTATATCCCATATTCCCACCATCCACTAAATAGGGATTTGGTTCGGATGAACAAGGTAACGACTCATCGATGCAGTTCAATGAACTTTACAAGTATTGTTTGTATTGATGAAGCAATGAAGAAGAATTATGCACATCAATACAATTTATTTGTTCAATTGTAACACTGCTACAAATGCACCAAACCAACCTTACCTATAAACGACTAGAGAAATTAAAAAGCGAAAGATCTCAAGAAAAGACTGTTTTATTCAAAATACCCTGAAAGAATCCATCTATATACAACATGATAATATGATATCTCCCCATATATCAGCATATGCAGAATGACTTTGCTCAAAGGATCCAACAAGCAAGAGAACTCTCAAGACTCTGCTCTTAAGAACAAGCCACTATACAAAATGAGTTCACATAACAAACTACAACAGTACATGAGAAGAAGAGCTTAGCTCAAAATCAAGTCACTACGAAACTTGTGACACCAGTCAGCCTCACGGTAAGAAAGACCAGATACATCACTATAAGCCCAAAGCCCAACGTCGTATTAGGACGCATATCATTTCTAGGCAGCACGACGAGAGCCCAGAGCAACCCAGATACGAGAAATCCAATGGTCAAGAACAACGTGCCATCATGAGGGATCTCGTACGTACCGTTGCTCCTCGACCAGGCGCCCAATACCATTGAGGCACCCAATCCAATGAGTGTGTTGAACATTGGACCAGCATAGCAACCAGACATGGCAATCTGCAGACTGTCCCCACCGTTCATTGCCAGTGCAACGTTTGAGACCAGATCGCCCATGGAGTTGCCCCATGCCAGTACAGTTAGCCCCAAGATTGATGGATTGATTCTTAATATAGTACCAAATGCAACTAATAGAGAGACGAGCTCGTTTGCTATCATGTAGAACCAGACGATGCTCATCACGAACCCTCCTAGAACCCATGCTAATATAAAGGTCCGAGGAGGTCGATCAGGCAGGGTCTGCTGATAAGCTAAAATCCCAAAAGTGCAGCCGAGTGATATTCCGATTATATAACCGACGATTTTACTCGAAGGAGAGATATCCACTTGCGTACTCCATAGATATGCCATAAGAAGGGGAGCTAATGCTGCACTGCTGACTGCATATGGCTTTGACCATGTTTCATCGTCCACGAGTGGGATTGTCAGCCTCCTTGGTATTGTTAATGGCATCTCCATGATTGAAAACAATCGCGAATATGACAGCGAACACTTTCTCATCTCTGATCTCCCCTCACCATCATCATTCCATCCCCACGGCGACCCTTCCTCGTCCATAGAGTTATACTTCGAGGAGTGGTTCGAGAATATCGCCACGTTTGAAGCCCACATCCACGAGGGCAAAGAGGGTGGTAGATCATGTATGGTGTTGCTCTCGGTATCCACCTCGAGCAGAGAGCTGTAAACCGACCCTACATCTTCTTCCTCTCCCCCTATAGAAAACACACTTCCCCTGACAGGAATCAATGGTGTCACGGAATCCAACTTCAATCTCTGAGCATGTTTCCTCAAGAGCTCATTAGCAGCTACAAAGAATGCATACACCACATAGATCAAAACAAATGCAATTGCAGCTGTAACAGTCACTCTACCAACCATCAAAATCGTCAGCAACGAGAAGAGAGCAACAAGGAAGAAACATATGTCCCTGACAAAACATCTCCGATCAATCTGCACTTCCTTCCCCGCCACACACAATGAGACAGCACCAACTACAACAGAGGTCACAAACACAGCACCTCCCAACACGCTATTGAGCCCCACGCCACCCTGATTCTCTCCGAGGAACGCAGCGATGCTTGCAAACACATCGGGAGCTCCATTCCCAAGCGGTAGAAGGGCCACACCAGCAACAGTAGGGGGAAGCTTCAATAGACTCGAGAGCTTTTCCAACGAGCGGCAGAAGTAATCAGCAGCAGTGTTTCCCAGCAGGTAGAACAATGCAGCAAGCCAGATTCCCAGTACAAGAAACCCCAGCCATCTGAAGTTGCCACAATCACAGTACAAGAAATGAACGTAATCGAAGAAGCCATCAGAGAAGCATTGTGGATTGGCCTTCAAGAAGGCGCATTGGTTTGCGTACCCCTTGTGATCAATCACATCTCGACATTCATGTGGCAAGCTGTTTGTATCCTCCAAGCTGGTCTCCCATACATGAGTCCAGTTTCCTGAACTTGGGGAAGGCGAATTCGCATAGAGTTCGGTCATCTGCCGACGAACCAGTGCAACCCGACTCACCCCATTACTCGAAATAGCTCCAAGTTCCGAACTTCCACTATCAGGAATGTTCGCAATCAAACCTCCCCGGTTGGATAACAAGATAACCATTATCAGCGCGCATAATCCATTGAAAGCCCCTCTCAATTTGGGGACTTTGGCGCTATTCTTTGACCGACCGAGAACACTCATCTCGAATTTCCGCCGCTGATTCTAGTAAGAACAGCTAATTCAAATCGAATTCAACAACGAACAAATCCCTAGGGTCTCATTTGCTTGAATGAAACCCTAGATTTCGGCCTGGGACCGACGACGCCGCGGAAAAGGTGCGAGCTTCAAGGAAATTCGAAGACTTACCCGTTGAAGTTGATCGCCGATGAAGAGTTCGTAGCTGGGTTTAGGGATTTCCGGATGAGAAATGGAGAGCTGATGAAATCTTTTTTGGGCGATTATGGAATTTGCGGGGTTTTTCCCGGCAAAGTGGGTACGGGTTCAATTTCTGCGTTTGGGCCGGACTCTTCTCGCCAGTCGCCACATATCCGAGAGAGCTATTTAAATAATTTCTTTCACAAATGCAACATCAATTTTTGTTTTTGAAATGCCCAAATGCAACAACATACTAATACCCAAGTTAGAAACTTTCAAGGGCAGTCAAACTAATTAATATCGTTATAACGGTTTAGCATGTGGTATAATACGATAAAATATAATCGATTTGTATGCCAGTTTTTGCCTATTTTACCAAAAACATACGAGGAAGTTTCTAACAAGGCTTCCCGCTTCGGCCAATGAGTTTTGTTGCTTAATCGAAGACATATTCAAAGAAAAAAAATCTTAACTGGGCGATTTTGGCCAAACGAATTCAGGATAGGACAATGATTGTCCAACATGCACACCGAAATGAGCAGAAGAGTAATACAACCAAACCCACCCTAACCAATCGCCGTTAAAATGAAATTAACAGTGTTATTAATGATTATGTGTTCTATGTTGAAAATGAACCGATGATAAGATAATGTGAATATAGATTCGTATGCTTCAGATTGTGAACACACCCATCATGTCATCAGTCTTATCTATTTTCATGTGCTTCCATCCTTCTTTTGTATTTTGGCCTGCCTGGTGTCTCGCAATTTAAAGGTTAGACGCTAGGACACTCCACTGCGCTAATAACAAATGAAGGGGAAAGGGCTTATAGGCGCAAAAAGCCAAATCACCTTTCTTGTTTCTACCAAAGCTCAATAATGTAATCCGAAAACTTCTCCCAGAACCGCACGTCTCTATCGCTTTCTCTCCTTTCTACTCCATTTATACTTTCAGCTCCATCTCTTCCCTTCCCTCCGCCTTCTAACCACTGCCACGCTGCCAGAGATCACTGACTGGCTGCTCAGAACTTCTCGATTGAAGGTGAGAAAAGAAAATCCCTTTGATTGATCGCTGATCTTTTGTGCTCGATCCTTTTCGAGCTGGGTCTGGTCGAAAGTTCGGGTCTTTGAGTTTCGTTTTCCATTTATCGAGCCAATTCATGAACTGGGTTCCGTTTGTTTGTAGACACTGGAAATGGGGTTCGAGAAGAAAGAGTATGAATTTCTAGAGGAGATCGGGTTGAGCTCGAAGAATGTTGGCTGTTACGTTAATGGAAAGTGGAAGGCAAATGGACCTGTGATCACCACTACGAACCCTGCAAATAACCAGGTAAATGGAAGAAGGGGGGGGGGGGGGGGGGGGGGGGGGGGGAAAGCGTTTTTTAGATTTTCTGGTTGTGAACTTTGTGGATCAATCATGAATTATTTTGGCCTCGTTCTGCATTTGAGTTCCATTTCCCATTTCTGTTGGAATTGTGCGTGGTTGAATCGAACATGACGTTTTTAGTTGGATTTATTGTTTGAATTTGGAATCAGCCTATTGCTGAAGTAGTGGAGGCTTCGTTGCAAGACTATGAGGAAGCGTTGCGAGCTTGCAGTGAAGCAACTAAGACATGGATGCAGGTATATAGTAGCTTGGTGATCACTGAGAGATATCGTCTGTTCTTTTGGGGTATGATCAAGGCATCTCAGTTACATATTCATTGGTTTTCAGGTTCCTGCGCCCAAGAGAGGTGAGATTGTTAGACAGATTGGGGATGCACTGAGAGCCAAGCTTCAGCAGCTCGGTCGTCTTGTTTCTCTTGAGATGGGAAAGATACTACCAGAAGGAATTGGAGAAGTTCAAGTATGTGCCTTTAATATGTTTTTAGTGTTATAATCATTGTGGCATTGTGATCTATTCTGTGGTTCAGGAGAGAAAAGGCTGTATGTTATTGGAAGTTTAACTTCATGGCATTTACGTCTACAGGAAATTGTCGACATGTGTGATTTTGCTGTGGGGCTAAGCAGGCAACTGAATGGATCAGTAATCCCTTCAGAGCGTGAGTCCTATCATTTCGTACTTAATTATTTCTTTTGTTTGTGTGAGTCCTATCAAAGGTATACCTCAAATGTGTCAAGGTGATGATATGCCTTCAGGAATGACCTTTTTTATTTCTTTTTACCAGGTCCTAACCACGTCATGTTGGAGGTATGTGCCTTACCACATGTTTCAAACTGTATTAAAATGTTGATGAGAATTTCATACCTCTTTTTTGCTAAAATGAATCACTCAAATTCACCTGGATAGATGTGGAACCCACTTGGAATAGTTGGTGTCATCACTGCTTTCAACTTCCCGTCTGCTGTTCTTGGTAAGCATTGTGATTTTGTTGCTTAAAGTTCGCTTTGCTTTGCTTTCCAGGGCATTGTTTTAGTGTAGATTTCAACTTTCCGCCCATAATCCCTGAACAATAATCTACATTATGTCATTTTTGTAGGATGGAATGCTTGCCTTGCTCTAGTCTGTGGTAACTGTGTTGTATGGTAAGCCATGATATTATTTCCCATAGTTGCAATCTTAGCAACATCAATGTGTTCTCTAGTCAAGATCGTTGTCACCTCTAATCCATTAAGTTATTTTGCCTCTATTTCCTTGACAGGAAAGGTGCGCCAACTACACCTTTGGTCACCATTGCACTGACGAAGCTTATAGCCGAGGTGTTAGAGAAGAACGAGTTACCTGGTGCAATATTTACGTCCTTGTGTGGTGGTGCTGAAATCGGACAAGCAATAGCAAAAGACACTCGCATTCCTTTGGTATCTTTCACCGGGAGTTCAAAGGTACATCTCAATTCTTGTTTATTTACGCTTCATAATTAATAATACGTTAATTGTCTGTTAATGTATCTTGTTGTTCCATAGGTTGGCCAAATAGTGCAACAGACGGTGAGTCAGAGGTTTGGCAAATGCTTGCTCGAATTGAGTGGTAACAATGCCATTATCATCATGGATGATGCAGACATCCAGCTGGCAGTCCGTTCTGTGCTCTTTGCCGCAGTTGGAACAGCTGGTCAGCGGTGCACAACATGCCGTCGACTGGTAACATTTAAGTTATTTAGTTTGTTGTTTTCATCAATAACACGGGAAATTTCTTACTGAACTGTTTGCTTGTTCATAATGTTGAAGCTTCTTCATGAAAGCATCTACAAGAAAGTACTTGATCAGCTAGTTGAATCGTACAAGCAAGTTAAGATCGGTGATCCGTTGCAGAAAGGTATCTTGCTTGGACCACTGCATACTCCCGAATCACAGAAGAACTTCGAGAGGGGAATGGAGCTCATCAAGTCTCAGGTTCGTTTGTTTTTCTCTGTTTCCGCATTTTAAGACGTTGAATTGGAACTAGACAACTCTTTGTAGGAGAAATGAATTTACTTTTCAGTTTTCAGGTTAATCATATTTTTGTTCATATACCATATTGTTTCCATTCAAATATGTAACTGTTGGGGTCGATTCATGCTTCATAAGCATGTCCTAGATCCCATGCTGGAATTATATCCTTATAATATGCCGATTATATGTCATTAGTCCTTTCCTTACTATTTTTATATGATTCATTGCTGTGAAACAGGAATAATGGCGTGTTTGTGAAACACTTTATAAGTTTACTGTTGGTTTACAGGGAGGGAATATTCTAACAGGAGGATCAATCATAAAATCCGATGGGAATTTCGTGCAACCCACGATCGTCGAGGTTGCTCCAACAGTACTTGCAGTTAAAGAAGAGTTATTTGCCCCAGTTCTCTATGTCATGAAATTTAAGGTAGGCTAATTGAATCTCCTTTCATATTCTGATATCATGTACTGGTGTATAGGGATATTCTAAACTTTGAACACTTATTTGCAGACTTTGGAAGAGGCTATTGAAATAAATAACTCTGTGTCTCAAGGATTGAGTAGTTCCATCTTTACCCAGAAACCACAAACAATCTTCAAATGGCTTGGGTGAGTCATGAGATCATGGAATCGATGGTGTTGTGATTTCCGTTCCATTGCTTAGTTATAAAAGATACTTATTTTGTTCTGGCTTTGGCAGCCCACTGGGGAGCGACTGCGGCATTGTGAATGTGAACATACCCACAAATGGTGCAGAAATTGGCGGCGCATTTGGTGGCGAAAAAGCCACCGGAGGCGGGCGTGAAGCTGGAAGCGATTCGTGGAAGCAGTACATGCGGCGATCAACTTGGTAACTTTGCTTTATTGCCTTCCTGTAGCTCCTATTAAGATCAGTCATCATTGGCTCCTTGGGATAGTCTTCTTCCTACCGTTTTCCTCATGTGTTCTAATGGATTGAATGCCTAAATTATTACTGAGCTATGATGTTTGTGTAAAAAATGGTCATTAAACTAAAGTCCTAAGTAATGATGATTATACTAATTACTACAAAATCAATTAGTTCTGGTAAAAGGCTTGTGACCATTTATGCATTAACCCCGTTCTAACTTGTAAGTAGGTGTGATGTCTGCCTGATAATTTTCCAATGGTTCCCTGCAGCACTATCAATTATGGAAGCGAATTGCCTCTGGCTCAAGGAATCAATTTCGGCTAATCGGCATATGATTCTGTTCTGCACCTGTTATGATGGCACCCCAGTCCAGCCTGGTTGATCTGAACCTGTCTAGAACAGATACTTGTGCTGCAGAACTTTGATCAGAGTGGATTTCCCCTGCAAACAAAATGGTATCATGTTGTGAGAATAAGAGATGTATATGCTCAATTATATAGATATTGTCATTCCCTTTAATGTAAGCTATGGAGCTGGTCTTTTTGCAAGACCATATTGGACATGGAATGTTATAAGATTTCTAAAAGGGGTTGGTCAAGACTATATTTCATCTCCATTTCCCTAATGCCTATCGAGATATTAAAGTCTATAACACCTTTTTGCTTGCCTTTGAGTACTCTCCAATCTTTTGTGACACTAACCATGTAAGCTGAATATGAAGACTGGATCCAGGCATGGTTTGCTTCTTCTTTGGCCATTTTCCTCGAGGAATCACATAGAAAGGGAAGAGGGTTGAATCCAAATGTAATGAGAATTAAACAAAGAAGAAGAGTTAGAATATCATTATGACATCAAATGAAGTTCCAAAGGTATATTGCAAAGGAAGGGCCAAGTAAGCAATAAGTGCTCTTTTCCAATTAGCACAACACCAAAGCTTAATTAATAAATAATTACATCCCCATGTATGTTAATTAACTACTCTATCTCCCTGCTTTCCTGAAAGTTCTAAGAATAATACCAAGCAAGGGTAGGGCCATTATCATTGTTCTGAAGCTAACTAGTCAACAAAAGACCAACTTAATTATTAAAAAAAAGGGGGTGATTGTTGTGATTGACATCACCTAATTCATTGGATTGGCAGGTTTCACCTGTCTACTAAATCAATGCATACATTACTTTTCCCCTGCCTACTTGGGTTCAATCATTGAGCTTAATTAAAGGAAAAAACAGAAGAAGAAGAGCTAGCAAGATTCATGTGGGTGGGTTGGGTAGCACTTGACCAAACCGCCCCTTCTAGTTAAGTAGTGGGGTCAGGGGTGGGTTAGTTGCGTTTGATGGTTGGTTAAATGTGAAAGCTTTGTTCTCATTTAATCGAGTTCCATTTTATAAGCTGTATCTATATTTTAGACCAATTGCTTTGCTCCACTTGCTATTCGTAATTAGGTCAAATCCCTCTGTTATAGAGTCATATTTCACGATATCACTATATGAAAAATCATAGTCAGAGAATAGAAATTTCTATATGGTAACGTCACACCGCGATTGGAAATTCTTTGAATGCATAGTTAGGAATGAGAGATCATACTACAATATATAACCGAAGAGTCCACCCAACATGTGATGTCCCACTTATAACTAACCCTCCTTTTTTTTTTACAAAAGATAATCATATATAGATTCAAGATAGGCACCATTACATCCGGGAAAACAACCAGACCTGAAAATTAAACGAGCGACACGTAGACGGGTACAAAGCAAGGGCCTTTCTAGCCACCGAGTTCTTGTGACGGTGTGGAAGTAGGAGGTGTTTTTATCACCTTTCTTCAGCCAATGAACCCTCGATTTTTGTTGCCAGTACACCTCCTCTGCTTCCCATTGGCGAGTCAGTTCCGTTTCTAGGATCTTGACCTCCTCCCAATTGATGGGGTGATGGGATTTGATATGTTTAATCTCAACTTGGAGTGTCTTGATATTGCGAAGCGAGCTGGTAGTCCCAGCCCTACTCCAATCGTAGAGAAGATGTCTCAAATTCTTAAGGTTCTCCCAGAGTTGATACATCGGGGTCCCAGAGATTTGTTCTTGCCATACATACCTGACCATTGCCCTACGGATTGTCCGCCCATCGGGCATCAAACCTGAAAAGGGGCCGACTTTGTCGAACAAAGGGTTTGTCCGCAAGGAGCAGTGCCCGATGATCCGAACCAAGGTCTGTGCAATGCTTGACAAGAGTATCTGGGAAGTGATCAACCCACCTTATTATATGTTTTCATCAATATTGACTAACCCACTCTCTTATATATTCCTGAGATTGCGTTCAGATTTACAACAGTTTTCCTTTTTCTCGAATTGTTAACTATTTGTACACATGGTCGTATTGACATCCTTCCCCCTATAGCATCACATTGCACGCTATTGCATCACATGTCCTCACCAAGACGAGTTCGGATGAGAGAACTCTATAGTGTGTTTGGTGTAGATCTCTGATCATGTGGGCGCTCTTGATGATCAGTTTCTGGAAAGGAAGATCTCAGATGCAGTCAAGTAATGAAGTGACAACATTTAATACATGTATTGCAGTACCAAAATCGAGTCAAAGAAAGGTGGGAAGAGACCAAAAAATTGATGAATATACAGATGGAGCTAGCTAGGGCATTCATTTCCCATTAGTACATAGTATAGTAGTATGCAGATGTGGGGCAACTTGGTAGAAAAATCCATGCACGTATTATTGTTCTGTCCCTTTCACATTTCTTCATGCATTAAATCGGAGCAACATACACTTGGTCATGTTATAAATTGTTTGGACTTCCACTAGCTGATTCAATCAATATCAACTTTTGAAACATAAAAACACTTCTAAAAATCATACTAAAAAGAGTCTACATATATAAAACACTCGAAGAATACCCAAATCGAATGGAACCAACAACAAAATTAGATAAAAAAGAAGTGAAATGATGTGAAAAATATAACCTATCATTTAGGAGATAAGATGGGATAAGCATCACATGATTTCACACCCACGAAACCTTTTCTTCCTCTTGTTTCCATCTCAAATCTTTGGATGAGCATGCTTGAGCTAGCTAATCCATTTCTTGTCCTTTAGCACACTAGCTGCTAGACAAACTACTTAAACATCTGAATGTCTCATCAGTACTATCAATTCATCATGATAATTAATCATCATCCTTGTACCTCTGAAATTGCTTTACTTCTTGGTGGTGCTCACGATGATCAGGCGCCGTTTTTTGACCATTCATCATCAGAAGCATAAAATATGTAGGGTGTACTTCGATTTGGAAATGATTATGAATGTATTTTTGTTTAATTGTGTGTTGTTAACTTGTAATATGAAGTGTATTTGAAAAAATATTGTTACTAAAGAAAGGGGAGACTTATTTTTTAAATTCATCTAATTATATAACACTGGTTTTGGGTTTTCCCAACAATAACTTCAAAAAAAAAAAAAAACAACTATGTTACTCATATATACATCAATAGTAGTGATTGCAATTTGAATCCGACTTATCTTATATGATTCACGTTGGGACAAATAATATCCGAATCTAAGTAGCATGGGCGACTGGCGAGTATTAGTATTACTTCATATATTGTCCCACCCCGATCTGGCTTATTCTTGACCCTTCCTATTCAGATCTTGCTGATCAATATATATTTGTATTTATCCTATTTTGTACTTTTTCAATCACATTTTAATATAATGCAACTTCAAATAAGTGCAAGGGTTGGTCTTTCTGATAATTGGACTTAACTTATCATCAATTACCTCTATTTGTCATTCATTATGTGTTTTTCATTTGTTTTATTTTTAAAAATTCTATTTTTGTATTTATTTATTTCATATAATACGTGAGATCTGTGCTTTTGATTCATATTCATACGGATATAACCGACTTGATTCGCGTTTGGTGTCGAGCGAGTATGAGATTGACAGACTGATCACCTAGTTATCAATTACATGGATACAAAGAATGTAGTTAGGGAAATAGGTTCTAATCAACTAGTATGGTTTTAGTTCACAATTCACAACAAAGTTTGGCTTAAGCAAGCTTCTTTTTTAATAAAAAGAGGCATATGTTAGGTCAGCTACTACTATATACATGTGAATGTGGAAGGAGGTAGAGACAAGAAAAGGGCAATTTTTCTAGTTTCTAGTTGCAATAATTGGTGGAAGACTCTAGATCCCTTAGAGGAATATTTGTTTGGGACTTTTTTGGGGCTCTAGGAAAATATAGGCACCTAAAAAGGTTTCATAATATATTCCCTTGGCAAATGTGAGAAAAAAAAATACACATTGCAATTATTATATAGTTAATTTCCTATGACAATTCTAAGCAAATAAGGGGGAATATTCATTTCCTTTCATTCTTTTCGGCAATGAGCCAAGCTTGGTGAATAATGTCTTCAAACGCCGTTTCCTTCTAGTTGTGAAATGAACTAACCAAAAGCTCGTAAAGTAAAAATATTACCAATAATATTGAGACACCAATTATTTCTAGGCAAAAGGTTAGTGTTAATTTTTTTTTATTACCCAGGAAATTCAGCCACACGTATCACTTTGTAACAGCGGGTTCTACTAAACATGGGGCCACCTGCAATCAAATTCGACGCCAACGGGGCTTCGTCCTAGCAGTCTTGTACCTCCGGAAATACCAACGGGCCTCGTTTGGATTCGAACCTGGGATCTGCAACTCCCAATCCTTCACTGTCGCGGCAGTTTTATCGTTAACCGTTAGGCTATCTTACCTTTGGTAAATGTTAGTGTTATTCTAAAATCGAGTTATGGTAATTACATAACAACATAACTGCAAAATGGATAATGTGGGCATCATCAAATACCAAATGAACCATTATATGATGCATTGATAATTATGAAGCATGGTGTAATCTTGTGTCCTTTTTTTTCTTTTTCTTTGTTCAAAAGAAATCGTGAGAGAATATTGATCATCACATGTGAGTTAGAGGTTGGATCAAACGGTGAATCATATGCAGCTGATTTCTGAATTTCGAACTTACAAGAGGTGTATAGTTCGCGAGTTCAACCAATTTTCTACATAATTCAGATATGACGTGGACAACCCCATAACTCATATATATATATATATATCCTCCTTTCATTCATTCCATTGTTACAAAGAGAGATTGAGATGGATGCTTTCATTGTAGCAAGGAGTATAGAGAGATAGAGAAGATTAATGTAGCTAGCTAGTACAATTTTAATTTTTCATGCATTTTTTTTTTGAAGAAAATTTTTCATGCATGGTGATGATCATTCATCTCTGGCCCATTTCTTTTTCATACCATCATTAAATTCTGGCTGTCCTCTTGTTTTTCCTTCTTACCAGCAGGCAGCACTGTACATATCCAATTTCCTAGACTAATAAGTGGTACACTTTCAACTTTGGATAGATCATATGCATCGTTGTTGGTTCTAACTGGTTATAAATGATTTGTAGATTCTACGTATATAAATTTCTAAACATTCATTTGTAAGGTCTGCAAATGATTTGTTACGACTTATTAATTCTTTGGGTTGTATACATCATACGCATCTAGGGGCAGACTTACTTGTTGGCAAGGGCCAAGGGGTGTCGTCCGACACCCTTTCGCCCGAAAATTTTGTGAACAACCAAGATTTTATTATTACAACAAATTTTAATACGAGCTTTTAGAACCTCTTTAATAATTATAGTCGATACTCTTCCATTAGACTACAACCGTTTTCAACAATCCTGGGTCCACCTACATGCATCATTGACATTTTTGTTATAACTCAAAATTGGATTGAAGCAAAATTGAGCGAATTAGGTCAAATTTTTGCAATACCGAAGAATGATTAGCTCGAGTGATTTTATATATGACGATCTTAAATTTTCCTAATCTACTAAAGGGCCTAGCTATCTTCTCATTTGGAGGGCAATTTTCTTGGAAGGATACCCAAATAATCTTTGGTGAATCATGGGTGAATGAGGAGAACAAAACATGTCTATATATATGTGAAATTCAGAGATTCTCAAACTAACAATATCATATGCTCAATTACTGTTTTCGCAGTTATTTAGAGAATGAATTGACTAAATATAAGAAGATGGACAATATTCTCTAGAGATAAGAGAGAAAAAATGCTACCTAATTATCTCCTCTCTATATTCAGCTATATACAACAACTACATTTTTACCAATTGAATATAAAAGAAATAAATTAGAAAAAAACAACCAAACATAATTTACAGGGTGTCATTATTCCTGTATAGTGTATACATATTTTGTCATATTGTGGAAGGCACTGAGAAAGAATCAATATAGAAGTTGAGGCATCACTTTGTTATGAGGGAATAAAAATTTGTGGTTCTCCAACTCCTTAAGATTGAAAAATTCTGCCATCCAACCTATACCTTTCCTGTATCTTTCAGTAACTCTTTCTTAGAAGTGGGTGGAGTAATTTTGACCTTATAAATATCCGACAAATGCACATAATTAATCGATAAAAAAACATCTAATTCATATCACAATATGTGATATGTCTCCTATCTCAAAGATCATGGTTGATAGACCGAATGAGAGATTGATTGATTCTTATGAACAATTTCCAATAGCAGTAATATGAACCGTTCACAAAGTTTTAATTATTTCTTGTCACATGTTTATTACTAAATCCCGTGGACAAGTAAGGTATTGATCCAATATAACGATAAATAATAACCATTAAATTGAAGTTTCGGAATATTTGAACCTGTAATCTACTGTTATTTTGTTCGACGGTGTGATTTTCCTTTCAAATCACAAATTTGTAACTTATTAAGTCTTTATCTCCCACAAAAATTCATAACTAAACCAAGAACATAGAGTTTATTTGATTGATATGACTAATTAATTTTGTGTTCTGTTTTTTTTTTTCCTGTGATTATATTGGTGGCCATAAATTAAGGTAAAGTATGAAAGTACAGAAGATTCCATTCTGTACTGCAAATCAAGCCCAAACACCAATTTATTTTGACAAGACTTGATTCCACTTGAGTTCTGGAAACTGAAAAGACAATTTTTAACCTAGATAGAAGAGAGAAGAAATTTTACAATTTTTTTCACATCTGAAACACAGAGAGTCCCAGCAAAAAGAAAAAAAAAAACATGATAGAGTCTGAGAATAAGGACTTATATAATTTTCAGTTTCCATTTAGTTCCCTTACTTCTAATAACTTAGGAGAAATTCCTATTGCTTCTTCTTCCACTAATCCTAGCTCCCCAACCCTCCATAATTACCCTTTTTCAATCCAAAACCTTCTCATTAAATCCTCTCCCTCCTTTGATTTGTTGGTCGCAATGTTCGAAACTAATTGACTTAATCAGTCCGATATGCTTCCCACTTCTCGCAACCTCCCATAACTTTTCACGCAACTATGTTGATTCCAAGATTTGAATCCAATTAACTTTAATCAGCTAGACAGGGTCGAGAAGCAACTCCCGGACCTCGTCAGCTTCACCACAGACTTCGTCGTGGGGCTTCCGGGAGTAGATCTCGACCCTCGAGGGGACGACCTCGGCGAATCCAAACTCCGTCGCAGGATCTGTCTCATGGCTGAGATCAAATGCAGGGTCGGGTCGATCGGAGTTGGCTCCGGAGACGACGAGAATTTCTTGCAGAAGTTCATGTGCCTGTTCAGAGCTTCTTCCGTGCTTATCAGTCTTTCTTCCGTTCTCACGATCTCGTCTTTCACCGCTTCGGCGCATAAGCCGCATATCCATTTGCCGTGGTACCTCTCCCGTACCCTTTCGATGTACGCCGGCGTGCATTCCTCCGTCAGGCCGCAGCAGTCGCAGCTTGCTGATTCCACTTCGGCGGCGGTGGCTGCCGGCGGCGGAGGAGGTTGAGTTTCGGCTGGTGAAACTACCAATGGGTCGCTTAGCATGGTTGCCGACATTTTTTTTTTGTCTCCTTAATTTCCTGTTGCCAAAGGGAAAATCTAAACATTACAAAAGCAAATTTGTGTATTAATTGGTACTTAGAGTATACAAAAATTTCTCTTTGTGAAGTCAATGATCAATTGCATAACATCGATGATTACACGATTTGCCAACTATACTCTGAATTTATAGTTTTAGCCCGATCACTAAAACAGTCAAAACGTGATCATAATTAACCTAATGAATTTGAACCTTGTGACCCACATTAACTACAGAATAAAAATCACTAACATCATCAAGCTCAATCACGAAAAAGAGACCAACTTGCTCTGTTTCCAAATCTCCTGATATTGCTGTGAAACTTTTTTTTTTATTAGTTTGAATGGGTTTCTTAAAAGAGGAGGAACAATAGAACATGGGGGGTGATTTGGGATTACGCGTAAACATCAGATTAGGAAATCACCAGCTGGAGGATTTTGGAATCCATTGAGAAAGAGAAAGAGACAACCTCTCCTTTCTTTTTTCTTCTTCTCACAGTCACATGTAATGAAGGAACATTGGACAAAAAACAGAGCAACAGACAACACAACAACAGCAAAGGAAAAAGCAGAAACATTTTTCGGCAAGAAATTCGAAAGTCGTCTTCCCTGTAAACACAATTATGGAAAGGAAGCAAGAAAGAAAGAAACACGGGAAAAGGGTAATTACCTGCTAGCTAGAAACCTTCTTCTAACTCCGTGATCGGAGATTTCCCGCCGGAGGGTAAAACTCTCTGTTCTGTAGAAAGCAGAAAGCCCTCTGCTCTTGTAGTAGTAGAAAAGGGGGAAAGTAAAACTTCTTTTTAAGCCTTTTTTGTTTGTTTGTTTATCTCTCTTTTTCCCACTCGCCTTCTTCGCGTTTCTCTTCCGCTGCGAACAGAATCATGAAAAACACCATTTCCAAGCTACCTGCCAAAAAAAGCTCTGCACCAAACTTCCTCCCGTTCGGTTTCCTGGGGGAAAATAAAGTTGCGAGCTTTTTCCCTTGTGGAGAACTTTGTTTGAGAAAGTGAGAATTGGGTTTTGGTGGGTTTTCTGGGCTCTCTCTGTTCTCTTCTCTTCTTCTTCTTTCTCTGATTGGCGTTGTGAGGGTAACTGTAGAGAGAGAGAGCGGTAGAGAGAGGAGTGGGGGGGAGAGAGAGAGAAGGCCAATGATTGTGGATTTAATGGCAGGGAATCCACGTCAGCGGTTGAGCGGCGGGGAAATCGTGACCGTTCATCTACGGTTTCTGGATTGACAGCTAAGCAATTATCATTGCTCTGTGGTTGGGCTTGGGTTGTGTAGAAAATGAAACTGAAAGAAAAAGAAAGGCTGATAGAGGTTTTATTTTTCCTTTTTCTTAGCCAAATATTGGCTGTAGTTGTTTATTTATAATCATTTTGATTCGTTAGAAGTGAATGACACATAATGATAATTAAACCTGATTAGCGTGTTTATGTAATGGTAGATGGAGAGTGTTAAGGGCTATAGAGGGAAAGAAATAGTTAATTAGTTAAGTTGTTCTTTTCTCTAATTAGCACTAATTCGGTTGGTTCCGTGTTTTATTTTTTAATTTACTCTTATATTCGTCTGATTTATGGGGTATCTAATCAGTGTTGATAATTCAATTTCATTTAAGATCCAATTACTCTCTGCGTTTTTATGTAGTTTTGTTTGACAAATTGTAAGAATTAATGCCGCCATTTTTTGAAATGTTAATTAATTTATTTTGTATAGAAATCAGGTTTGTATCATTTTATAGTCGAGATTGAAAATCAATGATGATATAGCTATATCAAACCCTTAATACAATTTATCTATTTGATTATGAGTTATTGTAAATAAAATTACTGTAGCTAGTTCATTGTCGCCTTTGTTAGCTAATTATTTGACCCTTAACAAAAATAATAAAATGTGAAGAGAAGTACCACGTGTAAGTGGAACAAACGTGTAAGGTTCAACCTAAAGTCCTAAACAACACATTTATTTCTTCCTTGCACACAATTAACAAGTTGGCACAAATTGGTTGTTAATATTTTGTTGTGACCATAATCTTATTTCTTCGTTTTGGTTTTCCATTTTATTTTTAAATTCAAGGGTTGTAATTTTCCTGAATTTTTATATATTTTTTCATAATAATTAGCTCATATCTATATGTATATATGTGGTAGCATGTTCGAAGGATCTAAGGCCACAAAAATTTTCTCATTTGGTCGAAAATGATCGTGGATATCAACTATTTGGCCCTTCAATTCAACACCTATATATGTATGTTTATACCCTACAAATATTAATGTAGAGAAAATCAACATGGAAAAAGCTATACCACCATTGATTCCACAAGATGAATTGTCATAAACATGGATTAGGACTTGTGTTTAATGAATCAAATTGATAATCTAAATAATAATTGTGATGAGGTCCAATGAATCAAATTGAAATGTGTAAAGGAAGCAACTCCTCTTGTCTATAGTCCCCACACTTTGCTAACTCCATTATTATATATATCTGAAGCATGGGCATATGCTCTTTCATGGATTCCTTCAGAATCCATACTAGGATGTGATCGCGCTTTGCAGCTAGCTAGTTAATTAATGGTTGTACGTTGAGATGCGATTCTTTCTTTGGTTGTGAATTTATGATTGTAATTGTGTATTGATGATTCTTTATATGTCAAGAACTAGTTGCTCCCAATAACTCGAGTTGTTGGGAGAGATTCAATCGTGGATCTTATACCACTCTCTGACACGCCCCCTCAAACGAAAGCCAACCCATGGGCTTGAAGTTTAAATAGGCCCACCATACCATGTGCTTGAAAGACAACGGTTAATATTGGGGGTCGTGGATATTCGAACACATGACCTTTCGGTTCTAGGCTCTGATATCATGTCAAGAACCAGTTGCTCCCAATAACTCAAGTTGTTGGGAGAAATTCAATCGTGGATCTTATACCACTCTCTAACATATCTGATATTTTATATATACATAGTGAAAATTTCTAAGTATAATCATAGAAAATTCTTTGCTATTGAGGGAAGTAAAAGCTCTAGAGAGAAGCTAATGAAATAAAAAGTGTAACTCAACTTAAAATTACATGTCTTAAAATTTCAGAGTAAGAATGAAAAGGAAGGTCTACTAATAATTCAAAAATTATCTATTTTTTAATTGGATTGGACATAGAGCTAGAAAAGTTATCGATTGTTGAATCAATTATTAAATTTTATGGACCCATTGATGAATTGTTTAGGGAAACATTCATACTTGCATATTATAATACATATATAATATACTAATTAAGGTTCTACAAAGAAGTCAAAGGTGAAAATAAGAAAAGGGAGAGAAGAGGAAATAAAAAAAATTAAACGTCAAAAATATTATGGCAATTAATTGGTTTTTCACTGTTACATGTTGTTGTCTCCAATAATATTTTTGTAATGACTAAGTTCGTTGACCACCAATACCCACTTTTTTTTTTTACAAAAGGTAATAATATATTGATTGAAACAAAAAGATAGTTACATCCTGGAGTTCAACCAGGTCTGGAAATCAAAGAAGCGACATGTAGTCGGGTACAAAGACATGACCTTTCTAGCTAACAAATGAGCTACCCTATTGCTATTCCGATCTACAAATCGCACACTGAGGCCTATGTTCATTGCGAAGGTCTGCACAACCTCTTCAAGAATAGTCCCCATCCGATTATCACGAGTATCCGCCCATATGATTTTGTCGATGACCACTTTGTCATCACCTTAAAATCTCACCTCCAAAAAGCCATGATTCAAACACCAAGAAACCGCCTTCCAGAGAACAAGCAATTCAACCACCATTGGATCCTCAATCCAACATTGACCCACCTAAATCAAGTGATTCTTGTGGTTTAATGTCCAATCACTAACGACTAACCCATAGTTAAAGATCATATCCCCGAACCAATCTAATATTGTAGTTGATTCACGATTTTATTGATGCCGTTCAGTTGTAATTAAAAATTACTGCAATATTTTTTTTAGTTTTATGTAATACTAGGTGGCGATGCCGCGCCTTGTCGCGTGGTAGAGATGACCTGTGGGCATGTATTATGTTGCCCGTTATGTTATTTTGTTAGTATTATTAGCCTAAAATTAATTTTTTGTGAACAGTTTTGTTAGTGATATTGACTTGAAAATATGATGTTAAGTGAGAAGAGATAAATGACTGTCAACATCCAATTTGAAAATTTTGGCTAGTAAAATGATATTTGCCTAAACCCAAGTAGACCCATCGATTATGGGTAGGGTATGAGTGACGTATATATAGGTTTGGAAGTTTGTAGATGAGTTTGGGTAGGGTATGGATATTTAATTTCATAATCTAAATGTGTATGAGTTGGGTATAGATACCCATTTATTTTGAGAGTGTTTTAATTACTCATACAAAAATTAGACCTATTTGTAGAACTCCAAAAGTTCAAGTACCAAAATGTAATACACAAAATTTTAGGTACTAAAATGTAATGTTCCATCTAGAGATGGCAATGGGTCGGGTCGGGGACGGATAGTGCATATCCGTTACCCTACCCAAAGTAGTTCGGGTTTTACCCATGCCCATACCCACATAAGAAACGGGTAGAAAATCCAAACCATGCCCATAGCCGTTCGGGTTTCGGGTATCCACGGTTATCCATGGGTAATAGTTTTTCTTTATAACTCCAATCAATATGTTAATATTTACACGTATTCTCACGTTACGTAAGACGAAAAGTACGACAATTATTCACTAGAATGAAGAAAATTAATTAAAACAACACAATTTCATAAGAAATTTATATTTATATGCTAAATATAAAATATGTTAGAGAAAAATATTGATTATTTCTAGACAAAATACATATGCATGTGTATAATCGGGCGGGTTCGGGTTGGATAGTGAGAAAACCATGCCCACCCATTACCCGCAATATTCGGATTCGGGTTTTACCCGTACCCACTAAAAGTCTTTCGGGTTAGGGTTTTACCCTACCCGATTAGGTCGGATTCGGGCGGATATCCACGGTTACGGGTATTTTTGCCATCCCTAGTTCCATCAATATTTTGAGGACTTATATGCCGAAAAAATAATTTCGGTTATAAATCTAAAGATCTATTAAGTTTAGGTACAAAACTGTAATTTGCATAGTTGAGGATTAATTCCTTTTATAGAAAATGAAAATTATTTATTTGATATGTGTAGATACCTAACCAAACATCCCATGTATAATTGTTGAAAATTCTAGCACAGGTGAAAAAGAAATATTCTAGAGAGAAGCAAAAGGAAAACAAACTGGAACTCGCTTAAAATTTCACGCCTTCAAATCCTGTAGTGCAAAATGATGACTTTCTAATAAGTAATAACCATATATATTTATTTTAATTGTACTCGACATTGAGTTGAAAAAGTTAGTGATTAATGGTTCATTTATTAATTCTCTAGATTGTTGGTTAGTTGTGTATGGACCCGTTCATACTTGTGATTAGAAATTTAGAATATATAAAATTAGTATACTAATTAGGGTTAGACGAAGAAGGCAAAGAAGAAAATAAAGAAAGGATTATGGAAGGCGAGTGAAAAATGAAACGAAGAAGAAGTAGATGGTGGAAAGGTTTTGACCAATTCTTTTAGTTAGTCGTCAATACAACAGTCAACTTTTCACTATAGTGACTAAGTTGTAATTTAATAAAATTTAAGGTATCAAAATAATATATTTTTAGGGAACAGTAACTATGCTTCACCTTTACCAACATGTAAATATAAAGATTGTAGGTACGAAAGTCTCATAAAATTTAGATAAAAAAATATAATTGTTCAATGATTTACACTAAAATTAAATTTAGGGTATGAAAATATAAAATGTACATTAAATTGTAATTTAATATAATTTAAGGTATCAAAATAATATATTTTTAGGGAAAAGTAACTATGCTTCACCTTATATAATGTGGTTCATTCTCCTCTCCCCCTGTTTGCTGCCGGTTTTAACTATCTTAATAGTAAAAGGAACAATAGTGCATATTAGCTAAACGGTTAGGCAACAGTAATCATATTTTAGGTTTATATATAGTAATTAGGTGACGATGCCGCGCCTTGTTGCGGGGCGGAGATGGCCTATGGGCATGTATTATGTGACCCGTTATGTTGTTTTGTTAGTATTATTAGCCTAAATTTAATTTTTTGTTAGCAATTTTGTTAGAAATATTGATTTGAAAATATAATTATTGTCTGAGAAGAGAAATGTAGCGGTCAACATCCAATTTAAAATTTTTGAAAATTTTGGCTAATAAATTATATTTACCTAAACCTAAGTAGACCCATTGATTATGGGTAGGGTATGAGTGACGTATATATGGGTTTGGAAGTTTGTAGATAAGTTTTGGGTAGGGTATGGATATTCAATTTCATAATTAAAATATGTATGAGTTGGGTATATATATCCATTTATTCGAGGGTGTTTTAATTACACGTACATACAAAAATTAGACCTATTTGTAGAACTTCAAAAGTTCAAGTACTAAAATGTAATACACAAAAATTTTAGGTACTAAAATATATTGTTCCATCAATATTTTGAGGACTTATATGCCGAAAAAAATGAGGCTATAAATCTAAAGATCTATTAAGTTTATGTACCCAACTTTAATTTGCATAGTTGAGGCTTAATTCCTTTTATGGTGATGTATTTAATATGCTAATTTTTTACTATTAATTTGATATGTATAATTGTTGAAAATTCCATGTATAATTGTTGAACATTCTAGCCCGAATGAAAAAGAAAAACTCTAGAGAGAAGCAAGAGGTATACAAACTGGAACTTGCTTAAAATTTCACGCCTTCAAATCCCGTAGTGCAAAATGACGACTTTCTAATAAGTAATAACCATATATACTTGTTTTTAATTGGATTCAACATTGAGCTGAAGAAGTTTGTGGTTCATGCTTCAATTAATAATTCTCCAGACTGTTGGTCAGTCGTGTATGGACCCGTTCATACTTGTGATTAGAATACATAAAAATAGTATACTAATGAGGGTTAGACAAAGAAGGCAAAGAAAGAAATAAAGAAAGGGTCGACCTGTCTCTTCCCGGTTTGTTTGGCCTTGATTGAGGCTTGTTAGCTACTGTTTTCATCTTCTCGTTTGCTTTTTTTTTTTTTGGCTTCCTTTGTCCCCTGTTGTTCTTCTTGGACCCGGCTCGCTCCACCACTTGTGGGGCGCTGCTCTGGCTGCTGTTCCCTTTGTCTTTATTTTTGGTTTAATAAAGTTCATCGCATTCATAAAAAAAAAAAAAAGAGGAAGTAGATGGTGGAAAGATTTTGACCAATTCTTTTAGTTGGCCGTCAATACAACAATCAACCCTTTTCACCGTAGCAATTTATTTACACTTGCTTATGTAGATGTCGCATATATTGTTACATGTAATTAGTAGAAGTTTGTTTAGTACCCGGTAAATGTACTAAATGAGCTTTTAAATTCGCTCTTGCAATATTTTAGAATCGTCTCTCTTTTATCTTTTGCAATGTTTCACATAATGAGCAAATGTAAAATGGTTGAATCTTCTCCTACAGTTGAGTGATACAACATCTTGTATGATACAAACTAAATTTATACTTTTATGTTATGGTGTAGTTACGAAAATCTCGTAAAATTTAGAAACCAAAACATGATTGTTCAATGATTTTACACTAAAATTAAATTTGAGGTATCAAAATATAAAATGTACATTATAATGACTAAGTTGAAATTTAATAAAATTTGAAGTATCAAAATAGTATATTCTTAGGCAACACTAACTAAATTTCAGCTTTATATAATAATAATAATAATAATATTATTATTATGATTAGGATACCATACTCAAGAGTCAAGAGGAAGAAAAACCTAAATCTTCGTACCAATTTTCACCCAAGCAATTGATGATACTTGGTTACTTAATGGTTGTAAGAGAGGAATGAATCGTTCAACTACTGTCTGGCATCCTCTAACGTTCTTTGAGATTCTTCAGTATTTTGTCGAACATTAATCCTCAAGAGGGTTTCTCTTGGAGTGCATTCCTTGGTGGATGATAAATATATAGTTGATGTTGTTAGAGTTAGTCGATAGAGTTGTAATATGACATTGATGGGAGAAGTAAAGTATAAAGATGGAGTATTTTGGCAGTTATATTAATTAATTAATGTTTGAATATTGTGAAAAGAAGTGTTCTTCAAGAAAGGTAACTCCCTCTTTTCTGTGAAAGGATGTGTCCTTTCGTGAGAGGTAACTACCTTGTTTTGTGAAAGGATGTGACTCTTCGGAAGGTAACTTCCAGTTTTCACAACTATAAATAGATGATTGTCATGACTCTTTTGAGAACGTGAGATTACATCTTCTTCCGGTTTTCCTTCTCTATTTCACAAACACAGAAGTCTGCAAGATTGCTGCTTTGATAAGCCGTTAATTGCACATGTTTTTACCCCTATTCTGGAGCCGTTTGAGGTGTTGATTCTCGTGTTTTAGGCCGATTTCACGCTAGGTTGTGCTTGTTTGTGATATTTCAGGTCCTAGTAAGTGAATGAAGGTTTAGGAGCGAGTTCGGGGTCGATTGGACGAAGATGGGATGCGAGGCAAGTCGCAAAGGAAGCCACACGGGCACACACAAAACCCACACGGCCGTGCAAGTGACCAATGTGGCCGTGTGGGATTGTGCGAGCCTTCACACGGGCACAAATACAAACCACACGGCCCTGTGAAGGAGTGATTTGGCCGTGTGGAATTCTGCGAGGCTTCACACGGCCAGGCTGGGTGAGCTACACGGCCGTGTGCCCCTGGCCGTGTAGGAAGCCTGAAACCCACATAATCGGAACGCGGCGTTTTGACCTCACACGGGCATCTGGGTATGCCACACGACCGTGTGGCCTGCCCGTGTGAGTCGGGAATTTCTGGTTTTTACCCAATTTCGGGCCACAAGTGAGAGAATCGGATTTTCAGAGCAAAAACAGAGCCCTAGAGAGAGAAAGTACGAAGAACACATCCTAAAAGCCATCTTGGAGCTGGGTTTCATCAAATCGAGCTTGGAGATCGTCATAGGAGTGGAAATCATTATCCCAGAGCAGATTCTTCCCATTGTTATGAGTATGACTGCTTTGTATTCTGTTTTCCTCTCTCTCTCTCTATGGAGTAGAACCCTTCTCTCACTTGGGTGTGAAGAACCCTAGTTCCATGTGTTAGGAATTTGATTGTAATGATTTGGGATGATTATACTGTTTGGTTTTAATCGAATGATGCATGTTTATTGAATTGATTGAAGTCTGATCAGCTTTTCTTGATTTCTGCTGCAACCTGAGATAGATAGAATCTGATTAGGTTGTTAGAGCCTCATCATTCGGTAGTAGGAGATTGGCTATACGAGAGTTAGCCAGTTTACTGCTTTGTACTGGAATCCAATTCCAGTAGTGGAGTTCTGTGCTTATTGCTTCAGCTTTCTATCCCGGTGAAGACTAGTCGTCTGCCGGGTAGTTAGACTGAGAGGGCTTGGTAAGCTTAAGAGATTCCAAGCTACTGTCGGATCTTCCGTAGTCTAATCAACAGTAAATCAACCCAGGGTAATTACAATTGAGACCTAACTAAGGAGCTAGGGGGACTCATTCCCGAGTGACTCTTCTTTGCTTGAGAAAACCAAACCAATTCCTGCTTTTTTTCCTGCTTTTGCTTAAACCACAATCACTTAACTTGGTTAGATAATAGATAATCACAGAGTAAGCAGTAGATCTAGACCCCGGGTTGATAATAGAACTTGCCACTTTACTGCATTCCCGGACTGCGATTACACTTGGTCGCAGTTTGGTGTTGTGTTTTGGCGTGTCATGCTTCCAGACTTAAAATTGAAGGGACTCCTGGGGGTGGTTTGCTCGAGCCTACCAGCAATTTGTATTGGGGGCAAATAACACTCTAAGGAGAGTGATTTAATCACGCCTTCAATCTGATCTCTTCCCTACCGTTTCCCTGACAGATGTTGGCGTAAGAGGCTGTTAATATCGGCCGTTGATATGCAAAGCGAGGGATAACTTGTTTAAGCATTCAACCTTGTTCAAGGCCTCAAGAATCCATGTATAAGCCTATATATACATGCCTACCGGAATTGAAGAACCTTAATTGTTCGTGATCCACTAGAACTTGATGACCTTGTTTCGCCTACAATTTTTTTTTTTGGACAAAAGATAATCAAGTAGATTGATAAGAGATAAGAGTTACATTCTGGAATTAAGCCAGGCCTGAAAATCAAAGAAACGACTCGTAGCCGGATACAATGTGAGGGCCTTTCGAGCCACTAGATGGGCTGCCCTATTGTTCCTCCGACCTACAAATCTAATCGAAAACCCAGGATGAGCTGCAAAATAATGAATAACTTCTTCAAGCACAGCACCCATCCGGCTATCCCTGGAGTCCGCCTGGTTGATTTTGTCAATGACAGTCTTTGCGTCTCCTTCAAACCTCACATCCTCGACCCCGTGACCTAAGCATCCTAAAAGCGCCTCTCTCAGGGCTAGTAACTCCACCACAGTAGGGTCCTGCACACCTGGGAACTGGATTCCTTGCACAAAGAGGACCTCCCTAGCCGAATTGAAAATTACAAATCCGCCAGCCGAATGCGTCCCATGACTAGTAGCCCCATCCCACTGACACACCACTGCGTCCGCCTGAGCAGACTTGGACATCCGGGGTAGGGGAAGCAAGGACCGGGAAACCGGCTCAACTGGCAAACGGACCCACTCCTCGACTTGCTGATGGAATTGACGCAGGAGCACAGGGACCCCAAACTGCTTCCCTTCGAAAACAACCCAATTTCTGGACCGCCAGATCCTCCATAGGATGGCTACCACTTCCATGAGCATAGAAGGTTCACTCACCCGAGAGAGTAATTTTTTGAGAAACAGTGGGAAAGTATGCCTCGGCAACCCTTCATCCAGAAAATCCAATCCCCGAATACTCCCACAAAGCTCTCGCCACTGGACAGTCTAGAAATAAATGTTCCATCGTTTCTGACTCTGCCCAGCAAACCGGGCAACGAGGAAGCACCGGAACCTCCTTTTCCCGCAAGGCCTCTGTAGTAGGGAGGATGCGATGGAAAACCTGCCAGATGAAGACTTTGAGCTTAGGCGGAACGTTTGCCTCCCAAAGTCGAATCCAACTGGACTTATCCATTCAATTCACCACAGACCGCCAGCGACCTCGTTTCTGATCAAGATTAACCGCAAGGTGATAGGCAGATTTTACGGTAAAAACCCCATCAGGAGAGTAATGCCAAATGAGGCGATCCTCCACGCTTTGCCTGGGCAGGGGAATAGCTTTAATTGCTGCGCACGTAGCCGGGGCAAACCACTGGCTTAGTGACTCACTTCTAGTGTCACTCTAGGAATTGGCCAAGTGTAACCACTTCCTAAAGCGTAGTATAGCGTGTTTGGGTTTAGTTATCAACCCGGGTCCTAGATTTGATGACTACTCAGTGAATTCTTGTTATCTAGCAATGAAAATGGAATGCAAGTCTAAACTAACAAACTAACAAAGCAAGTAAAATGTTGTATTCAGGTTAAAAGAGGTCACCCGGATATGGTTCCCCCTAGACTGCAGTTAAGCCGGATTGTAATTACCAAGTTCAGTTTCTATGATAGTTATACTGCGGAAGGTTCTTAACTGCCTGAAGTCTCGACTAAAGGTCTTCAGATCCTCTCAATCTGAGTCTCTAGCGGGCGACGAACCTCCACCGGAGTAAACAGATTGAGGCCTTAACAAACAAAACCTCCACTACCGGAGTAAATCCGGTACAGAATAGTGAGTTGGCTCCTCGACTAAAGTCACCAACTCCCCACCTTCAATCAAGGATGCTCTATCAACCTAGGCAGATATTCTCATTCTAGGTTAAAGCAGAAACAACAGGAATTTGATCAGGATTCATGCCATTCAATCATTCAAACCTCAATCGAATATAATCAACTCATAGAATCAGTACTTGGGTTCATACAATCAAAGCCTAACATACAAATCTAGGGTTCTCCATACCCAGATGAATGGGAGAACTACTCCATGGAGAAAGAAGCAAAAGCAGAATCAGACGCGGAATTCATACTGTGAAGGATGGATTCCTGCTCCTGGACGTTGATCAGCACTTCTCCAAGCTCAAACTGGCCTCCAATGGTGTTGAAGATCAAGCTAGGGCACTTGGAGACTCTTGTTCGTCGCTTTCTCTCTCTAGGAATCGCTCTGTCTCTCTAAAACTCGAATCCCCCCGACTTGTGGCTGAAAATCTGCTTAAAAGCAGAAAATCCCGACTCGCACGGGCAGGCCGCACGGCCCTGTGGCTCACCCAGTTGCCCGTGCGAGTGAAAACGCAGCGCATCAATTAGTTGAATTCCAGGCTTCTTGCACGGCCAGGGTCCCACGGCCGTGTAGCTCACCTTGCACGGCCGTGCAACTCACCTTGCACGGCCATGTGGATTTTCTGCTCTGCCCGTGTTTGCTCTCTCACAATCCCACACGGCCAAACTGGTCACTTGCACGGCCGTGTGGGTTGTGGGTGTGCCCGTGCGACTTCCTTTGTGACTTGCCTCGCACCCGATCTTCGCCCAATCGACCCCGAACTCGCTCCTAAACCTTCATTCACTTTCCAGGACCTGAAATATCACAAACAAGCACAACCTAGCGTGAAATCGGTCTAAAACACGAGAAACCACATCTCAAACGGTGTAAGAACAGGGGTGAAAACATGTGTAACTAACGGTCTATCAAACTCCCCCACACTTAAAACCGTTTGCTTGTCCCCAAGCAAACCTAACTCAAACCAATGCAACTCTCCAGACCTCTATAGCAACAAACAACCCAGATCGTAAGTAGAGGACTTCCTAGATCATTTAGCAGCTTACGAGGTCAACCGACGCACAAGTCATCTCGTAGCTTCTTCGGCGAGAGCACTAGTATCGAGTCGGCATCATGGCAAATAGTGAACAAAGGACAAATGAATTGTGGATGAAGAGATTCTCAAAAACACAGGATCATGGACTCACATTTTTCAAGGTGCTCTATTTTCTTCTTGAAGATGGTTGGAACCCCTTTTCTTTCTGTTTTGCTTGTTTTCTGTTATTTTTTCCTTTTCTTTTTTTTTGTTAAGGGTCCCAACCTACTCTTACCGGCCATGCCAGGAGCGGATGTCTCGAGCCTCGTGCGGGGGAAAGACATGTAAGGGGGCTGGAGGTAGTAGGTGGAAATTGGGAACAGATTCCCGTCTCCCCTTACACACTTTCGCCCTATTCGCACGGGAGGCGTTATTTTGAAGCACACTTTCGAGCACCTGTTAAACTCAAAACATGATACAAGAGTCCATGACAGGTAGAGAGTCCACAGCACCCCACAATTCAAGGGTCCTAAGATCACTAATTCACTCAATCAACCAACACAATACGAAGAAGAAATGAGACTTCTTAAATGCATCAACATCCTCCATAGTGCTACACTACCTCCCTAGGTTGCATATTACTATAAAGACTGTCAATTCAAAGCATACTGAGCAGGCAATTGCAAGGAACACGTACTTGGAGCCCTCAAATTTAAAAATTTGGACAGTGGACTAGGCTCCAAGCACACAAACAGATCTAATGCAGTCAAAAGATAAACATCCCCCCACACTTAAGATCGACATTGCCATCAATGGAGAAGAGGGAAGGAAAAGGGGAACGATGTTACCGGTAAGCACGGACTGTAGGGGACTGGAAGCGGACCAGTCGGAGTGAAGCGGACTGGATAGAGGACTAGTCAGGGCAAGCACAGCTAAAGAGGAACAGAAGAGCTCAAACACAGTATGTTAGGTCCAATGTCAGCCCAATAAGACATCATCCAGAACAAAAGAAAACAAACCAAAACCAACTGGTTTACAATCCGACTCAAAACACAAGAAAGAAAATCAAACCGTGGTGGGGTTGCCTCCCCACAAGCGCTTCTTTACCGTCTTTTAGCTGGACGCCCATGGTGGATACTCAGGGAGGTGAAGGAACAGGTGCCTCCAAGAGCGGATCCATGTCACTTTTGAGGTACAGCTTCAGGGTGTGGCCATGCACCCGACGGATGCGACCACCATCATCGGTCAGCTCAACCTGGCCATCTGGTAAGATGCAGGCGAGTGAGTACCCAGACGGCCAGGGTGGTCGTGGTGCAGGAGGTGGAACCAGCTCATAGTGGTCTCCACCCTTCTTCCGTGCAGGCTTAGCAACCTGCTGCTTCGGCCGCCACTCCTCCTTGAGCTTTTTGTTCGGAGGCGAGGCTGGATGGAGTGGCGGCGAAGGAATGATAGGAGGGTCCTGCAAAATAAGAGGTGCAGAAGGATACACGACAGACTCGTGTACCTGATGAGAAATGGCATGCACAGGTGTGACAGCAATCATAGCACAGTGATCAAATTCAGTCACAGAAAAAGTAGCCTGTTCATTCCCAGCACGCAAGATCAGTTTACCATCATGCACATCAATAAGTGCCTTGGCGGTGGCAAGAAATGGTCTACCTAAAATCAAAGGCACATCCACATCCTCATGTATATCAAGAATAACAAAATCAACAGGATATGTGAATGCACCTACTTTAACAAGCAGATCCTCTATGATCCCCCTAGGATGCACAATGGAACGATCAGCTAGCTGAATGCTCATCCTAGTAGGGCTAAGTTCACCTAGGTCTAGCTTTTTATACAACTTATATGGCATGACATTTATGCTAGCGCCTAGGTCCGCCAAGGACTTGCCTACATGCATGCTGCCAATAGTAAGAGGGATAGTAAAACTCCCTGGATCCTTGCGCTTATCGGGCAGCTTGTTCTGCAGGATAGCAGAACACTCCTCACTGAGCATCACTGTCGAGAGATCCCCAAGTTTCTTCTTGTTGGTGAGGAGATCTTTCATGAACTTGGCATACTTGGGCATCTTCGACAGTGCCTCCACGAACGGTATGCTGATGTTGAGCTGCTTCAACATTGCCATAAACTTGGCAAACTCAGTCTCCAGCTTGTCCTTGTGTAGGCGAGTGGGGAAGGGAAGCTGGGGTACATGCTCCTTAACCACTGGTTGTGGCTTGGGAGTAGGGGCTTCCTTCTCCACCCGCACTTCTGCATCGTCGGCTGGAAGTGCTGAAGCAGGTAGTGGTTCCTCCTGTCTGGCCGGGACAGGATCAGCAGATATGGTCTTACCGCTCCTGGTAAAAATGGCATCCAGCTGCTGGAGCTGGTGAGGATCCCGAGGATTCGGGATAGTGGTGGCAGGCAGAGTCCCCAGCGTCCTGGTAGTGTTTTGGCGGGCCAAGATGCCCACCTGGGTCTGCAGATCTTGCAAAATGGCACCCTGGTTCCGCTGACCTGCCTCCAGTGACGTGATAGCAGCATGAGTGCTAGTCATGAATGAAGCTAGAATGTTTTCCAGCTTTGTCATCCGGTCATCTGAGGCCGGAGCTGCTGCTGGCTCGGCAAACTTGCGCTGGGGTTGCTGGAATGGTTGCCCCTGCCTAGGCTGGTAGGGCTGCTGCTGTGGGGCTGGCCCCTGTCGAGCTTGGAAGGGCTGCCTCTGCTGAAAACCACCTGCTGGTGCTGGGAAACCAGGTGGTTTAGTGGTGTTGCTGCTCTAGGCGAAGTTGGGATGCTGGCGCCACCCCTCATTATATGTGTTGCTGTACGGGTCGAGGCACCGAGCATTGGCGATGAAGTCCAACTGCTCTTGGGGAGTGGTAGACTCCCTCATAGCCTGGCAGTCCTCCACTAGGTGATTGGAGCTCTCGCACCACTGACATTGAGCTACTGGAGGTGTAGCCAAACCTCTGCCCGGAATCATACTGTTGGGCTGCTTTAATGTCTGCACTAACTCAGCTACCTGCTGCTCAAGCCCGGATCTGGTCTCCATGGCGTGCACACCACGGTCCCGGGAATGTCTGCCTCTGCTACTCTGTCCCCAAGAATGATCTCTGGCAGCCAAGGTATTGATCATCTGGTTCAGCTCGGGTGGAGTCTTAGTAAGAATATCCCCTCCTGGGCATAGAGATTCAATCACCCTCTGGCTATCTGGGGAGAGAGCACTGTAGAAGTTCCCCACTGTGAATGCATCACTAAAGCCATGTTGGGGACACTGCCAGAAATATCCCATGTACCGCTCTCATGCATCACGGAGTGACTCATCTGACTCTTGGCGGAAGTGGGTGATCTCCCGCTAGATCTCTGTAGTCTTCGATGCCGGATAGTACCTGTGCACGAATTTGTCAGCCAGATCGTCCCAAGAGGTGATGGACAATGGGGGCTGGGTCTCCAACCACCTCTTAGCATTCCCCGCCAGAAAATGGGGGAAGAGATGAAGGCGGATTGCATCATCAGGGACACCATTAAGCTTGAACCCGTTCGTCAGCTGCAGAAAACTGGAAAGATGTACCCTGGCCTCCTCATCCTTCAAGCCATGGAACTGGATAGAGGATGTTATGAGCTGAATCCAGCATAGCTTGATCTCGAAGTTGTTTGCTGGAATAGGCGGGTAGAGGATGACCTGGCGGATGTCAGCAATCCGTGGAGTGTAGTAGTACTCCAAGGTGGGACCCGGCGGCGGGTGATGATGATGAACCCCATGATCCTGGGGTATGGGGTTGTTCCTCAGGACCTGATTCACCGGGGGAGCCTGCTGAGGATTCCCCTGGTGCTGATTGTAGTCTCCGTCCATCCCGTACTCTTCTTCAGAATCGCTACTCAGGTGGCCGTCTATGCGCTCTTCCGTAGCCAGTCTAGCTCGCTGTTGTCTCCTGAGCTGGCGACAGGTGCGGTCAATCTCTGGATTCAACGGCAGTAAACCTCCTGACTGGCTACGGGTCATGCACTACGTGCACACACTCAAGCAAGCAAACCCGTGAAGGCACAAGTGGGACAAAGCAAAAAGAAAGCTAAATTAACAGAAATCACTTTTCTTCAACAACCTAGCCGTCCCCGGCAACGGCTCCAAAAACTTGACTCACTTCTAGTGTCACTCTAGGAATTGGCCAAGTGTAACCACTTCCTAAAGCGTAGTATAGCGGGTTTGGGTTTAGTTATCAACCCGGGTCCTAGATTTGATGACTACTCAGTGAATTCTTGTTATCTAGCAATGAAACTGGAATGCAAGTCTAAACTAACAAACTAACAAAGCAAGTAAAATGTTGTATTCAGGTTAAAAGAGGTCACCCGGATATGGTTCCCCCTAGACTGCAGTTAAGCCGGATTGTAATTACCAAGTTCAGTTTCTATGATAGTTATACTGCGGAAGGTTCTTAAACAGCCTGAAGTCTCGACTAAAGGTCTTCAGACCCTCTCAATCTGAGTCTCTAGCGGGCGACTAACCTCCACCGGAGTAAACAGATTGAGGCCTTAACAAACAAAACCTCCACTACCGGAGTAAATCCGGTACAGAATAGTGAGTTGGCTCCTCGACTAAAGTCACCAACTCCCTACCTTCAATCAAGGATGCTCTATCAACCTAGGCAGATATTCTCATTCTAGGTTAAAGCAGAAACAACAGGAATTTGATCAGGATTCATGCCATTCAATCATTCAAACCTCAATCGAATATAATCAACTCATAGAATCAGTACTTGGGTTCATACAATCAAAGCCTAACATACAAATCTAGGGTTCTCCATACCCAGATGAATGGGAGAACTACTCCATGGAGAAAGAAGCAAAAGCAGAATCAGACGCGGAATTCATACTGTGAAGGATGGATTCCTGCTCCTAGACGTTGATCAGCACTTCTCCAAGCTCAAACTGGCCTCCAATGGTGTTGAAGATCAAGCTAGGGCACTTGGAGACTCTTGTTCGTCGCTTTCTCTCTCTAGGAATCGCTCTGTCTCTCTAAAACTCGAATCCCCCCGACTTGTGGCTGAAAATCTGCTTAAAAGCAGAAAATCCCGACTCGCACGGGCAGGCCGCACGGCCGTGTGGCTCACCCAGTTGCCTGTGCGAGTCAAAACGCAGCGCATCAATTAGTTGAATTCCAGGCTTCTTGCACGACCAGGGTCGCACGACCGTGTAGCTCACCTTGCACGGCCGTGCAGCTCACCTTGCACGGCCGTGTGGATTTTCTGCTCTGCCCGTGTTTGCTCTCGCACAATCCCACACGGCCAAACTGGTCACTTGCACGGCCGTGTGGGTTGTGGGTGTGCCCGTGCGACTTCCTTTGTGACTTGCCTCACGCCCGATCTTCGCCCAATCGACCCCGAACTCGCTCCTAAACCTTCATTCACTTGCCAGGACCTGAAATATCACAAACAAGCACAACCTAGCGTGAAATCGGTCTAAAACACGAGAAACCACATCTCAAACGGTGTAAGAACAGGGGTGAAAACATGTGTAACTAACGGTCTATCACTTAGCTTGGCGTCATTCCAACGGCCTTCACCTGGACACATGACCTCCTCCACCTTAGGGTCCCCCCCTTCCGGTAACACGCGAGGGTTGGAAACGAGGGGCCAAGGATGGGTTTGAGGGACCCAGTTGGACTCCAGGAGAGACGCCGTCCTTCCATCCCCAATATGCCATCGCAGCCCCTCCTCCAGTAATTGTCGCCCGTATAAGACACTCTGCCACCCCCAAGAAGGGCGCGAACGCGCAGTTGCATTAAGAAATGTCCCATTAGGAAAGTACTTCCCTTTATAGACTTGAGCCAGAAGGGAATGAGGGTCAGTAAGAATCTGCCATCCAATTTTTGCCAGCAAAGCTTGATTGAATTGTTCAAAGCGACGGAACCCCATCCCCCCATCATGCTTACTTTTACACATATTCCGCCAGGATATCCACCTGATCCTTGGCTGCCCCTCCACAGCCCCCCACCAGAAGCGAGCCACATGCTTGTCAAGGAGCCGACAAAGAGACAGGGGAAGCTTGAAGCAGGACATAACATGTAAGGGGAGCGCTAAAGCTATTGACTTAATCAGAGTCTCTTTAGCTGCCCAAGACAACGTCCGCTGCTTCCATCCCTGCAACCGCTCAAGCAGTTTCTCTTCCAAGTACCGGAAGGTATCTATTTTTGATCGGGAGAAGAGCGTAGGGAGGCCCAGATACTTGTCATGTACTCCTACCGCACCCACCCCCAGAATCTGAGCCAAAAACTCTTGGTCCGGCAAACGAATATTTTTACTAAAACACACTGCTGATTTTGCCAGATTAACCTTTTGACCACTGAGTTCCTCATATTCATTCAGGACCTCTAGTAAATTCTCACACTCTTGGAGCGAGCCACGCAGGAATAGATAAGAATCATCAGCAAAGAATAAATGAGAGATCCTGGGAGCTCGATGAGCCACCTTAATGCCTTCCAATTTTTCCTCCGAAATGGCCTTACGCAAGAGCGCCGCAAACCCCTCCGTGCAAATAACGAACAGTAAAGGTGATAAGGGGTCCCCTTGTCTTAGTCCCCAGGAGGGGGAGAAATAGCCAGAGGGGGTACCATTCATCAAAACCGAGAATGAGGTGGAACGGAGACATTCCTGGATCCATCCTTTCCAAACCGAGTTGAAACCCATCTTGTCCAATACCGCAAGAAGAAATGGCCATTCGACTCTATCATAGGCCTTTTCCATGTCAACCTTTAGAGCCATGAACCCTTTCTTACCTCGCGTTTTGATTTTCAAGTAATGCATCAATTCATGTCTGAGAAGGATATTTTCTACTATTTGTCGATCCCGAATGAAGGCATTTTGACCCCCGGAAATGATTTGAGGCAAAATGGTAGCCAAGCACCCGCCATGATTTTGGTAATAATTTTGTACACAAATTGGCATAAGCTGATTGGACGTAACTGCCTCATAGACTCAACAGTATCCACCTTAGGGTTCGCCTACAATTAACCTCTAGTTTCAACACTTTTTCCGGTCGATAAATAAGTTGCATTATCGAAAATACAGCGTCAAAACAATCGAATCCAACCCGGAAACAACATTGAATGCATGTCAGAAAGTATTGATCCTAATCAAGTGATCATTTTCATGCAATCCCCTGGACTGGAAGGTTTTCTCATGATTCGTGAATAGACAGACACCAGTGACTAGACTAGACACAAACAAAAAGAAGGCATATATATAGCAATTGTAATGGACCAAATGAATTATGTATGGAGGAAGCATTGCCAAAGCTAGAGAAAGCAAAAGGGTGTGGGGAAAAATCATCCATTGGCATCAATTGTGAAAAAGGACCCAGCCAGCCCACAAAACCCCACACATATATTGTCCTATTCATATCTATCATTTTCCCAAATATTTAATTTTACATTTATAAAAATATATATTCGTTTCATATGGTGGGAAAACTTATTATGAGATGAAATTTAACCCTTTTGTAATTTTTTTTTAAATGTACATGTAACTTTTTGGTGGGTATCACAAAAAAATTAGAAAGGTTAACATGTTTGCATGCTTCATATAAAATTTCAGAGTGGAAAGCAGACTTCATTTTCACAAGCCTTCAAATCCTCATATTTCACTCTCATGCATGTGACCCATATGCATGCTAACTTGAAGGACAGTTTATTCAAATTTGATTTGGCTTCCATTTGTTGGCCTTTGTTTGATCTAAGGTAGAAAGGGGTTGCCTACTTTCACAAGGCAGAAAAAAGTGACACAGGACATTTTGTTTGGTAGCGATTTTTGTCACTTCTTTTTTACGTACTGTAAATTTTGTACATATCAGAAAATGAGATATTTATGTATATATTTACTACTTATCAAAAGGGTTATTGTTTATCTCGGTCGAGTTTGGGACCATCGGATTCGTGTTGGCATATAGATGGTATTGGAACTATTGTAAACTTATCTCTACTATAATAGTCGTTGATGATGATAATTAGGATTTATCTTAGAAGAATAACTCACATGTGTACAGATTTTCATTTATTTCATCTTGACCCGATCTTATTTGTAGTACTTGATAATAAACCGTTACAAGGATGTTTCACCTCCTTGAACAAATTGCGCCCTGCTTGAAAATCCAACAAGATTTCTTACTAATAAGTAATAATATAGAAATCAAATTGTTAATTAATATTTTTGTTGGAAACTGCATCGGGGTCATATCGCCTCCAAGAGCAATTTTGTGCATGGTTGATGTCCGATCATCCTAATTTATGGGTTTTGGTTTCCATGTCATCAAGATTTAATTATGTAAGGTAAAATGATGAGATCTAGTGACTAGGGCCGAATGGTTTAATCAAATATTTGATCCTTCTTCAGTCTTTAATCTCTTCCATCATCTGAAGGTGTTACAATATTAGGGTTTGAATCGAGATATGATTTATTAATTGAAGTCATATCTTCTTCTTTAGAAATTATTATAGTCCAACCAAGGCACATATGAACACCTTAAACCTCACTCTAGGTTTGGTCATAAGGTTGAGCATACACATTTGCGAGAGGGACAAAAGCTAGTGTGTGTATATGTTTTTATTTGGTTTAGAAGGTGAAAGGGATTAATTAGTGGACTTGTTTAGTTGTTTTTTTTTCTTTCTTGCCAGTAAGATTAGCCGACCTGGTAATCAACTGTCCTAATTAATATGTAATCTGAAAATGAAAGCAAAACACATGATTAAATAATGCTAATTCGTGTGGGTCAAGAAGGTGACACGCATATATATTCTATGGTGTCTGTGGTCGATATTTAAAGTCAAAATCAGCCTCCAAATATCTATGGTGATGACTTGGCCCAACCTCACCATCTACGTGTCTGCCACTAATCAATATTGATTACCATTAAAATCATTGACAATGTCAAATTAAATTTTTATCATATATATGGTTTTATTCCACTGGTATAAAATTAAATGTATGACATACATTGAGTAAGAAAATGATATTTAGACCTTGAATTGATCAGAGTTTGGCATATGGTATTATTTTCAAACACTTAAAGATTAAAAACTATGTCTCGGTTCTATAAATCTCATACAGTAAGATCAAATTATTTACAAACAACAATTGACGATTATGATTCATCAAAATATATGCAACAAATTATATGCACAATCTTAGGAGTTAACCTCTATGATTTAGATAAGTAAGACCTAGAATTCACTCATCAAGGATTATGATATATTATCTTGCCCAAAAATCGTATTAATTCAAGGTCTAGATAGCTTTTTTTATCGCATCTTATGTAAAATCTAGGGTACGACATACCCTAAGTAAGAAAATGCTATCTGACCTGTTTGGAGTAGGGGTGGCAGTTCGGTTTTCGGCTAGCGGTTAGCCGACCGGTTTAACCGATAACCGCCGATTAACAGCTAACTGAAAACCGACGGTTAATTGATGCGGTCGGTGGTCGGTGATGGTGAGGATAGTCTCGGTTGACCGAGTAACCGAAACTCGGTTATCCGAACTAACCGATCGATATTCATACGACGCCGTTTCAATGATAGAAAAGTAAAAAAAAAAAAAAATCTCAAACCCTACCTCTTTGCCGACCTTGCACCCTCACCACTCACCCTCCACTCCCGCCGTCCTTCACCCTCCGAACTCTTCTTCTCACTCCTCACCACCAGTGTCGTCCGCCGTCCACCATTGCCTCGTCGTCTCCTCCACCACGGCCTACTCCCAGCCGTCCACCATCGCCTCGCCGTCTCCTCCACAGCTCTCCCCTGCCGACCCACGCCGACCTCCCAAATCCAGCAACCACCGTCGTGTCCCTCCCCTGCCTGCTCCAGCAACCCTCCGCCGATCAACCGCGACATCGCTGGCGCCCTCGCCCCATCGCCCTGACCACGCCCCTCTGCCGCACCATCGCCTCGTTTAACTCATTGGCTCGCCTGAAACCGACCATCTCGTCTGCCATTCCGGTTACCACGGCTAACCGAACCAAATTCGAAAAACCGGCTGGTCGGTGGTAGATTAACCGTCGTCTTCTCACGGTCGGCAGCTCTGGGAGGCGGCTCAGTTTCACCGATAACCGAGAAATTGGTTTTTGATTAAACCGAAACCGACCGACTGCCACCCCTAGTTTGGAGTGAGTATTACCGTCTGCAGCAGTGTGAACTGTGGAGCAGGGCATGAGTATAGATTTCGACCTGTCTGTCACTGTCACGTCCCGCCCCGTTCTATCATAATTTGCATCAATATCTACATGTATTTCTCCTATTTTAACCTTTATAAAATCATATTTTCATCCCAAAGAAATTTAAAATTTTATCTTTCAGCTACTTAGACTCAATTATTTCTTCTACTATATTTATCATTCATTTATGAAGTGTTTTTATCTATGTTTTCTGTAAAATAGTTAAATATATCGGCGTTCTTTTTTTAAATAACATATAAAAATGGGTCGACCCACCCTCCCTTCCTCATATCCACGCAGGTATTACTTGACCTGGTTCGTGCTTAGTACGAAACAAATATAAGCATTGAGGTAACCGCTTGCCCTCCGAGCCATTTAATTATAAATATAATAGATTGACCAAATTTTTTTTTTTACAAAAGAAAATCACATTGATTGAATAAAAGAGACAGTTACATACTGTAATTCAGTCAGGTCTGAGAATCAAAGAACCGACTCGTAGTCGGGTACAAAGAAATAGATTGACCATTACGAACAAGGGATTGGTCTAGTGGTAATAATACTAGCCTTGAACCTGGAGGTCCCAGGTTCGAATCCCTTCAGTAGTACCTATATCACCCTTATTAAAAAAAAAAAAAGATTGACCATTATTGCGTCATTTTTTATATAAAAAAAGAGCAATTATCTCGTGATCTTGGTATATGCCTTTTGGTATCTTTAGTTGATACTTTGTCATCAAAATAATTTTTTTAGAGAACAATTAAAGGGTAACCCTACGTACCAATTAAAATTTTGGCATTCTAGTTATTTTTATGAGAAATAATGGTAGATCTTGAAGTTGAAGTGGCATTTCATCTACTTCTCTTCTTTTTGCAGTTAAAGGGATGTTATCTAACTTTCCTAATGAAGGATTTTCCAAGACTCCATAGATTATAGAAAAAGTGTAAATGGTGATTCAAGTTGAAGATTATTGATTGATTAATATGCTTAGAGATATGCTGTGATACTTGGTGCATGGTTATTGCTTAATTACACGCAAATTCTCAATATAACGAGTGGTACAATCTTGTCCTTTGTGTCTTTGCTACCCTTTCAATTTTATACATCTTGGGATTTGGAAAAAGCAAACGTTCCTTAGAATTATGTTTGCCAATCTAGCTCCAATCCATATCCAACCCCACATGGAGATCTAGGTCAGATAAATTGGTATGAGTCGGAATAGATTGATCGATCTTGACATAGAATTTTGAGTATAAAGACGCATGTAATGATTGGTTCTTTTCAGAATTTTTTTTGAAATAATTACATAGAGAGAAGGATAACATGAGTAAAATGTTAAATTGTTTGGAATATGGAGTCTCACACACAATTACAACTAAATTAATGTTACAAAATGATTTGATTATAACAAGTATGAGTACAATTTAAAAGGAAGCTTAACTACGTGTGTATGACAAGAATATGATGAATCATCAGAAAACAAATTTATATCATGTTTCATCTTGTATTAGTTATGAGTCAATACGATAATGTCTCAGAACAAAAGATCAACGATTACCATCCGACTCTTCTATACAGGGGCGGACCCATTCATATTGTAGGGTTGTCACTTGACAAACCTTAACTATAAATTTGGGACCAAGTTACTTTGATGAAATTTATATTGGCATTAGTTGTTGTATTTCAATCCTAAACCATTTGACAACCCTTACAATTTTAAACGAATGTTTTAGGTAAGCTACAAACAATTCAATTGTTGTTATAAAAATACAAAGCAAATGTATTTATTACCGATTTCATTTCTAGAACGTAAATTAATTTCTAAATCTATAAAGGGTATGTCCGTATGCATGAGGCCTTCAAAGGATTGTGGAGAATCAATAACCTAGCTAGGTCAAATCAATGGTAGAGACAGGAAAAGTTAATTATTATATTTTAATTTTCTTACTTATTAAATTAGAGTTGATTTTTTTTACCTTTTGCAATTGCAAAAAATTTAAAGGGTCTTTTCAATCATGAAATTTATCAAGAATGATCTTCATAATTACATGTGAAACCTGTTATGAATGCATGATTGCTTGGTTACGCTCATTAAGAAAGGTGTGAGTCACGGTATAAGTGATAAATGTATTTTAGAAACTTACATAAATATGAAAACATGTTGTGTCTTGCTCTGAAAATTTATGAATCTATGTACCTTATTTTTATGAATTTATCCTTGAATACATTTCCGGGTCCGTCACGGCTCTTATATAACTACATATCAAAGAAATGCCAAGAGAATAGTTAGAAATAACACTACCCACAATCCCTTCCTATCCCACTAGCTAGTCACCCAACAAAATAAAAAGAAGCTAATTCTAACCGGGACAACAACAGGGCTTTGCGTGCCACTCTATGAGCAGCCCAGTTGGCTGTCCGCGGAACAGCTCTACAGTCTATACAATGAGGAAAAGACTGAAGAAGAAAATGACAATCTCTAAGCAGCGGACCACCAGACGAATCCTCCACCACACCGAGCTTGAGCTGACAAATGACCACTTCTGCATCTCCTTCAAAGATGATACGAGCCAAACTTCTAGAAATTGCAAGCGAGATTGCCTCCCTAGCTGCAAGGAGTTCTGCTATGTACGGGTTAGAAAACACATAGAGAAGGTCATGAACAAGTTTTGGTCGTTATCTAATCTTTACCAGAACATATATAATATGTGGAACCCTGGGGCTACACATTTCTTCAGAGAATATTTCATCATCAATTAATGGAATATCCAGTACCAATTTGTTGTTATACTGCCATATCACACAAACTAAATATCAATTTCTCCTTGGCTTTAAAACATACAAAATTATATTGATGTCAGGGCAGCTTACCTAGCTAGTATTCTATAATCTTTGGGATGTGACTTATCAAAATTTAAAAAAATTGCTAACCAAAGAATAAAAAATCATTTCATATTTTTAAACAACATTATGGATGAAGATATTTCACCAAGTTGCCATGCAGCATGATTGTTACTGATTGCATGCCGAGTAAAATATTTATTTTCCAAGCAAACCCGATAAGGGGTTTTTGGTACATGTTTACGTTATTTAATTGTGTATCTCGTATTTTACAATTATACTTTTTATGAAACCGTATTTTACAATTATTGAATACACGCAGTAGTAATAATTTATATCAATTGTTATTGAGTGACCCAACCAGAACCAGGGGCGGACCCAATTAGAAGAATGGATTGTCAATTGAGAAATCTATTAAATTCAAAACTCGAACATAAAACTTGCGTAAAGTTTTATATTAGTGATGGTAGTATTAAGATTGGAAACTATTAAACAATCTTTAGAGATTTTGATCTATCTTCTAATACCTTTAATGAAATTTCTAGGTCCGACCCAACATCGTAAGCACGTACATACAAGAACCCCTAAAAGCACCTTAACTGAATTATGCGTTTACAATGACAGCAAGTCAACAACCACTAACTAACTACAAACGGAGGAAGTTAACAGTAATTAACGTTTTCCTCTTAGACAAGACAGAACTTGAGGACAAAGTGTAGGATAAAATGATTCTGTTTCTAATTATAAACTTATCTAGTTATCTTCATTATCTTGTTCCAATGATTTGGGTTAATCTGGTGCTTATGCTAATTAATCATGCTATATAATCTGACCCGCCACTCTTCCCTTTGCTTGCTGGTAAACTACTAACAGAATGAGCCAACTATTGTTTCAACTGTAACCCTAAATCTGCATATAATGCTTGTTTGAGTAGGTTGTATACGAATCATTGAAGAACAATATGATTTGTATTAGTTATGGTAGGTTAATAATCTCTTACTAAATATGGCGGTTGCTGGTGGTTGTGTTCTTCCGTAAACAAAATAAATGAACCAAGCTATCCTTTGTTTGCGGCCTACAGAAGAATACACCAATTAAAATGTTAAGGAGTTACAGGAATCAAAGAGCCAAGCATTTCATACGCGTATAGAATGATTGTAAAGAGTGCAAGGGAGAAGTGAGTACCTTTCTTCAATCCATCAGTTTAAGGGAAGACAGATAGTCGTAGTGGCAATTTTGAGGTCAGGTGCTAAGGGAGAAAACATTTCTCGAATAGGTTGCAAGTAATCCTTGCAAAGCAATTCTCTGACAACCTGCTGGTTTATTTACACAAAGAAAAGCAGTTTATAATCAAGCATTCTATGCTTCCGAAGAACAAGGTAAATTAGAGAAAAGGCATGGCTGCATTCATCATGACAACCTAACTAGTGAAAGTAAAATACCTTGAGATTTGGATGTGCCAGGATGCTCCTTGTTGTTGTTGTTGTTGTTCTGCTTCTACTTCTTCCCCTCCTTCAATATCTCCTTCCTCGCTATCATCATCATCATCTTCTTCTTCGAAAATTCCCAGATAGCGGCCGCCCTGTTGAACATATTTACCATCAACTTGGATATTCGGGATGTGAGAAATGTTGGGCCAGTCCTCGCCGGTGCTCTTTCTGCATCTCGAAGATATATAACCATGATATGGTAGGATCAAAGTCTCCAAGGCAGTGAGCTCTGTGAGCCAATTTGGTAAGCACTTAAGGTTGTCACAGCCGTATAACTCCAGCTGCTGCAAATTTGAGGAGTGCTGAAACCACTTAGGTAGAGCAACCAACTTAGGAACTTTTCTGACCGTTAAGATACGGAGGCTTGGAAGAACCTGCTGCGGCAACATATCATCACCATCCCCATCCTCTAGTTCCAAAATTTCACAGTACTGAATGTGAAGCTCCTGGAGGGAAGAGAGATGTCGAAGAATAGATGGAGACAGAGTAGTCAAGTCATCGCAATGTGATATGCATAGCATCACAAGGGAAGTAAGATTTAGCGTCGACCCTTGTGGGAAATCTTTCGCGCACTCGAGAGACAACTGCTCAAATCGAGGGTGTGCCGAGGGAGAAACCAGCGAGGCACCAAACGCACCCAACAGCTCACTGCTCACATCCTTCAACTCAACCTCGTCAAAGTTTACCAGAAAGCGCGGGACAGATACCATTTTCGGGCAGCCACCAATCTTCAAGGTGGAAACCCGAGGTAATGGAGGCGACTTGTCTTCTGTATCTCTGGCGGACCAACCTATCAGGTTTCGACACTCCTCAATAAATAAAGACTCCAGAGAAGGGAGAAACTGCAAATCATTGTTTGAAGAAGGGGATGATGACGATGCTACTGTCTCGCTTTGTACGTACTCTAAGCTATCTAATCCATATAACTTCAAAGCTTGAAGAAACACTAAAGGAGCCAACGATGGCAGACTCTGCAGTTTCCCACAGTAAAATAGCCCGATCTCAACCAGATTCCTGAGAGAAGAGAACCAGCCACTTGTTGTGGGAATGCTCGACCCGCCATAGAATTGCATTAGTATCCGCTTTAAATTCGGATGTGGTTGTAACCCCTCCAGTATGGACCTCTCGTGATCACATCCTCTCCTAGCCGCCATATTATAATTATTGGCAGGACTCCAAAATAGTTCCAAGGTTCGAAGTTGTGATTTCTCCTTTAAATTGGCTGCCTCTGCATCAGATTTATCCTTCACCCATTCCAGATTTGTAATAACCAACCTCCCATTTAGGTTGTCCAAACTCTGCAATTCGCCCAGACAAGCAGCAGTTTCTCTTGAGCTGTCTGCGGCTGCTTTTGCCAATATAAAGAAAGGGAATTCTCTGAGTAAGGAAAGGTTCTCGATCCCAGCTGGTATGCAACTCAAATCCGAACAACCATATAGGTCAAGATACACAAGATTGGACAGCTTCCCTAAGCCTGTCGGCAGTAACCAAAGTCTTTGACAGAAATTCAGGTCGAGCACTTGCAAGTTTACCAAACTTGTCATTTCGTTCGGGAGTGTCTCCATCTCGTTGCTAGAAAGATCAAGGTATCTAAGATGTTTCAGTTTATAGAAGAAAAAAGAGGAAATCTCGATTTTAGCACCTCCGAGACCAAACACTCTCAGCCTAGTCATCTCCGAAAAGATCCTCCCACAGCTTATGTCCAACTCAGCACCTCTGCTACAATTCTTTAAGATAAGTAACGTTCGAAGCCTTGTTGCTTTAGCTAAAAGAGCCGGAGCTTCCCATGCAATATCAGACCACAATCTATTTCTATCCTGTAAATCGATTGATATGTGCCGTATCCTTTCAAGATTGACATCACCAACATTAAGAAGGCTACCACTACCAGTGCTATCTACACTGAAGCATTTGATCTCCTCCCCTGCAACTGCGACAGCAAGATCGTGCATTAAATCATGCATCTTACAGGACTCCATATTTCCATCATCATCCTTTGTCACCTCTTGAAAGAAGGACCTCCACAACAGATTCTTAAAATATTCAACTCCAACATCTTCAAGGAGTGAAGATTGACTGGACTTGGTGATATACCCTTGGGCCATCCACAGTTGCACCAATGTTTTCACATCAATTTTATAGTCTTTTGGGAACAAGCTGGAGTAGGCGAAACATCGTTTCAAATTGGAAGGCAAATTATCATAACTCAACTTAAGAGTAGCCAAAATGTCACTATCCTCTCTAGCAAGGCTCAACAGTTGCTCCTCGCTTATTGCCTTCCACTCGGTCTCAGTCTCCTTGGAAGATAATAGACCGCCCATTGTTCTTACGACTAACGGCACTCCATAACATTTCCTCAAAATCTTTTTCCCTATCTCCACATATCTTTGACTTGGCTCTACTCCTTCCCCAAAAGCCATCTTTTTGAACAACGACCAAGACTCGTGCTCAGACAAACCTTGCAACTCATGCGGCACAATCAGCTTGGTCGCTGTCAGCTTCGCGATGTTAAGACTACGGGTGGTTACCATTATTCTGATACCTTCGGCCGGACTACTTGCAAATAGATTCTTGAAGCGATCCCACTTTCCCCTATCATCATTCCAGACATCATCCAAGACCAACAATATATGTTTGTTCTTGATTTTCTCATGAAGAAGATCCTTGAGCGTGTCCAAGGCAAGATCTCCCACCTTTTCCTTGGTTATTGACTCCAAAATCCTATTAACAAGGAGTTTTGGATCAAAATTCTCAGCTACGCACACCCAAACTTTACAAACAAAATGAGTTTTGATTATGTCATCGTTGTAAATGAGTTGCGCCAATGTAGTTTTCCCCAATCCCCCAATCCCAATTATTGGGACGACAACAACTTTCTCCTTATAACCAGACAGCAGCAACATGTCTATTATTTTTCGCTTATCTTCTTCTCTCCCAACAACCACATCAGGGATAGAGGAGTAAGTTTCCCTCCACTCCTTGTCATCAGAGACAGGAAATGTCTGGAAATAAAACTGATTCCTGTCCTGATCAATCTCCTCTAGCTTGCTCTGAATGAGCTTAATCTGATTAGCGATTTCCAGTCCATAAGCAACTTGGTTGGATTCAGAACAGAAGAGGGATACCTCATTCGCAACGACATTGCCATCCATTTGTTTCCTCCGGAGAACCTCTGTGGAGAAGTCGTCCAACAAGTCTTCAGCATCATAAAGGACTGCTTCGAGTCTTTTCAACCATAGCTGGACCTGATGATTCTTACCAGACTGCCCCTCTGCATCCAGCAGCACGGCTTGGATGCTGGAAACTGTGTTTTGCAGCTTCAGAATGTCGCTTTTGAGATTCCAAAGCAGACTTGCCTTATCAACTGCTAGGGAAGCCAACTGCTTTAGGACGAACCCAGCAAGAGCAGCTGCCATTTTCGGGTTAGGTGAAAAAGAGCAGCTAAAAAGAAAAGGCAGTGTGTTTGCAAGTGACTACTCAAGGGACAGGTGCAAGGGAAAGGAAGTTTCTGAAGTTAGAGATGTGGATCTGCGTGAAGATACAGAATGTGAGCACAGCACATCAGCAAGATCCAATCTCAAAACTTGCCTTTTTCTATTAACTAATGAATGCAGATACATTGACTTAAGAGCCTGCAGACAATGCAGAGCAGCGATAGACCCATCCAATCCCTGATTTGAGCATCTACTTTGTCTAAAACTAGTAGTGTGTTCCCTTCCCTATTAATTAATGTTTAGGTGAGAAGGCAAGCTATTGACTTCTGGTCTAGAAATGTTCCGATTTTATTTTATTTTATTTTATCGGGTGATGGTAACATAAATTCCAAATAAAAATAATTCACAAAGAGAAGACCCCAACAACAGGGGAAAAGGAGAGGAAAAAGCGAGTGAGACATGAGCAGTAACATACCCAGATGGAAGACAGAACGAAGGAGGAAAGGAAAAGAAGAAAAAGAACACAGCCGGAGGGAAGAGATACCTTATCTGGGATTTGATGTCAATGACTCTGCCTGCTGTTCTTCCAACTGTGTGCTGTTCCAGCTTCCTCCTCCTTATGGCTCTGCTTTTTGTTTGCGGGTAGACCTCATTGTGACATTAGAACAAACACTTAGCATGCACCATTTCCTCCGACTGAGAACGCCTCCCATCATTGAACTTATCCCGAAGCTGCAGTAATTATATGGATATCATCCATCCCACAACGATTTCCGAAACCCCCATCGGCCGTTCTTATTTGCTGAATATGGTCCAATCCAGCGGACAACAAGTCGCAGCTCGCTTTCGGAACCCCCGCCGGCGCCAACACCAACATGTTTCCTGTCATCGTACAAAGAATTTCCTCCGCTCCCGTGATCGGAAACTATCACGCGCCGAAATCCAGTAACGATTCGCTGGACTAAATTAATCCTCGCAGCGAACAAGAATCGAGTCAATTTGGATCGACGAAATGGCGGGTATACGCAACTGTCGATCACACTATCGCAAGAAGCAATTGCGAGGGGAAACTTACCGGGAAAATTTTACCAACACTTTGGGATTTAGGTCATTCGGTTACAGAGTTAATCACATTAGGAGTCACTTATCTTATGATTTACTAACAGATTGGTCACTGAACTTTTATTTTACCGTAACTAGCAGGTTGCTCTTATCTAACTCCCTTTTAACCTCTTTACCAGTTGTGCTAATTAGCTTAGCGAAAGCACCCAAATAAATAGATGTTACAGAAGATGAACACACAGCTGTTAATTTCTTGACATGAAAGCCTCATTTCCACTACTAAATTAAATGACTAGCAATATTATTAAAACTGGAGAATACGTATGCGGATATTGCGTACTTATATGTAATCTTCTAAAATATCACACAAATTTAATAATATTTCATCGTTAATAACTAGTTCGTCCTCGGCGTTCGCAATGAATCTGGAATTCCGAGGTATCACTTCATTACTCCGACTTAGTTGAGCGAGAGAGGTAGTTGAAAGCCTTCAGTTGGCACGGAATGTTGGAACTAGTGTGTTCATGTACAGTTGGATACACAATATGCAGTTCAGTTGCTTTGAAATAGTGAAATGAGCGATCACCAGCATGCATCAGTTATTCATAGATTTCGAGAACGGCTTGATAGAACTTCGGAAGTTGTTATATCCCATATTTATAGAAAAGGATAACAAGTGTGTTATAGCCCAGTCAGCACTTCCGTTTGCCACGTCATTAAAAATCTGATGGCATTAACAGAGTCTGACGGAGACTAACGGACAGTGACTAACGGCGAAACGAAACGTAAAGTTAGTGGTTAATATGAAAGAAAAGTAATTTGGGTGGCAAATATAAAAGATTTTTGTAATTTTCTAATTTATCCTTTAGAGAAATTGAGATAAAAAGACTACAAAGCATAACGTAACAAAAGTAGTACTCATGTCCCGCTTAGGACAAATCAGGTAATACACGGGGCTGATTCAAATTATCAAGTTCTAATCATTAAACACTGAACCCAGAAATGGCAGGAATTGATTGTGCAAAAAAAATATGTTTTATTTAGCTTATTCCCAATATCAAGGACTAACAACTAAAGTTACAATGGAAGTGTCCTCGAGGCATCCTTAAGACCTTAACCCTAAAAGTGAAAAAGGGAAACCTATCTAAATATGCACAAACCTTGCCAGGCTTCTCAGAATCCTAATCCTCACCAAGAACTAACTTCAGTTCATTTCAAGCTCTCACCACGGAAGCAAAAGTGGACACCATGCCAAGTTACAGGTTACTTCTCAAAATCCCTCTAGTCTAGTGGTAGGAGAAGCAAAAAAGGGTAAAGTAGCTATACACATGAGACAGCGAAACCCAAAAGCTTCATCCATCCCCACTTTCAGATCCATGTCAAGAAGAGAGAACTGCTGGCTAAACCTGATATCAGCAGCACATCAGAATCTAAAGTGCTTCAGGCGCTTGTAAATACCTTACCTGCTGCAATGGATTAAGAATCCTACGAAAACTCAGCTGAGGTTATTCTGCTCATTCCTGGGTCCCTGTGCAGACTTCCAGAAATCATGCATTTATTATTCCTATAACAATGCTTCCTCACTTTGACTGTCATCACGGTCAGAAACTACTTCTTCCTTCTCAAGCTCTTGTATCACCCTCTCTATCTGTCTCCTATACACCGGCATGAAATGATCGCTGATCATGGTCTGCGACAATCTCACTTTACTATAAAGCGACCTCTCTGTAAGAAAAATCCCAACCCTAGTCTCCATTGCTACCGTCTTCTTTCTCTCGTCCTCTGAACTAGGGGAGCAAGACCCGCTATCATCACTAGTCTCGTCCTCAACAGGAAACGTAACTATGTGCATAATCTTTCCAGCAGGGAAGAATCTATGAACTTCCTTTGCCTGTGGAGTAGCAGAGGCTTCTTCACCTAACCCGTCCACCTCAGCGATGGCTTCGGCTTCTTCCTCCCTAATCTCGTTCACCACGTCAGCATCCTCGTCGCCTTCATAGAGCTCGTGCTCTAGCTGCTGCCACAGCTCGACTTCATTTATTTGGTCTTCGTGCGTATCGCTGTCATCATCATCGATGTCATCGTGATGGTGGGGAGGTTCGTCGGTGCAGGAACATTCTATTTCGGAAGTCCATTGATCTCCTGAAGTCGATATGGGAATGTCGTCGATGTCATCTGAAGTGGAGTTCTTTGCGGTTTTCTTCATGGGTGATAGTAGAGGTCGAGAAGTTTCGATTTTGGAGGAGGGTGAATGAGGGGAACTTCCTTCACCTGTGTTTGAATGAGCAGCAGTGTTACGATGGCGGGGTCCAATGCATGACCATGAAGATAAAGTAAGGGCAGAAGGGCGTGTTGTCCATGCCGCGTGAGCCATGCTCTGAGCTCTCTTCATCACAACCTGGATACCAAAGAAGATTGAGGACCGATTAGAGCTTGGTTTTTGAACAGAACAAAGTACCATTCCTCCTAAGCTTAGTTACTGTTTCTATTCCACTCCCTGAATTTGAGACTATTTAAGCCCTACCATGAATTGCTGGTAAAGGTTACAACACAATCATTTTTTACACGTCCAACTATGAAGAGAGCCACATCAGATGGATCAAAAAGAGAATACTAATTGACGAGATGGATTGAAACAGAAATAGCCTGAATGACTGATGTTACCTGTGTACCATTTGAAACTGGCCGCAAAATAGCCCCTGCTCCTGCAACTTTAGCTTTCGCACTGGCCATGGATGGAAGGCGAGAACCCAATGCCGAAGCAGAACGATAAACCGTGCTTAGTATCCTTGTACGCTCAATCTGATTCCTCAAATCATTCAGCCATGCTGAAGCTGTGACCTAAATAGAGAAGACTGCTGAATTAAGAAACAGGAGCAGCAATAAGGCATAAGTAACAAGATCACCAATGATTCCCAAAAGAAAAACATCTTCAGGAAGTAACCTCTGCACGAAGATCATCCACAGAAGCAGCGGAAAATGTAGGAACTAAGTCAGCTCCATTTATAACAGAAGTGATGAAATCATTGCCAGATTCAGCCAATTCCCACGTCATACAAGCAGCTGCAAATGAAACAACATGTCAGCTAACATATCCTCAGATATTAGAAGGCATTGATAAATATTCAAAAAACATAAAAAGGATCCAAAATGTAAGCAGCTACGACCTGGAGCAAACGTAACACAGGTAGTTGTTAAGAACTCATGCTGTTCCCGCATTACATAGGTCAAAAGTGCTGCAGTTCCTCCACCCAACGAATGCCCTACAATCTTTCAATTCAAGAATGCAGTTAAACGTGTTACTTGCCTCAGTACTAGCCACCATGTCAACCACTCAAAGATGTGTATTCTTTGAAGAAACTAATTCCCTATAAATTTGATCTTTTCCCACATATGCTGTCATAAGAGGGCATCATTACAGATATACCTTGAGCTTATAGTCAGGATACTGGGAAAGAGCATCCTTGAGACAAGGAATTGCTAGCTTTGAAATCCATCGAGCAGCAGCAACCATCCCGCCATGAGCATAACCTAAAACCAAGTTGCTCACTCCTCCCTCATGGACGACAGTGTGATGAAATGGCACCACAGCTCCAGTTGCAGCTGTCAACGTATCTTTGACACTATGCGTCCCTCGTATCAATAGCAGAAACTGTTTCGTCGGGTGATCAACTAAGACTGTAAATGCGGGCTTCAATATCTGAACCATATTAGCAAGAAGATAAATCATCACCACAACCTCATATTGCAGAGACGAAGGTAAAGAGGACAGGTTCACTAATAACAGCTTTACCCAAGACCCAGATCATACATGAAAAATACAAAACTAAGCAAAAAGTAAGCAACAAAGATAATAGCAGTTGAAGCATGGCTTACTCCTGCTTTGGGCTCTTGAAGAAGAACATTTTCCACACTGAATCCAGTCTCCTCCAGAAATAAAGGAAAAGGTTTTTTTGAGAAATGCCAACACAAGGTTAACAAGTGTAAGAGGTACTTTAGTTCTGCAGCTATTTCTGGTCCCTCTAGCTGCATACTATCTTTACTGCCAAATACCTCAGCAACAAGTAAGTTCCCCTGCAGATAGGCCATACGCAATCAACTTCCCAAAAAAATCAGAACAACAAAATTGCGCATCGCTTTGAAAGTTGCGATGCTAAACTTCACTTCGAAGAAATATGCAAGACAAAGCAGGCAATTCATCAACCCAGGCAAAAATAAGGTTGTGATACAAAAACTAATCTTCACAAATTCTCGACGCCAAAACCAGAAAAGCAAGCTCACCTGCCTCTTCAATAGGAAGTTAATCCCAAATGCCAAGTCAGCAATCGGCCACTTCCCAAGGGTTTCGGAGTAAGTGAATCTGAGAGTCTCAGACAGAGTAGAGATTGTCTCTAACCATGTACCAGGAGCTTGAATCAATCTACTAGAGACGCGATTGATCCCCAACTGCATCCTAGTTGCTGTCACCTCACTGCCACTATCATTTTCATCATCATCATGGGGTGATTCGCCCGTCTCTAGTTTACGGTTCAAAGTGTAGTACAGAAGGGCTGCCACACCGGCTGCCGTCGCCATTGTTGCTGTCGCCATTAGACTAAGCCTGATTATTCATTACACCACCACTAACATCGATTAAAACCCTCATCGCCAATCCTCAAACCAAGGAAAGCAAATAAAACTCGATTTAGAAGAAACAACCCCATCAACAGAGCACCTAACTATTATCCACATTTCATTGGCAAATTTGGCTTGCATGAGAAAAAACTGGAAACTAACGCAGGAAACGAACAAATTAAGAGAACATTAAAGCAAATCAAACAAGGAGAAGCAGCGGAACATTTACAATCTTAGTAAAGCCCAAAACATAGATATCAATACCATTATCGAATCAATCCCACAGGGTAAAAAGAGGAGAAAAAACAAACCCAATACAAAAAAATGAAAACTTGCATCGGTATTAAACAAGATACAGAACCGAAATAAGAGAGAACAACAATGGAATCACCGATTGACTAATTGATTTGATTAGCGAACCTAAACATAATTATCGGAGGCAGATGTAATCGGAATGAAATGGAGAGAAAAGCGAGCAGCAAATTATCGGGGAGATTGGGAGAGGAAAAAAAGAACCCTAAATCGGAAATGAAATCGGCGAAGAACCTGCTAATGACGGGGAAGCTGATGTGGGTTTGGTTGATTCCTTATAGTTTTTGGCTTCAAAACGACTCCAACAACAACGAAAATAGAATCCCCGAAAAAAAGATCCGAAATTCCGATTACCCACAATTTATCATAGGAGATTACGGCGGCGACCTACAATGGAATTTCGGATTGCCGATTTCCCCGGCACCTTCTTCTTCTTCTTTCTTTTTTTTCTTGGGTCCGAAACGCAAGACTGAAAACTTCGCGTAGAGAAGAAGGGAAAAAGGGCGGTTCTGGATTTGTTGGGATTACGTGGCGGCGGCAAAATTGAGAAGAATTGAAAAAGTCTTGAATGGGCTTACCACGATGGTTGGGCCGTATGAGTCCTCGCTCGGCCCATTTGTAGTCACTTCTACAGTTCTACTCCATAGTGCCTCCTTGTAACAGTTTTTTACTTTTTTTTACTGCATCCTTGTATTTGTAACATTTTAGAGAAAACTTTCACGATAAAATGGTTTAGGTGATGGTCCCTGAAATCGTACTGTACTGGCGGTTCAACCACGAAATACTAGTATCGGAGGCTAAACCGGTAGGCGGTATTTAACGGTACAACGGTTGAACTACGATTAAACAACAGTTTTACCATAAAATACCTTACTGCTGACTTTTTCGGTACGGTTTCATGGAACATGGTTTAGGTAGCTAACAAATCAATCCACGTTAATAGATTGAATCAGTATACGAATCAAATTGAGATTTTATGAGTTGTTTTGAAAAAAAAATGAAGAAAATAGACCAAATTGAACGAAGCCGATCAGTGACCAAATTTTATTCAGACTCTCGTTCTTGTTATTATTTAAATTTAAATTTAGACCATTTCGAAACAATTTGAATTTAAAACCGAATTGAAACATGTCTCACATTTTCTCTTGGTATTGCTTTCTTTCCTATCACCCCAACATAGATTCGATCCTTTAGATTGCTTTTGGGGGTGTGTTTGCAAGAATAATGATAATCAGTATAATAATGCTCCTCCAGAATCGCCACATTACTTCACGCTAATTGCATGCTTTGATCATAATGGAGGCTAAACTAAAATTCCTTAATTGTCGAAATCATCCTAATGAGCAAGGATTGTTGTATTAGTATTATACTTGCCTAAATAATTGTTGCCAAAAGCAATCATTTAGGGGTTTTGGGTAGGAGGAGTACCTCGATATTAAACGTGGATTTATATTCTAAGATATAAGTGGTGCCTGTGCAAATTTCAAACGTATATATTAGTTACGTTTAAATGTATAAATTTACATTTGAACATAATCTTCCGATTGCTTTGACAAGTTTATTGAGATGAACCCATTACATTCACACATAGGTTGTTTGCTAGTGATTATTAAGTTGAGATAGTTACAATACTTGTATTGTTCACGATACATTGTTTTGTTTTGTTTTGTTTTTTGTCAAACAATACAAACATTATTTGCGTGATGTGATAGACATGTTTCATATTAGATTGTTGAGTGTTTTTTTATATTCGAACAATATCTCTAATTTTTTTATAAGTCTTGTCTTGTTTTATATTAAAAGCACATGACAAGTGATATTTCTTCCAAAAAAAGTAATATAACTTATTTAAATAATATATTATGACAATCATAATTTATCAATTTCCTTAATTACATATATAGTATTATACATGTATTGAACACAATACATCAATTTAATTATCACTGAAACCAAATCCAACCTATAGTTTTCCACGTTAAACACACAATCTTTGCTCAATGGGAAAAGTAAACGGTATAATATAGAAAATATGATACTGGTTAATCCTAAAGTCAAAAAATTGGGCAGCAGCCACGACCAAGTCCCACCACAGAAATTTGGTCGTTGGTCGTTTTCGAAGCTTTTAGCTTTCTCCATTAACGAAACAAACAAGAGACAATCTTATTAAAATAAGCCACCGTTAATTAAGTCCACTCCACATCTTTCCTTTTCAAACAGAGAAGATAGGTAGGAACTGTTAATTTCACATGATCCATGGATTATTTTGGGGACAGGTGTGATGATCAAGCAAGCTGCTGTACCATACATTATTGTCCTTGATGTTTTTCCAGAGCGTGACACTTGCCTTTCAGGCATTCATTTCTACCATATGATCCGATATATAGAATCAGTGGATTTCAATAGTTTTAAGCATGGTCCATGAAACCGTATCGGAGATCGTACCGAAAAAGTCAGCGATAGGGTATTTTATGATAAAACCGTGTTTTAATCGTAGTTCAATCGTTAGTACCGTTAAATACCGCCTATCGGTTTAGCCTCCGATACTGATATTTTGTGGTTGAACCGTCGGTATGGTACGGTTTAATGGATCATGGTTTTAAGTAATATTCAAATGAAATTTGCAAAACAAAAAAGAAAATCAAATTCCAAACTTGAAGTTTATACGAATACTACATCATGTACGGTACTTAATTCAGCTATTAACTTTAACTACAATGAGCATCTAGTGATGGCAATTTGAACTCGCGCTGCGGGTATTACCCGACCTGACCCGCAATGGGACGGGTATTACTCGATTCATAGTAGTGTGGGGTGGGACATGGGTATCTACTTCCGACCCACCCTATCCTACCCCGTCTCGTCCTTGGCCCCATTCTACCTCAATATTTTACAATATCTATACATATTTTTCCTATTTTGACTTTTTTCAACTAGTTAGAGTCAATCTTTCAACTGGTTAGACTCAATTACCCATTCTATTATCACTATTTTTCATTCATAAAGTGTTTTCTTCTTCGCTTTATATTAAAAAGTAAAATTTGTGTGTATTTCTTTCAAATGACATGTAAGAGTGGGTCGACCCGCCCCGTACCCTCGCGAGTTTTACCTGCCCGACCTGTAGTAGCGTGGAGCAGACGTGGTACCCGTTTGCCATCACTAGATCTAAATACGTACTTAAACATCGAGCTTCGGTCATTAATACCGAATTAGTGGGTGAAATTGGTAATATGAGATATGGCAAGTTTTGGGAATGAAATTTTGCATGTATAGTAATTAATAGCAAGTTGAATAGGGCCTCGCAACCAACAGTCAAACGAAAACAAACCAGAATTTCCAACGTGATAGAATAACAAACGTGGGGTCAGCTCAACCCTTCGTTATCACAATTGAATAACTCAACAGAGGGAAAGGGTGTCACATTTACTGCATGTGATCAGGCTGTTATAAACGCGCTGCTACGGATCGGAAAATAGTCGGAATCGACAAAGCAAGAATACGAAAGCGAGAATCGAAAACACAGACACACGATTTACGTGGTTCACTAACACGATGTGTGTTAGCTACGTCCACGGGCGAGCGAGACCCCCGATTACTAGTCGTAGCGGCTGATAATCCGATTCAAGTCATATCAACACAGGCTATGTACACAATTTAGGTCTTAGAGTTAGAAGAAGAATCAATTGAAGCAACGACTTCTAATGTTGGGAAAACTAGACACAAGCTAGCCCTACGTTCCTCCTAAATTCCCAACATTCCCCAATTTGATTTCGTGACGAGCTAACATTGTATGTATCATTTAAGAGATTATATACATGTGCAGTCTTGTTTTCCTTTTGGGCAAGCAAACATGGTGACGCCGTAATGGTTGGAATATTGTGACATATAGAAACTGATATATAGAATTAAAGTCAAATCGACTTGTTAATAAAAAGATGAAAAAGTGGTGTTTCGGGTTTCTAGGAGGTGAAAGTCATTCAAGAAATTTTGGTTTACCTCTGATTAATTTGGGCAAATTATTTGGATCATTACTGACAATACATATAAGTTGTCTGTGTAACAGATATTGACCTTATCCTCTTAAGTCTCATCTATCTATTTCAAAAGAAGAGTTCATTCTCGTTGTCATCCAAGTGTTTTGTAGGTTGAATGTCTAGTCGAATAATACTCATCCCATTAGGTCATGTCACATAAATTTTCAAACTACCCACCTTCAATGCAGAATTGACAAAATTCTGAACTACCCACTTTAAAAAAAAAAAGGACCAGTAAGTACTCTATGCCCAACTTGATCCACAGAGTAGCTAGAGTAGTGACATGACTATTACTCTACACAACATAATCGGTGTGGTAGATAGGAACTGGGCCAAAATATTAACTATTCCCAAATCATATAAGGGTGGGTTCGCATATACTGCAATATCCTAATCAATTAAGTATGATGATACGTTTTATAAAAAACAAATTTTCTCCGGAAGATCGTATACATCTAGTATGATCAAGTTCGTGTATCACAAAGTACACATTAATCAAGACGATAATAACATGAAAGCGAAACTTACTCATCGTGTTAGGAATAGGACTGTTAATGAGCTGAGTCGAGCTTGCCTTGTTCATGTTCGGTTCGTTTATAAATGAGTCGAGCTCCAGTTCGAATTCGACTCGTTTATAAACGAGTCGAGTTGAACACGAGCCAACTCATTTGTTAAATCTTGACACATCATTAAGATCAAAAGTTCGGCTCGAGCTCAACGGTAAGATAATTTATAATATAAATACCCTAATATTTATATGTCATATGTGATACATGTGATTACCTAATGTTATGTCATATATGAGACATATTTGCTTACATATACTCAATGTATTAAACACCATATGAGGTGATATATACAATTTAATAATTATATGCATAATTAACAAACCAACTCATAAAATATAAATTGATTTTCTCATAAGCTATAGTCAAGTTGGCTCTCTAGTCACAATGTTGGGACATCTCATAAGCTCAAGACGAGACAGTTCATGAGTTGTATTAAACGAGCCACCTAATCGAGCTAGTTCACGAGCTTCACGAGCCAAACAAGGTAGAGCTCAAACTCGACTCGTTAATTAACGAACCGAGCTTATTTTCAATCGAACGAGCTTTTATCGAGTTCGAGACCGAGCCGCTCACGAATAGCTCGGCTCATTAATAGCCCTAATTAGGAATACGTAGGAGAGCTTGCATGGTTATACATGTAGGGGGTGTTGGATTTGACTTGAATTGTAGAAAAGAAAGTTCTGAATTTTGGGTTTGGAGGTGGATGATGAGTAGATTTTTGTATTGGGCTTTAGGTGTAGAGGGTAGTGTTGGGTTTCGTGGGTAGCAAGGAGAGGGGCAGTCGAGTAGGAATAGAAGTTTGAGTAGCATTAGGTTTACGTATTAGGTTTATTTCTTATATAAATATGTAAGTTCGGCATTAGTTCGGTATCAATCAAATAAATCAAAGGTTTATAGACACCAACGTCTTTCTCTCGCTCGTGAGTTACAAGCAAAATCCTTGAATAGTGGGTTACGGTTCATTCGTGGATAGTGGATGATTAACTAAAACCGGTAGTGGGGAGCAACATCGATTGCGAACTTGATGATGCGCCCTTTTCCTAGCCAAGTGAGAAAATAATAGTTAACATGATGAGTCACTATCATTAATTAGAAAATTGGTTTTAAAACATGGTTGTAGTAGTGACAATTATTGAAATTTTGCTACTTAATTATTATTGTCGTATTCTTTTTGGAAGCCCACCGTTCAGATTAGGTAGCATAGTTCTCGCAGGGGCATGTGATTTTAGCTACTTGATGGCAGTAGTGGATTGGATGATTACATTCTTTTACTCCCTTTTCAGCAAGGTTGTCAAACCGGTTTTTACCGTTGTGCCGGTTTGGCAAGTGGAATGGTACGACCGGTGGTATAACCAGTTTGTGCCGGTTCATGCCGGTTAAAAAAAATGTGAAAACAATTAATATCTAATGTATTTAATCATATATAAAACATATTTGTGGACAATTTAGTTACAATCCAACAAATATCATCAACTTTTAGCTATTACATTCATAAAATGAATAATAAATTAATTTTTTTATTCATTAAGTTCATTAAAATGATGTCATTTTACTTAGAATGCGTAAGTCGATCATAACGGTCATACCGGTGATGTCACGCCAGTTTCATAACCGGCACAGGTTGAACCAGGTTCAACCGGGTGGCATGCCACCGGCATGACAACCATGCTTTTCAGACATACTTCTATTCCATCCACTCAAACTCAATCATTCAAGACACAATTTGACTCAATTAATTAATTAATTAACCTAATGTGAATTATATAAGTATAAGCTGTCGAGTAATTGCTAGTAATGTTATTGATTTTTGGTAATGTGAGTTTAAAATCGTTGTAGTTGGTAGAGTATAAATCGTATGAAAAACATTTCACAATATGTAAATGTTAGCGATTAGTTGGTTGCTCATTTTAATACATGTATACGAAAATAATTGGCTAAGATGTTTGAAATATACTTGAACACAATTATATCTACAATGGTCATGTGTTTAATAACTCTATATAACAATGCTCTTCGGTCTAATTACTTCATGAGCGTTGTTCTGGCATTAACATTGTTGAATCAATAATGTGTTGGTAAAAAAACTTGTTTTTTGTTTGTTTGTTTGTTCAAGTCTCTTATATGGTATCTTCCTCTTAAGGCAATAACAACAATTTTGATGTTGACTTATCTGTTGTATTCAAGTATATGAACATTTTTATTTTGATGTAATACTATATTTTATCTGAATATGAATATCGAGTAATTGTTGAAACTTTAAATAACTTATATATATATACTACATTAGTAGTGTAATCACTAATCTATGATTAGCGTTTAAATTGTTTAACGGCTTGTAAGTTAGTGGTCTGGTTACTTAAACCGAAGTAAACGGATTTGACATTTGAGTAGTTAAATCTTAATCCACTTTATCGATGCAGGCTGCACTGCAGCCTTCTTTACCAGAAAAAGTTAACGACGGGAAAATAACAGAAACTCCTCAGTCCTCGTAATAATACACCCGAGCACAGCTGATCTCTATCAAACTAGGGATGGCAACAAAACCCGAACCTACGGGTATCCACCCGACCCAACCCGGTCAATGCGGGTAAAACTCGTGTTGATGGGTTTTGGGTCGGGTTTGGGTTTAAACCCGCTACACTATTCACCGAGTCGGATTGGGTTTGGGTTTAGGTAAACCCGCCCCATGGGTACCCGCCCACATACATATAATTACTTTCCCGGTATATTTAATATTATAAATAATATATCTTCCTTAAACAACTAATATTCTTTATGTTTGTGGAGACATGTATAATTTGTTCTTTCTAATTGTTTAGAATGAAGTTGATATTATGAAGTGAAGAGTGAAGAAACTTAGTTGACGAGGAAGAATCTTTCAATTAATCTTATTGTTTATAGATGTTTATCTTTAATTTTGAACAATTTGTATTGATCATTTGCGGTTTGCTTGTATGCTCTAGATTGATGTTTTTTGTATGATTAATTTGTATGAGAAATTGATGTTAAACTTTTATTTTGAAAGAAATTTGTTATTGTAAATTTTTTACCACAAAACCCACGGGTACCCATGAACCCGCGGATACCCAGCGGGTTGGGTTTGAGTTTTTCAAACCCATCGGATTTTAGCCCGAATTTTTTTAACGGATAAACCCATGGGTTTGGGTTTGACAAAACCCGCCCCAACCCGACCCATTGCCATCCCTATATCAAACTCTTCCCTCCAAATAAATACTGACGTGTCAAACATTTTTTGGCTATTTCTCAACCACCTCTCCCTCCAAATCGTATTTCTTTTTCGCGCAATAATTCATTTCATTTTTTGTTTGTTTCTTTTTCGCTTTCTCCTTTTTCAACTCCATTTTTACTAAGAGCTCAAGCTCTTTGAAGCTATAAATCCAAAATGAGGAGACCTTCCGATTTCTAGCTCCCGAATTCCCACTTTCCCCCCTCACCGTTCTTCCCCGCCGGCTAGAATTCCGTTAATCGGAAGCTTTTTCTCACCCTAACATAACATGGCCGGAGAGTTCGAGACCTCAGTCGCATACGGGCTCAAGCTGTCCAAGCGAATCTACTACGGCAAACAATCTGCCGCCGCGGCGCCAACCCCGCCGGAGATGGTGCGGCAGATGTCCAGGAGGTCGTCCACCGGCGGCGGCAGCAGCGACCAGCAGATCAGCTACTTGCCGACAGCGGTCACTGTTTACGCGGTGGTGTCGGAGCCGGAGGCCGTCGACAACCCCGACGTGCCCAGCTACCAGCCGTACGTGCACGGCCGGTGCGATCCCCCGGCGCTGATACCGCTCCACATGTACGGGGCGGAATTGGAGGTGGACTGCTGCTTGGACCACGCGCGCGTCGGATTCGCGGGACGGTGGCGCGTGCACTGCGTCAAGACCGGGCGGACCTGCGACTGCCGCGTGGCGGTTCCGATGGGCGAGAAGGTTAGTGATCGGGAGCGAGAGATATCTCTGCTCTACTGGATTAGCATTGCCGGTTCTACTTTTGTTTTTTTTGTGGTTAGTCCGGTATGTGTTCGATAAAATGCTTGTGTGGGAAGAATTGAGGGAAGGAAAATTTGATGCTTGGCTAATAGTAAGTACTAATAGCAGGGTACAATTCTGAGTGTAGAGGTTGAAGTAACGGGAAGGTTGTACCATAGCCGATTGATGACGGCGGATGATGCAGACGAGTTGTCGAAAGCAAGCAAAGCAGTTGGCGGAGATGGGCGATACTTGAAAGGCAACATCTACACTTTCAGAATTCCACAGGTGACAAAAGAAACGTTTCTTTCCCGTTTTATTACAAGTTTTCGTTTGTTGAAAGATCACAAAGAGCCTATGAGTACTGTCATTCCAATAGCTGAGTTGGACAGTTGGTTAGGAGACGCTAAAACCATATCTGGAAACTAATATTTTCCAGATAACTACATTTCCCATAATGGACTATTGTTTGGCTTATTCGTCTACATGGATGTTGCTATTTGTATTGGTTGTCAGGCATTTCTGTTTCATTCATGTATTGATGGGCCTTCTTTTGGTTTTTGCATTGTGTCATTAGATTGCAGGGGGTTCTATGATATCAGTAAAAGTGAGCTGGTCGCAGAAGTTGGTATATGGAGGGGGTCAATTCAGCCTTGACGTGCCATTTAGTTTTCCATCGTTTGTCAATCCGATCGGCACCAGGATCTGCAGAAGAGAGAAGATAATGTTGAACGTGAACTCTGGTATCGACAAGGAAATCTCATTCAAGAGCAGCAGCCACGGCCTGACGGTAACTTTGATCATCTTGATTCTGCTATGAGAATATGTTGTTGGCTTTGAATGATAGACCTAGAATATGTCCGCTGGGTTTTCTTGTCCGCAGGAGTTAAGGAGAGAAGTTGGCAAAATTGGGTTTTTGTATGAAGCACAAGTCAATACTTGGTCAATTTCCAACTTCAGTTTCTCATACTCTGTAAGTGTAATGCTGTGAATGTTCTGTGCTGTGATTCTGTGCCTTGGGTGGAATTGACCTTAGCTATGATTCTGTGCTTGGTTTCGTAGGTCTGTTCCGCAGATTTATTTGGTGGTGTACTCTTGCAGTCACCATTCCTGAGAGATTTCGAGGAAAGGCAGATGTTCTGTTTGCATCTCTTCCCTGGAACTAACCAACTTAGGAAGGTTAGCTACTCCACTGAACTAGTCCTTAATTATCTTTCTGCCTGCATCTCTTGATACTTAACTTCCAAATATTCCTTCTTTTTGTTGATCTCCTGGTAGGCTTTTATGAAGGAAGTCGTATTTGTAGTTGATATCAGTGGGAGCATGAAAGGAGATCTTCTTGAAAACACCAAAACTGCAATAATGTCATCACTATACAAACTGAACCAGGAGGATTCTTTTAACATCATTGCTTTCAACGGGGAAATGTACTTATTCTCGCCCTTGATGGAGCCTGCAACCCAAGGAACAATAGTCAAGGCTAACCAATGGCTTAATGACAAGTTACTTGCAGAAGGGGGTACCAACATTTTGCCTCCTCTTCAACAGGTATGGCAAATGCTGCAAGTTATCGTGTCTAATAAGGAAAGATCTATGCAGTCTCCTGTTTCTTGTTCCTGGGTATTTTAGGGCTGAATGACTTTGCAATGCACCTTTATGTTTAGGCCATGAAGCTCTTGGCTGAAACAACCAATTCAATTCCTCTCATTTTCCTCGTCACTGATGGAACCGTTGGGGACGAGAGAGACATCTGCAATTTCGTCAAAGCTTCACTAGCTAGTGCAGCAACTGGAACTTCCATTTCTCCTCGCATATGTACATTTGGTATAGGTAAGGGTTTTTTTCTTTGGGAGATCAGGGTACCCATTTCCGGATGCAAACTAGATGACTACAAATCACATACCTATGATTACCACAATTATTAACCCTTTATGGGAAAACCATTTCCACAGGTTCATACTGCAATCATTACTTCTTGCAAATGCTGGCTCAAGTTTCCAAGGGCCATTTCGATTGTGCTTTTGATGCTGGTCAGTCCAGATATTCTGATTCAATAAAGATTTCTTCATCTAGTGAAAACTCAAGCTAGATTTCGGGAACTTACCATTTCTTTCATTTGCCAGATTCAGTTGATTCTCGACTACAGAGACTATTCACGACTGCTTCATCTGTTCTCATAGCCAACATTAGCATGGACTGCCTGGAACATCTCGATTCACTCGAGGTACATTGTTTCATTTCGCCAGAATCGCAGCACTGATCCAATAAATCTGGAACCATCCCATTTTCTTTTCTCTGATTCTCATTCACTAATGCTTCTGACGAATTCAAAATGCAGTTGCTTCCATCTAGTATCCCGGACCTGACAACTGGAGCTCCATTGCTAGTGTCTGGGAGATACGATGGGACTTTCCCGGAGTCCGTCAAAGTTACAGGGACTTGGGCAGATATGACTAATTTTACTATGGATTTGAAAGTGAAAAGAACGAAGGATTTGCCACTAGATAGAGTAATGTTCCTCCGAACTTTCGGATTCTCAACTCTCTTTTCTGATTCACCAAAGCTTGGTCTGAAGTTATTCATATTCCTTGCTTTTCTTGTAGGTGCTTGCTAGGAGACAGATCGACTTGCTAACTGCTACGACCTGGCTATCACAAAGTAAAGAACTTCAGGAGAAGGTTCGCTTCAGAACTTTCTAATCATGCTCGTCCATTCAAAGCCAATAATGCAGTAGTAACTAAATTTCCCTTTTCAGGTTGCCAAAATGAGCATACAGAAAGGGATTCCATCTGAATACACCAGTATGATTCTGATTTACACAGACAAAGGAGAGAAACCACCAGAAACCCATCTAGTAATGGAGGTACGTATACATAACACCACAATCCATTTCCCTAACATCCTTCATAACTTCAAACTGAAGTGGGTAAGTATAAATTTGATCACCAAACTCTTCTGTATTCAATGCTGACCAAATGCTCAATATTTTACTTTAAGCAAGCTTTGACATTTCACATCCTACAACTTCTTCTCCTGATCAAAACCAGGTATTCAGCAAACTGAACTCACTCAGGAGCCTGCAGCTGGGGACAGAATCAGCAGAGAAGCAGAACATCTACCTAGGAAGCAGCTTAGGCATTGGTTTCGGCAACCTAGTTGCCACAGCTCGGAACACTCCTCCTGGAACCGAGGAGGGGAAGCAGCCAGACGCCGCAGCGAAGCTGGTGAATGCTGCTTCCAGCTGCTGTGGCGTGGTGGCCGATCGCTTATGTTGCATGTGCTTCATCAGGGCTTGCTCGCACACCAGCAAGCAGTGCTCCATCTTGGCGTCACAAATCTGCGCCGCGCTTGCTTGCTTCGAGTGCATCAGCTTTTGCTATGAGATTTGTGCTTGTGAGTGAGTGAACACAATTGAAAGGACCAAAATGAATGAATGAATGTGCAGGCTATTTATGTTGTAACTTGTACCAGTATACAGTGTAAATCATCTTCTCGAGTTGGTATAAAGGATTGTTATTGATAATTTGATATCAATCAATGCAAATACTCTTTGCATTAATCAGGGTACTAATTAAAGCATTCAGCTACAAGATAACTTGTATGCAATGAATAGCCAGCCAAGCAAAAGGATTGAAATACAAAGTCTAGATGTGGTTCATCGGGCAATTGACCTTGGCAAACGTAAAACGAATTGAAAAACCGAATATGATTTGAGACTAGCCATTAAATCAAGTGAGATAACCGGGACACTGGAGGTCAAAGGAAAGAAATGAAAGATTTTCCACTAAGGAGTAACGAGAAGGCCGGTAATTGCAGCCAAAGAATAGCTATAACCGGCAGTGGCAGAGCCACTTGTGGTCAAGGTGGGTCATTTACACCACCTTGGCTCAAAAGTGTAGAGTAAAATTTTTTTTATGTGTATCTCTATATTATTGTAAATAAGTTTATAAAAGAGGAATGTTTAGTGATCTCTATTTAACTTTTATTTCATAAATTTTCTAAGTGAGTTTAATATAATCAAAACTCAAAACTTAGAGATGTTTGTTGCTATTAGTTGTTAATTGCAAGTGCTTACTCTAATAAACAAAGTGAAAAGCACTTCAAAATAAGATGAGTTGCGGGATTGTGAATGATATTTGTTGTAATATCTTAACATTCTTCATAATTTGTATGATAATTGTATTTTAGAAAATTTTCAGAAGATGAAACACACCCTGAAACTTAGGTTATATATTTGTTTTCCACATTTGACATACCTTAAATAAATTTCTACTGATAACCGGCCTCTATTTTCTCTTTTGTTTTTGCTAACGGCTAGCTATATTTCTCTGCTTACGAACCCTTTTATTCGAATGAATACAAGTTCTCTGTTCCACCTAATCAGTTGATTTTTTTTTTTTATAATGGTGAAAATTTATTATGAGAAAAAAGAAACAAAGTAACAGAAATACAAGACCAGGGCTCAAGAGAACTGAGCAGCCTGAAAAAGAAACTAAAAAACTGAGAACGGGAAAGCAAAAGAGAGTGAAAGGCACAGTTAAATGGATCGGACCATTACCTAATCAGTTGATTATTAGCACAAACATGGCAACATATGGGAGCATAAGTGATGGTTTTGTATAACAATGATTCTCTTGGAAAATAATCTCTCCTTAAAAGAACCATTTTGAATCTTAAATTTGTTTAACTGTGGGTGTCAGGCGTTGTTGGATTAACAATAATTACACACTTTATTAGTCACACACTTTATTAGATGAATCGCTATTTGCCGCCCGTAGTTACAAAAAATAAGACGATTTTGCCCTTGCTCTATTTTAAAACCCTAACCCTATCTACCCTCAACCTTCACCTCCCAACCCTCTCCCAATCTGCAGAACAACCCAGCCGCCAACCCCCTCCAAACTGCCGACCAACCCAGCCGCCAACCCCCTCCAAGCTGCCGACCAACCTACCAATCCGTCACCGCGACCGACCACTCCTCCCTCCTGCCGATCCGAAGCCGCCGCCGCGAGTCCAGAAGCTGCCGCCGGCGAGGACCCAGACCAGCAGCGCCGTCCGACCTCCCCACCGTCGAGCGTAGAAGCCGTCGCCGCCGAGTCTCCCTTGTTCGATCTCGCCGCCGCCGACCTCCTAAGCTCGCTCTAGGTAATTTTTTTTATTTTTGTCTTCACGCGGTCCAACTTGTCGGAGCGGATGAGGTCCGACTCCCCCGGTCGGACGCGGTCCGCCTCACCCAGTCGGACCGGGTCCGCTGGGTCTGGTCGGACCGGTCGGATTGGGTTTGACTAATTTGGTTTAATGAAATATTTATTAGATTTATTTTAAATTCAATTGTTAGTAACTTAATTAGTTTAATATAATAGTTGAATAATTAGTATATAATTGTTAGTTGAATGATTAGTATATAAGCGTTGGTTGAATAATTAGTATATAATTTTTGATTATATAATTAGTATATAATTGTTAATTATATAATGTGTTAGTTTATTAATTGGTTAAGTTGAAATAATTATTTAAATAACTATCTATCGTATTGAGTAAAGTAACTATCTAGTTAAATTAATTAGATAACCAAGTTGTATGTATCATAATTAGAAATTAATAAATTATGACTATGAATAAATTGCTAATAAAATAATTTAATATAAGAGATTAATAGATAATTATTAACTATGCTAATAGATAATTTATTATAATTATCTAAATAATTATTGTAAATAATTGTTAATTTTAAATAATTATCTATGATGTTTTAGTTAAGTAATTGAGTAAGTTGAAATAAATATTTAAATAACTACCTATCGTATTAAGTAAAATAACTATCTAGTTAAATTAATTAGATAACCAAATTGTATGTATCATAATTACTCTATGAAACAACAAGTAATTGCTCAACAAATAATTTATTATAAGATATTAATAGAAAATTATTGACTATGTTTAGAGATGGCGTCACCTGGTAATTCTGGAGGATCACGTAGTTCTGGAGGAGCTGGAAAGAGATTGAGAAGATTCCTTGGGCACCCCATTAGCGCTAGTGCGAGAAATAGGGGCCCAAATGATAGAGATGAGCCACAGCCACAGCGAGTAGTGACACCGATGAGTTTGAGGGCCGACGGTTTTTCTCAGTTTGATTTTCAGATGCCTAGTAGGGCTGGTAGTGGAGCTGGTCCTAGTCGTGATCATGCTTCACCGTTTGAGCCTTCAGATGAGATTGATGACGAGTCGGAGGAGTATGAGTCGGATGCTGTTGAGTATCGCATTCCACCAGTCAGTCCGATCAGAGACAGAGGTGCCCCCAGCGGATCGTCACATGTCGTTACTGGGGTTCATGCTGTTACTGGGATCTATAGAGACCATGCGGGGCGTTTCTATAGAGCTCCACAGCCTTTTGAGGGCCAGAGTGGTACTGCTGATGTGGGAGAGGCCTGGGAGCCTAGAGGACCGTGTCCTAGTGGGCCGAGCGACCCGAGTTTGCTCCATAGCTTTCTTGGGCATGTTGCCCACCGTCTGTACACTGGAGAGGCTGATAGAGGGATGATCACTTGCTACGACAGGAGTTCGATCCTTCGCCACGTTCTCGATGGTTATGTGATAGCAGATGATAACGCTAGGACTACCGTCGAGACATCGGGCCTTGCTCACCTCGTTGATATCACCTTCCAGAGCGAGCTGGACCCTGCTCTCATCTCGGCATTTGTGGGGAGGTGGAAGCCGGATACCAACACCTTCCACATGCCGTTTGGAGAGATGACGATCCTCCTTCACGACGTGGCACACATTCTTGGGCTTGCGGTTGAGGGAGAGGCGATGGTAGTGGATCCGAGGCAGTTGGAGAAGTGTGCACTGGAGACTGACATCTGAGCACTACTGGGATTAGATTGTGACGAATCTGAGTACGGGGAGCAGGTTGGCGAGGTTTCCAGTCTGTCTAGGTGGTACAGAGGATTTGGTTTGTTGGGTGTGGGAGCTTTGACTCATTTGCAGCAGTCTGGTCCGCCAGCTAGAGAGGCTCAGTGTTACCTTCTTTTGCTGCTTGGGTCCACACTGTTCGTAGATAAGAGTAAGGACCGCGTTTCTGCTGTTGTCAACTTGTTTGTGAAGAGGCCGGATATGCTCAGAGAGTACGCGTGGGGGGCAGGAGCACTTGCGTATCTGTACAGGCAGCTTGGTATTGCCTCCCGGGCTGAGGCTAAGGGAGTGGCGGGTTGTCTGACTTTACTACAGTGTTGGATTTACGACCACTTTCCTACCTTGAGGCCTAGTCGGTTGGAGCCACGAGAGCTGGAGCAGGGGAAGGCAGGAGCATTCAGGTGGCGCGGTACAGCACCCCAGTCGACGAATAAGAGGGATGCACAGATGTTGGCTTATTATCGGCAGGCGATTGATTTTTTGACCCCTCAGTCAGTTTGTTGGACTCCGTATGGTCAGAGTCCTCATCTGACGGTGAGACGTACCTTGTATCAGGGTCTGCTCAGATTTGCAGAGATAGTAGAGCCATATGATCCTACTAGGTGCCTCAGACTGTTAGGCTACCTGCAGAGTGTACCGTATCCCTCGGAGTGTCCGCTTGTTGTGCGTCGACCTGCTTCCACGCTTGGATACTCTCTTAGCTACCAGTCTGATTATGATTCGTGGTGGAACAACTAGGGGGCGTATAGTGTGCATCTGGACCTTTATTCTACTCCTGCATGACGTAATCCATGGGAGTCTGTTGAGGATTACATGGGGTGGTACATTAGGCACTCGCACCCACAGATACTGAGTGACAGCCGACCTCGTCACGACATCACGGATGCTGATACGGTTAGTACTTTCATATTTGAAATTATTTGTATTAAGTAAAATTTTGTTTGATTGTAACTAATGTGTATTTAAATAGTATGGTTTTTGTTTACAGTTGTCACGCAAGATGTGGATTGAGATATCTCCCGGGATGGATGCTGAACAGGGTAGTAGGGAGGAGTGGATGGCTAGCGCCAACGAGTATTACGACTTATGTCATGGAGTTGGGGACATGTGGCCCGAGTTTAGGAGGAAGTCGGGTTTTCTAACACCTCCACAGTAGTTGTATGATTTTTATGTCATATGTATGAGTGTTATTTGTTGTTTTTAGACGAGTTGACTTATGTTATTCTGTTGTTCTACTACGACTTATGTTATGTGGTGTTCAGTTGCTTATTTGTTGTTTTGAGACTATGACTTATGACTTATGTTATTTTTTGTATCTGATTATGACTTATGTGGTTTATGTTGTATGTTTTTATTATATCATGTTTCCATGTGACGTAAACAAACTTCATTACAATTTATTTAAAGTGAAGACGTTCATTACAATTTATTTAAATTGAAGACAAGTACAAATTTATTTCTTTGGAACCCTCTTTTTGCGCGATGGAAAGCTATGAGTCCCACCCCCAAGATCAAACCACATTTGACTAAACGGCGCGAAATATGCATCCCATCCATCCACGCTTTCTTGCTGACCGCCTGGCCACATGCCATGTAGAGGGGGCATCGGTATCTTGTCCGCCGGGAAAGAGAGGTTGATCCAATGATCCTGGACGAAATGCAGAACAATGACTCCTCTAGGATTGGTTGCCCCAGATATGTTGTCCACTGGCAGAATGGTACAGTTGTACGCACTTGGTACTGGCAAGAGGTAAGAGCTGTACATGACAACAGCCAAATTAAATAGTGTGGCAAATACGAATAGATCCACACCCATCATCCAATGACGTTGAGTCGTTGGTGTTGTAGTAGCAATGTCAGTGCGTCTGATTGCCGCATTCACAGATTCACCGTAGATGGGTGTGTATCGCCAATCGTGCTCACAGAGTTCTTCAGCAAGTAGTCACCTCACCTCTGGGAACCATCTTGATTACCATATAATGCAAAACTAAGTGCACGAAACCCACAATGACCGTCTGGCACCGGGTCGTGGATGGCAATGATAAGGTCCCGAATGAAGACAGGAAGCAGTTCCATGTGTGCGTAATCAGACTGGGTGCTGGATCCAGGGATATCTGTGAACGAAATAGATAATCAGCACATGTTCTACATAAACTATTATTATAAATAACTACAGTTATGAAAATTTTAAATTGTACCTGTGTCAGGATTGTTGTATTTGTTGTTTTCTTCGCGATCATCACACTCCTCAGCTGCATGGTCGTCTGACGGGTACTCGTCTGTCCGAGTCCCCGTGGACTTGGTATTGGTCGACTTTGTAGACCTCGACGTTGTGCTTCCCGACTTCTTTTTCATGTCTTTCTTCTTGCCTCGCAATATCTTTTCCCACCACCCTTTAGTTCTTCCAGTTGATTTTTTGGCTGGGCGTCCCTTTCGTGATTCGTTCACTTCTGGCTCGTGAATGTTGTCTTCCGCCGGGTGGAGACCGCGAAACACGTCCTTTGCTGCTTTTTTCGTTGCCTCTGGTCCTCTCCGTACAACCTCATCAACCAACTCGTGAAGGTGACATTTAGCCTCCTCCTCCTGGGGCACGTACTCCTGAGCATTGGGTGGATGCTCGTATGTCAGTGTACGCCAATATATATGAATATCACCTGGGTATATCTCTATGTCTCGCGCTCTGCCATCCATAACTTGACATCCACACCTCAAGCCATGTGTCACAGAGAAATGACATGCACATCGGGAGTTCTCATTTTTTTCCAAGCGAGCCGCCAATTCTTCTTCAGCCTCCTTCATTAATATAATTGCCTGCATGCTGATCGCCCTTCTCAAGTATGTGAAGGGTGTACCACTGAATGCTGAAAGGGGTTTCTGTCTAGATTTTTCCAACATCATCCTAACCTCCCCGAGTTGGTTAGTAATGTAGCGGTGGTTTCCTTTCCATACAGTGTCCATAGATCCCCGCGAGTTGTGGAGGAAAGTTTTCAAAGCGGAATGTGACGACTCAACTCTGTTTGTGCTCGTATTTCCTAGATGAAACACTTTTTTGTATGACAAACTGCCACTTTTCTCGATGTTGCCACCACACTCCCTGTATGTATTGCAACAGACGTGGCTCGTGATTGCCCCATCTTGTCCTAAAGCGGCCAAACGCGGCCAACATACCTTGCTCGGACCAAGAATAAAGCATAGGACACCAATATTGATCGTACGCCTCGTTGACCAAATCCATCTTGTCCTTCCCAAATATTTCCAAACACTTCTTCTGCACATTGGTGTTGATGTGCCAAACACATAGCAAATGCGGGGTGCGGGTGAAGACCACAGAAACCGTAGCAAGTAGTCCACCTTCGTGTTCGGTGACGATGACAGTGGGCACGCGTGGATGGAGCAATTGTTGTATGCACTCCAACAGCCACAGATACGACTCTTTTGTCTCATCCTTCATGAGAGCACAACAGATGTTGAAATTCTTCCCAACTGGAGTAGCACCTACGACCTCCACCCATGGCCATTTATATGCATTGGTCTTATACGTTGAGTCGATCAGAATCACGTACGGCCAAGCCTTCAACATCTGGATGGAAGTTGGATGGGCAAAAAAAATATGTGTAAGCACGTCGTTATCATCCTTCATAACCTCTGTATGATAATTCGGACGCCATTGAAAAAATGGTCTGTGTAATCACCAATTAGTTCAAAATTGTAATCCATGTCCACCTGCAATTATGATTTCACAACTCGTTAGAAAGGTACAAATTATATGATTCTACAAAATGAAACTAAATTAATTAACTCTACAAAATAAAAATAATTTGACGATAAGAAATTTAATTAAATATAAATTATTAAACCAAATTAGCTCTACAAATTAAATCTAAACACAATAAACTAATTACCGCTACAACAAACCACAATCACTTAATTAAACTAATTGTGCTTCAATTGACTCTACAAAATTAAAATAAATGAAATAATTTAATTAACTCGAAACAATAACGATAATTTGACGATAAGAAAATTATTTAAATATAAATTATTAATCTTCTTTAGCTCTACGAATTAAATCGAAACACAATAAACTAATTAGCGCTACAACAAAACACAATCGCTTAATTAAACTAATTGTGCTTCAATTGACTCTAAAAAATTAAAATAAATACAATAATTTAATTAACTCTAAAAAATAACGATATTTTGACGGTAAGAAAATTATTTAAATATAAATTATTAAACTTCTTTAGCTCTACGAATTAAACTAATTGTGCTTCAATTGACTCTACAAAATTAAACTAAATGCAATAATTTAATTAACTCTAAAAAATAATGATAATTTGATGGTAAGAAAATTATTTAAATATAAATTATTAATCTTCTTTAGCTCTAGGAATTAAATCTAAACACAATAAACTAATTAGCGCTACAACAAAACACAATCGCTTAATTAAACGAATTGTGCTTCTTTAGCTCTACGAATTAAACTAATTGTGCTTCAATTGATAGCTCTACGAATTAAACTGATTGTGCTTCAATTGACTCTACAAAATTAAACTATATGCAATAAATTAATTAACTCTAAAAAATAACGATAATTTGACGGTAAGAAACTAATTAGCGCTACAACAAAGTACAATCGCTTAATTCAAACTACATATGAATTTAACTATGTAAAATAGAAATAAAAGCAATAAATTAAATATAAATTATTAGCTCTAGAATTAATAATATGTCTCAAATTAAAAAAAAGAAGACACTGCCCTATCGCCGTCGCCGGTGTCGGACCCCGTCCGCTCGCCGGCGTCGGCCGCCGTCCGCTCGCCGCCGGACGGGCGGGCGGGGTCCGACGCCGGCGGTCAGGCGGACGGGGTCCGCCTCCGGTGACCGGACGGGCAAAAAAATCCAGGAGGAGGTCGGCCACGGGGTTTACCTGATTCGCTGGTCCGACGATGGGGCGTGCTGCCGTCCAGTGGCCTGCGAATTATGCTGACGAGATTGGTCCTGTGGCCGGCGACTTAGGCTGCCGTCCGGTGGCCGTGAATCTGGCTATGGTGTTTGTGGGGGGTTGGTGGTCGGGACTCGGGTTGTGTGTATGTTCTTTAAAAAACCATTTCGGCGAATAGAATATAATCCTCTTTATTAGTTGCCATAGCAAAGCGTGGGGTATATGATCTAGTTACATATAAAGACAATACAACCATAGTACTCCAGAGTTGCATACAAAATTCCATCTAGATCGAGTCAATTGTCATAGTCTCAATAATTCGAGTTGTTGGAACATATGCATGTATGGTGGTTAACCACTTCCTTAAATGCATCCTCAAACAAAAGCTAAGTCATGAGTTTGAAGTTTGCACAGACCCACCAATATCATGTGCTTTAGGACAACGATTAACATTGAATGTCGTGAGAACTTAAACACGTGACCTCAAAGACAAACCAATTTTGTAACTATATCATAAATCAATTAGTTCCAATAAATCAAATTATTATATATATATATATGTATATATATGGGCAGTTCTAGGGTGCCCAGGGAAAAATCCGGGGTACGGGTAACCGGGGGCAAGGAAAATTACCAAAAGCATCACGAAGCGTTTAAGCGTTGTTCATTGGACTTCAACCTAACTGTACCCGGTTTAATTATATCGATTAAGAGGTTAAACCCTATGGATACGACCCGCCGCCCTAACCAATTTCTAGTCCCTCATTCGTCTTGGAGGGGACGCCCCCTCTTAGTTCGAAGTTCGAACATAATCCTTTTATCATCGTTTCTGAAATCTTAAATCTCAAATCCTTTTATCATTTGATCGACATTCGATTTAGCTCCCAATCCAATATCAAATTCCCAACATCATCATGTTTTGAACCCCAAATCTATGTATCCACGTTCGAAGAGAAGATCCCTTTTCAATCTAAAATCCCCACATAATCATCATTATGAACCACAAATCCTTGTATCCACAATCGACGTTTTGTTCTTCGCCATTTTATTTCCGACCGGAATCTAAAATCTCCACATAATCATCGTTTCCTTGTATCCACAATCGACGTTTTGTTCTTCGCCATTTTATTTCCGACTGGAATTTACACAAATGAAGATGAAATAAGCAACACAGTCTTCGACCTAATTGAGGAAGAAGATGGAAGAAGACAGAATTTGATTCGAATCAGATGGAGAGGTCGCCTTAACTTGTGTTTATGTATTAACGGTGCGTTTAGGACAAAGTCTAGTTGGGCTTTTAAATTCCCTTCAAAAGTGGGCTTGTGTACATGATCCGGATTGTGAAGAGGTTGGGCTTTTATTTACATCTGCGTCTGCTTCTGCTTCTGCTTCTAAACGCTGATCATGTCTTGCGTTCACGCAATTTAAACACAATCATGTGTTCCATCTTTTTTTTGGGATTCGGTAAATGGTAGCGTGTCTATTTACACATTTATCGGTACGAGGTAAAAAACAATCCGCCCAATTTAACTCTTTATTAATTGCCCCTATTCCACTCTCTCACTGTTTGCCCCTCTTGACATAACAAACCTCTTGTAGACTAATTAGAGGCGTGTGGTTAGATACTTAGTGAGGACATTTTTTAAATTTATGTTTTGAAACGAAAGTTAGAATTTCGCTTTTGAAGTACTTGTGTACTTTACTTGGGCAAGTATTTTCAAAATGTAAAATTTTATCAGCGTATAGGTATGCGATTATTGTATAAGGTGTTTATGGTTAAGTTAATGATTACTGACTGGTTAGTGTATTAGGTTGTTGATGATTTAGTGTATATGGTATATGGTATATGGTTTAGAGTATATGGTATATGGGATGGTTTATAAGGTGTTGAATTGTTGATGGTCCAGAGCATATTGTATTGATTGATTCGGCTGAGGGTAGGTGTTGTTTTAATTTTTCTCGATTTTATATTGTCTTAACATCTTCTTATAAATGCTGATCATGCCTTATTATCAGAAAATTTAGACATAATTATTGTAGCGTGTCTCTTTACACATTTATCGGTACGAGATAAAATAATTTGGTGTGTGCAAAGTAGGTCCTCATTAACGATTTTGCCATGTTGGTTATCCCGCCCATTAGCGATTCGCCACATATGGAATCAAAATTAGTTAGAGTTCTTAAATTCATCTTTCTTCATTTATTCTTTGACTTGAACCAACACGTCTTTGCTCCGAAGGATTTTGGGTGGTAGTGGCGTGCTAAAGACAATCCGTCCAATTTAACTCTTCGTTAATTCCCCCTTTTCTTTTCATTTTTGGTAGAATAATTACCCCTTTTCCACTCTCTCGGTCCCCGCCAAAGTTGAAACAATCCCCTGTGATATATTTATCGTTCATTTTAACCCTTCACTTAATAAGAAAGCGAAATTATGCAAAATGGTCATCAATGTGATGTAGCTTAATTGGTTAATTGTCCGTTATTTGCTTAGTCAATAAAGTAGAGGTTTGTGGTTCGATACTTAGTGAGTATCAATTTTTAATTTATGTTTTGAAAAGCAAGTTATAATTTTAATTTATCAGCGTATAGGTATACGATATTGTATAAGGTGTTGATGGTTTAGAGTACATGGTATTGGGTTAGTGTATTGATCATCTCCATCCCTAAAATACGATATTGTATAAGGTGTTGATGGTTTAGAGTATATGGTATTGGGTTAGTGTATTGATCATCTTCATCCCTAAAATTGAACAACAATTTCTAAACGAGGTCCCTACCGCCACATCATCAATTTTAGCAATTCATCACTTATCAATTTCTATTCATCTACATCCCTAAATTATGCTAGCAATTGCCAAGGTGGGTTCCATTTTAATTTCAGAGGAAACACTTATTATAAATTGA